TGAACCTTGTACTGCAAGATACAAGGGAATTGGAGTTGGCAGATATGTTTTGAACACTTTCAGCTGGTCTGCAAGCTGAGTGAACATAAAGTCCCCCAGCAAGCCAGTGTCAATCAATGCTCGATATGGTTTACCATTAACCTCAACAATAATAACCAAAGGATGAGGTACTATTCAGCCAATATCCTTGACCACTGCTGCATGTCACTGAATAGCTGGGTATGTCTTAGATTCAATCTGAATGCCTGCTATGCTCATAATATAAGCATAGCCATTTTGTTCTTCCCACTGCAAGTTTCTATGCATTAGATACAAGTAACTATTAGCTCTAGCAACTGTCATGTCAAGTTCCCACTCAAATTCATTCATCTCTACTGACTACGAGAATAGACAAGGCAAGAATTCATACTCAACAGGACCTCGAAGGTGCTGAAGAAGATCTTCATAGGCTTGATTGAGCTTCTTTCTATACCAGTTTGGAAGGTCGAAGTTCGGATTCATCAAGTTCTTGATTGTTACTGAGGTCTTGAACTCTCGGTATACATCATCAATGATGTATTCCTGTGTCGATCGCTTTGGATTCGGATACACAATATACTGAACTTCATCTTTCAGGTCTCACTGATCTGAAATAAATAGTACATGCCTTGTTAAGGACTTTCAAACTGCAGTGGCAAGTGGGTGGCCTATCTGAGGGTAATCCATATCTTGGAATGTCGGTACATTGTCAAATATGGCTAATTGTCGTCCCCAGAATTCTCCGAGACTGAACTGTGGGTCCAGTACCCATTCATAAGAAACTTCTCCTCTTAGACTGCAATCATGGTCAATCTATTTAAACTGATGGTCTGCTTTAGAGTCCCATGTTATGAACCGAAGGTGTCTATGGGGTTCCTGGGGATCCTCTGGATAAGGTTGGTTCTCATGTAGCTTGGTTTCAAAAGCTTCAGCAAGTACATTTCCTATTCATTGCATGCACCACTGTTCTGAGTGAACTTTAATAGCTTCTGCCTGCTTAAGCTTCTCAAAGCAAAGCTTGTCTAGTAGTAAGGACTTATATTGTCTTGCTATGAATGCAGGTTCTTTGCAAGCCATCCGATTACATCAAAATATGGGTTTTCAAGCTATATAGCATCAATATAAAGGACAGCAAGGTTCACCTGGTCAGTAATCATAATCTGGTTTCTGTCTGATGTCTTATGAGAAACCTGGAATCTATCATATGGTGAGATTGGGCTTTTGTAGCCTAATTCCTTCAGATCTGGATATATACTAATGCCATGACTCAGAATAAAATGCATGCTTTGCACTATTGCATCTCCAATTTTTGATGAATTGCAGTACCACTCTGTAGAGTTATATAGTAATGCCAACAACCTGGCACACTGTTTTGCATATCATGCACCAATACAAAACTTTGGGTTTTATAACAGTGAAGCAGATATAGTGAGTTCTCCATGTTCTGACTCAGTATCTGCAATAGTGAAAGTCTCCTGATTCAGGTGGAATACTCTAAAACGGTAGGAGCTTACTGCACTCCAGCATAACTCATCACCAGAGTAAGGTGCATCATGATTCAAGCATATTTCAGCAGCATATTGATATAGATCGTCAATTGTATTAGGTCGCCACTTTGAATCTACCTCCTGCCACAGTATGAAGTTGGTATAGTCTGTCTCAGGATACCCATAGACATCCTTAGCATTATCAGCCCAGCAATACATAGATTCATCATTACGATCTCTTGCATAGACATCTTTTTCAGACCATGGATGAGCAAAGTTCTCAATCTCAGGCATCGGTAAAGCTTCATTACATTCAATACTTCTGAAATCACAGATAAATGTCTCTAAGTCATCTAATTCTGGTTTGACAGAATTATCAGAGCTAGAACCTGAAGATGTGATATCATTTTCAGATTCAATAGATGATATGTAGAGCTCAGTAAGCACTTGCGAAGTCCACTCACCATCAGTTTCATAGTCTGAGCTTCCAGAATCATTAGTTTCTGAAACAGGTTCAAGGTTTGAAATGTCTTCATTGAATAGATTGTCATTCTGAGACTGACTGTCTTGTTCAGTAGATATGAACATCATTCCAATTGAAATGTGATCAACTATTTCAGTTGTCTCTGCCAAATTTTGAAGCTGGTGATCATCTGCTAAGTCATAATGGATACCATATGCTGAGAAGCCTGGTGGCCCTGTTTTGTTACTTGACTTCACTGTGTTATTGTGAGGACAATTTCTAGCTATATGTTGCACTTCTTTGCAGTGACAAGTTCTGCCTTTTTATTTTCTGATAGTTTATTTTTAGAGCTAGAATTTGTGGTAGACTTGCTTCCACTATTGCACCCTCCATTCAATGGCTTATTACCTCTAAAAGATGATGAGGGTTGATTGTAGCTTGATGACTGACTATATGAGTTAGATCCTCTCTTGTGGGGTCCATTCTTTTCATGAGAATATTCTTTTGAATGACTGTTATCAGACTTATATTTCTTAGATGTATGCCCACTATTTCTATAGTTATTGCTGTTTTCAGAACCTCCCTGTGATGGCTTCTTTTTCTTAGTACTTCAAGGTGTAAATTTAAGGTCAGCTATTTCAATGAGTTCAGCTTCTTCGACAATACAGTGCCAGCTATGAATCTCCTTATTAAGCTTTGCTTGATAGAGTTCATGCTGCATCTCCCTATGGAATCCATCCCAAAGCTTGATAATACACTCATACTTGCTAGTCATGCCAACAAGACCATACAAGGTTTCCAACTCATAAATGTATTCTGAAACGGTGTGGTCATTCTGATAGCACTTCTTTATTTTATCTTGTTGCTGACTTTGGTAATTTAAAGGGAAGCATGAATTAAAGATTCTTCACAAGAAGTCTATCAATGTCCATTCTGCATGGTTCTTCGAAACCTTCTGAATGAAGAAAGATAATGCCTTTCCCTTCAGATAATGTGATGCCAGAAATACCCATTCATCCTTTGGAACCTGACCTTCTTTGCAGAATTGGGTCAATTCCATTGTGAAGTGATAGAATTTTTCACTATCAGCTGTTCCATCATATGGTGTAGGAGGTATTAGTCGAATCAATCTTTTGCGGTGATGTTTTTGACTTCTATGCTTATGCTGATGGGAACCATGCCTTCTAGTATGACGATGATGGTATCGACATCTATGATTGGATGGCTCAGAGCTATCTGATGCATCTGATTCATCACTTGCATCACTGCTACTTGAGCTTGATGAGCTTGAACCAGTGCTTGAGGAACCATTATCTGATAGAGAAGATTCTGAATAATTAGAGTCTGAATCTGGGTCAGACTCATTACTGAGAGTAGACTCTGATGATTCAGAGCTAGAGGAACTAGCATGGTGCTTATGCTTCTGTTTCTCAAGCTTTTTCTTATTGAGTTTCTTCTTGCACTCAGATGAGAGCTTCCGCTTCTTTGATTTGCTAACATCTAACACATCAGCCAAGAAGCTATCAGGTGATAGCTGATTCACAGGGCAAGTAGACCCATGTTGGCTATTTGAAGGTGCCTTTGAGTGTTCTTGTATGATGTTCCTCATTCTATGATCAGTCAATGATCTGACAGTCTTTCATTTCAAAGATTTTGCACTTGTCTTAGAGGGTGTCTTTTTTGGTTGAGGCTCTGCCTTCAAATCTGACTTAGAACCTTCATCTGATATTTCTTCTACTTTCAGAGCATCATAGCAGTCTGTTTTGTGAACATTTGTCTTTGGTTTTAATCCCTGAGGTTCTTCTTTCTGTTTGTTATGCTTAGAAGACTTTCTGACAGTTGTAAAACCATCTTCAACCTCTGGACGAGCCTCTGAATGAGACACATCACCTTCAGAGACTTTTTGATTGATGTCTAGAGCCTGATTCCATGTTTTGAGAGCCTCATGTTGTGCCTCAACATCTAATTCAGTGTCATCAATCTCCTGATTGCAGTCAACAAATTTTCCTTTAGCAATGTAAGAGCTGGATCCAGATGTAGCTATTAGAGTCTGAGATACAGTAGGTTGCTCTCAGCCCTTGTCTTCTATCAGCTTGTTCTGACATTTGGCAAGCATTTCTTGTTGTGCAGTTGTCAAATTCCATTCAGCCACATCAATGGTAGAAAGCTGTTCCTTCATGAGCTTTCTTCCTTTGTGTAGTCCTCCAAAATGAACTTCACATTTTCCCAAGTCATCAAGACTCTGAGTACGGCGAAGCCTCACAGGTCTTGCCGTTCTATTGGATTCTTCTGCATCTGTACTATGGGATGCTTTCTCGAAGGTAGAGAATGTAGACAATTCATAATCATTTCTATTATCTACATCACTACAGGATAAATCATTATCTGAAACTTCCATGGTCAGATTTCCCTTGAAACCGACATCCTCTGATTTCTCTGAGTGATTTGAATCCTCTTCCTCTGCTTGTGCACAGGCAAGAGGAAGGTTTCTCAGTACTGTAGCATCAGACGCTGGAACACAGCTCGCAGCCAGAATAGGGGTAGCATCCTGAGTGCTTGCAGCACTAGAATCTGCCACATTTTTAGTATCAAAGTCTGTTGGTGACAACTCACCTGACAACTGAGATAAAGGACTGTCCATCCCTGGTGTAGCTGGCACAACAGTGGTGTTGTGATGGCTGTGCAAAGGGTAACATGACATCCTAAGGAACCAAGAAGTAAAGAGAAAAATTAGATATTGGTGTCAAAGTCAGAATGTCCTCAGGTGATCAAGCTGTAGGGGGTCCAGATATCGATGAAGAGAGATATAGAGAGTTTAGAGAGAAAAGTGCAGATGAGAGAGAGTAAAAGATAAAAGCAAAGATTAAGCCAATGGAGCTGTCAAAAATATGAGAGGGTGGCAAAAGTCACTTCTCTCATGAAAGGCTCGCACAGTCGCTGACAGGCTTATAGGCTTGGTCGATTGCGAAAACCCCTAGCTACAATATGTGTACTGGCTTATATATATATATGGCGGAAATAACAAATACGGGCTAAACCGGGAGACGGGGGAAACAGGGAAAAACGTCAGGTAAAAGTATCGGGCCGTGGAACGACTCGTAACATACCCCCTCGTCGCGTACGAGATGATGAAGCTCATGTTGGTAATGAACACCACTGAGAAAAGGCAATGGTAGATCGAGAAAGCCTGGAGCCGTACGTTTCGTATCACCGGCGATTGCACCTTTCAGCAACTTTTCAGGCATCTTCTTGTCCTCATAGCCATTCCATCGCTTTCCCGGCTTCTCATCGGCGAGACTGCCTACTTTAGAGGACGTCTGGGATGAACCGGGGGTGACGCTGCTCATGCATGGTTAGAAGAATACATTTAAGAAAATCCTTGTCTTTAAACTGTACAATAGTCCCTAAGAGGTTGAGCTCTTCATGCATTCACAATGAGGTACTAACTGAACCATTGTCCAAAATAAATACTGTGAAGGTTGAATTAGGAATAGACATGTAAGGGGCCAAGGGCCTCTTGAATCGTGATGTTCTGACATGGGTTATATTTCAGCCGCCTGTCCTTTGTGAAAATTCAACAAAGCTCGCCCGTATATGCGTTACAAGAAAGCTTGCCCTGCCACTAAACATTTTAAGAAATGGAACGCTTGTCATCGCATATCAATGATTCTTTCATCACCGGATTTGCAGGTTGCAGGTGTTGGAGCACGCAGAAAGGCACTGAGCCCGTCTTATCCAGCTCAGCGGGAGAGTCCTTTCCAAAAAGAGTTCGCATCTACATGGCAATGGCTTGGCCTCAGTTCGTCGACGTTAAGCGCGCCTTCACAATAAGTGCAAGTTAATTCCGAATTTTCCACCAAGTCCATTGTGAAAGACTCGCAGACCTGTGTAAGAGCCATTCAGTACCATAACGCGCCCCAGACTCTATCACAATTATTAATCAACTGAATCTTGCATTAATGAGATTTGAGATGGGAAACGGATGTAATAATATAACTGTATATACAAGTTTATGGGTACAGTGAAAGGAATGAATCTTTACCCATATATACTACCATAGATTAAGGTCGCGACCCGACTGTAGCACCCGCTCTACCATTTCAGCCCAGTCATCACTGATCTTGTCGCTTCGTTTACCCCTCGTCTTCGCCAGTGGACCCGCATCTCTTACGAATTTCAGCCCAGACTCTTCCTTGGCCAAGTGTTTGACTTCGCCAAAATCTTTAGTTGATTGCGCTTGAAGCCAGGCAGGGCTGGGGGAACGGTGGATTAAACAATCAGGTTCAACATAACCCTCTAATGAGCCCTCAAAAGGTTCGTTGATCTTCGTTTCCATAGCGCGACCGTCTCGCCATAGAGAGCCATTATTTGTCTTCTCCAGTATCTGGGTTATATCTAGACATTCACCGGGAGGAATCGGCTCCGGCTGGGATGGAGTGATGCAAGGCATATCGACCTCTTTCCTAAGCACTTTGTCGACATCCACCGCAGAGAAAAAGGCTACTCCCTGAGGTAGATCGTCCATACCCAATTTGTACGCAAACATGCTCCGGGTCCAGAGATTGGCAATCTGCAGAGCGAGCGCGGCGCGGTACTGGTCTCCTTCCTTCACCAAATACCGGAGTTCATCATGAACGGAAATGAGGTACCGAGCCTGGATACCGAATTTCTTGATCAGATAGTCCATTGAAACGATGAGTAGATGAAGATAATCCACTCCCGAGGACTGTACGACCCAATTGATCCGTGAAGGCAGATAGTCCGAACCAAAACCTTCTGGAAGGTTCTGTTTGCACAGGGCTTGTGTGATGCCGCAACCCAGGGCAGGCGTCTGAGGCAAATCGGACAAAGCTATCGCCTCCAGCTTGTTGAACAGAAAGCTTTCGCTACCACCAAACCAAAACCTCCTTCCGAAAATGTCTGTCCGATACGTATTCTTGCCCTTCGTTGACGCGTACAAATTTGATGCGAGCTTATGAGCCTCCTCCGGGGTCATTTTTGAGTTCCCCTGCTGAAGAAGAAGTATTGCATGACGCATACCAGCGCCATAAATGCGAGAATAGTTGAAAATCTTGGCCTGGTTACGAGAAGTACCCAAAATCTTGGCCGTTTTGGAATGAAGATCGGTTCCTGCGGCCTTCGTGCCTTCGAGTGTCATCCAGCCGATGGCGGTGGCACCGTGAGCACCAAATTGTGCGTCTCCCATACAACTAGAAATCCACAGCTCTTCGGAATCAACGTCAGCACCAACGATGGCATAACCAGGAGGGGCCCGAACCATGGCTTTGAGTTCAGACCCGACACGGTTCTTCTTCGCATTGCTCGCAGTCAGCCAAGTCTTCTCAATGGCCCGTCGAGTAACAGTGCCCATTGTTATGACCTGAGGAAGGATAATGCCCCACTTCTTTGGCCGTTCTCCCTCTGTGTCCTGCTCGGCTGGGAACCCCATATCCCACCGGTTTGTTTTCGGGTCCTGCCAGCTAACCATCTGACGCCTAATTCGATCCCGAGAACTAATCCAATAGCTGCCCTGGACGGCGACGTCGACAATCGCGTTAGCTGTTTCACCGGCACCACAGCTTAGCGTTCCATCAATGGCATAATTCATGAAAGTCTTCGTCAAAGGACTCCCAACATTTGCTGTCTCGCCATCCTTGTGCGGTAGCTTGTAGAATGTGTAACCCTCAGACCTAAGGATCTGAAGGGATTCATCAGCGTCGTCGTGGAAATTAAGGGCCTTCAGTCGTTTCATGTTCTCGGGAATTGGCTCGCCCTCCGGCCGCGGCGGTACACGAAATGTCCAGCCATATTCTCGAGAATGGGACAAAGGATAATTGAGCCAGGACATCCTGAGCAGAAGTGGAGCAAAGCGATTCTTCATGGTGATATCTAGTGATGCGGGAGGCATATCCTTCTTTGGCTTGGTTAGGTCCCAGAACCACTTGGGCCAATACACAGGCGGGGGTTTGACGGGTTTGGGCTTAGGCTTTGGTCTCACAATCGAAACGGCCTGAGCAGCATTACTTGTAACCTCGGACCAATCCAGTTGACTGTACCAAGGATCCTTGATGATCTGTTTCTCTGTCAGACCTCTGCTGTAAACGGACTTCGCTAGCTTCAGGACCTCCTTCTTCAGCTTATTCTCCGGTCGGCAGAGCTTCATGGCCAATTTGTTATCACACGAACTCATCTGACCCTCGTCCAGAAGCTTGAGTGCGTGTCTAGGCCGAAGCAAGTACTTCGTGAGACCTGATGCCGTAGGTAGACGGCGGATAGTCTTTCTTTTGCCCTGAAGATAATGCCATTTGTCCTTCTGTGTGAAGACCATGGGATGACCGTCAAAAGACAGGTTCAGGAGAAGGGGCAGAATGCGGTCGATGACATATACTGAGAGTGGATCATCGAGAAGGCGACTATACCACCGCGGAACGACCCCAGAAGGTTGTGACTACATAGCGTCCTGAGTATGAGAATTTGGCGAGGAATTGAATCACATACCTTTGCGGGCGGTTCCACCTCTGCCTCTGGTGGGAATACACCCCGAGTCTTGCCAACGACCTTCGGAGTCCAATCCAACTGGCTTAACCAAGGATCATCCTTCCACTTGTCTTCGCCTCCCTCAGCACCAACTGGGTGGTTCTTAACAGCTTCCCTAGCAAGGCTTTCTAGACCATCCTTAACGCCCTTCGACATCTTGTTCCAAAGGCCCTCCGAACGCTCCAAGTATGCCTCCCATTCTTGATTTACCGGTAGAAACCCACTTCCCATTGTCAATATTCCCGCAAAACTGACAGGATGAGGACAATTCTTGGAGAAACCCGGGAACACTTTAGTGTATACTTGATGTGTGACATTGACATCACTGGCACAATAGCTGATATAGTCAGATAGGTTGGCAAGGATTTCTTCGGGAGTGCAGGTCAAAAAGTCATCTCGAATCTCTTTGGAAAGATCAATGGAGCAGTAGAGTTTTGCCACGTCTGCTAGAGAATTCATCGATGTCAAATCCTCCCATCGCGATTGAACATTATCATTATCCTCAACGTCTTCACTCCCCGGAGGAGGACCAGGTAGGAAGCTGTCGTGTATGCGGTCCAGCGAAGCCTGATGTCCAGGCATAAATTCCTGAAGCTCCTGCCAACGTCTGATGAGGTCGGCTCTACTTTCTCCATCGATGTCCCCGTCGGCCTCAGATTCCCGTAGCGCGTCCATGCCGTCTTGTACCTCCTGTATCATACTCCGTACAACCTCAAGGGCTTCTCGTCGCTGCACTTTGACCTCTTCCTTGTTTTTTTTGTGCTTCATCCACGCGGGCCTTTGGTGGGACGAAATCCCCTTAACAGCCACATGAAGTGCCATGGTGTCAAGGAAGCGATTCTTTGTTCCATCAACGTGGTACTCCTCAAGAAGACGCGCCCGGTCATAAGACACATTGTGGCCGACAACAATGCGCGGGACGTCGGGAGGACCGAGAGGTATAAGCTGTTCTGGTGATGCATTTGAAGGATCCAATATCCAGGGAGATATCCACGCGTACCAAGCATTAGGAGACGCGGCGCAGGCCAGGACTGGGAAGGGATGATATTTCGGAAGGTTTTCGATATCGAAGGAAAGCATTTGCTCAGGTTTTCCATCATGCATGGGGTATGGGACATGTTCGTGGTATCCTGATCCATCGCTTTCATATATGTACTTTGTCCATCCGGCCTGGATGTTCCAATGTTCTGGAGGAGGACATAGTTGGGCATCAGCAAACGATTTGGCCAAAGAAAGGTAAGGTTCTGCGTTGGACGAGCCTATCCGATAGAAATGTTCGAGCAAATTATTGCCTTGGAGAGGGGGAAGGCTGAATTCAGTGGAGGGGAGATTGGAGGATTGAGATGGATTGAGTTCGTGGGCCTGTAGATGCGCAAGTGCAATGTTCGTAAAGATTCTCGGGGGTGCTGCGAAGGAACAATTTTTGAAGACTTGATCGTGAAGAGATTGCGATAAAAGCTGCACTCCGAGTGCATTTCGCAGACCTAAAATAGGTGGTTCAGCTTCTTTATAGCAGCAGGAAAACAGAAGCATTGCGCACTGCGCCGGGGTTTCTGCACAGCCATCGATGTCTTAACATCCTGCCTCTCCGCGACTGTGTCAACCGTAGGCCTGTGCAAGACATTATTGGGCACATGTTCCCGCTTTCGTTGATATATCTGAGCCTGTTTGTTTGAGCCAGTTGAATGGATCCATCGAGGAAGACCAGAGCTTGACTTTTGGAATCGGGAGGGCGTGAGCATCGAAAGACCATGAATTCGCTGGCTTTCGCACGACAAAAAGAGAATCGCTGCTGATTCAGTCTCTCTTCAACGACGCTCGCCGTGGCTCCTTTTCAATTTTGCGTTTTGACACCGACAGTAAATTTCAAAAATTACATAAATATCGAAACCGTCGATTTTTTATTTGCTCAAGACGGTTGAACCAAACAAAATTCTTGTTCTTGACGCTACGTGCTGACAGCTTTCCTTCATCATGTCAGAGCCTGTGCTAGGAAAGCGCGCGAGAAATGGTACAGAAAACATCGCCGAAGGAGACCCTGTGGATCTTGTTCAGATGCAGGATGACGACGACGACGACGACGACGACGACGTAGGACCAATGCCAATTCCTGCAGACGCAGAGGGTAGTGTGAAAAAGAAGCGTAAAGGTGAGCATCTCGTCTTGTATCCCCATTTATGAGCCTCAACAAACATAGAATTCTTTTTCTTGCAGTTCTTCCCCATGAACGACTGTATTTGGAACATCTCCCCGACGCGGAGCAATACTACAAAAGCTTCATGCATCGGGACGTGATTAACTTTTGCGTTGTCACCAAGTGCGCAGCCTTTTATTTTACGCTACGTGGGATTATTCACTGATGGGTGCTTAGAACAGAATTTCTCATCACGACTTCGGTTGATGGTCACCTCAAACTTTGGAAGAAGCAGGACAACGGCATCGAGTTTGTGAAGCACTTCCGTGCCCATCTGACCCCCGTCAAAGCGGTATCCGCAAGCGCAGATGGGCAGCTCTTTGCGACAGTGTCCGATGATGGCACTGCTAAAGTGTTCGACGTTGTGAACTTTGGTATGTTCACAGTTGATCAGTCTCCAGTGCGTAGTTGACGAATGTATAGACATGATTAACATTATCACCTTGGGTTTCACACCACATTCATGTTGCTGGGTACATCGACGTGGACAAGCTGGATTGCTAGCAGTGTAAATTGGTTCTTTGCAAGTGCCTGCGTATATCATACTCACCTCTTCCTAGGTCTGATTCTACCTCGGGAACAATTAAACTCTACGAAGGTCGAGGGAACGATACCCCACTCGAAACTATTGAATGCCTGCACCGATTCCCTGTCCATGGCATGACATACAGTGACCGTTATGACTGCGTGATATCCGCAGACGAGGGAGGCTTTGTGGAGTACTGGCAGCCTTCCGAGCCCTTCTCTCTGCCTAAAAACGTGCCGGGGCTCTGGGCCTACAAAAGCGAGACCGATTTATACGAATTCAAAAAGTCAAAATCTACCCCAACATGTATAACACTCTCCCCCGATTCCTCCTCCTTCGTCACATTCTCATTGCCGGATCGACAAATCCGCATGTTCACTTTCTTGACTGGAAAACTTTATCGCAAATATGATGAATCGCTGGCAGCCATTCAAGAGATGCAGCAAGCTGGCACCGCAGTGTACAAAGTAGAGGACATGGAGTTTGGACGACGGTTGGCCATAGAAAGAGAGCTTGAGTTACCTGGCCCCGATGGACTGGTTCCGGGACGTTGGAGTAACGCGATCTGGGACGAAAGTGGTGCATTTATTATCTATCCCTCGTTGTTAGGAATAAAAGGTATGATGCCTTCAATCGTTCGGCATACCTTGCTCAATTCCTCGCAGTGGTCAACACTGTCACCAACCGTGTAGTGCGCCTTCTTGGAAAGGATGAATCGAATAGATTTTTGAACGTGAGCGTGTACCAAGGAGCTCCGGCAAAGCGGAACATTACAACTATGGTAATGTCTTCTTCATTCCTTTATCCTTATGTCGTCGACCTGAACTCGTTTGTAGGCAATGGCTGCGTCTGCGAACCCGATCTTGGCTGATAAAGCCCAGCGAGATCCTTCTTTCTTCAGTACAGCGTACAAGCGGCCAAGATTCTACATCTTCACCCGTTCGGAGCCGTACGTAGGACAGTTAATAACCGCTAGATGAGCGCTGACGACCTTCTAGGGACAGTAAAGAGGGCGAACGAGATGTCTTTAATGAAAGACCCACACGTGAAGAACAGAACATCGCCTCTGCTGTGCCCGTTGCGTTAAATGGCCCATCACCCCTAGCAAATTCGGCTACCATCCATACGACATTAGGTGATATCCACATGCGATTGTTCCCAGCGCAAGCACCGAAAGCTGTCGAAAATTTTGTCGGTCATGCGCGCAGCGGATATTTCGAGGGGATCATATTTCATCGAGTGATTCCCAAGTTCATGATCCAGACTGGAGATCCCCTTGGAGACGGTACTGGAGGCATGTCAATTTGGGGACGAGAGTTTGAAGATGAGTTCTCTGATGACCTGAGGCACGATAGGTAGGTTGCTTTCCTGTTCGAATTTCATGTACTGATGTGCATGAACAGGCCATATACCGTTAGCATGGCGAATGCTGGCCCAGGCACCAATGGGTCGCAGTTCTTCATTACCACTACGGCGACGCTATGGCTGGATAAGAAGCATACAATCTTTGGGCGTGTCATTTCAGGTTTGGAGGTTGTACATGCCATTGAGAATGTTAAAGTGAATAAAGCAGACAAGCCGCTTGAGGACATCAAAATCGTTAATGTTGATGTGGAATAATAGATTGATGTATTTGTCTGCTTAATTTGATACATGTACATGTATTTATATATATAACGAAGAAAAAGGACTCACTGGCCTAGTTGACTCACACCAACTTAGCAGACAACATAAAAGACATTCTACATCGTGTTTCCCTTCAGTGAGATGTCTGAAAAGAAAACATCAGCAAGCAAGCCATTTTGATTGCAGATGTGGAAGAAAGCTCAGAGAAAAAAAAAATGTCTCGACATAGATGTTAAGACAGGGATAACTGAATAGCAAAGGTCTCATCCCGCAAAGAATAATGACCTTCACTGACCTTGACGCTGTTTCCGATCCAAGTTATATTGTGCTCATAAAAATTGATCGCGGGATGGAAGAATGACCTGCACAGAAGTAAAGGGTAAGTATGAATCAAAGAGAAGACACGAGAGGCAGAGGTAAAGAAGGGTTCAGATTGAGTTGTAAGAACGTCAAAATAACTAGTAACAACCAGGTATTCAGATTTTTCAGTGTGATATATAGTGTTCATCACGAAGTAAAATGGAATGCAGGCTGACCTGACAGTCGGCACAAACGAGAGACAGCGAGACGAGGGTAAACGTTCAACGTTGAAGATTGACAATATTCGGGGAAAAAAAAGTTTTTTTATCCATCCTGTCGTGGGAAAATGACACGTGGTCTATGCTTCGTGCCTGATGCTAGCCACCACTGCCAGACCGCACGGTGGGCGTTGATTTGGCCGCCACATTCACTGATTCACCGGTTCGCACTGCGAAAATTGGGACCTGTTCTGGTTACATTAAAATGAAAGAAAATTATCCGGTCTTCTGCGCTGGGACCTAGGCTCAGTAGTACTATACGCTGTCTTCGATGCTGTACTGTCTCGGCCAAGTTTTCTGGAATGCTCGGTCACCATCTATTTATAAGTCAAAGTGAATTTCAGTGTCTCCATTCCAGGACCACAACGACGGTTGGAGTGCTTTCTCCACTCAATTCGCAAAACTTTATCCTGCTGCTCAATTAGTTTCGCCGGGAAATCCTTCTGCTGCCAACATAGATCACCATCACCATCATTGCCACCTCAGCATCAGCACTTCTTCGTTCCCGTGCCGTATAGAAGAGGACCTACTGACACTCCTTGTGACTCTACTTTTTACTTTTCCGCCTCTTTCACAGTGTGCTCCGGATTAACATTTGTATGTAATCTATCCTTCACGTGAACGGCCCTTCTGAAGCTGAAAGGCTCAAAAGTAGTATTAAAGGTGTATGTATGCAGCGTTAGCCCAATAGCTTGCAAGCACACGTTCATCATGTCGATTTCTTGGCTGGGTTTCCAAGCGATTCTAGCGTTCATATCCAGCATTCCGTCGTCTGTAGCTTTGGATAACGGTGTGGGACGTCTTCCATGTACGTCTTGCCTCACTGCCGAGCATATGCAATGCTGACCAGAAATCACGAGTAGTCATGGGTTGGAACAGTACGTACTCCCAGTTACCCTTTCTCACCTTTATTCAATAGTGTCTTTAAAGCCTGGAATGCGTATTTTGTGCGTGTTATTAGCTTCAAGGACGTGTCATTATCATAAAACGGTTGCAGTGCAACATCAACGAAACCCTCGTTTTGGAATCAGCGCAATATTTGGTGTCGTTAGGCCTCGCCGTGAGTAATTCAACGTCACCTCTGCTGCATCACTTCAACAACATCGACCAGGATCTAGGTTACGAGTATGTGAACATAGATGATTGCTACGCCGAGAGGAATCGAAGCTCTAGTGGCGACATTCTTGCCAGTAAGCCCTTCTGTGCGTTCCATCTTATTTTGGTGTTCATTGTTCTAGGCGCGGATCGTTTCCCTTCAGGAATGAGGAATCTCACGGATCAAATACATGCGCTAGGACTGTATGTTACGTTACTTATGTACAGCTCAACCCTGTTAATTTGCTCCGCACAGGAAAACAGGAATCGTAGGGTTGACACTCGGGCTTCGTTTCTTCCGAACTGAGTTTTATACAGTACAGCGACTCTGGATGGTTCACTTGCCAATTATACCCGGGCTCATACCAGAACGAAGATAGGTCGGTCACGGTTTAATTTGTTTCTAGGATCTCGTTTAAAGCTGAGCGTTCATATTAATAGAGATGCAAGGCTCTTTCAGCAAGAATGGGGCTTTGACCTTCTAAAGTTAGTGAACAGAATCTAGTTTATTGTTCTCAGTCACTCAATTGATCTTCAGATTTGATAACTGTGCCGGTAAAGCTCAACTTTATCTGTTAGTTGGCTGTGATGCTCAAGCTTATTCCCAGTACCCTTTGATGACATAATCAAGGAAGGCATGGTTGGCAGTGAGTATTCCCGACTCGACCGATGGACATCATATCCTTACTACATCATGCAGAATATTCGCGAATGGCAGAAGCAATCACCAACCTTGCGGACGAGACAGGCAATCCGCCATTATTGTTTTCCATATGCGAATGGGGCCGAGTATGACTTTAGACATATCTCCCATCTTCGTCGTTTAACGTTCGACGTAGCTTCAACCGCAGTTGTGGGCGAGACGATACGGACAGTCCTGGAGGGTGAGTTTATTTTCCTTCGTAGGACGGCATGACTCACGGGAATTGTAGATGACAGACGATATCGGTTGGTCGTTTTTATCATGTAAGTCGAAACCCAAACCAGATTTTTCTTTCTCTAGGCGCGAATTGGGCTTCGATCGCTAGCATTATCAATTCGTACGTAAATAAAAAACGCGTTCACAGATGTAATAGTGACATATCCTTAAAGGATCTCTTTTCATTCGTGGGCGTCCGATTTCTACGGCCATAATGATTTGGATATGGTGAGCGAAATGGATCTTCAGTTTACAGAGACTTGATGTAGATTTTCAGCTTCAAATGTAAGGGAGCGGCATTCTACGTTGCACGCTGGTCCTTATGAATGAGCATAGTGGCAACGGCGATCTCAACTATGAAGAATCCAAAACCCATTTCACTGTTTGGAGTTTGGTCAAGTCTCCACTCCTTATCGTGAGTCAGAAATCTGATGTTCTTTCCGGTATATCTAACTCATCTCTGTAGGGAACTGATGTAGCTCTGCTGTGAAGCCCGTAACGCATTAGCTAACTCGCTTCTCTATAGCTTTCTACAGTGTCCGAGCAAAGTCTGAGCATCTTCAAGAATTCTGAAATCATTGCTATTAACCAAGACCCAGTCGTCGGTACTGGGGTGGTACCATTCAGGTGGGGGATCAACGTGAGCTGAAGAGTTTTCTACCGGGAGGATGATGAACCAATTTCACTTCGGCAGGCTGACTATACTTTCGATCCTACACATCCAGCTGTGTTCTGGAGCGGAGAAAGCCAGAATGGGACGGTCTTCATGCTGGTAATGCGCCATCGGTTGCAGATTATTATAAGATGAACTTATAATAATAATTCTGCTCCTAGATCAATTCTTTGGACGAACCAGCAGACCTCTTCTTCAACTTGACAGAATCTCCATGGATTCGTGCTGGTAGACAGTATTCTGTTAGGGTATGTATATTGTCTCCTTTTATGCCGTGATGAGTCCTGAGCTTGTGTAGGATTTATGGATGCACACGAACAATGGGACCGCCGTCCGTAACTTCACTGCTACAGCCGTCCCACCACATGGAGTCGTAGCTCTTTTATTGAAGGATGCAGGCGATGAGCCGAAAGGTCTACTGCCGAAGTGTGCTTTCTACGAGTGGTGGTCGGATACGTGGTGTATCGACCGGAATGGTACAAGGGTGCCGTCTTGAACTTTTTACTTAAGGGAGCCAATGCTAGCAGCAGATTTGGACTTGAATGTTGGACCGTTCAATCAGTAATGACTTTGATGTGCACTCACGAAGATTTTATCGACACAACCCATAAGCAGGATGCGACTCATTGAACACAGTGTATACGGATAAAGGGATGTTTTTTTTTTTTGAAATTACTGCCTCTAACAAAAACATTGTGATCTAATAAACATTTCTACTTCAAGGAATCCTTTGGTGATACATAGATATTCGTTTGAGGAATCCTTCACAACTGGGCGAGGACTGCTTCAGCACCAGAGACGGTGACATCAGTGCCAGGCTCGATCTGTACAGCGGTTTAGCGATGAAATGCACCAAGGAATTTGAAAACGTACCTCAACGTATTTGACAACGAGGTCTTCAAGGATAAGGGCATAGCGGCCGGTGCGGGTACCGAAACCAATGGAAGACAAATCTATGGAAAGACCCAAGGAGGCAGACCACTTGGCGTTTCCATCGGAAAGCAAGAGGATCTGAAAATCATCGATCAGAAGAGACGTCTACTTCGCTCATGGCAGCGGGCGTACTTTGTCCTCAGCACCCTCAAACCTTCCCCATCCGCTCAGAACAAAGGCGTCGTTGGCAGCGACGACGGCAATGACATCGACACCTTTAGCTTTGAATTCATCGTACTTCTCGAGGTAGGGAGGAAGGTGGTTAACGTGGCACGTAGGCTAAGGAGAACGTATCAGGCGCGTCACAATAAACATTCTCTTGCGCTCGCTCACCGTGAAGGCCCCTGGTACGGAGAAGATCACGACCTTCTTACCCTTCCATTGGGAGGTGTTGAGCTTGATGGCTGATCGAAGTCGTCAGTGAACCTGGATTCGATCTAAGGATGCAGCACTCACGAATGCCACAGGCAAGCTGGTAGCTGATGTCAGTACTGGACTTGCAATATTCCAAGTTGCAACACACCTTGCTCTCAAGTTCGGGGGTGTAGGGAATGTAGTTGAAAGTGGCCTCGGGGATGGTGTCACCGACTTTGATTGTGGGGGCCATTGCTACGTTAAGAGGAGAATGGGTACTTGGATGAGGGAGGATTGGAAGTTGTGGATGTGAATGATGATTTGAAGGCATCGAACGTTCTGCTATTTAAACAAATCTCCATGGCCCGGATCGGTCTCCGATTCGATATTGAACATGACGGATTTTACCTGGCTTGGTATCCGTTGCACCGTGCAAGCGACCCATCAGACAGGCCATCATTCCAAGGTGCTTTCCCGTGTCGGATGGTCTCGTGCATTACAGTATGAATTTCTGATTTTCGCGTTCACGCTGGTAAGCTTAGCCTAACTTTGGCTTAACTGCTTTGTCAAAGATCACGCTTTTCAGGGCGTATCCATTCACTGGAGTGATGCGAGTGCGTTCTCTTAGTAAAGAGTCAGATGATTCTGTAGATCATGCCCTAGGTCCTGTCAGCCTGAGTAAGATTCAACTTCAGCACCAGCCGACTGGTGCGGATGTATGATGGTGAAGATGGAGAACAGTGATGGAAACATGTTGCATTGCGAAATAAAGATACAATTGCTGTACAGAGATTATCGAATGAGATACAACGAAGCAAGATGGAGAACAAATTCATAAGGGTGGTGGTGGACGTTTGATGGTGACCGGTTTAGCCGCTGCGGGACCAGAACCCTGACTATCACCTGTTTTCAAACGCTTGGCAAGTGAGTCCTCGGAGGTGTTGGCCGTTTCCTCCCTCTGTCTCTTCGCGGCAGCACCGAGGACACTGAGAGAAGGCCCTTGAGCGGCAGCTACAGCAGGCGCCAATCGCCCTCGCGCAGCAAGACCGCCGCGTCCACGTTCTGTTCCACGAGGGGGAGCTCCGCCTCGTCCCCGATGGGGCTGTCCCGAAGGTGCCTTATTTGGTAAGGGCTTTGTTTGAGATGTGGATGCCGTCGAGGTCACTGCAGGGCCTGTCGGTGGCGTCGGCTTTGGTGCGGTGGACGTGGAAGGTTGAGAAGATGACGCAGCTAGAGCACCGGCCGGTACTGTGCTGGTCCGAGGTTGTGTTATAGACGAAAAGTCCTTCTCTGGAATGAAACCTTGCTGATGCCACTGGCGGACCTGGCTCTCGAATAACTTGATCTGAGTTTCGACGTCCTTCAGCTTACTCTGACTTCGAATAAGCTGACCATCCTTCAATACTAGTTTCTTCTGAACCTCCATCCTGCCCCTTTCTACCGCAGCGTCAAGTTGGTGCTGCGAAGGAGCGGCTTCCGCCTTCGCAGCCTCAACTGCAGCTTTCAATTCCTCTTCGTGTTTAGCTGCTAGCCTGGTCTCAAGGGCCTTCAACTCCTCAGCATGCTTCTCTGCGTAATCGGCAGGCATTGATGTAGTTGTGCTTTGCAATTCTGCTTTCTGCTTCTCCAGCGCAGCGGCAATAGCAGCTTCTTGTTCAGACTTGGCCTTCGCTTTATCTTCTTGACGCCCCTTATGTACAGTGGCGAGCCGATTCTTCATTTGCTCCTAAAAGTATGTTAGGGAATTTCTAAAAGTGAGGTGGTATGGACCAAACCAAAGCAAGCTTCATGGGGTCAAGTTTTCCATTCACAGTCTCGTAATTGTCTTCTGCAACCTAAGCACACATCAGTGGCCGCTGAGTGGTGATCAAGGCTATGGCCTACCTTTGCCTTTGCAAGGGCATCCTCTCGAGCTTTAACTAACTCCGCCTTCTCGGAATCCCAAGTCCGTCTGGCTTCCTCGATGGTCCCGTCTGCGAGAGAAGTAGAGGTAGATCCTACAGCTGCTTTCTCCGTCAAGAGTTTATCACGTTCTGCCTTCAGTTCCTCATTCTCCTTCTTCAAATTCAGAAGTGCGTCACGCTCAGAGATCAGTTGTTCTTTCTCTTTGGTCAGCTGGATCTACGAAAAACCAAGTTACGTTAGAGATTTGAGGAACAGGCGATAGACATACGGTTGTGGAAGTCTCTTCCAACGGTTGTTGTGCAGCGTCTGAGGTCGATTGGGCACTAGTGGCCTTATCGGACAAGAGTGAGGTCTTCTCCGCTTCGAGAGCTTCAATCTTGGAAGTGAGGGTATTGTTCTCCTCTATCAATTGTACCCTCTCAGTTTTTAGACGGTCCATGTTACCCTTGAACCTTTTGAAGTTGTTCTCCAGCTTCTGACCGCGTTCCTCCAATTTGTCTCTCTCGGTTTTGAGTACCGCACTCTTCTCCTTCAGCTTGGCATTCTCATCTTGAAGAGTTTGCATTTCGACGGGATCGATGCGATCGTACTGCAGATGTGATTGGAGATTGGATGTCGTCAAAGCACAACAATAAAGGTACCTTGCTCAGAAGTTGCGTGTTCCTTCCTTGCCATCGTTTATTTTCCTCCTCAAGACGCTGGACGTGGACTTTGCTAGCATCAAGTTCAGCTTGCGCGACACGTACTTGTTCCTTAGCGGGTTCCAGCTGCGATGATAATTCCTTTAGCTGGACATCCAGCTGTTTAACACGTTTGGCATGGCGTTCACTCTCCGCACGAAGAGTAGAGTTGCTTTCTCGAAGGAGGTTAAGCTGGTTGATCCGCTCCAAAAGTTCAGCATGTTGGGATGCAGATGCCGCGGTCTGCACAGCTCGTTCGCGTTCCTGGTACATATATAAGACGATAACACGGAGCGAAATAGAGCGCAGCCTACCTCCGAAAGTGTGGCCCGTGTCTCATTCAAAGTCTCCGTCAGGTGCCCAACCTGCTTCGATAAACGCAGATTCTCCTGCTTACAAAGGTCGAGCTGGAGCTCAGAAATGCTCTTATCCTTGCGCAAATAGCCAACGAGGGATCGCAGTTCTGATAACTTAGCATCGTCTCCAATGACCCCTTCACCTTCGCCAGCAGGAGCGTCGGAAGAAGTCGCTGCTTGCTTGATACGTGCTGCTTGGCTGCTGACATCTTCCAAGTGTCCATGTAAAAGCTTGTTTTGCTCAGCAAGCGCTTGATGGCTAATAAAGAGATTACATTTCAGGCATAAAATCGACAGGGTGTTCAAAACTTACCGGCGTCTTACTTCTGCAAGCTCAGCATCCAAAGTCTCCTTCTGCTTCTTCCAGCTTCCCTCTGAGGCAGCCAGCTTAGCAGTCGCTGTGTCAGCTGCAATTTGACTGTCACGGGCCGCCGCTTGGGAACCGGCCAGTTGTGCATTCAGTGCTTCAATAGCCTTCCTCGATTCGGCATGTGCAACCAGCTCATTCGAATAGCGCTCCTCAGCAGCCTTTGAGGGAAGTAGGCACGAGAAGATCATTGGAAATCAGGGGGCATACCTTGGCACGTTCTTCTTGCAAACGAACTTGCTGCTCGCGACTTGTACGATCGCTCTCGGAGTGCTTCTCAGAAGTGCTCAAATCAATGATGGTCTCTTCTAGAGTCTTCTTGTCGTTCGTCCAAGCAGTACGTTCGACTTTGAATGTCTTCTGAAGTTCGTTCAATTGAGCTGTAGCACGTACGACGTCTTGCTGAGCTGCCTCTAGCTTCTCTTCGAAGGCCTTGTTTTCCGACTATAACATGTCAGACTACATCTCAAAACAACCGGATAGAACATACTTCAAGTCTCGTGAACTGAGTTTCCATTGAAGTCCTGTACTGTTCGTGAGTAGACTGCAAGCTCTCGAGTGCGGCCTCAGCAGCCTGACTAATTGATTCGAATTGTTGGCGTTGTTCTCTGGCTGCTTGGAGATCCACCTTGGCAATCTTTAACTCGGCCCTGTCGTACAATGAGTGGCATCCGAGAATTATTGGACCAGTGTATCACGCACCGAAGTTCCGCGACCTCCGCTTCAAGTTGTTGTTCCTTGCTCATATCTTGAGTGCTACGAGAAACACCAAGAGTACCAGAGCGCCGCTCGTATACCGCAAGTTTTTCCTCGCTGCCTTGAACGTGTCTAGTCAAGTCTTCAATACGGTCCTCGAGGTGCTTCTTGCTGGTTTCGGCACCAACGAGAGCTTCCCGGGTCTTGGAGAGTTCTTCGACCTATTCGATATAAGATTGAATCAGAGAACATTTTGAGATTCATACTTACATTCTTGTCAAGTCTAGATTGAAGTTCCTTGAGTTCGATATCCTTTTGCAGTGTGAGGTTTCGGACATTATCTCGTTCTTCGGTCAATTGGGCCCGCGAATCTTGCCTAAGTAGCATTGGAAATATTAGAGACTCAAACTCCGCGAATAGAGAGTAGACATACATTTGTGCTTCCAAGAGTTGCAGCTGGCTTTCCAAACGGCGACGGTCATTCTCACCGGATCGTTCAAGATCGTTGTGCATTCTCTGGACACTGCTCATCAAGTCATTGAGGTGAGAGCGCTCCAAACTCAAGGTCTTGTTTTCCTCGACGAGTCGGTGTTGTACGTCCTACGTTATGATTAGACAGTCTTCTTTGAAATAAATAAATAAAGAACGAACATCCCAAATCTTTTTCTCAGCACGTAGATTTGCACATTCATTGCGAAGTTGTTCAATTCGGCTGTTAGCCAGTCGAAGGTCTTCCGTCACACGACCGCATTCAATGTCGACTCGAGTCCATTGATCGAACAACTGCTGGTTCCGCTTGCCAAGGTCATCGAGTTCTCGAGCATGCATGCTATATTGTTCTTGATTGATCTGGTTCCTCTCTAAGTGTTGTCAGAATTAGGAGAAATGAACTTGAAAAAGTATCATACCGTTATAGTACTCGCCTCGTGCTTTCTCTTTGGCAAGCGCGGCCTGTAATTTTCCGACCTCCTTCTGAGCAAGAGAAAGCTCTTCACGGAGCTTGACAGAGTCGATGCCCATTTCTGTACGATACGCCTCGAACTGGCTCTGAATTTCTGCCAATTCTCGCGCCACATCGGAAGGAGGCTCCATCGTACCAGCGTTGCCATTGATACGTCCATTGGCACCGGCTCCTTTATCAGAACGTGCTAGGAGCGCCGCGAGCGTGTCCCGTTCCTTGACATATGCTTGCAACCGTTTGTCGCTGCTCCTCTTCTCATTCTCCATCTTTTCTTCGAGGTGCTTAATGATAGCGTGAGCTTCCCGAACGGCTTCATTTTGTTCTTGCTCCATCTGCGCCCTATACTCCTTCTCCTCATCTTCCAGCTTCTTTGCCAACTCTCTGGTGATAGCAAGGAGCTTCTGGTTCTGCTCCTGGAGTCCATTAATAGACTTGAACAAGACTAGATTGTTGGTGATCAAGACGTCAACATCAGATTCCTGCTGAACAAGAGCAAGATCTTCTTCAGCAGGGAGAGTAGGGTCATCTCGACGTCCGATTTCACGAAGTAGATTCTGAACCTGTCGGCCGAGATCATCGCGCTGCTTTTCAAGAAGTGCATTTTCGCGTTGACTCTTGCCCAGTTTCTGTGAGTTCTCTTGTACAAGAATGACCTGAACGTCACGGTCGGAGAGTGCTTGTGCAAGCTGAGATGCAAGTTGAGCCGCTTCGGTCTGCAGACGTTCGTATTCTATGCGCTGTTGGGAAAGAATGGGGGCCTAACGACATGGTTAAACTCTGAGTACACATCTTTAAAGGTAACGCACCCTCTCTTCGATCTGTGCAAGTACTTCGGTCAATGTACGGTCCATGTGATCATACTCCGCCGACTTCTTCGCATAATCCTCCTGAAGACGGACATAATCAGCATAAACTTCAGTAAAAGTCTTGCCGGACTTCTGCGCTTTGCTCGCCATTGCCACGGTAGGACTTAGACCCATCATGCCGTCCAGACTCTCGTCAAGAATGCCTCTTACTGGAGTTCCTGGAGTACGGCTTGGAACCGGTAACTCTCCTCTGCCCATTCTCTCGATAACGGTTTCCAACCGCTCTACTTTCTTTTCTGCATCTTCTCTGCCCTTCCTTTCCCTTTCCACCTCACCTCGCAAAGCACTCTCTCGTCTGTCGGCCTTCTCTCCGACAGCATCCCATTCCTTTTCTATTGATGCCACGAAGTCTTTAGCTTCTTTCTCTCTCTCTTCCAGCATCACGACCAAGCGTCTCAACGAGGTAGTCTCCTGGGTAAAAGTGGCCTCCTGCTCAGCTAGCTGTCCGGTAAGGTCTTGTACCTTAGTCAAGGCCTGGGTGAGCTGATGCGTTTGAGACGTGTGAGAAGATTGGAGCGCCTTGAGAGAAGACTGTGTCAACTCGTTGTTCTGAGAGACTGCGTCAAGGTTTGCCTGAAGAGTGACCACTTCGGCTTGTTTGGCACGTCGATACTTGGTAAAATCGTCAGACTTGACAGTGAGCTCGGAGTTGATACGCTCGACTTCAGAGTGAGAAAGTTCAAGTTGCTGGGTAAGAGAGTCAAGCTTGAACTTTGTGGAAGTCTCCGTAGATCGTAGCTCTCGGACTTGATTCTCCAATGTCTGGTGCTCCTGGCGAGCATCCTTGAGATGCTTCCGTAGGGTTTGAATTTCCTCTAGAAATGCATGTCAAACAGAGGAAGAAAAAAGTTCAATATCGGGCTGACCTTCACGTTGAGTTTCATCCTGTTTCAACCGACTGACTACAGCCATGACATCGCGTTTTTCACGTTCGCTATCTTCCAAACATCGCCGCACATCTTCAAGCTCGGTAGAAGACGTAGACTGAGTAGTGGAAAGCCGTGATATCTCGGCTTTCAACTCGGCTTGAGAAGAAACTACAATGATACTCAGCCACGACATCAGCCAGAAATCCAGTCACTCACCAAGCTGGTCTCTCTCTTGACTCAGATCTTTCAGCTCTGTCTGTGTGGCCTCCAATTGAGACTCTAAATCCCTAGAGAGTGATTCCTTGTCCTGTAGCGCCTGATCAAGTTCGACGTCTGTCTTCTCAGCTTCAGCGCGTAATTCATCGACTGTTCGCTGGGTGGCATCCAAATCTGCTGCTTGAGACAGTGCAAGACGATACAAGGCAAGTATAGTATCTGACGAAGGGTAGGCGAGAGTTGCATTGGGAATTAACGTTGAAAGAGCGTCAACGTCGAGGTCACCGGGAATGGCAACGCTTAGGCTCGTGTCGTCCACTGGAGAGCTAGGCGCAGCATCTTCAGATGCACTAGCGAGTGCCTTGGTTTTTCTCCGAGTTTTCATAGACATGGCGCCTTGTGGAGTCGTCGCTTAACGACAATCCTCACTAAAAGGACTTGAAAGGGAGCAAGTTCTTTCATCAATAGGATTAAGTCTTATGTAATCATTTCCAAACATAGATGAATTTATGTGTTATTAGGAGAGCTTTGGTCCGAATCTCTTCCCAAATATGGAAGGCTCTCGCTAGAATGTTCGGCTGTGCTTATTGACCTCCGACCAGGAGTGTCGATGGGACGCGTAAGCCCTCTTTAATTCTTTATAAGTAACAGCCACCGCTACAGCATCTCTATTCTTTACTACTATCTTCTATTTTCTCATGGCTGGAGACGCGCAATTGCTTGCTATTGGAAAGCAGTGTTCCCATTCTTCTTGCCTCCTTGTCGACTTCCTACCCTTTAAATGCCAGCATTGCGAATTGCCGTACTGCCAGGAACATTTCCTTGCGAGAGACCACCACTGTTCCAAGTATGACGAGACGAAACACAACCGCGTGGCTCCAAATTGTACTCTTCAGTGGTCAAATATCCGTTCCCTTTTGTTCACAGCCATCTTCTAGGTCCTCTTTGCAACGAGCCCGTAACGATACCTCCAGGACAAGACCCCAATGTCAAGATGGAGTCCCATTTTTCTGTGGAATGCAGCGCCACGACAGGAAAAACCAAGACGAAGTCCTTACCTGTCTGCCAAAGAGTTAAGTGTGGCAAACCACTGTACTCACCTATTCGCTGCGACGTATGTTTTTGTTCTTTGTTTTACTAAACCCATGAGATCAATAGTCTGATGTAGAAATGTCACAAACAATTTTGCCCGTCTCATCGCTTCCCAAGTGACCACGGTTGTTCTCCGACATCGGCTATCGGCGCGAGTCGACTTCTGAGTCTGAATACCAACTCCATCACTACTAATGCCAAATCTTTCAATGTAAAGGCCTCTGCTGTTGGTACAACCGTTGTAGATGCAGTGAGGAAGAGCATACCATCGTCATCTTCGGAGACCTCAAGTCAGAGAGGGGCATCGTCGGTCTCTACCCCTTCCAAACCTACATCGTCCCTTAGCAAAGCATTTTCGAAAACTGACCGGTAAGTGTTCATTCATTCCTGTTGCCAAGTCACTCATGACGCCTTAGCTCATCTCTTTCTGAATCATCAATCATCCTCGTTACATCACCAACTTCACCAACGCCTGTTCATGATATTGACAACAAACCTGAACCCGCAATACGGTCCACGTCATTTGTTCCACCCCCCGTCTTTGCGAATGCTTAATCTGTATCCACTATCAATCTTTCAATGTTCACTGTATCCATAAGACGCGCGAAGGCTGAGAGGGAGAGCCGGAGAAAAGCTTTGCAAGCTCGTGCACAGAAGGGGGTATGGGATCATTTTGTCCTGTCAAACTCTTATCTGATCACTCCTTAGCTATTGTCGGCAGAGGAGAGGGCTGTGTTAGCAGCAGAAGAGGATCAAGCTGTTCGTGAGAAGAAAGGTGACTGCGTCATCATGTAGCTCAAGTAGTACATTCATACTGTGGACTCTGGATCTCATTTCTTGCAAAGCTATTCCATGTGTTTTTACTTTTTACTTTTTTTCTCGAAAATTTTTTGTGCGCTCCAATCGAGGACATGCGATGGAGATGTCTAGGCCCAGATTTGCAGAGCGCTTTAACCAAAAAAGAGTCCGCAAAGACAACACAGAATATATTCGGACTTACTCAACGAGGACCTATGGTACTAAAGGCCGTGCTTGCTGCCAATTACGTACCCAAGTTTGATCAGACTTGCTCTGTTCTACTCCGAGACGACGCAGTACTTGCTGCGGCCAGGGCTGGATCTCTGATATCTCCACTTCAAGCGTGGCTGGCTATGACGGTGGACACACCTGCAGCTAGTATTCGAACTGACATTTAGACGCTGCAGTGCCAACTATCAAGACGTATGAAGAGCCCAGAGACTTTTAATGACACAGTTATCATCTTTATTTGCGGGTTCAAGGCGCATGTTTTTTTATTCGCAAACCAAGAAACTAGACCCGGCAACGACTCGTCGCTCTCCGCAGTATACTGGCAGTTCGTCTCCGATGCGTCGAGCTTGGTTGGAATTGCAAATACTTCCAGTGCATATCGACCCTTGCGGCAGTTACTGATAATCCAAGTCAAGTCCGTACCTAATTCTGCCTCAATTTTGTCGATTAAGATTGTTCTGATATTCCATTCTGGCGGGTAATTGTAACAACAACATAAAGTGGCCTGCCAAGCAACTCAGGCGCAGCCCGACCTTATGCGAGCTCGTGGCGGGACCCTTTACAATACAATTTTACCTGCTAAATCATCTGCAGTGGCTTTCTATGCTGTAAGTACTTTGTGAACGTTAAACCGGAACAATCATGGATGCTTGATTTGTTTGCAATGAAAGTGCAGAGGGATGGCAGTCCCTACGACCTGCCCACCTACCGGTTTACGCTATCCTTCTCAAAAGAACTCTACTGTGTATAACCATCTATTGTGGCTACAAGACAACTCTGAAATCTTCGTAGGTAAATCATTACGGATTGCACAGCCGTCGTGGCTCCGTCGTCACCGATGCTGGCTGGACATGTACATTAGCCATCTTCCGCTTTTTATCAGTTGCGAGACGCCATCCCCTTGAATTTCGAAGCATAAGGTACTTATTCTCGTTGACATGACTGTAGAAACCCGACTGTGCTCGATGATTTTCTCCATGCCTTACTCGCTCTCTCGCCGATGATTCAGATTTTATACATCTTTTGCTTCATTCCTAGCTATGGCAAAGCCTTTTCCCTAGTAAAGAATAGCGGCTTCATTTGCTGTTCCGCAACCACCCCCAGGCTTTCCGATGTCGACAGTCTAAGGCCGAGTGAACTGGCAACTTCCCCGAAGGGTTTGCGCAGCCTGTTGCATATCGGCATTGTGACTCTCCTTACGTGCAGTTGAAAAATGTCGGCTGCTGGAGCTTTTCCCTGGGAGCGAAATTCTCGGTATGCGCCTAAGTTGATTGGCTTACGAAAGAAGTCCCTCCAATCTCCTGGTACTTACAATCATTTTTTTGCGCAGAGCAGGCCTCTTACGACGAGTTCATATGGGGAAAATTCGGTCTCGTTTTCTTGGAAGTTCTTTTCTTCGCACCAAGTCCTGTCGCCGTAACTCTCAAGTTACAATAAGTCTGTATTCGATGTGTTCTCGTCTGTGTTCGTAAGATCCACACATCGAGTACAATTCTGGGGACTTATAAACTCAGTCGAGATCATCGTGATCGGACAGTTGCGTCACAGGATTCTGTAGTTCATGTTCGACCCAGGACCTTCGAGGATTTTTGGCAGCCATTTTATGTTTTTTTTTGTAAGTGTCACTTCCCTTCCGACCATTCGCCCCACATATGTTGACTGCGGCTTTGAAGACGCCTTTTCCCTGAAATTTCTTTCAATTTTTAGTCCCCGGTCGGTCGGACAGATTACCACAAGTCTCGAGACAGAATGGAGAAATGAATGAACCAATGACAGGCGGCGTATTTTTTTTCCTACCTGGCATCAATGCCAAGGGACATGGAGGATGTCGCAAGACATCGACAAAGAACTTTCCTAGCTGCGCACACTGGAATGACAAGTATAAAGGCTGCTTAGTCTCTGCCAGGAATGTCATCGCACTTGGATACTTCTGCCTTGATTGCGCACTATGGTTAACTTTCCTTCTCTCGTGTCTTTCATTCTTCTCGCTGCGTCCGCCGCTGTTGCGCACCCTGTTGCTGCTCCTTTGAGCAAGGGGGAAGTCACTCCTCGTGCTGAATTCCAGCGGGCTGCTCGTCGTTCGTTAGGCAACTGTCAGGATACCCTCCACCGTCGCGGACACCTCGAGCGGTCCGCCGCTCGCCGTAGGGCATTGGCAGATGATCTCCGTCGCAAGCGTGGCCTTCCTACCGGTGAGTATTTTCATTGATTCATCTGCTTTCCTAGGAAATTAATATATTCTTTGAAGACAATCTTTACAAGCGCCTCTCTTTGGACGATGTTTTGAATACCAGCCATCTGTCCAACGAGACTGATCTGACCGTCGACACCAACCCCTTCGAAGGAAACGCATCATGTGTCCTCAATCCCGAGACCACGGAAGGCCCGTACTATGTTGATGGTGAATACGTTCGCTCGGATATTACTGAGGACCAAGAGGGTGTCTACACCTACGTCGATGTTGAGCTAATCGATGTCTCCACTTGTGAACCCGTTTCCAACGTGTACATTGACTTTTGGCACTGCAACGCAACTGGTGTCTATGCTGGTGTGGTAGCTAGTGGAAACGGCGATTCATCCGACGAGAGCAACTTGGTAAGTCACAAGCAGTGGAAGTTCACATTTTTCTAACCTGTTGCCTACAGAACAAGACTTTCCTCCGCGGTATCCAACCGACCAACGACGAGGGATATGCCCAGTTCGAGACTATCTTCCCTGGTTCGTGATGATAATTTGCTCCGCTGCATCATTAATAACAACCCCTTTTCAGGTCACTATACTTCCCGTGCTACTCACATCCATGTCGTTGCGCATAGTGACGGAACGGTCCTTACCAACGGTACCTTCAAGACCGACACTGTCCGTCATGTCGGTAAGTGTGTGTTACAGACCGTATGTCTAGTTACTGATCCATCGCATTAGGCCAGCTCTTCTTCGACCAGGATCTGATCACCATCGTTGAAGCGACGTCCCCATACTTGTCTAACACTCAGGTTTTGACCACCAATGATGATGATACAATTTTGACCGAAACTGTTGAGGATGAGACCAACGGTGTTGATCCTGTTCTTGAATACGTCTACCTTGGTGACGATGTCTCCGACGGCCTCCTCGCGTAAGCTTTCGTAGCTATTCCAGGAAATCATTTATTAACATTTGTTTTAGGTGGGGTTCTGTTGGCATCGACCTAACGGCCAGCTATAGCATTTCGGCAGCGGCTACTCTGACAGAGGATGGAGGCGTAGAAAATGAAAGTTCATTAGGTGGTGGTGATATGGGTGCCCTGCCAAGTGGATCGGATTTCCTGTCCGGAGCTATTCCTTCCAGCACTGGAGAACTCCCTGGATCTTCCGTCGTACCCTCATCTACCGAATCATCATCTTCTGTGTCCTTATTCTCTTCTTCATCTTCCTTCGCTCCCGCTATCCCGTCATCGTCCTCATTGGCCCCCGTTTCTCCCTCGCCCTCGTCATCTTTATTGGCCTCCGTTTCGCCGTTCTCTTCTTCTCTTCCGGTAGCAGTGACATCCTCTACAGCTCAGAGTGGCGCAACGCCTACTCAAGCCAATGGTGGCTCAGGTCCCGCTGGCTCTCCCAGTCAAGGTGGAAATTCTGGAAGCAACCAAGGCAGTCAAGGCGGTCAGAGTGGTACCAGCCAAAATGGTCAGAATGGTCAGAGCGGTACCAGCCAACATGGTCAGAGCGGCAGCCACCAGTCAAATGGGCAGGCCAGCAGCAATCACAACGGAGCTCAAGGTGGAAACTCGGGAAGTTCTGGTCACAGTGGCTTCGGTTTTTAGAAATTAGTAATGTGATGGTGCAGTCGCAACTTCTATATACGCTACGTAGGTAAAATCACATTCTAATAAATTAAGAAAGATCAAGCAGCAGCTTCGAACATCGGCCTGGTCGATAAATAGCATGCCTGGAAAGCCCTCCTACTTTGTACCCATGCAGACCTTCACATACGGCTGAATCTTTGTCATGCCTGTCCATACCTGTGGGTATTTTTTCCTTCCACCGATTTATCTTAATTACGTAGTTATTCACTTAGGTGTTCCATGCTAGGACTGCTTGCATTTCCCTGTGTAACTTAAACCGTACATACGAGCTCTAGTATAATCTTGCCCTGCCTGTTTTGCTCTGCCCTGTTGTAAGTAGAGAGCAGAGTAATGTAACAGAGAACTAGAATTAGCCTCTCGAGAGAGAAACGTTCTACTTAAATACATTTCGTATTACTTCGAGATCTTTCTACGAGATACTAAATAAGTCCGGATCACGATCCAAGTCAGCTGCCGCTGACTGGCATCGTATCTTCGAGTACGTTCTCGTACTCGCTCGGGATTGCTATCCCAACATGCCCATCTCAACCCGTCGTCTCTAGTACGGCAGAAAAGTTCTCCCTTGAAAACTTTCTTGTTTTTTTTGGAAATAGGCAGTAGATTTGGCGGAAAGGACTGGCGCGAACTGTTGGAACATGGCCGAGGAGACATATATAAGTGGCGTACCTTTGTCTTTTCTCTCTTTCCTCAATCCATCTACGCGTCACCGTGTCGAGGCTGAGTTCTACCCACTTAGGTTCAGATTCTCACACGAACTATTTAAACTCTAAACGGTTGGCCTCACTTCGCCGCCTCTCCTGGACCGTATCTATGGGCTCTAAATACTCACTCTACTCGTGGTGCTCGACCGCTAAAATAAGGTCTTTTGCTAAAGTTTGATATTATGGTACAATGTACGCCATACGAGGCTTCATTCAGTGTACATTTATCATACAATCGGGCAGCACAGAACTCATGAATCTACTTGGATATCAGCGACACCTTCTGGATGTGAACTGCTGCTCGTTTTCTTCCGTCTTTCCGCCAAGAAGGCCTCTATCCTCGTTTTCAGCGCCGTATCTACAGCGAATTTCTTAGTTTACCCATATGATGCGCAAATACATGTCAAAACGAACCTGGTATAACGTCTTCAATACTAAGCGCCACCCGGTTGAAGGGGTCCTTGGAATCTGACAGTAGATGCGATTTAATTGTCGATCGGTCGACAATCGCACGGGAAGATGGAAGAATAACAGGATCTCGCATGACCGTGTACATTAAGGGATCTGACGTAGATAAGGTTAGTAAAGATATAATTTGGAGGTGTATCAACGCACCTAGGAATTCGTCCGGTACATCTCCCAGTTCCTCCTCCGCTTCCATGACGGCCTTCGCTGCTTCCACTCTTTCAACAAAACCTCTCAATATTTGTATTTCTGCCTCCACCTTCAGACCACGCCGAAGTGCGGTTGCTTGAGCCGATTCAAATAGCTCCTTGCTATAGCTTCGTCCGTCATTAGCGACTGCCTTGACGAACTCATCTCGGTCACTGAGATTTATAAACACTTGCAAAATGTCGCTGAGAAGCTCTCTAGGGTTGAACCTATATTTTTCTGGGTTTCGCACGTTCAGCTCAGAACATCTCGGTCCAACCAAGGCATGGAGGTTATAATCCAGCATCGCCGCCAAGCGGTCAACAATTTCAGGCATCATGAACGGTGCTTTCGTCTCAGCCGTGAACACCTTTAGAAGCTCCACAGTCGCCCTGCTTAAGCTGATGTATCCGGATGCGTGGCGCTCCAAGGAGCTTAGAGCACCCTCTCTTTCACGGCGATGCTCTTGTGTTTGTTCATTCCAGGCTTGATCATCCATCTCGACTTGGATGTTGTGTATTTGGGTTAGCTCCGATAGCGACTCATCCATAAGGTATGTAACGTCGTTGATCATCAGGTTGACGAAGCGAACAAATTTTTCAACGTTCCTGTGAGACAAAAGTATGAGCTCCGAATCTTGTCTGCTGAGAAGTCGTAATCGTACTTTGCTTCAATATTTAGAGCCTCTCTGTGAACAGGGTTGTTCCAGACCACCTTCAAGATTGAGGATATATTCCTCCTAAAACGATCATGAGTACGGGACACCTCAGTCCCCGCCGATGCTTACCGTGCATCTGAAAGAGAATTCAGATTGAGATGTCATCTTTCCATGAACATGGGTAAAACTTACTGAATTTGTCATAGAATTGAGAACTGGCTCCGGTTTGCTCAACCTCTGGATTGAAGGTGAGTAATCTACTTGTACTGGAGACAAAGGACACGAACCGATATAAAAGTGCATCAGGGATGACATGAGATGCTTCAATGCCAGTGGATGCGTGTTCAAAAGGAATCCAAGGACACCGTCTCGTTCTCGACCAAAGTTCCAGATGCCGATGAAAAGGACCTGACAATCTTTTTAGTTTCTTGACCCGGAGGTCAGTAAAAGGAAATACATCATTTATTTTGGACTTCAAAAATGGGTTCTTGATGTACCATGTTGAAGAAAGGAAGGTCAGGACAAATATGAGCAACTCGGTCTTGCCTGACAAATCGAACTTGTCAGGAGAGTATCTGAATGCTTAACTAAGCTTCTTAACACCGGGATGGAGTGATGATACTCACTGTACAGCGAATAGAAAATATTCGACAATATCTTCGACGATATACTCCGGAAGCACCCTGAAAGACATGGGAACATCCTTCGGCAGAGGCAATCTGATAAATAACGATCAATACAACGATGTCAAATAAAAGTACAGCTATATACTCTATTTGCAAGTTTGGATGGGTCTTCTTAGGGTCCGCTTGACGAACTAACCATGTCGACAAAAAGTTGGTGAATCCCAGAGTCCGTATAATAAGTTCCGGATCCAATAGCTGTGCTTGATATGCGAATTCGGACGCCCGGATTTTTGCAATTTCGATCTTTCAAACGTTATTAACTTCGAGCGAACGGCCCCCAAAAAAGAACAAACCTTGACTGCGTTGATGGCTGCTTCACGTCGGGATTGTAAGGGACCCTACCAGGTCACTGAGCATAGTCGTTGTACATAAGGGTCAGAACTCACCCCCACCCATGATTCGTCACCGTTTAGGTAATCCAAATGACGCTGCATATCTTCGATGTTCTTGCCTAGTCCTGTATAGGACTGTATTGTTCGCTGATATCCGTAGTGACTCATTGCGATGGCAAGGTAGAAAATGTCAGAAATGAAGTTGGGAGGAGGCGCTGAGGCAACGATCAGAATAGGGAGCTCGACAAGCCCAGAATACAGATACCATTGGGAACCTTATTCTGCTCGACCCATTCATTGGCTTCATTGCTGGTAGCTTTGATCCGAGTTTCTTCCTGAAGGTCAATTCGGGACGAGTGCGCATAGTATAGTGGATCAATACGGTCCATCTGTTCAAGAATAAGCTATGCCTATGATAAAGGAAGACTTCAAACCTTGGTGTAGTTGGCATCCATGAAAGGCTCAGCAAATCGGAGGAGGATCGTTTGTAAGTTAACCATGAAGCTGTCGCTGGAAACAGTAGTAGGATCAACCTAAAAACAAGCGAGAACATGAGACATGCAATCCCATGGGCAAAGATTTGATCTGACCTGCATGCCAGCTCGCTTCACATTGAGAGTAATAACTCTGGAAAAATAATCCAACACAGCTTCCCTCGATTGAGAGGAAGCCCTAACGAGTGTATTAAATATTTGGAAAAGAGAGGACTAGATATAGACGTCAAAACACGTTTAGACGACACGCAGACCAGGCCCACCTGAAGAATCTTCAGTGTCCCTCGCAGACTGGCATAAGATGACTCAATATCATCCTTGGACCGTTTCTCCGGATCGGAGAAGTAACTTTGCGAGATTCCCGGCTGTCTCGCCTTGAGCATATTAAACATACCCAAGGATAACAACGCACCCATTCTCTCGAGAAGACGCCCAACCGGCATAATGGCCCCATTAAAGATGTGGTCTCAAATGTAGGAGCACTCGCTGATGGAGGATTCCATTCTTCCATTCTTGTGATCATGTTTGCGATAGCTTTAACCGACACAAGAGCCTCAAGTCCACTGACAATACCTCGCCAGCTGGCATCTCCACCACCAAGACCCTCCGGTCGGAACAGTGAAGGGTGGAAAAGAAGCTGTTGGACGACAGGCCCAAGAACGCCATCGATTTCGTTGTCTGGTTCGAAACGACGCGCCAAATCTTGTAAGAATTGCTCTATATCCGAAGGATCGAGCATGTTTGATGAAAATACAGGCCCTGAAAGCAGCGGTGCTGACAAAGCCGAGAGAGACAAGAGAGGGGAAACCAACTCCGGTGCACCTAGTGGACGACTGTCATTACGCCATCAGAACACGGAGACGAGAAGATAGACAGATGACGTACCCAGATGGCTGAGGGAACATCTCCGGCTCCTGTAATGTCAGGCCAGCATAACTGATTATGAGATCTCGAATTTTCTCCAGTTTGTTCAAAGCATTCTGTGTATCGACGGGCGTGTAACCCTAGCAAATCTCTTAATTTCGACGCCAACTTGTAAGTAAAAGATCGAATACAGTACCTTCTTGATTAAAGTGCTGCGAGAGGCATTCAGTCTTTTCCAACAGCCGACCAGATATTCGAATACGGTTTGTTGCGGGGGTAAACTGGCAAGCACGGGCATGTATTCCAAGTCATCACTGGTAATTCTGAGATTGATGAGAACAAACCTGGACGAATAGCTTACCTCATTTGCAAGGGGTCTATCTCAAGTCTTGCTATGAGGAGCCTGTCAACCAGGGTTTCATCGAGTTTCTGTGCTACGAAATAGTCAGTGCGATCCGCTTCCCACAATGATAGCCACTTACCACTTATTCCATCCGCCTTTATCTCTTCTGCCAACTGCTTAAGCCATACAATTTCGTAACCACTGTGTTCTGCGACCGATTTCTTCAGGCAAGTTAAGATCGGTTGCGTACTGGTCAGAACATAGGAAACGCTCACCTCCAACGTGACTTTCAGAATGTGTGCGACAGTATCGTGAGTCCATGCGTCGACGCTGAACCTTGCAGGGGTCTTTTTCTTAATTGGTACAGAAGAAGGCGCTGGTGGGGGAGATGCTGGGAAGATTGGTTTCTTTGTTGTCGCTGGGCGTGACGATGTAGAAAGCTTTGACGGAGATGCAATTGATGCGGCAGCCGATGTAGAAAGAGTAGGCGCCGAGCCTGGCGTACTTGAGGCTGAGCCTGCTGTACTCTGCAATCGTGCTAGCCTCTTCAGGCGAATCTATAGGACCATCTTTCAGTCTGAGAAAGGACAGCATTGAAAGACGACATACACGCTCTGCGTCATCCTGAGGAGTCGTGAGAGTATTGTCGCTCATTGCTGTCGACGAAGACTATAAGATAGAAGACAGACCGAGGTGGTGGTCGGTAGAAGGGTCAGTAACACAGCCATCGCGGTATTTCTCTCTTTACCCGACGCCAATGTCCTCAAATATATTCGGTCGCATTCCGTCGTTGGTGAGGCTATTCTCAATGCCTACGACCAGTGTTAACTCGAGGTTATTCTCGTCTTCTCCGGTCGTGGAAGCCGGCTACAAACTGAAGTCTCATTCGGGAACCAAGAAACGGTGGAGGTCATTAGCATCTGGTAGCTCATTCAAACGCGTCCGTGCTTGTTTTCTTGGCCTTCTTATGCTCTGCTCATCTTTTTTAGGGGCAAGCTGGCCATGCGCACCTGAATGTCCACAAGTCACCTTCAAGGAAAAATCGGCTGGCTCAAACAGCTCACTCGGTGCCCTATCAAACTCACAAGCTCAAAAAGCTGCTGTTGCCGTATGGTTCACATTGAGAACTATTAGTGTAAAGTTATGGAGCAACTCTTGTGTGTTTCGAGTACCTTCTACTCCTTCAACGTACTGATTTCTTCGCCCCAGGTCGTGTCGTACATATAAGCTCTACGATGACTACTATATCATACTATTTTAATTCAGCTCTTGCAGAAGAACCCATCTCTTCGTCAAATCTCGTCTTGCGTGTCCATATGCAATGACTCGTCATGATCCCCCGGCGAAAAAGGAGCGAATATCCTTTTGGTTTGGATCATGAGCAGAACTGCCGATCCCTCCCTGTTGCCGCACCTTTCACACAGTTAATGACGGCTTTATCCTTTGTATCTATGAACTTACAACGTTCTTCAGATGGTCTTGTCGATCAAAGTCAGTCAGCCTAACCTTGAGCGGAGGATAATTGATATCATCCACCGCCATCTTCTTCCCTCGGCTAAGACCCTAAAGCATTAATCGATTTGAGCGCGTGGCTCGTGATGGGCTCTGAATCTTTACCTGAACTTCCACAGTCATGCGAGCCCAGGCTGTGTTCCTCAGACCTTTATAGTATAGGTCGGTCTTCTTCCCTTCCGCATCCCTACCAACAAGTGCAGCTATGAGCTCCTTGATAAGTAGTCCATGGCTTATCAATGCCACGCAAACTCCAGTGGTCCCTTCTCTAGCGGATTGCCAAACGTACGGAAGTAGAATTTCATCAACTGCTTGATCTGCCCTCCTGCGAAGGTCGTTCCTGCTCTCGCCTTCTGGAAACGATCCGTCTCTATCTCGTGGGGAAGGGTATATCCCTTGGGCATAGAGATCGCGCAATACAACATCTGGTCTTGACTTTGAGTATGGCTTTCCTTCTGCGACACCGAAGTGCTGCTCTCGAAGGAGGTGAGAGGTCAAGAGGTTTATCGGAGTCTCTTTCGAATCCTGACAATCTAAGATAGCTTGAGCAGTCAAGCAGGCCCGTTTTAGATCGGATGTGTGTATTGCAACGAATTGGGTATCTGAAAAGAAATCTCCGAGAGCTTTAGCTTGCTATGAAAAGTCACTAGTTATGCATACGAGCCATGGACGTTGGATAGCGAATCTCACTTTCATACCTGTCCTATCGCGTTCAATCGTATCCTTTTATCAAGATATGAGATCACAAATACCATGATTTGATAGTGGGGCGTCTTTCCACCCCGCCCAAACAGAATGCTGTTATTGTATTAGCAGATGTCACTCGATTGTGATGATGGTGAACAAGTTCCCCGCACCAAGTTGTCTGTGGACTCGCCATGTCTAATCTAAATCGTCCTCATTAACGGTGTTTTAGAAGAAATAGAATGAACTGTGTACCAGAATGAATGTCACCATAGGTCGATGTATAGAAACAAGCAGTAAACCACGATAAGGCGAAAGTTGAGCTCGTAAACTCCGTAATCAAACGCGCACCGCAATAACAAAGAATCCCTATCTCAGGTCCTTTTTGGGTCGAAGATTCTGCTGGCACAGCCACTGTCGTGCAGGAGCTCGAGAGGGACGTACGTTTGGAGGTTTGGCAAGTTACTAAGTATACTGTAACTACCTCTAACCAGGGTTGCATAACGTCCTTGGGTGCGTCTCATAAATCAAACTTTATATATGTATAAAGTGTCTCCTAGACCAGTTTCACGCTCCACTAGCTACTATGGCGACACCAAATGGACAAGTTTAGGCGATTTCACCGTGCTATCCGTCGCAAGGTCTTTGAGGTACTAGGCTAATACATCAGATACCAATCGACAAGTGTTCAGCATGGACTTTTCGATTCGGCGGATACTCGGTCCGAATTGGTGCCAGATTTGGCATCCCATGCCTCGGCGTTGGCCGAAGCACTTTTTTCAAGACCAAGCCAGGACTGGCGGCGTCTTCATCCTAAACTTCTCTTCCTGGTCCATGGATCACAAAATGGACAAAGAGTGCGATGCTAGTACTATTTACGACCCACTGTCCTTCAACTTTCTCCGCCAGAACCAGCTTTTTCTGGAAAAAATACGATCTAGCAACATCCACTCAGCATTAATCACGACACAATTATCTCTGGCGACACTATCCCGTCTCCTCACAGTGTCTTCCCTGACCACAACCGTTGCGGATGTATACCGTCCTATACTATTTGACCTTTGTGCCCGTTGGATTGAACAGTCTGATTGCACGGAGGATCAGCTTGTTGCTTTATGCCTATTGATAGAAGTACACGAAGAACTTTATCCGTACGCGTATTTCACCTTTCCTCTCTTCTGTCACTCATTTCTCCTCTAGCATCCTCCATCAGCTCTTACTGAAGCCAGCTTTTATTCAAGGCCTTCTCACTTCCCAACATTTGGACAAACATCGTCTTCATTGTCTACTTTTGGCGTACTATCGCATACTACAAGCGAACCGCCAGCTTCCTGACCAACTGTTTTGGTCGCTAACACACCTATCTGCTATTATTTGGACACCTACATTCGACAGTGGGTCTAGACTTTTGGCAATCCGCTGTTATGCCCTGCAGAGCGGTATGTGTGAAGCAGAGTGTGAGAAGTTGCAGCACGAAATACTAGGGGATGCCTGTGGGCTTGATTGTCCTCTGGAATATGGACAGAATATTGATGGATCTGTCGTTGAAGTTGACGGGTGGATTATGCCTGTTCTGGAGGTAAAGCGCGTTCGGGATGCGAGGAATCACATAGCGATGCATGTTAATGATTATTTCTTGGAAGAGCGGACAATACCTCTCTCTGAGTTGAGGTGCGGGTTGATTTTTCTCCGTTGTGAAGAGGCTTTGAATTATTCCTTAAGCCCACTCGTTGCGAATGTAGAAGGGATATTGTTGCTGCGAGCAGCAGGCACTTGCAGCAAATTTTCTCCACTTATCAGCACGCAAACTACGCGCCGCGCTCTGCGTTCATTAGGACATCGACTATCATTGCGCCTTCCTGTCTTGTTGACATCTCCTCCCTCCTCAGGGAAATCTACCCTCCTATCTCACCTCGCCTCTTGCCTCTTTCCTGGCTGTGATAATCATGTTGTCAACATACATCTGGCGGACACATCATTGGACCCTCGATCGTTAATTGGCTCTTACGCGTCTTCACAGACTGAACCGGGAACATTTGAGTGGAAGGAGGGTGTTTTAGTTCGTGCGATGCGAGAGGGAAAATGGGTCGTGCTTAAAGACATCGATCGTGGAAGCAATGAGGTTCTCGGAGTCATCAAACCACTCGTCGAGTCTCTATCCTCTGACAAGTGGATCGGAGGCTGTGCTACTCTTGAAGTGCCTGGCAGAGGGCGATTTGTTGCACATCATAACTTTGCCATCTTTGCTACACGATCAGTGGTTCCTTCGCGCACTGGAAACTTTCCCAATCCTCTGTTCTTCGGTGCCCACAAATATAGCGAAGTCGTCATTCCGCTGCCTTCAACAGAAGATCTTGTGACTATGGTCGATTCAAAATTTCCTCGTCTGGCTGGAAGTGCCGCTCGAGCATTCATATGCATGTGGGAATCAGTGAAGGCACTGGGAACGTCAGCGTCCACGAGGGATATTGGGTTGCGAGAGCTGCAGAAACTCTGCGTTCGCGTAGACAGATTGCTTCCTGCCTCACACCAACCTATGCTTCTCCCGGGAAACGAACATCTGTTGTCTGCCATCTTCACCGGCACTACTTTCCGTGAGCACATATTCTTGGAAGCCCGCGACGTCTTCTTCGGTGCCGCAGCTTTGACAATGGCGGCACGTACACATCTTGATGCTATTGTCAACGTCATTGGTGAGCATCTTGCCCTTGAATCCGAACGACGACAATGGCTGTTGAATGGATGGGAACCGGACTTTCATCTGGAGAAGGATGTCAACGACGTGGTGGTCGCCGTCAATACCGGAAACACGCGTATTGCTGCCCGAACTTCGAAAGACATATTGTTGTCGCCGTCACGACCATTTGCCATGCATCGTCCTGCTGTTCTTCTTCTATCCCGGCTCGCTACTGCTGTGTCTCTCGGCGAACCCGTGCTGCTCACTGGAGAAACGGGTACAGGCAAAACCAGTATTATAACTCATTTTGCATCATTGCTGAGGCGGCCACTCATTTCAATGAATTTGTCTCATCAAACCGAGTCTACGGACTTGTTGGGTGGATTTAAACCCATCGACGCTCGAATACCTGCATCCGCTTTGCAGGAACGTTTTTTAGAACTTTTTGGTGCTACCTTCAGTCGTCGTAAGAACGAGAAATTTGAGACGGAGGTGAAGAAAGCCGTTAGTGAAGGGAAGTGGAAGAGGGTGACAAGTCTTTGGAAAGAAAGCGCAAAACTAGCTAGAGAGCGGATTCACGGGAAGATGCAAGAATCTGCGTACGTTTACACGGAATCACAATCATATTCTCGTTCACGTGATATTTTTACAGGATTGATGAATTAGACTCCCAAACACCGAGAAAGCGGCGAAAAGTCGATGCATCGAGTCTTAGCGCATCTGAAGCCAACTGGAATGCTTTTGAAAGCGACGTGGTGAATTTCCAAGTCCATCATGTCCAAGGGAAGAGCAAATTTGCTTTTGGTTTCGTTGAGGGACCCTTAGTAAAGGCATTGAGAAATGGGGACTGGTACGTAACAGGCCGCAATGTTTTTATAGTCCTTATTGACTTTAACATAGGGTCTTGCTAGATGAAGTCAACCTTGCCAGCTCGGAAACACTTGAGTGTGTATCGAGTCTGCTTCAGGGACCGACATCTTCTATCACATTGACAGAACAAGGCTCCTTAGAACCTGTACCAAGGCATCCAGACTTCCGTCTTTTTGCTTGTATGAACCCCGCCACTGACGTTGGTAAGAAAGACCTTCCTCCCAACATTCGTTGCCGGTTCACTGAGATTGATGTCCCTCCTCCTGATGCCGACCGGGATACTCTCATCACAATTGTCACTCAATATATCGGACATGTTGCAGTGGGCGATAAGCCTGCAATTTTAAACGTTGCAGAGTTCTATTCGGCTGTGAAACAACTATCGGAGACTCGGCAAATAGCCGATGGCTCTAATCATCGGCCCCATTACAGTATGCGTACGTTGGCTAGGGCGTTGACCTTTGCTGCAGATACTGCAAGTACATTCGGCTTGCGGCGCGCAATCTGGGAAGGCTGTCTCATGGCATTTACAATGGTTTTAGATGGTCCAAGCGCCGAATTGGTGACATCGCTGGCACAGAGGCACCTGTTGGCCGGTGTACGAAATCCTCGTTCCATTCTTTCCAAAAACCCTCCATCTCCCTCCTCTCGTTCGCCAGATGGCTTTGTAAACTTCGGACCGTTCTATCTCGAAAAAGGTCCACTTGAACCAGATTCAGCCGATGAATACATCTTGACGCCGTCGGTGGAAACGAAGCTTATCGATCTCGCGAGGATCATCCTGACGCGCCGTTTTCCCATTCTCATTGAAGGACCCACGTCCAGCGGGAAGACAAGTTCCATCGAATACTTGGCGCGTCGGACTGGTCACAGCTTCATTCGTATCAATAACCACGAGCACACAGATATCCAAGAATATCTTGGGTCTTATGTTCCTGACCCAGTTACTGGGAAACTAGTTTTCCAGGATGGTTTACTCGTGCGCGCCCTCCGGAATGGTGACTGGATCGTTCTGGACGAACTGAATCTCGCGCCTACAGACGTCCTTGAGGCTTTGAACCGTTTGCTAGATGATAACCGGGAGCTGGTCATCCCAGAGACTCAAGAGGTTGTGAGGCCGCATCCACATTTTATGCTGTTCGCCACACAGAATCCGCCTGGGCTATACGCTGGCAGGAAGGTCTTGTCGCGTGCATTCAGGAATCGGTTCTTGGAAGTACACTTCGATGACGTGCCGGAAGCAGAGCTAGAAACAATTCTATGCTTGCGATGCCGAATCGCCCCTTCGTATGGAAAGAAAATCGTCGCTGTGTTCCACGAACTGCAGAATCGCCGCCAATCAGGTCGAGTGTTTGAGAGTAAACTGGGTTTTGCGACTCTCCGGGATCTGTTTCGTTGGGCAGGCCGGGACGCTATATCTTATCAGGAATTGGCAGAGAACGGGTATATGTTGCTGGCAGAGCGCACACGACGGTCTGATGATAAAGCAGCAGTGAAGGATGTCATTGAATCCGTAATGGGTGTTCGACTGGATGAAGATGCGATATATAACCTCCAGAACCCAGCGATCGATTTCAAAGAATTTCTTGCATGTCCGGTGCCTCAATCATCGGGTCTTATATGGACGAAGGCAATGCAGCGGCTCTTCATCTTAGTCGGCCGTGCTTTGCGTTTCAACGAGCCTGTCTTGTTAGTTGGCGAGACAGGTTGTGGAAAGACATCCGTATGTCAGGTCATCGCGGACGCAAAATTTCAGCCACTGCACACTCTCAATTGCCATCAAGGCACGGAAACTGCCGATCTCATCGGCGGACTCCGACCCGTACGAAATCGCGCTGCTTTGGAGGCTGACACGCTGCAGAAGGCGCTTGATTTTCTTCAACTGCAGGGATGCCCATTATCTGCATCTCCGACACCGGAGCACATATCTTCTCAATTAGATTCGATTCTACAATCTTCTCCAGAGCTACGTCCCCGAGTTGATGCCATTCGGCAGAAACTTGGACGCCTTAATGCTTTGTTTGAGTGGCACGATGGTCCGCTCATCGTTTCGATGATAAAGGGAAATATCTTCTTGCTTGATGAGATTTCTCTTGCGGACGACTCCGTTCTTGAGCGACTGAACAGTGTCCTCGAGCCATCCAGGGCAATCGTGTTAGCTGAGAAGGGTGGCGACAATCTCCGCCATTCCGTAATTAAGTCGTCGGATTCTTTTCAGCTGGTGGCCACTATGAATCCGGGCGGTGATTATGGCAAAAAGGAGCTTTCACCAGCACTACGCAATCGATTCACAGAGATATGGGTCCCCTCAGTCGACAATCGTCACGACCTTGAATTGATCGTCAACCATATGTGGCAACATGAAGAACTACGAATATATACCGGTGCAGTATTGGATTTTGTCGAATGGCTCTGTTTTGTTGTCGGAGACCGCTCTTTAATGAATTTGCGTGACATATTGGTGAGTTAACTGGGAAGTCTGTACGTTTTAAATGATGCTGACTCTCCGTCTAGTCGTGGGTTACCTTTTCTAACAGCGTCCTGTGTTCCCAAGGTGTCGGCAGCATCCCAGGGAACGAGATCTTCGTGAGTGGGATGTTTTTGGATCATTGCAAATATTTACCTTGCCGCAGCACCACGCAGCTTATATGTCGTATATTGATGGGCTTGGTTCACTTCCCCAGCTTTCTGGCTACTCTCGTGATGCATTACAAAAACTAAAGCACGATGCTGTCGCCAAGATACATAGTCTCGTTCCCATCTCTGATATAGAATCGACCGGCGTTGTTCCCTGGCACGAGCCTTCAGAGTTTTTCCAGCTTGGGTCATTTGCTATTCCCCGAGGTCCTCAGCCATCCATTCTGGATCGTTTCAATTTCCAGGCCCCTACTACACAAGATAATTCGATGCGAGTGGTTCGAGCATGTCAACTTTTCAAACCAATATTGCTCGAAGGTAGTCCTGGCGTTGGGAAGACAAGTCTGATAACCGCCTTGGCCAAAATCTCTGGCCACGAGCTTTATCGGATTAACCTTTCTGATCAGACAGATCTTGCCGATTTGTTTGGATCAGATCTTCCGGTTGAAGGAGGTGGACCAGGAGAATTTGTTTGGAAAAATGCAGATTTTCTGGAAGCGCTCGTGAAGGGCCATTGGGTGTTACTTGATGAGATGAACCTTGCCCCACAGTCCGTCTTGGAGGGCCTGAATTCGGTATTTGATCACCGTGGAATGGTCTTTATTCCAGAACTTGGGCGTTCCTTTGTTCGACATCGCTCGTTCCGCATATTTGCTGCGCAGAACCCGCTGAATCAAGGTAGTGGACGCAAAGGTCTTCCGAAATCGTTCCTCAACCGTTTTACGAAGGTATACATCGAGGAGCTGCGACCCGATGATCTCCATTTAGTGTGCGGGCATCTATTCCCCGACATTGACTCAGATATTCTTCGTGCCATGGTCATCTTCAACACCAAGTTGAACGAAGAAGTATCTGTTCGACGTTCATTTGGTCGAGAAGGCAGCCCCTGGGAATTCAATCTTCGCGATGTTATCAGATGGGGATCCCTGATCCGTTCTTCAAAGAAACACCCTGTCGAATATCTGCGGCCCGTTTACCTGCATCGTTTCAGGACCTTGCACGACCGTCAGCTCGTATGCAGAATATTCGACCAAACATTCCAAATAGACAGTGCACGAGTAACACAGAACCCTACTTGGTCAATAACTGCGTCTTATATGGAAGTGGGGCATTTTGGGATGCAAAGGGAGAAAACCACCGCTATTTCACGGCCTGGTCGTGTCCTTAAAATGCACTTGTCCGCGTTAGAGGCAGCAGGCCACTGTCTCACACAGTCCTGGTTGACTATCATCACTGGCGGTCGAGATGTCGGCAAGACAGCGCTGGTAAGGCTTTTGGCTCACTTAACAGGAAACCTTCTGCGAGAGGTGTCCATGAGTTCGGCTACTGACACTATGGATATATTGGGAAGTTTTGAGCAGGTAGATTCCAATGCCGGTGCTTCTGCTGTCATTCAAGAGACTGTTCGGCTTGCTGAAAAATATTCACGTACATGGTCGGGCTCCCGGGGCCTATCGTCGAACTACGATACCTTAAGACACGGGCTCCAACAATCGCCGCTGGCCGACAGGGAAATTCTCCTTTACGCCGCTCAACAGGTAGTCACCGGCCTTCACCAAGGGAATAGTCAGGATGCCGAGCTCTTAGAATTGCAGTGCAGACTAGAGCGTCTCACTGGAAACGTCTCAAGTGCCGGGCAGTTTGAGTGGCTCGACGGACCTCTCGTCCAAGCCATGAAAAAGGGACATTGGCTCCTTCTCGATGGAGCCAATCTCTGTAATCCATCCGTTTTGGACCGTCTCAACTCTGTTTGCGAAATAGACGGATATCTCTCCCTCAACGAACGCGGACACGTCGACGGCAAAGTGCAAATTATAAAGGCCCACCCCAACTTCAAGCTGTTCATGTGTGTTGACCCTCAGCATGGTGAACTGTCCCGTGCGATGCGGAATCGAGGCATTGAAATCGCTATCTTCCCGTCACGGATATCCGATGACTGTTTGCTATTGCAGGACCATTCCCGTCTGCCTGTTTCGGTTTCCTGCAACCTCATCCAATTCGACCTCTCTCGGCGAGGTCTCAGCTCAGAAACATTCACGCCGCCGCTAAATACGAGTCTGGTGTCTACAGGTTACATGCTGGATCAAGACTCAGCCCTTTCTAACCTCCTTGACCATTGTCCTGCATTCCTTTGGGATCTCTCGTCTCCGACACTTCTGGATGCTTTTCTGTACTTCCTAGCTCGCTCAGCCGGACCTGCATACAACGCTTACCTTCGCCGTTTCCTCGTAAATCTTGAGCAAAAAGGAAATATATTATATGCTGCTTTGAGAAAGTTTGTTGACACTTTTCCTGGGCCGGCCATACACGCAATAAGTACTTTGCGTTCCCGATATTCTATGAAAAAGAGTGTTCCTTCAGCTCACGTTTTCGCGCAGGTTAGCTGCATCGTTTTAATTTCCGAATACTCTATTAATTGTCTCCGTATATGTGTAATGAAATTGTTTAGCCCTTGGATTCTTTCGGCTGGGAAGAGCAATTGTCCGACACAAATACGGTTTCAAACAGCATCGTTCTGAGGGTCCTAGATCTCGCGACAATGATGGTCTTAGATGAGTATGAACCATCTGATGCAAATATATGGAATCAATTGTCCAAACTTCCGGAACGGCAAGCGAAGGCTATCGCTGAAATTGAAGAAGTCTCGAAAGCGACACGCATTGTATGTCACGAAATTCTTGGCGCCGTAGGATCCAAGGATCGCGAAGTTGTGGTACGTCCGAAGCATCGTCTTATAATTTGAATGAGACCGACGGATTTCCTAGGGATTGCTCGACATTGCACTGAAGGTTCTTGTGTACGCCACGAGAATGCGTTCTGCCGCATCTCAGTCTCACTTTGATTACTCTGCCTTACAAGCCATAACTGGCTGGATGGCTGCAGCTTTGCAACAATGCCCATCCCAGTTTCTTTTGCTTCAGGCTTGCGCACTGGTTCTACAAAATACGGTTTCGCTTTCTTCCGGTCTTGGCCTTGTAGATCTATGGTCCTCATTTCTGAAATACAATGATGCACCAGTGGCTTCCGAGCTGGTTCGCTTAGATGACTTGGTCAGTCATTTGGAGATATCGGATAAGAGTAGAGGTCTGTTTCTGTTTTCCTGTAGCTTGCTGCTTCCTGAAATTTTAATAGACACCCGTCGAAAAACTCTCTCATTAATGGCACTGTGTATGACTGGAAATTTACTTTCTACGGACGACGACCACATGGCTTTGAACCGATTGATCCAAGATGCTGAGGTAAAATTCAGGAATAATATCTGTGTTGTTGCTCACTGAGTTTGTAGCAGGCAGCTCATACTGGGATAGGCTCCGCTGACTTATTCGACGAAACGATCCTGGGCGCAGAACTCGGCCTCATCTCAATGCAGCTTTCATCAGTTCGTTCTAGCTTACACTTTTAGCAAACTCTATAGGCTAACGAAGTGACCTTCAGACTTCGCTGAGACGTTTTTTGCAAGTGATATGCCAGCGCTCGAAGTACTCGCTAGTAAGAATTGTACCTTATCAGCATCTACTCTGGGCGATCGATTCAAACGAGGGTAAGGTGGCCATACGATCTTTTCAAACAATTTTTATTCATCATCTCGGTTAGAAACCTTGCCTATCATTACTAGGAAGCAAATCCGATGGATGAACGACATATGGGCGGGTTCGTCAAGCGATGTTAGTCCGTTGCATTGGAAGGTCCACACGCGTTATTGACTGACAATGCCGTAGATCGCCAGCGGACCTTCAATCTTTCTTGGACCCGCTGATCTGATATCCGTGATATCATTGTTGTATGATCGTCTGTAAATATTTTTGCGCATGTCTAATTATTGTCGTAGGGAGTCGAGCTTTGCGATGGCATCCTTATCGGAATATGAAGACAAGATCTCAAGAAGCATTGAGCTACATCTGCTGAGATGCGAACACAACACCTCTCGCTTCATTCAGATCATTTTTCTTCTCCGATATACGTTGTCATTGGTAAGATTGGATAGCACTACTCTTGGTTTCACCGTTTTAATAATCACACCAGGTCTCGAGCGCTTTCGGTTGTGGCCCTATTCCCTTTGAGACTTCGTCATTGGATGAGACGTCTCCCTTTGCAGAAGTCCTCAGCCATTTTGAGTCCCAGAAGCATAATGTTCTCACTGATGCAGTCAGGACTTACGTCCAACCCGCTTTCGCCCATTTCAACCTGAAATCAAACTCACGACGAAGGGCGATTGCGGACCTCGGGTATTGTTGGATTGCCGTGGCCAAGATGATCCTGCATCTCGTCATTCCTGATGTGCCTGTCGACCCCGCTGCAATCCAAAGTTGTGCATTATCATTCTCTCGCGATCAAGACATACTATTGTCCTCTCAAATTGATCTTCATGTTCGTCTGGAACAGATGGTCACAGGGAATGCAGAAAACCCCACAACGTCGTATCTCCGTGCACGTCGCCATCCCTTCCTGGAATATATTAAGCAAACACCAACGTTCCCATGCAGAGCAAACCTGTCTCGAATCCACATGTTCTGGTCTGAAGTTTCCCAATTTGTGAATCAAGTCGTCTCCTCTTCGAAAATCGACGGCTTGCTCCATCTCCTAGAAACCGAAGATTCTGCAGGTGGACTTCGAGAGGAGACAATTCAGCAATCTATCCGTGGATTCCTGCAGCGCTTGGAATCCGTTTATTCCGATTTTGCGGACATCACATCTCTCCTTCGGTATTCCCTTCTTCATCTTCGCATGGGTCTGCGCATAATCAAGCATGCATATCTTGACTGTGGTGCATCAGATGCCGTTGAGCGTTTGGTCACTGCTTTGGTTTCATTCCCCTCTGTTCAAACTGCTTCTCTCCTGCTTCAAAGCAAAGCTTTCTTTGTCACGACAGATGCTCGGCCCTTTCAACATCTACTCCTCCAGCTCTCGGCACTGGCATATGATGCATCTACCTGTGCTGGGAAGCAAGTGCCTACTGATCTGATCGAACAAGTCTACGACCAAATGATCCTCCTTTGGTTACACGACCGTACGAAAGAAGCCGAAGCTGAAAAGGCAGCACAATCGTTATATCGAACCCACACCTCTGATTTTGTTGCCGCAAGTGAATCTGAAATCGAAGAACAGGAGTTCTTGGCATTGTTCCCATCCTTTGAAGACGTTATGGAGAACGATCGCGGAAAGTCGAGCGCTAGGAGCGGCGCATCTGTTTTACCATTCGTCACTCCCTCACAAATTCATGAAGTCTTCGATCTCCATCAGCGCCTTTTCACGCTGGACCACCACTTTCCTCCTACGGGCCTCAAAGCTTTTATTGACATTCGGCTACGGTCGCTAAAAGACCTTCAATGTCCCTTGAACGCTTTAACGGACACAATAGATGACTTGAGTCTAGCGTTCAATCTATCGCTGTTGTATGGCCGGTATACTGAGTGTAGAAAAAGCAATGATCCGAAGTCATACAATTTCTATCTTCAGGCGAACATGCCAGAAGTTAGGAAGGCTGTCGAGGTGGTACAAAGGCTGCGGGAGCGCCTCGAATATCTCATCAAAGAGTGGCCAGACCAGATGGTTCTACACCATTTGAAAGAGCGGTGCAATGCTGTGTTATCATTGGACATTAATAGTCCCGTCGCCAAGGTTTTATCTGCCTTGGAGCATCTCCTGTTACAGACGGAGGATTGGGAAATCTACGCTAATCGTGACAACAACCTCAAATCCGAACGTGCGGCTATCACAGGTCTTATCGTGGAATGGCGACGCCTGGAATTATCGTGCTGGGACACGCTTTTGGACTCTGAAAGCACCAAGTTCCAATCAGGGATTTCAGAGTGGTGGTTCCGTCTGTACGACGCGACGATCCGAGGCCCACTCGACGCTTTGGAACGCGAAGAAGCGGGCGTAGACAGTGTTTCCGCTTATTTCGACAGTCTTCTGCCATTACTCGACGACTTCATACGAGGCAGCCCCCTCGGTCAGTTCCATGCTAGGTTAAAGCTTCTTCGAAGCTTCGAAATGTACTGCCAACTGATAGTGACTACAAAGTCTCCATCAGGACGCGCGACGTTGGCCCGTGTTCGGTGCATACTCAGAGCGACTGCAAATTACTTCGAGATGTATTTGCCAAGCTTATCTTCCTATCTTCTCGACCAACGGGCCGCACTGGAGAAGGAGGTTAAGGGATTTGTCAAATTAGCAAGCTGGAAAGATGTTAATGTTCAGGCGCTGAAACAAAGTGCCCAGCGAACGCATCACCAGTTGTACAAAATAATCCGCAAGTTCCGCGAGGTCCTACGCTTGCCCGTTTCTGATCGGCTTTTACCGTCATCTGTCAGCAGAAGCGAAGGCGAACATGAATCCTCAGAGCTGTGGCTACCCAAACGTAGCGTCGAGGCACTGTCCATTCCCATCTTCCCTGATCACAATGACTCGACATCGATGTCGCATCTTCTCAACCTCGATCGAACGTATCGGAAATATATCGAAGTCACTAGGACCAAATTGCTTCCTTATATTGCGTCGATTCTGCCGCGGCATGTCGACTCGCTCGCCGTTGAAATCATCGTGGAGTCACAGAGTTTGTCGACTGTCGTTGTTCCAGCAGATGCAACTTCGGAAAAACGCGAGAGGCACCAGAAAGCATTGCTTGTTCGGAAGCGGAAAGCCTGGAGTGACCTGCTCAAGGAACTCAAGCGCGCAGGCTTTGCCACCAATCTACGCCCAGATACCCTGCGTCAACAACAGGATGCTCGTTGGATCAGAGAGCAGCCTATTTTGCTGTCACACGACGAGTCGGCCAACGCTGCGATCCAAAAAAGCGAATCTTACTTCATTCGATTGCAAGGGAGCTTGACAGACTTACGCGCGTCCATCCCGAATCATCACTCTGATCTGACTACTCGTGAACTCCAGCGAGGTGTTATGTTCCTTGAGTCTGGTTTCAGTATGGCTATTCAGTCTAGAGCGAGGTGAGCTTCTTCTACTGCACTATAGTTATGAGCTCACGTTCCTTTCAGGCTGGCTACTGCCGTCGAAGATTATTCAAAGTTCAAGCGAATTTTGCTTCGGATACGCATGCTCTCAACCTGTTCTGGAATTGCATATACGGGTGTGAAAGTTCTCGAACAAATCTCAAACCTCAAAAGCGTGTTATGTCGCCTGTCCGGCGCTTTGCAGGAAATTGTAGAAGGTCTTATCATCCTCCGAGAAGTCGATTGTGTCAATCCCATCCCCGGGTCAAGTATCCAGGAGACAAAAGTGCTGCTGGATGTAGTAGAGAAGTCTGTCAAAGACTTGATGCTAGTCATTGATAATGTACAGCTTACGAACATGCCCGTGCTCTTAGCAGGTACGTCTGACCGTTTAAAGATATCGTGATAGTTGTTCATGATCACTGGAACAGATGAACTGCCATTAATTGAAAGTGCACGCGGTTGCCTCAGTCAAGTTATGGCCGCCCTAGCTAGTTCGTCCGAAAGGTATTCTCATGCCAGGTATCTTTTCTCCTCGACTGCGAGCTGGCTTCAGTCCCAATCTCTTTTGCCTCTCTGCTCTGATGTGGTGGAATCACCTACAGCACCCATCAGCGACAATGTGATAGATGCATGTCTGGTCGTTGCTCAAGGATTTATGGCAAAATGTCCTGATTCTAGTCAATCTGAAGATGACGGCAGAGATGCCTACGTCCGAAGCGACTATGCCATCATTCACGACATGACCAAAGTTGCGAAAATCGGGGGCATGGTCGACAGCGTTGAAATTTTCCTGCTGCAATTAGCAACTCAACCTCAGGCAGAACGTCTCAGCGCCATCCATCGCTGTCTCCCCTTCCTTGAACAGTACAGTCTTCTAGTACAGGATCAATTGGCTTCGCACTGTGCTTGGACAAAGTCCCTTTTCAAGCTTGACTTTGTCCTCTGTTCGCTTCTTCGTAGTCTATCGAAAGAAGGGTTTTGCAAGCCACCGGACGTCGATGAGTCAGGATCTGGAGAAGGCACAACAGAAACTATTGACGGCTTAGGCATGGGTGAAGGATCTGGCTCCCAGAACGTCAGCAAGGAGATTCAGGAGGAGAGTCAAGTGGAAGGACTGCAGGGTGACAATCTTGACGAGAAGAACGATGACAACGAGGGAGATGATAATGATGATGCCATCGAAATGGCTGACGATTTCGGTGGTGACATGCAAGATGTTCCCGATGCTGGATCTCAGGATGATTCAGGCTCTGAGGACGGCAGCGACCAAGACCCCGAAGAACAATTGGGCGATTTAGACGCCTCCGATCCTGACGCCGTTGACGAAAAACTTTGGGGAGACGAAAAGGGACCAGAGGACTCAGCGCCGGAACAATCCACCAGTAAAGATCATTCCCAACAAAAGTCGGAAAATTCGGAGGTGGTAGCGAAGGAGGGCAATGAGAAATCGGATTCAAAGAAGGACGAACCTCCCCAGGACGGGAAACCAGAGGAGACCGACAGCGAAGACGAACAGGCTCCAGACGCCGAGCCCCAGGAAGCTGAGAATGACCTTCAGGCCAACGGAGCTCCGATGGATGACTGCATTCCCGATGCTGATACTCTGGATTTGCCTGATAACATGGATCTTGACCTGGGAGAGGAAGGAAATAATGATATGAATATCGATGACGGAGAACTCGATGTACCTGAAGATGATACCATGGAGTCACCGGCAGATGACAGCGTTGAGGATGCTGGAGAAGGAAAGGTCGAAGAACAGAATGAAGTCGACAACGAGATGGCCGAAGACGCGGAAGACACTCAACCCGGACAAGCGGAGAAAGTTGATGACAACAATGCATCTCAAGATACTCCCAAGGAAGAAGGAATAGCTCCTCCCGATATCGGTACAGGAGACGGCGCTTCAGCCACAACAGGTGAACCACAGCATGTTGATGGTGGGGAGAGCGCGTCGGGAGATGCCCAGGTTTCATCAGGGGCAAGCGGAGAAGCTGTTGATGCCTCCAAACAAGAAAGTTCGATGGACTTGGATGGGTAAGAAGTGTCACATCCTTTTACCCACGAAGTTGCTGATCTTGATCTTTCACAGTTCTCGTCCTTCGGATACAACTCAACTGTCTAACGATCCATCAACAGACAAAAGCTCTGGTGCCGATGGTACTGGTGTCCAGCAGGGTCAGAAAGCACTTCAAGCCAGCACCGAGACGACACGTGATCCTATGCGTAGTATCGGTGACGCTCTGAAGGAGGTCAGACAACAGTTCGACGATATCCTGAGCAGTGGCCGGAATGACGCACCGCAAGAAAAATCGATCAATAGCGAGGGAACCCAGCAGCTCGAGTATCTTCGTCCCGATGACGAGGATCAGGAGATGCAAGCGCTTGGTCCAGCTGGGGAAGAGCAGAGCGCCAAGTTGAACGAGCTGAAGCTACTAGATGACGAAATGCGTGGTGACATCGAGACACCAGTGGACGTCGACATGCTTTTGCATGGGGATGATAACGTCGTCGAGCCTTCCTACGAACCGCAGAACCAGACAGACGGGGGCAGTGAAGAACGGCTGGAAGGCGGAGAAGGTGCCATCATGCATAATCCGACGTATAACGCCCATTCTGATCCAGACGGTGTTGATTTAAATGCTCCAAAAGCCGACGTTGAAATGGAAGAGCACGTTCCTGACAGTGCAGTGGAAGTTGAACTACGGCACTGGCAGGAAGCTGGGTTGCCTTCTGAAGGTGCTGAACGCATGTGGCGCCTCTACGAATCCTTGACGCACGATCTCGCCTATGCACTGTGCGAGCAGCTCCGGCTTATTCTTGAACCTACCCTTGCTACTCGACTCAAAGGGGACTACCGCACAGGCAAGCGTCTGAACATGAAAAAGATCATACCTTACATCGCCAGTGACTACACCAAGGACAAGATTTGGCTCCGTCGAACTCGTCCCAGTCAGCGTGAATACCAAGTCCTCATCGCCTTGGACGATTCTCGATCAATGTCCGAATCTCATTCCGTCCATCTCGCATATCAGACACTCGCTCTTGTCTCCAAAGCTCTTACACGACTCGAAGCTGGAGACATCGGCATAGCCAAGTTCGGAGAGTCCGTGGATATCCTGCATGGGTTCACCGAAGGTGCATTCAGCGATCAGACGGGGATGAAAATCATGAGTGCATTCACATTCAACCAGAAGGCCACGAACGTGCTATCACTCGTAGATCGGAGTCTGGAGGTGTTGGAGAAAGCTCGGGAGAAGCGGTCGTCAGCGTCATCAGCGGATTTGTGGCAACTTGAAGTCATCATATCTGATGGGATTTGTCAGGATCATGAACAGCTTCGTTCGGTGCTGAGGAAGGCAGAGGAGCAAAGAGTGATGATCGTTTTCATCATCATCGATTCATTAGACACTGCGCGCGGTCCCAAGCAAGGTTCCATCCTGTCCATGGAAAAAGCCGACTTCAAGAATGTCGATGGACGAATGGAGCTTCAGCTCAAGCGTTATTTGGACTCTTTTCCGTTTGAGTACTATGTTGTATTGCGAGATGTGGAGGCTCTTCCAGGAGTGTTGGCAGTTACCTTGAAGCAATTTTTTGAAAGGATATCAGAAGAGTAATACAAATGTAGCTAGCTTTAGGAAAGGTATTATAATTTTTGTATCACGTTAATAAATACCCTGAAACGAAACTTAGGCAGTGCGATTGCATGGTGTGAAAACCACGCTTTTTTGTAGAACGGTGTCTGGCGAGCGGCGACACGAAGGTTGGCAACTTGATCCTATCCACCCGCTTGGTTGGTGTGCTTTGCCCATGAAGTGTCTGTTCTGAGCTAAGATCATGTTACAGTTAGTACTATTAGTTGGGTAGAGGCGCAAGAAAATCAATTTCGGCAGAGTACAATTTTAGACAAAATCATTTTTATTTAAATGATGTAGTGGATATACCCCTTTCGTTGTACCTGAGCCACTCGACACCCATCGCCCGTTGTAATAATAAGCATCACAAATAGTTACTACGTAACATTCAAGAATCAAAGAGTGCTCTGAATAGGAACCAGCATTTAGCAGCAACTTCTTTCGATCAAGTGACCTTGGAGTTATGGGCCCCGCGCACTACCACTGTGCCATGCTGCTATCTAAATGGTAGTAGATATTAATACCATATAAGATGGGCAGAATCAATCTTCAACAAAAAAACTAATATAGAAAGCTGTTAACCGTAGTGTCTACATACCGTGCCTAAATGCCAGAAACCCAAACATCCATTTATTTGGCCTGCCAAAGTGCAGCAATCCAGTCCTCCACAGCCAATAGCTTGGCGTAACCTTCTTCCCCCATGAAACCACCAACCACTAGAACGAAATGGGCTATACATACTGAGAACAATGGATGAGGAATAGATTTGACGAAACGAAAGAGCCCTTGAACGTACCTGCCGCAAGCACAGATATGACAGTAGATAGCGGAAACGACTGTTCGCTCAAAGACCCCCCTTTAATAGTGCCCAGAAGATCCTTGGAACTCGGTATCCCTGCGGCAGGTTGCATAGAAGCGAATATCCCATTATTGAGCGCGAACACAGTCTTGGCCTCTTCGGAGACAGTTTCTGTGGAACACGGGGATCAAATCAAGCTCAATGGGCTGCCAAAGCGGCTACGCTACCTTTCACAGCCTGGTTCGCACCTGCACCAGCGTCCATCCCCCTTCTGAACCAGTCTTTGATACGCTTCATTTCCCCCAGAGACGCTGTCTTGGAAGAATGTAGCTCCTTAAATGAGTAGAAAGACAAGCCCTTGTTGTCTTCGAGCGCATAAGCTTTGGCCAAAGTGTGCCGAATAGTCTGACCACCGCTTAGATCACCAAGATACCGCACATACGAATGTGCCAACAGAGGAGTGGGGTCAGCTGAATTGGCCAAATCCTGTATCCGAGTCACATATTCAGTAAGAGCCGCTGGGGTATTGGCCATGAGTTCGGAATGTATCCGGTGCACCTTCCATGAAGACTGGGGGAGATGAAGGAGGTATGCAATATCTGCAGCCAGTGAGGGCGCACGCTGAAGAAGGGCTGGGTTGTAGGTGGGCTCCAGGACTGGGTGGGTGCTGTGGCGGTCCAAAGCACGCTCAAACGCACTACGAGACCGGCTCAGAAACACTCGGAAAACAAAGAATGGTACTCACTCGTAGATGTACCACAGCATGATCAAGAAACGAGCGTACTCCTCCCTGGCGAGCTCGCCCCGTAGTAGCGCCTCCGCGCCCTCACTATGCTCAATATTCTGGTGGGCTTCCTTGGTGCTCTCCTTGAGGACGGCCGAGAGGGGCTGCGAGTAGTCTATGATAGAGGACATGAGGTGGTGGTGATGATGGTAGAAGGGACAGCGAGGTTACGCACTGCGTGGTATTTATGTAACCCCGACTCGTAGCCCACACAACTGAATCAAGACGATCCATTCCCAGGAAGCTCCAAGTGATATTGGTTCAGATCCGAATGTCAGGAAAGGGAAAACGGTGTCACTGATCGATCTAGTCTTATCAGATAACGATGAGCCAGATAATCAGGGCCCAAAATCTTATTAGAATGCCCCCTATCTTCCTTGACAAGGATAAGCCGATCTATTTACTAAGTAATGTACATGGTTTTTCGTAAGTAGTGAGGTGGTGGTACAACGTTAAAAAACGACAAATCAAAAAGGGTTCCATGAGAAGGTCGAAAAAAATGCATGGACACGTCGGTGTACAGTCATCCATCACGATTCGGCGGAGAAATGCTGTATCGCATGATTATGTCGTGAGATGAGCGAAGTCCGACGCACCCAAACGCACTCACCGTCTGTATATGAGCCATCGTAGGCGTGGCAGGAATAGAAATAGCTCGAATCCGTGGGGTGACCCCTGTTGGCGATTCTCTCTCCTTTTCCTTGTCCGACAAATCGAAATCCCACTCAGGAAACCTCACCTTCAGATCGAGCGACAGCGGTACGGGCCGTACAAGCTCTGGGTCTAAGTCCTCACGCGTCTCGTCGACATCGACGTCGGAGGTTTTATCCGAGTCAACGTCGCTTGCATTCTCGTAGGCTAGGGTCACAGTTGTAGATCCATGGGTATTTGACCGCGGATGATCTAAGTGGTTCAGCTAATAAGGAAGAACCGTCAAGATGCGAGAGACATTGAACATACTAGGGCTCATTCCCATGAGGACCCCACCGCCAATCACGCGCCATGACACGGGGAAGTATCCTCTTTTCATGTTCTCTTCCTTCAAAGACGTGGGCTTGGGGGGCAGATCATTATTCAACAGCGGCCGTTCTACCGTCGTTTTCTTCTCTCCGATTTCTTCATGGATGCTATACAACGGTCAGTCAGATATATGGCTAACGTTACAGATTAGGTACTTACAATCCGCAGGAATCACCATTCGGACACCGGCGATCCGCTTTGTAGTATCTACAAAGTTTCGCTAAATGATGGATATTGAGTTTTGAGTCCTTACGGAATCGGTGCATCAAAACGCGTACTTTTGTATTTCAGTGATGCCGTGGCACACGTCTGAAAGCTCTGTCGGGCGGAGGCAGGATGGCTCGAATTAAATGCGTTAGGAGCAAAGCAAGGAGAAACGATCGTGGTTTGGCCGTGAGCGGGGACAATAATAGGATTCTTATAATCATGACCGTCGCGATCTTTCTCCAAAGACGCGGTCTCATCGGAAGGCGAGCTAATCGGCGAGGTCGGCAGAGCCAGAGAATAGCATTGGTCTGGGAGATGTGGGGGAGGCGGCGACCACAGCGGCGGTGCTCCGACATAGACTCCGGGAAAGGGCGGAGGAGAAGCTACGTAGCACGGGTAATGAGGTGACGACTCCTCCGCTGCTGACTGGTTTTCAAGGAGCTCTGTGAAGAGTCAGCAAGATAGTTTCAGTCCTGATAGGTAAATATTCACGTTTGTACGGGTAGCGAACATCGTTTCTTTTGATATCTGCTAGTTTGTCGCTCATAGAAGGGAGATCTAAATGGACTTCTAGCGACTAGTGCCGTCAAAGTGAAACTTGACGCGTACCAGGGTCCGCAGGGTGAACAAATCGACACCACAGCCCGCTCGAACAACTCCCCGATAGGAAGTAACGACACGCCTTGGAGCTTCGATTCACTGGTGTCGGACCGATGACGTGAGCAAAGTTGCACTCCTCAGCGGGCTTGGGACATTGTGCGATCTGAAAGAACTTGCAGGGTTTTGCTGCAAAAACGTTACTTGTAAAAACATTCGCAAGAGCGTCGAAGCTGAACACGTACTGTGTCTTTTCTTGAGTGGTGGTGGTTTTTTCACCTTCTCGGTTGTGGATGGCATCATCTTCGAATGAAGACAGATAGCGCAGTGGTAATGTAGTGGGCTGCAGGCCTGAGTAGAGGGAGAAAGGGTAAGCTTGAAGCAGACGGTTATTCTTCTCCTTAAATAATAAGGGGAAAAGGATCATCGAACCCTCCGGCGCCCAACTCTAATATCCGGCCCAACGCTTTCTGAAATATATCCTAGACAGAGATCAAATCGGGAAGGATTGTCTCAGTGAGCGGGAACAAGAGAACAATGAAAGCCTGCTATCCAGGCTGACGTGCACAGTTAATATTGACTGTACAACTCGTTTCCGCACCTCCCGTTCTGGACACAAAGTTTCCCTGCACAAGGAACCCTGGAGCATCAGCGGGAACTTATGAAGGCATCCGTAACAAAAGAAGGACGAGAAAGACAATAAAGACCCAGCAGATGGATTGGTCCCGGCTGATGGTATCCCGCACTTATTGTTACTATGCTTTAATGACGAGCACACGGCCTGTACCTGCCTTATTGTTTGCCACAAATCGGGGAGACTGCACTACAAATGGTAAGTGCCGTCTATTTTCCCCGAAGGTGAATCAAAGCGTGATATTTTCAAGCACAAGTTTCCCGTTGGTATTGGGTTGATATCTAGAAAACATATACTAAGTTAGTGATGTAAAAATGGTATGAGCATACCTCGGTAATGAGCACTGGTAGCCGACAACATGTTATTCGAGTCAGATTGACGTGGACAGGACAGGAAGGTTGACTTTATCACCACAGCTAGGCGGAGAAAAACTTTTGTTGGCATGATCGAGCCACGCGACGCCGCCCCTGTTACGACGATGTCCACTGCCAAAGATGTCGATGGGACCCCGCCGGCGCCGCCAGAACAGCTCGATTCTTCCGAAATTTTTTGGCGAGACATCCAGCCATGGCTACAAAGCCACGGGTACCAGCTGCGCCGGCGCTATCGTCCCGGATGGGTCCCAGCATGGAAGCAGCGCAAAACTTCGTTGTTCTGGTGGGAATTTGAAGACTCAATAAAGGCGCATGTACGTCTCCCGGACGGACGACTGGCACAGATGTTCACATTTTTTCGTCTAGCACCCATCAGTGATGGACGCGAAGCGCATTTCGGATGAGAAGCCAGTGATGTTCAAACGGATCCTCTTGTCGCAGCACCCTCACGAGGTTGCAGTGGCGAAATATCTCAGCTCCGTCTCCGATGCGAAGAACCACTCAGATGTTCTCCTTGATGTTCTTACGCTCCCTGAGGATGAGGACGTCAAGATTCTCGTCATGCCTTTGCTTCGGCGCTTCGACGATCCCCCCTTCGATACCATTGGTGAAGTCGTCGAATTCCTCCGCCAGATCTTCGAGGTATGGGGACTGCGTTTGCCGCATGTCATCGACTGACATTCTAAGATATTAGGGACTTCAATTTCTGCACCATCAAAACATTGCTCACCGGCATGTCCGCGCCTTTTCCTTTTCCCCTGGATCTAATTGTTCGTCTAGAGATGTGGGTGTTTTAAACATACTCATGGATGGATCGATGTTCCCAGACGGCTATCACCCTGGGTCTCAATCCAGGACACCAGACTTCAAGCATAAAGCCCGGTTCGTCTCTCGGACCAGCTCTTCACCACGATACTTCCTCATTGATTTTGGCTTGTCGATCCGGTTCATTGATTCCGAAAAACGCCTCGCCGTTCCCATTCGCGGAGCCGACAAGACTGTGCCCGAGTTCAAAGAATACCCCGGAGCTCTCTACGACCCGTTTCCAACAGATATATACTATCTGGGTAATTTTGTCAGAGAACATTTCTTCGAGGTGGACTTATGTGTTTCCATTGCAGAAGAGGAGGACTGACCATGATCCCAGGGCTCGGATTCACCGGCCAAGGCAAAGCTAGGTCTTGAGTTCATCAAACCATTAGTGGACGAAATGTGCCGCTCAAATCCACTGAAGCGGCCCTGCATTGATAACATTGTTCAGCGATTCGAGGCGATCCGACGGTCGCTACCAGGACGCAAGCTCAAGTCTCGGCTAGTCAATAAGGACGAAGACTTCATCGAGTCGGTGGAACTGAGCTTTGCGCACTGGCGCAGGCGAATTCAGCACCGCATTCACCACGATCCACCGGTCCCAATGCCGTAGTGCTCTATCTTATTTTACGCCCGCAGAAAGTGCTTCGTTATTACTACATTATGACCCATTGCTATGATTGCTGGTGGTCGATGCCTTTCAAGTTTTTATACCCACTCTTTCTACGTGTGGCATCCCTTTTCACATTTGAACTGAGATGGTGCATGATAGCATTCTAAACGGGCGTTGATTGCTCGTTTTGACATTGTTCCATTTGCCGCCTCCTTATCGATATCCCACACTTTACAAACGATGCGTAGGTTAGAGTTTATATAAGATAATACATATACTACATTCGAAACCGTCAGTCAAAAGTCCTCATTATTGAGTATCGTTAGTATTGGTATCAGCAGCCGAAAGTAGAGGTGTTCGTTCCGTTGCGGTTTCAGGGGATGTAGGCCGTGAAGATGCAACAGGTGTGCGTGATTCTTCCGTCAGAACGGCCTGCGTCGCCAGATGTGGTGGCTGAGTGACATCTGCCTTGCACACGGGACACTGATGACATGAGAAAATGGACGTCCCAAACGTAAAAATGAGCACATACGAGCTTTTTCCGCTGAATCAACCATTCATCCACCTCATCCAGATGAAATATGTGATGACAAGGCAATACCCTAACCTTGTCACCCTTCGCAAATTCAGAAAGACAGATGGCACACTCTTGCTGATTCTCGAACCATTGGTGCGTGACTTCGGGTTTCGGTGGTCGTGAGGTAGATGGTCGTTCTGTTGACGTCTCGTGCTGCTCAGCGGATTCTACAACTCCACGTTCGAGGTCTATCGTAGATTTTAGTGGTTGAGTAGGGTGCAGGCCTTCGCCGCCCTCATGTTTCTCCCACCCCGCTCCCGTCCACACTTGCCATGGCAAGTTCCGGACAATATCTTCGGGAGCACGATCGCGTTGGGCAGCTCGTGCGGCTCGAATGCGATGAATGAGAAGAGTCATGAACGTAAGAGCCGAAGGAAGCAGAAGAATAACAATAAAGGTAACAATAGGACTGAAAGGCAATGAGAAAATGCCGTCAAAGGGAGTGATACGACGTACGAATACCACTCCCAAGTGGAGTAGTCCGCGGTAATAAGCAGAGACAGCGTGCGGAGGCCAGAATGTGAAGTGTTTGAGGCTGCGATGAGAGATGAGAGTTGTACGTAGTCAGAGTGCTTGATGTAAGTGGCAGAAATCTTGACATCAGAAGCATCCTCTGCCAACAGGTCAGCCATTGTCACTTGATGAGAGTGACAGACGCACCAGGACTGTACATGTTGACGAGCGTGTCAGGAAGTCCTGAGATGTTCGGATTCTCTCCTCCGACAACAACAGCCCGCGCACCCAGCCGCTGGGCCTCTCGGACCTTGTTCACGAACTCACATTTACCTCGCTGTACAAGGGCTATCCAGGTCTCGGATGGGTCTGGCTTATGAGGCCCGTTCAAGCACAACCGAGGACATCCAGTGTTAGGGAAATGGTCAAAAGCCGAGCCGTTCGTTGAGCATGGTGTCGTAAAGGTGTTAACTGGGATTACATAGCCCAAAATCGGACCTGTAATTTCTGCCCCAAATGCAGCTGCAGAGAGTGGTGAGCACGAAAGTATCTGGATTTGAGGTGAACAGAATACCGGGTCGTGAAGAGAAGGAAATAACAGGAGACCGATCTACAACAGAGACAGTGCTTTCAGCTCCCCATGCCCAACCCCACCAGCTCTTCTCCGACCGCGATCCGAGCGAGAATATGTGCAGTGGACGGACACTGGAGACGAGAGAAAGTACAAGAATGGGGCAGAGCAATCTGCGCATGGTAGTTGGTCGTTAAGTCTGAGAACCGCCTAGATTGCTCTGGTAGTGACGGGTATTCCACGTGCTTCATCACTCGATGTCTCTCAGTCCTACGCGAATATTGCGTATCTGGGACTTTATTACTGAAACTACTTGGGTCTTTATACAACGGAAATAAGGCGCGCAACGAATGGTTTGCTGTAAAATGTCAGACCGACTACCATGCCTCTACCGTCCGTATTTGTACACTTTTGCGCGAAGATATGCGGCATACCATATCGGGAGAGTCATGGTCAAATCAAGGACACCAAAAATTTCTTTCATCTCGTTATCTACTTCTCAGAAAGGCGCGCGGATAATGCTCCATTTTATACAAAGACGATGCCTGAACAGGCCTCTTCGTCTCTATCGAACATTGTCTACCGCTTCCCGAGCTGTAGAAATTGCTCCCACGAACCATGAATTCCGTCCACCGCAGGCGCGTCAACGGACCTCACCCCCACCGCCCGTGTTCAGTCGTTCCCTGTATATCTATGACCTTCCAGCGAACTACGATGCCACACACGTAGTAAACGCCATTGGGGAAGAACCCATACATCGAATCAGCCTAGGGAAGGACCACATGTATGTGAACTTTTGGACGCCTACACAAGCCTCACGAGTTGTGAATCGTACTGGTGGGATGTTGACAGTTACAGGGAATCATGCCTCTCTCAGATTCAACAAAACTGCTCAGGACCTCCTTTTGGCTACGTCTGTTGCTCATCTGGGCGTTGCGAAGACTACGCGCGCAATCTATATCTTCGGGGAGTCCGTGAAGGCGAAGTCATTGGAGGGGTGGGAGGAACTAGTCCTTCAGTATGGGCCATTGGAGAGTATAAATTTTGGGACACAGAAGGACGGTTCCACGTTTCTTGTCGTCACATTTTTGTCTGCTGAGCACGCTCGTAAGGTATGGTCAAACGTAGATTCGATGGCACCGCCCACACTGACAAATGGTTGTATAGGCCATGTCAGCACTGAAACACGGGCATACCGTCAAGTATCGGCGTGACTTTGAAGCTGCACAGAAGCCTGATGTCAAGAGACGCGTAATGTTGTCGGGACTCAGCCCTACCCTTTCCACAACCCTCTTGACAAACCATATTCTCGATATAATAGCATCGATTGGCCATGGGGAGAAGATAGTAAAAATAACCCGTAGCGGCCCTAAAATTGGCAAAGCAGTAAGCAAAGCAGATTTTCGTCGGTTTCTATCCATTGACACTACCCTCTTAGGTCGTCGACTTTACCTTGCCTACCCAAGCGAGACTGTTTTACGAATCTTTCCAAGCTGCGAACTCTAATCCATATGGACTGACGGTAGAGCTGAATGCAATTCGACCCGTATCTTCATTTCTGTTCCAGGCCATCCATTGTGGTGCCAACAGAACAATTCGTTTATACACGGGAAAGGAAGAAATTCCCAGAGACAAATTAATGGAGGATTTTAATACGATGGGGCATACCACTCAAGTGTACTCGAGAGCGTACGCATGTTATCTTGTATCGACGTCACTGACCTGACTAAAATGATGTCTGTTCGCAGAGGGACGGCGTTCATTACTTTCTCCTCTCTCTCCGATTCGCTCAAAGTTGTCAGTGACCTTGCAGCTGGCCGACACGATCTTGAGGGCTATACGGGCTTTTCGGTTACGTTTGCCAAGAACGACCTCCAAGCGGCCCTGAAATCGGCGGTTGTTGCTGAGCCAAAGGGCATTAGAGGTGAGGAGGAGCTTGAAGGGGAAGCTGATCCTGCGGACATTATTGTTGATGTTATGGCGTCGGAACCCTCTTCGGAGCAGAGATCAGAAACGACACCCGTTTCTTCAGAGATTGGAGAGGTGACTCCTACACAGGATATCGAGTTCCCTGCAGATGTACCCACAGAGAGCCCCGCAAGGACGGAGCCAGTACCTCCTAGCTCTTCGGCTTAAAATTATGCTATTTTTCAAAAATAGTTCTGCATAATCAATGACGTCACCCCATTCATTGTGTTACTTTTCGGAATCCGCCCTCTTTCTTCCATGCCACCTGCCTACCTCTGCTGACACGTAGAGAAAGTTCTACTGACTGAGTAAAATTCAGCTGAAAAAAGCGCCAGTCACTTGTCCGTATTGCACGTGTAAAGGCCATGGATGTGAATCACACTCCGTCGCCAGAACCGCGACGACCATACGCTTTCTTTGCTCACCTGATCCTATTTTCCTCGCTGTCATTAGTTCTCTTTTACTCGGAGATATCTTCAGTCACAAACTTTCCTTCGTTTCATTATAAATATGGCATGGGCATCTTTCCCAGCAACCACGACCTGACTACCGACATGCGTGCCTTCTTCGTTTACTGTCTTGGTCTCTCTGCTTCAGTGTGGGCTCAGTCGAGCACCGTCGATGCATATGTTGCCTCAGAGTCGCCTATTGCCAAGGCGGGAGTGTTGGCCAATATTGGTCCCAGCGGTTCCAAATCTTCGGGAGCTAAAGTATACCTTGGTTCTGCTGTTTGCGATGACGCGTATTGACGCGTTGTTTTTCCTCAGGCAGGTGTTGTGATTGCGAGTCCAAGCAGTACCAACCCGGACTACTTGTATACCTGGACTAGAGATTCGTCATTGGTTTTCAAAGCCCTGATTGATCAGTGAATTTCTTTCTTTGCACGCCGGCTTCTTTTCATCAACATATATTCAGATACACACAGGGACTCGACACCACTTTGCGTACCGAAATTGATAATTTTCTCTCTGCCGAGGCGACTGTTCAGCAAGTGTCCAATCCAAGTGGGACTGTTTCGACTGGCGGCCTTGGTGAACCCAAGTTCAACATCGATCTGAGCGCATTCACGGGTGCCTGGGGAAGACCACAGCGGGGTATATGCGGTCTATTTATTCTGTCAGACCTCTTTCTGATCGTCCCCATTGACAGACGGACCTGCCCTTCGTGCCACTGCCTTGATCACATACGCTAATTGGCTCATTGCTGACGGCAATACTTCCTATGTGTCCAGTACTGTCTGGCCCGTCATCGAGCTTGACTTGGGATACATCGTCACCTATTGGAACCAAACGGGGTATAGACATATATATTATCACGCTTCTACACCGCCCTTAACGATCCGTTTAGGTTTGACTTATGGGAGGAAGTCGATTCTTCATCATTCTTCACCACTGCTGTCCAACATCGCTCGCTGCGTGAAGGCGCCACACTTGCTACTGCTTTAGGAGATACTACTCTTGCCACTCAATATACCACACAGGCAGACAATATTCTGTGTTTCTTACAGGTAACGTACTCGCGCCTCCACTACGAAGAAAGCTGACGTTGATGGATAGTCGTATTGGAACCCCACGAGCCTTTTTATGACAGCCAACACCGGCGGAGGTCGATCTGGAAAAGATGCTAACACTGCTTTGGCCTCCATTCACACGTTTGATGCCGCCGCTGGATGTGATGCAGTGACATTCCAACCGTGCTCTGATAAGGCGTTGTCGAGTTTAAAAGTGTATGTCGACGCTTTCCGGACGATCTACACCATCAATAGTGGTATTGCTTCGAACGCGGCCGTCGCTACTGGCAGATATCCGGAAGATTCGTACATGGGAGGAAACGTCAGTTTCCATACCTGTGCGCAGATTCGAATCACTCACTGTCATCATTAGCCTTGGTATCTGACAACCGCAGCGGTAGCTGAGCAACTCTATGATGCTATCATCGTTTGGAACCAGACAGGGTCCATCGAAGTGACCTCCACATCCCTGGCTTTCTTCACTCAATTCTCCTCTTCGGTCGCAATAGGCGTGTACGATTCTTCTACTACGACGTACAGCGACTTGCTGAGCGCCGTGAAAACCTTTGCTGATGGTTTCTTGGCTATCATTGCCGAATATACACCTTCGGATGGTGGGCTGTCCGAGCAATACAGCAAAAGCGATGGGTCGCCTTTGAGTGCCGCTGACTTGACGTGGAGCTACGCGGCAACACTAACAGCATTTGGAGCGAGGGCGGGTGTGAATCCTGCCTCATGGGGCGCGAGTGGGCTAACGGTGCCTTCGTCTTGTTCAACCAGCGGTAGCACGGTGAGCATTACATTCAACGAGTATGCTATTACGGTATGGGGAGGTGAGTGATACACTTCTTATCGGCTCATCTCTAACTCGTATATCGTTTCTCAGAAAATATCTACTTGACGGGCTCCATCGATGCTCTGCAGGACTGGTCTACCAGTACCGCACTTTTGTTGAACACTGATAATTACCCTACTTGGAGTAGTGAGTTTCCTGATGTTCATTTTGTGTTTTAGTGATGTTTATGGTTCTTCTCAGTCACACTGAATCTTCCGGCTTCGACTACCTTCCAGTACAAGTTCATTCGCATCTATAACGGTGTGGTAACTTGGGAATCTGACCCAAACAGAGAATACACCACTCCGGCTTCGGGATCTGATACCATTAATGACTCATGGCGTTGATGGATTGAAGCTAATTTGCACTTAATGGCCCCTTGTCGAACACTTTGTATACTACTTAGGAATTGAAAGAATTGTTTTCTGACAGCAAGATTTGGCAATCGTCGGTCCGATTCTGCCGATACCAAATGATGACGTACGACAGCTTACGGCTTCACAACGTTCAACTGTACCCTTCACGACTACTCAGTAATCTTCTCCTCAACTGAATTTCTGTTGTAAATTACAATGTCCATGTTAGACAAGTTCAAGAAGGGAGCGCAGAAGGCGGGAATGCAAGCGACGGCCTTTGTGCAAGCGAGTTCAACGAAAGTGGCCAGCGGGTCAAGGGACTTTGTGCATGGGTTCAGTCTTCCTGGAGAGGCAGAGAAAGCAGCGAAGATTCTTGACAGCTTCTTGGGTGCGTCGTACTCAATGTTTGCTGCGCCCTTATTGACTTGGTTTTGACGTAGCTGATCCCGAACGACCAGAGTCGGCGCTCAACTCGATTCCAAAGGCTGTTTTGCACCGTGCACGAGGTGCGTATCCCTGCCATCTATTTGCCAATGATTATCCCTTATATTGTATATAGGATTGGCCATCTTCCAAGTCATCAAGGCGGGCTTCGTCTTCTCAGGGAAAGCTGGCTCAGGCCTCGTCATCGCGCGCCTCCCAGATGGTTCGTGGTCCGCACCCTCATGCATCGCAACCGGAGGCTTGGGCTGGGGCCTCCAGATAGGCGCCGATATCACCGATTTCGTCATTGTTCTCAACAGCGAAGACGCCGTCCGGGCGTTCTCAATCGGCGGCAACGTGACCATCGGTGGGAATATCAGCGCTGCTGCGGGTCCCATCGGAACGGGCGGAAGTATTCAAGCATCATTGGCGCATCCGGCGCCTATGTATTCGTATTCCAAGTCGAAGGGTGTGTCGGATGATGTTTTTGTCGTGACTGTTTGCTTACAGGGCGCATAGGTCTATTCGCGGGAGTGTCACTGGAGGGAACTGTCCTTATCGAGCGTAAAGATGCTAACCGCGAATTCTATGGCTCACCGGTGCCTGCTCGGGACATTCTTGGTGGCCGCGTGCCTCCGCCCGAGGTAGCCTCCAGGCTTTACGAGATCATTGAAGCAGCGGAGGGATTAGATGAGTCGGGATTGCCAGAAGCGGCCTATGTTCCCACTGCCAATGGAGACCACATCCAGATGAACAGAGATGGAAATCAGATGGTCTTTGACGCTGACGGTCACTGAATTCATTATTCGATGGTGGTTCCACACGGATGGTGTAGAGAGAACCACCAACCTTCTTTATGGTTTCCTCATTTTCATGCCTTTACATTTCGATATCCCCGTTTTGTCCTACCATTCTCCACCTGTACAACCTGATATTACTTAATGAACTGGATATTTATCTGACAAAACAGATCGATTAAACCATTTAGATGAATAGTAAGATTACAAAGTATATACAAGATCCGTACGGTAGGCTGATCTAAAAGTACTTGTCCCAGAATCCGATGGTACCGTTTGTGTGTGCCGCATGCTGTTCAATTCCCAATAGCTTAATAATGAGGTTGTATACTTCTACATTCTGGAATGTATTCATGACATAGGTGTCATCGGAGGTGGAGTGCCAGCCCTTGTTAGGCCTGGATAAGAAACGAGCTGAAAGTGACTGGCTGTGATGCAAAGTCTTCACGACAGCAGAGAAAGGTCCATGCGCAACGAACATAGCATGCATGGATTGCTCCTTGTTGTCGTATCCGTGGTTCTGATAGAGAAATTAGCTCGTGAAGCATCGATAAGACGAACTACCTACGCCTTTGGACATGCCAACGTTACCTTCTGCCTTGGTTGTCAAAGCATACCCAATCTTGGGAACCACATATATAGGCGCAATTCTATCATTGTTAGCAAAGTGATATCGCTCTGGCATTGTCTCGTGAGTGTAGACATCGAATTTCTCTGGATTTTCGTCTGAGGCCTTGAGGAGGTGCTCGAGATAATGCGATGCATTGGCTTCAGGGTAAAACCTCAGTCCCATCGAGGGCCACCCATCTTCATGTTGAATCATGTTGAACCCTTCCTCGCCGATAATGTTGTCCATGTACACTAGTTCAGGATGACTGGTGTCCGTCATTCCATGATCGCTGACGAAGACGATGTCGACGATGTCGGTGAGATTACGTTGTTCGAGAGCAGTGTGCAGGTTCTTTGCAAATGTATCCACTTGAACAAGAGTTTTCTGCCAGGGATCAGCAAATTGTAAGACGATGGGTCGGCCTGCTTACGTTGACTGCTGCGGACATTGGTCCCGTTGCATGGCCAGCCTGGTCCAATGACGGTTCGTACCCTTGGTGTTTTGAGCACAACATAGTGAGATGAGGAAAAAAAAGTACCCATGATCAACTGAGGGCGTTCTTCAAAAGGTAGGTCTATCCAACGTAAGAGCTGTTCCAACTTTTCATCAAGAGGAACTCTATCCTGTGTATCGGTGAGTTCGGGTACGAGGTAATGATAGCGACGCACTCACCCTCCATGGAATAAAGTAGGTAGGAACTGCCCCAGAACTCGTCTTCGGCGGGCCCGGCCTAACGTCGTTCAATGCGAAATTATAATCCAGACCCGTAGTCCTTACCACATCAAGTTCGCAGTAATGATCCCCGCCTTTCCAGCAGTCTCCCACATCTATAGCGCAGTTTAAGGCAGTTTTATTATCTAAAGAGACTAGCAAGCTTACTGGTTCACCGAACCACCAATCTGGTTTCCAAGCCGATGCTTCCAGGTTGTAATGGAACTCTTCATTACTTGCGGGGTCCCAGAAATTCTACGCCATAATCAGTTACGAGCAAGATGTCGCCAATAAGAACCGTACATTAGCTACAATGCCGTGGGATTCAGCGTATAGGCCCGTCCTAGGACGTGGTTCAAAGAAAGCATGACCCTGCATTCGGGGATACATACATCAAAGCCCAATGATTGCTGAAGACGGGGTCAGATATGGCGCGCAGAGGAATGGTTCATAACTCACGGGAACGTCAAGGTCTATTTCGGGTTTAAGCCAGCATTAGAAGGAGGGTATTTATGAAAAGAATAGAACGTTACAGGGAAAATCGGCCTCATAGACTTGGCTCGCAATCCCTGCTTGCTGATACCAAGGAGATGAGGTGTCAGCCCCCGGTCGAGATAGTCCGCCCTAATTCATGCTTGTGAGTGCCAAATGAGTTTGGTCTTTTGTAAACGCACCGCAAACCGTCTATAGATATAATGAGCACAGTCCTCTTGAAATCATGCGTCCCGTTCGACCGCACTTCGTCACCATGGAAATATAGATTGGGGTGAGAATAAGGTCCCCTTGAGCAGACCAGCGACCGCGCAAATGTTCCGCAGATGAGCAGCAATATGAATGACGCGGCAACACCGACAATCCTATTTCTTGGCCACGCTGGATGCAACGAGCCTGAGCCTTTCTCGTATTGAGATTGAGATACCTGAGATCCAGATAATAGGCCCTCTCGCTCCTCGTCCATGTCTAGGTGCGACTTGGATATACTGTCGGAGACTGGCATACTGCCTGTAATGGTGGTGGTAGAAGCTTGTGGTAGATGGAAAGGGGAAACCCAAAATAGAAGATTGCAGCAGTCCGGAGATTGCCGCACCTTGCGCCAACGCTGTTGATGAAGTCTGTCGAGTCCAGACTCAACGATCCATATGAAGGTAAGTCGTCCAATGGATGTAGAAAGTCTGTCCTCGACATAAGATTTTTTATTACTTCATATGCGATGCTGGAAATGAACACGACACGTTAAGGAAGGTGAAGTACTGGTGTGTTGCAATTGTAATGATGTAAATCACGTCTTCTATTAAATAATATATCTTTGTTCTACTCAAGGGTGTACGTGTCGCCGTTATGAACCAAACTCTACTACGTATGCGCAATCCCATAAATACATGTAAAATAAGTAAACAGTCTATATGCAAAAGATAGAAGGAAGTCATTAACAGGCCTCATTACGAGGCCTTAGAGCAGTACGAAACCACTCTCATTAAGCTTACCGACCCCATGGATTTTAACCGTGTTGCACTGGCTGCATACGTGGACTATATGGCCCACGCTGTGGATCATACACCTGGGCCTGGGCAGGTCTCTGAGGTTCATGGTGGTGATATGGTTCTGACGAAGCGTAGTTGGACTGTAGCGGCAAACTATATCGTGGAGGGTTTGCCGTATTAAGCTGCATATTCATGGGAGCTGTCGTCGATGATATTGGAACTTGTACCATTGAAGGTCTGACCGCCCGTAGTGTCATTTCCATTCAAGCGAACAGCGACGAAGTCGGAATGTGCTGTGATCCATTAGAATTTATCGGTAAAGAGAAAATTGCTAAATATACCTTCAGATGGATCGGTCGTGGACAAGAATTGAAGGTAAGGATTTCCGCGATTGCTGGTGTCATTACCACCCGCTATGAAGTCACCGTAGTTGAAGATGGCGTAAACATTGCGGACTGAGATACTGAAGTCAGTGTGTATCATGAACATAATTAGCGTATTACTCACGGAACGACATTCCAAGAATCATATCGAACGTTTGTTGACCCGAAGTTGAAAAACTGATAGGTTGAAACTGTGGTATGTGACGTCAAGGACGAGAAAGTGCTTGGGAGCTACGTGTACGCACCGAGCCTATGCATGACGATTGACCTTCCGAGTTCACCACACCGGTCAATCCCAATGGAGATGGATCCCTAGAAACCTTGTTAGACATACAGTGACGGAGAGAACAAGAGGCCCTACATTGTAGCGTCAAGGGGATGTATATGATAGCTATTACCACTAAACTTGAATGTAATGTTAACTTCTTCATTGCAAGGTACAATCCATGCTTCGCCAAGGCCTGTTATATTATGGTACTCTGCGCCAGAGAAGCGACTGTATATCGCATCTGCAATAGATCTAATCCAAGCGGTAAACTCATTGGGCATTCCCCTCAGGCTGACCATATTCACGTACTTGGGTACCTGGCTCAGAGAAAAACCAGAGTCTACAACGACGGTAGCCTGCTTTGAATTCGATGTCTGTTGCACCTCAGTGATGATAGATATTGGCAGCCCGTCTGGCCCTAATACGCCGTCCTGGTCTAATAAGACCTGGAAATGCTGATTTCTGGAGTCGCGGACAGGGACCATGGTAACCTTTAGCTTCGGTTCGCTCTCGACATTACTATAGCTATCTAAAAGCTCTCCGATTGATATGTCACCGGGAAAGACATCGGTTGGATCTACACGAACATGAGCTGCGGATCACTGAATGGAATAGTCAATGACGAACCTTCGGCGCGTCCCAGAAGGATCGTCATATAGTTGGGAGTTGAGGTGTTTTGTAGAAATATACGGTCCAGCACCGCATATCCAACGGAGGTATTCAGTGTAGCGTAGATGTTGGACCCGGACGTAGGGCCAAGACCTATCAGTCCTGATCCTTTCTTGCGGTCGCTATCTGGTGTGACTTCCACTATATTTCTGGGTAAGATGTAGTGACGAAGAATTGCAGAAATACAACGTACAGAACGCTTGATCCTGCACAGTGTATCCGGCGAATTGAAGAGTTGAAGTTTTTATAGGACCTATAGTAGTGAGAACGAAGACTAGAATGCTGAACAGGTGAGACTGACCTTTCACCGCACCTACTGCGTATCTGACCCCAGAAGTCGCTCCAGTGTCAATACTATCCGTAACGCTGCCTGCGGCCCACAAGTCCGAGCTAAGACAACCATAAGTACGAAGAAAATGACCGAAAGGAGTAGAAACCTACCTGCCAGTATCGATAAGCACTGTAAAGACCTCCCCACCAAGCATCAAATTCGCATAATAGCTAATATCTGCATTATTGCTTAAGGCAGTGGTCCCATTGATATTTCCCCGTGGTAGGAGTTCATGTCGAGTTTGAACATTACGTTGGCCTTGAATCTTTAGTCGCATTCCAGAGGATTGATCGACAAGGTATAGCAAGGCCAAAAATGCCGTAGTCACCATGGTGGTAGAGATGTGAGAATAGTCAACTGGTGTTCCCCCCGAGTATTATTTCGAACTAAAGGAAAATGAATGGCAGTGGGACGAGACATGCCGCAGTATGAAACCCGGCATAGCCTGACGGAGCCAAGACATGGGCTTTCTGGTCCGATCTTTGTCAGTGCCCCCTGTACGCGCAAGAGCTCTGAGATGTCGAGCTTTACATGGAACTGACAGTCTGTCACTGTTTGAGCTCTCGTACGGATTTACTTACGCGTTCGTTCATTTCTGAGCAGATTCGTAGTATATAGGCCTGTATACTCCATTGTTTTCATTGTTAGCCCCCATGTCCCGTTTTCCAAAGATGCAAAACATTTTTGCTACTCACTTTGGTTGAGTCGAACCGTCACAGGAGTACTTACTTTTGAATGACGACGCCTACGATAGAAAATTCGACGTTGAGTTATTTCTGCACTATCCCACGTGGATATGGGTGGCAGTACCAACAAAGCTCAGAGCTGCAGTTGTGGTCTCAACTGCGATGTCTTGGGAGGTCAGTGCTAAGCGATGAAGTGGTGAGATTCGGAAAAGAAATCTGGGATAAAGAGGCGCAATTTCGAGGGTATAGGAGAACATCTTTTTGAAGAAATGCGATCATACATAATACAGTGGTCCACAAGTTCACAATGCCTTGTACCCTGCGTTCCCGAAGTGTCCAGTGTGTGGGTCATACGGAACGGAGACATCGACAGTACTCGAATCCCTCATCCCTTGGTCCTGCAATGGAAGATAGGACGTCGATGCCGCCTTGTTCTTCCTGAACCAGAGCCCTTTCTTAGCCGTGTTGGCTGTTTTGACACCCTTGCGACGACAACAGCATCTCCAGATGATCAAACCGATGATAATAAGGATGAAGGCAAGGCAACCGGCCAGGATATATGGCCACCGACTGAGGATCATCTCCTCATATAACTTCTTCTTCTCCTCGGCTGAGACAGGCGAATGCTGCATGTCAGCGGTGGAGACCAGGTCCCATTTGGTATCGCTTGTGGTGTCGCTACCTCCTAACCGGACATTGACAAAGTCTGTATGAGCATCCTCTACATTTGTGATGGAGAGAAGTTGAAGATACGGATCATTTGCGTTGTCATCGACCCAGTTTCCATAATTCATAAGCGTGTATGTATTTCTTGAATAACCATCAGCTCCTTGCAGCCATGAGCAGCATATGTAACATACCTCACTGTGGTGACATTAGAACTGATATTCATGCATGATTTGATAGTATTGGCCACTCACGAAAGTTCATACCCATGATCATATCATAGTTTCCGAGAATACTAAAGGCGGTGGTGATGGGTTGGAAAGCACCAATGCAGACCCTGCTGCCGTTGGCATTCTTGATGTCAAAGTTGTCATCGACTGTATCTAGTGGGTGAACAGGGTAGTTTTGGCCTCCGAAGTTGAACGAAACATTTAACAGTTGGCCGCAAGGTATTGTCCACCACTCATTGTCAGAATCATATGAGGCACCCTGAACTCTACCATAGATAGCATCAGACATGGCGCGGGGCACTTGTGTGAACGTAAAGCCGGAATCGAAGACGGCTACTAGCTGGCCATCGGGGGCTTTTGGTACAATAGAATCGGTTTGTATGACTTCGCCATCAGGACCGATGACGCCGTTGTTCTTGTCCGTTAACGCTTGCCAATGTTGTTCTGCGAAACAGTCAGTAAACACCCAAATTGGGAGCACAAGGTGCCGAACCAGACTCAAGGAGCTTGTGAACATCCTCGACATCAATCTCCGGCATACTGGTAATGTTTTCGTAGCCTTCGACATACTCAGATATTGTCAATTGGCCAGTGATGCTGCTCCCGGGATCGCCACTACGATCAAGGAGGAAGGAAATGAATTTGGAGGAATTAGACACTTGAGAGAAGATGTTGGTCAATACTGAGTCGCCGGAATCACTGTTGAGTTTATCAAGAACTCGGCTGCCTTCGTTGGGACCGAGGCCCATGAGACCATCGTACCCTTGGCTGTGGATGTCGGTGGAGAATGAGCTTGTGTCGGTGACAAGCACTAGTCAGATGTGAGCGTTCAAGTCGCAATGAAGAAAATTCGGACACACGGAATGCCTGAGAAGTGATAGAATAGCCATAAAATTCTACAGATGCAGTATGGATATCGCCTAGATGCTGTTAGTCTAGTACGATCTAACTCAACCCGCAAATACGCACCTGAAGCTGATCCTATAGCATACGAAAGCGTCAAAGACTTTCCCGTGTCTGTCGTTGTAGGTGTTGTATCGGGAAAATTAACCCAAAGGTCGGAACTAGGCAAAGGTTAACAAGGGCCGAGGTAACCTACATTGATATCACCTTCCAGTGTCCAGTAATACAGAAACTTCTTGACCGGCAATCGTTATATTAGAATAATATTCTGCATTTCCGTAATTCGACACGGGTATCGTTGTATTCGCTCGACGGCCGACAGATCTTGGTTGCCTCGTTGTCCGTACATGTAGTGGTAGTTTCACCGCATATGCCACGACATCGAAGATGGTGAGGATTAAAGATAGTGGTATTAGGGATTGCATGTAAAGGATAGTGAGCTCAGTGGATTGGAAGGGATGGAAGGGAGGATAAAAAAGGTGTGATGGTCGTAGCAGAAGGACTGGCAAATTCGCACAGGTTTGATCGACGTCGCATGGCCGCGCCCCTCCTATTTCTCAGTAAGAAAACCTTTCATTCCAAAAGACTGTAGACTGACTAGCAAGCACCACATTATATACAATGGAATTGTGTCTGATTTTTCCTCAGAATCTATAGTTTTCCTCGTCATTGAAGAAACTGCATCTATATCTTGGGGACGCCGAGCACAGCCTGTGCGGCTGAGTATGAGGAAACTGAATAAACCAGGGCAATGCGTAAGTAGAGATCATTCAGCGGCTGTAAAAGAACAGAATTGTCCAGCTAGGCCATGCCAAGACTGCTGGCTTTTTAAATAAGTACTCTCAGCAAGTCCAAAGGTCACTGTTCACGAATCACCGGTAAACGCTCTACGAAGTGTATCAACAATCATTGTGGCTTTTCTTTTCTGTACGAGAGGAACAGAAAGAAATTTTTGTACAAGTTCGAGGCGTGCACCAGACTCGGAAGCGGTAGAGATCTAAGTATTATGAAGATTACAAGACACAACAAATCAAAAGGTCGGATAAGAGCTTGGAGGATACTCGCTGGTAGAAGTCTTATTTTCTGAGCAGTCGAGAACGTCAGTGACTGTCAATCTGATTGCTTGTTAACTTGAAAGTCAACGAAAGTCAATGATCGACCCTGCTTTAACCACGTGATCGTGACATCACTATTTGCACAGCCACTTTGAAGACGACCTCCCCTCATGGCTCCCAGCGTTCTATACCACTGTCATTGCCTATCAAGTCCATCAGGACCGCCGCCACCACCTCATCTCGCCTCATCGTCGCACAGCTTCCACTCACTCCATTCTTTGTTCTTTTGTGAAGAATGCGACGCTGTCCGTTGCAATCGTTGTGTTTCCGTCGAAGTCAGCGGATACTTCTGCCCCAATTGTCTCTTTGAAGTCCCAAGTGCTAGTGTTCGTGCGGAGAAGAATAGGTGCGTGTCCAAGCTCGATTGCCGAAAGTGAAATTATAACAAAGACCTATTCAGATGCGCTAGGAATTGCTTCATGTGCCCAAATTGCCGCAACACGCTTTCTGTTGTATCATCAGATCCTCCGGATCCAGGTGATGGGAGACTCTCAATAACAATGAGCACTGTCGGTGAACCGCCGTTCTTTTTGTTCTGCAATCACTGTAGGTGGGACTCTGCAGAAGTGGGAATAACGTTCGAGAAGCCAACGGGTCTCGCTGGTACGTCATCTTGTATTCTTCCATCCCTCACGCTAACTATCACTCTCAGCCCAGTTACAAAAATTTGAAGATTCAACACCCGAATCCTTAGAATTCGACAAGCTGAAAGAGCATTTTGAACCAGTCATACGCGCATCTTCTCTTTCTGGTGTTAATTCTTCTGCTGTCCCAAGTAGCGCCGCGCACTCACATCATCTTCACTCTAACTCAATAACAGCCGCTGCTTCAGCCGCGCTTGCGCGTGACATTCCTGGGGTATCCAAGTACACCCCTCATATGCGTTCAGGGAGGGGGGCTTCAAAGGATAAGACGTCAAATAAGGACGAGATGCCCGAGTATAAGAGCAGGATGGATATTGAGAGTGCGAGCCATTATGGCTCTGGCGGTGGCGAGGTCGATGTAGACTTTATGAAACATCTGGAGAACATATCCGAAGTGGCTAGTGTGGAGCAGCGGTGGACGTATAGTTGGACGACGTCTTTGCAGTCATCGTAAGTGCGTATCGCGGCCTGTGTACACGCATTCTAACTCGTAACTATAGGGATTTGAGGCCTCTGCGAATACCGTTACATTCTAAGCGCTCTAAACGATGCCCTGTGTGCACACATATCCTCATCAAGCCTGAACAGAAGGCGCAGTCTGTGCGGTACAAGATCAAGCTTGTAGCTTCTAGTTACCTGCCCGCTATCACGGTAGCCCTTCCGCATCAACAGAAAACGCCTCAGGACGTAGCGCGGCGAATGATGAACAGATCTACAACACCTGCTGCAATAGAGGATGACGGCGCCGCGGCTGCCATGCATGCAGGAAAGACTTACCCCTTCCATCTGGCATTAGCGAACCCGCTCTATGATCCTATCCAAGTCCGACTTTCGGTTCAAAGGGTGCACGTTGCAGCGGGTGATGGAGAGAAGGCTCGTCGACCGCCATTTTCTATTTCGTTACCGACATCGGTGTTTCCTATTGCTGCGTTTGCAGAAGCTTGGGAGTACGAGGACGATGACGAGGATATGGACATGTTTGGGCTGGACGACGATGAAATAGGGCTTCGTCCAGCGAGGGAGAAGGAAGGCAGAGGGAAGGCGAAGACCATTGGCGTTATAGAGAAGCGGGCAAATGTCACTGTTGTTGGTGGCGAGGTGGTCCTCGGAAAAGAAGCACGAGGCAATGTCAAGGTCAGTCAAAGAACTGTCTAGGACCCTTTTCTGTTTATGACTTTCCAGTTTAACATGCTCGTCACGTACACGTACCGCTCGGACGATCCAACGCCGTCGGAAGGAAACGATGGACTTGACGTCTCTCCGTCTAAAGGGTCCAAACAGCCTCAGGCCGAAACAAAAACATTCACCTTCTATACAGTAGTGGATCTTGGGTCAGTCATACCTAGGGAAGAGCCCAAGGATGATACCGATTTTTAGCAGTTACTGTATTTCCGCCCGTTTACAGGCATTTACATAAAACCTCGCAAAGGCAAGAAGTTCTCACATTGACATGACGACCTTGGCCATCAGCTGCGGGGATGAATTCTTCCTTCTTTCTTCCATTTCTTCATTCATTATCGCTGTCATTCTTTAACTCTTTACTTCACTACTGCCCCCAAGTCTTGCCAGGTGCAGGACTTTCTTCATCTTTTCATTTCTTCACAAAAGCCACGGCCGAAGATGGCGTCGACGTCGTCCAGCATTTCTACCCTTGAACAACAGCCAGAGGCAGGACCCTTACCTGTGAAGCGAGGAGAAATTGGGTTTTCAGAGGAACTCCATGGGCAGAGTGAGCAGACGCGAGCGACAACACCCATTCCGACTCTTCCAATACGACATCCCGCTGATAGAGATGCTGCTCCTGACATAGGCGCAAATCCAACCCCTTCCTCACCTTCATCCGGCAATCCTTCCTACGATCCTTCCTGGTCCAGCAAACCTTTTATGTCCTTTTGGAAAAGCAATACGACGCTCGGCGGAGTGCAGCTGGCCACCCTATTGGCATTCTTGGTGCAGTTATTCCTCCTGGTTGGAACCATATCAGCATGGATCGCTGCGGCACAATACCTGTCGCGAGCGGCAGCGGGAGGTCCGATGGCCAGCAGCTCTGTCATTTTCGTTCATGTCATATTCGCAGTAGGCATCCTGGGCCAGCTCCTATTCCTCGAGCGTCGGATATACCGCCTGCGCGCCGAGAGATACGCATTCCTGCGCTCAGATGAGATTCTTCCTACCTATCACAGACAGGCATCCGTTAATACGACCATGTCATATGCGCCTTGGCATCGGCCACCACTACCAACATACGCTGCTGCCCTCGCTCAGAGTGGGGTCGGTACGGGCGACGTCGAGGATCATATAATAGCGGCACCTCCTCCCCCAGCATATGGAAACACGCGCGGAAGCACGCTTTTGCTGAGAGGGTTCCTTAGAGAGAGCTTGAGGGCACAAAGGCCGATGTCTGTCCATTCTCACGTTCGCCCGAGTAGCAGGCCTTTGAGCTATACTAGCCAAGATGAGCAGTGGGAAGCAATTCAGGATGCGGAGAGAGCGAGAAAGCTGGAAGAAACGCTGGCCAGGTTGGAACGACCTGTGAGTGCACGTTGAAGGTACGCTCTATTTCTATCGCATGTTTCGGACCCGATACTAACCAGGTTGCCCTTCATTATTGCCACAATTGATGAAGGCGTACCTTACCCCGGAACAACAGATGACACTCATGTTTTGCACAGACAGAGCTGTAACTTGTTAGAAGGATATTGACCATCTTTCGTGCTTGTATCTTGGGAAATCTATTCACAGCATTTATGTGTATCAATCGGCGAAACAATACAAAGTGCCCCGTTAAACAAGGATCTCCTTGATACGGTTTGATTCCGTCAAATGCTACCCTGATCGAAGCAGCGCAGCCCTCATCGAGTCATTCTGTCATTTGCTGACTAACTTCCTGGTGATCTGCCCGGCATTTGCAATGCAGTTCGTGAGTCACATCTAACTTTTGCGGTCCTCCAGAGTCTTTGAAAGGTTGTTGCTGACATATAATGGAGCCGTCTTTCAAATATAAAGAGGGTCTGTGTCGGGTCACGGTAACTGCTTTACTTCCTCCCCCTTCTCATCCTTCCCACATGTCGACAGATATCTATAGCCTACCAGGTCCCTCAACAATCTCTCTCCCGCCCTACTCCAAAACTGCCCCGCCGCCGCATTATTCCTGCGAGCCTATACCAGGCGAGCGACGGGTTGAACATACACCTCGCTCGGGACCCCGTATCCCGAATGGGACTTTCATTAAAAAACGAGGCAGCTTAACTGTCGTTCTGACGGAACAACAGGATGACAACCCCTCCCCGGCTTACGGTCGCGAAGCCGCTATACATGGCGCCTTGCTCCTCGAGAAGGTCGACATGATTCTGAGTGTAGATATCAAAGTACGCGTGCCCGCGTTTTTATATTTGAACCCTTTGACTTATCTTCCATTGCAGATTGAAGGTCGGCTAGACATGATGTCTTCGGAATGTGGCGCAAGGTCACTTGTGACTGTTGACGACACGCAGACCCTGTGGACATACGACCGAACGAAGAACGAGCCATGTCCCAGCTCACTATCCTTTTCTCGGACCCTCCCATCAATGTTCAAGGATAGCGACAAATCATATCCTCTGCCGCCGACTTACAAGGCTTCTTTTCCTGGCACACCAGGGCTACATGTTATTTCTGTGTATACGCTAGTCGTCCGAGTCACTTCTATCCGCCATCCTAAATTTGGCTTTTTCGCCAAGACAAAAACGTACGTCGCCATTGCCTGGACTGCATGTCAAGCCCTCTAACCCAATCAATCCAGTCTCCGCATTCCGATAACCTATGCCCCACGAACACGGCCAAATCGTCCAACTCTATCGATACCTCTCTTCCACAGCGTGAAGTCTTCTCCTGAAGAGTGGATGCAGTCACTCACAACGATGAAAACTAAAAGCCGAGTGGCCATGGCACCAATAGAATCTAACGTAAGTTCATGTCGTAACATGTACTAGTACCGTTGACTAACCTTCTCACCACAGTTATTTATACCGTCTGTGCAGATTTTCTCCTTCTCCGACATCATTCCCTTCCATGTCCAACTCAGCGGCCCTCTATCTTCCCTGCGCCAACTCTTCCCCCATGTCCCATCCTTGTCTTCCTCACATCAACAATCATCTGTAACTGTCACCATCCTCCGTCAAATCGCTGTTACGATCCGAGGTACGCGAGCTTGGAGGAATGCGACCATCGGGGAAGGAAAGATACGCCCAGTGCCACCGGCTTCACAGCCACAGGCTGGCAACTCCCAAGTGGAGAGTCTAGATTGGGAGGGTGAAGTGCAGTGTTTACCAAGCGTCAATGTCGGTGGGTTCTCTACCGCGGGCGCCGCAGTGAAAGTGGGTTTACCTGATGGTCTTTTTTTTTTCTATTGATGGGATCTTTACATCTTGTTTAGGATTTCATTGTCTTGTCGCTGACTCCGCCTACGAACTCGCCTTTCCTTCCTACAATCAACTCTATTCCTATACGCTTGGTGACAGATAGTTGGATTGATACTCATGATCGAACATATTCGTGACTCGGAAGTTTGGACAATTCACTTATGACTTGCGACGATGTGGAGTTTCGAAAGTATAATGGTAATTTCACAGTCAGTAATGTTGTTGTATCTAATAGTAGCCGCATGTGTAGAAGAAGGTACATTATGGTCATGTGTTTAGACGATGTCCCACATTTAGGAGAAAGAGATTCGAAGTGCTAGAGGCTTCTGTATCGAGAGACGCTGGAGATTGAGCAAGTCCACTCGTGGAGCACGACTCAAGTTGCAGAGAATATGTAGCGTACATCACCTCCAACACTGGTTGCCAAGTAATCGCTGATAGAGCACCTGCACCGAAAGAAAGCCAGTGCAGGGCCGGACATAGTTGGATATAGCAGGCTGAGGTCTAAAGATATACACATGATTATACAGTAATGTTGTGCATAGGCAGAAGAGAGCTAATCGACCGAAATAGTGCCGTCGATAAGATATATAACGCCATTCCCAGCCTAAGAAAGAATGAATATCAGATAAAGCCAGGATCGACAAGACGCACCTCTTTGATATCCTTGACATGGATGTCACCGTTGATGACTATCTGGCCGTCACCCTTGACCTCGAATTCCACCGACTTCCCGTCGAGCAAAGTCTTATAAGTCGCCGACGTATGCAGGTCCAGCGGGTATTTCTGACAAGGTCTTCAATAACAACCCAAGTCACAAAAGAACGGTCATGTATACCGGTATGATATGTGCAGATACCCATCTCTTGACGTTCGACTTCGACTCCTTGTCAAATTGTTCGTCCGTGATCACAATGCCATCATCAATGGGCACCGGTCCTTGGTGTCTGCTGACAACATCGGCTTTGACCGCAATTAAGGTAGCCTGGTACGCACGGTTTCTTCGCTAGAGCCATCACCGCCTTATTCGTCGGTACCAGCACCGTCAATCGGGAATCCTCAGCATCGAGCATCTTACTCAGTTCCAGTTCACGAGCGTAAGAGTAGAATATCGACACAGTAGATTCAATTGTCAGGAGGTCGCTGAGGAGTGGCTTGGTCGTCGTAAAGGGCTTGTAGTCCGAGTTCATGGGAACTTGCTCCCCAAGGGCGGACATGAAGGGTAGAGCAAAGAGGGAGAGAATGGACAAACGCATGGTTGTAGTGATGTGTGATGGTGGTTAGGAAGAGTATTCGCTCTGAGGTTATCTATTTGGCTGCAGCCCCTTCGGCACAATGACAAATATTTCACATGTTATATTTTCTTTCATTTGTTACATATGGGACGCAAGCAGTACATATTAAATCAGTACATAGAAACTTCAACGCCATGAGTCATTAATGGTATCAGATCCCGAAGCCGGAGTGGTGTATTCTCTGTTTGGGTCAGATTCCCAAGTTACCACACCGTTATAGATGCGAATGAACTTGTACTGGAAGGTAGTCGAAGCCGGAAGATTCAGTGTGACTGAGAAGAACCATAAACATCACTAAAACACAAAATGAACATCAGGAAACTCACTACTCCAAGTAGGGTAATTATCAGTGTTCAACAAAAGTGCGGTACTGGTAGACCAGTCCTGCAGAGCATCGATGGAGCCCGTCAAGTAGATATTTTCTGAGAAACGATATACGAGTTAGAGATGAGCCGATAAGAAGTGTATCACTCACCTCCCCATACCGTAATAGCATACTCGTTGAATGTAATGCTCACCGTGCTACCGCTGGTTGAACAAGACGAAGGCACCGTTAGCCCACTCGCGCCCCATGAGGCAGGATTCACACCTGCCCTCGCTCCAAATGCTGTTAGTGTTGCCGCGTAGCTCCACGTCAAGTCAGCGGCACTCAAAGGCGACCCATCGCTTTTGCTGTATTGCTCGGACAGCCCACCATCCGAAGGTGTATATTCGGCAATGATAGCCAAGAAACCATCAGCAAAGGTTTTCACGGCGCTCAGCAAGTCGCTGTACGTCGTAGTAGAAGAATCGTACACGCCTATTGCGACCGAAGAGGAGAATTGAGTGAAGAAAGCCAGGGATGTGGAGGTCACTTCGATGGACCCTGTCTGGTTCCAAACGATGATAGCATCATAGAGTTGCTCAGCTACCGCTGCGGTTGTCAGATACCAAGGCTAATGATGACAGTGAGTGATTCGAATCTGCGCACAGGTATGGAAACTGACGTTTCCTCCCATGTACGAATCTTCCGGATATCTGCCAGTAGCGACTGCCGCGTTCGAAGCAATACCACTATTGATGGTGTAGATCGTCCGGAAAGCGTCGACATACACTTTTAAACTCGACAATGCCTTATCAGAGCACGGTTGGAATGTCACTGCATCACATCCAGCGGCGGCATCAAACGTGTGAATGGAGGCCAAAGCAGTGTTAGCATCTTTTCCAGATCGACCTCCGCCGGTGTTGGCTGTCATAAAAAGGCTCGTGGGGTTCCAATACGACTATCCATCAAGGTTAGCTTTCTTCGTAGTGGAGGCGCGAGTCCGTTACCTGTAAGAAACACAGAATATTGTCTGCCTGTGTGGTATATTGAGTGGCAAGAGTAGTATCTCCTAAAGCAGTAGCAAGTGTGGCGCCTTCACGTAGCGAGCGATGTTGGACAGCAGTGGTGAAGAATGATGAAGAATCGACTTCCTCCCATAAGTCAAACCTAAACGGATCGTTAAGGGCGGTGTAGAAGCGTGATAATATATATGTCTATACCCCGTTTGGTTCCAATAGGTGACGATGTATCCCAAGTCAAGCTCGATGACGGGCCAGACAGTACTGGACACATAGGAAGTATTGCCGTCAGCAATGAGCCAATTAGCGTATGTGATCAAGGCAGTGGCGCGAAGGGCAGGTCCGTCTGTCAATGGGGACGATCAGAAAGAGGTCTGACAGAATAAATGGAGCGCATATACCCCGCTGTGGTCTTCCCCAGGCACCCGTGAATGCGCTCAGATCGATGTTGAACTTGGGTTCACCAAGGCCGCCAGTCGAGACAGTCCCACTTGGATTGGACACTTGCTGAACAGTCGCCTCGGCAGAGAGAAAATTATCAATTTCGGTACGCAAAGTGGTGTCGAGTCCCTGTGTGTATCTGAATATATGTTGATGAAAAGAAGCCGGCGTGCAAAGAAAGAAATTCACTGATCAATCAGGGCTTTGAAAACCAATGACGAATCTCTAGTCCAGGTATACAAGTAGTCCGGGTTGGTACTGCTTGGACTCGCAATCACAACACCTGCCTGAGGAAAAACAACGCGTCAATACGCGTCATCGCAAGCAGCAGACGTAGGGTATACTTTAGCTCCCGAAGATTTGGAACCGCTGGGACCAATATTGGCCAACACTCCCGCCTTGGCAATAGGCGACTCTGAGGCAACATATGCATCGACGGTGCTCGACTGAGCCCACACTGAAGCAGAGAGACCAAGACAGTAAACGAAGAGGGCACGCATGTCGGTTGTTGTAGCAAACGTACTAAGGTGGTCTTTATAACCACACCTAGACGACTTATCGATCAAATAAATCTCAGAATAATACGACAAATCGATGGGCAAGAAAAAAAACAAGATCAGGTGAACGAGGAAAGCTTATGGTCCTCTAAGCGCTGAAGATGGCATCATAGCAGGCACAGGCATTACATGTGGAGGGCGGACAAGTGACCGGTCTATTTCCAGGTAAAATTTGCCCGGTCCATTAGACTTTGCCAGCATATCGCTGCCAGTAGAAGTCGGCACTCGCAGCTGGTGGCATCGAAAGAAGGAGGACACTGGCGGAGTTTGAAAGGTAGCTCACCCCACGAGGTGACGTCATGCTACCATGATATTGGTTCAACAGAAATTTGACAGAAACTGGTATTTTTTTTAGTAGTAGAATTTCGCCTGCAAGTAAAACTGTTTCAACATGCCAGTAGATGTAGAAAGATGAAATAAAAGGAAGAAGATCGTAGCGGTTGACAGGAATTGGCGAGCCCTGGTCACACACCTGGGACCCGGGCAAGTTTGGCACCGAGGCTGCTGATTCCTGAATTATATCGAATCGATAATTCTCGTCCCAGTTGTGAAGACTGGAGTATTTTCTGACCATCCGCTTCTCATTTAGGCGGCTGGATATTTAAAATCCGCATGGTTCTTTCTCATGTATCATTATTAGTGATTACCCAAACCGTCAATACTTCACGAGTTTATTGTCACTTCTGCTGGACCTGGTTTGTTGGCAAAGGGACTGAGATATCATATCAACGATGAGTTATATTTTAGACAATGGTTCACTCACTTACATTCAGTTCCTGCCCATGTGATGCGGCAACTGTAGCCCTGACAATTTTCTAGGTCTTCGCCGCTGGGTCGGAGAGTATAATGATAAATTTCTAGGCCTGAAGACGAAGTAGACTATAGAACGTGGTGGAAAGAAGAAGAGGGAGATTCGGAGAACTCGGAGCACAGATAACCTTCAAGAAACCACGACCTCATGGGAGCCCCAGTCGCCACACCACACGCTCGCAAAACTCACGGCCATCACCAGCAGATACCACACCTTTAGCCCAGATAAAGGGCAAATAAATATTTCATATGTCCGTTACTACACACGGCACGTCGACACACACGACAAAACCAAATTATCGAACGAAGGGGCCGGATAGAAGAGGGAAGAAGGCAGTGCCTCCACCGCGTCTTAGATAGTGTACTTGTTGTGGTTAATCAAACGCAGGGAAAAAATCAACTTTCTAAACCTGCCCACCTCTCCGCTTTTGTTTCAACAACCATAAGTAGAGGTGCGCCTTGATGAAAGCTGCGGTGCCCAACGAATTTGAGCCTACAAATGAGGCGAAAAATCAGCTCTCAAAGAGATACACGTGAGCGCTCGTACCGAGAGACAGCCGTGCTCACTGAACAAGGCTCATCGAGCTATCTCAGCTAAGAAATGGAAGCCGCCTTGAGCTCCGCAAACTCGACGGTTACGAAATTAGTAAGATAGAGAAGCCGTTTTCGTGAAGCCACAGAGACTTGTCTCGTCATCTTCGTCGCTACTCCAAGCCACATTAATATACCGAGGACGGAGAAGATGAAGTATACCGGATCACTGTCAAGCCATAAATTGTCATGTTCTCACATTCATTGCGCAGGTTCCTCATCATGCATCATGACAATCATCTGGATCTTATGCCGCTGAGTGAGAAAGTAGAATGATAACTTTCTAAGCCAGCCCACCTCGCCGCTTTTGTTACAGCAACCATGAGGTGCGTTTTGATATACACTGTCACGCAAATATCGCACATCCTGTAGCGAAATGTGATCATTTACAGACCTGTTGTCGGTTTCGTAGGTCCAGTCCGATATATGCAACCTTATACTTGGATAGATAAGGCAGTAATGGAGCGTCTGGTGTTTCGAAGTAGTTCACCTCAAAAAGTTCTTCAGAAAAGGCGTGTGTGCCTCAACTTTAAAAATAGTCCCGGTCTGCACAATGCTGTATGATAAAAACGCCACGATGCTGAGAAGACGTGTACAGTGCTGTGTACTGACACCATGATAAATGGGCCGGCAATTTATAATCCGCCTCACGTCAGAGGTGAGATCAAACTATGGGCAAGAGGCACGTACATGTATTGTTATGCGCCTTGGAAAAACAAATCCGTAATTGATTCCCAGCTCAAAGGCATTTTTAGGAAGTTCAACGTTGAGACGCTTCCGGATCTATGATAAGATCATGACTATCCCAAACAAATGCATGTCCCCTGCCATAGGCCTAGGGAGGCTGTTACGCATCAAAAAATTTCCTAGGTCCCTTCGCAAGTGTGGCTTCCAATGAATTTGAACCTGAGCAGATCAACTCTCAACGGGATATACGCGATGCCCGTACTGAAAGACAGTTGTGTTCGTTGACAAAGGCCCACCAAGCTATCTCAGGTAGGAAACGGGAAGGGGCCTCGAACTCGCCATAAATTGCTTTTCAGCAGCGCTTGATTCAGTATACGTTAGTATACTTATACTTCTCCTGAAGTACACTTTATGCCTATCGAAGAGGGAGGTGTTACAATACATGTTATAAAAATATCCTCGCTCACTAGAGACTAAACATTTCTTCCAGAATGTTGACGCGATCTATCGGCATGTCTTGTGTCTTTAGCATGCTGTCCGACGAGTTTAGGTCAATACATGTTTTATCTTTGTCGCCCAGATATACAGCGTAAGAAATCTTCCAGATCAAAATTGCGGCTCTCCGAGATGAGAAGGCAGTAAGAATTGTAGGATGTGATCAATGATATCACGTCCAAGGGGAAATGGATCCATAGAACTTTGTGAGAACTTGATAGCGCTTAAGAGGACTTCACACAAATCTGCAAAGTCGTCCTTTAGATGGGAGTTGCCGATACGCGCAATGCAGGGCTATGCAGATCGGACTTCGGGCCGATGACGGAACGGAGGGCTGCAAAAAATTTCATGATGTCTATCCGAAACATTTCACTACTTTTACTACATTCACCTCATCGACGAAAAGTCAAAATCTGCAGCTCTACAATTTCCTTTTCACTTTACGGCTTCCCAACGCTCAACCGCGACTCGTACAACTTTTGGCGTTTGTCCCACGTAGTACACATTAGTAACACGTCGGTGGAGACGCGATCAATGACCGTAGAACTCGAAGCGCCTACTCTTCTCAGCGTTCCGGAATTCGAGGAAAAGGACGGGCTTATCTACTCTGACCATGAACGCGTCAATCCAGTCGTCGAAAGCGCCAAATGGGCTTACAGTGTACGTGTAGCTGGCCCCTGTCCATTTAGCTTCAAGCATCTGATGTGCTTGTAGCGGACGAATATAGTCCAAGTTAATGAAGACGGCGTAAAATCCGCTGCACGTCATGTCGGTGTTTTTCATTCTTCTTGTTACTTCTTCCGACATATGTTTAGATACACGATAAGCTTCTCGCCGAGTCATATACACCACGAACATGGCGGACACACCCTTTGCACATATGTCCTCTAGAGCCCCACGATCCTGCAGATCCTTGGAACAAAGCTGTACTGAACTGGATATTCTTAATCTCGTCGCTGAATTTCAGCTTTTGGTCGGAGAAGGAGGGTGAAGCGGATCGGTACGGCGTCGAATGGTTGGACGCTTCGGGTTCGACAAATAAGAAAGTGTGGACCGGCTACTGGAGTCTTGTGGCATCTTTAAACCGAGGTAAATATTTCTAGGGGCTGTCTCCTCTGACTTATGCGTTTCCATAGCGTTACAGGACGACGCGATTCCAATCACCGATCCCAACTTTTATTCATCAGATATCCTGTGTCCTGACTATGTAATCGAATCCGTGTTTCGTCGGTCGCCTCAATCTAGCGAGGGTATACCTCTACTCCAAGACCGAATTGCCATCATGCGTGAGGTTGGTTTCGTACTGTGCAACGTGAGACGAACATCTTTATATCATCTGGGCAGGCCATTCACACCTATGCCTTAGAGTTTTGGCGGATCTTTCAGGGGATTCCTTGACGAGTTTCAGCGCCGCTACAATGGTGATGGCACGGCTCTCGATCTAGTCGAGATGGTCGTAGAAACCTTCCCTTCCTTCAGGGACGAGCATTATCTAGAAGAGGAAAAGGGTCTGTGTTTCGTTTCTTAACGACGTGTCGTCCGTTGATGTACCTCAGTTTGTTTGTGGAAAAGGGCGCAGATTCTTGTTGCTGAAACATGGGCCGCTTTCTATCCCCCATCGTCGGACATGCCGCATCCAATCTTTCCCGGACCTCGCGGAGCGCAAATCCATCAACTGACTATGTTTGCGGACTATCGCGTACCCCAGATCCTGCACCACTTGAAGATATTGTCATACCCTTCGTCACTGGTCCAGTTACTGCGAGAAGGATCCTATGTGCCCTCTGGATCCAGGGAAGAACTGAGTTTACGTGCTGCAAGCATCGTTGCGGTGGAACATGTTAGAGAGGAGATTATGAAACTGAGGGAGGGAGATGAAGGTGAACAGATCAGTAGTGTTGTGATCGACTTTTTTCTCTGGGATCTGGCCAAGAAAATCGAGCGAGGAGAGGAGAAGATTGAGGGCATTCAGACCGACGACATCGTGCCATGTCATCGTACGAGAAGCATTTGGTATTGATCCCCTAGCTGCGTCGCTATCTTTTTTCGTTACTTCTGCACATTACTAACATACCTGACATTATTATTATTCGGATATCGAGAAGTCTAGAGACAAATATGGAAACTTTTTTCCCTCGTATGGTTAACCGTAGATCATCCATGAGGCGATAGACCGGCCACAGATTTTTCCTTCGTACCAGGGCTGGCCCAAAATGACCTAGTGCAATAAACAGATATGACACAGATATCCTCGGCGGTTTCTCAGTCACTCGACTCATCCTCCGACTCCGAATCAGAATCAGGCAACCACCTTCGAATCTGAAAGGGATCTGCCGCCCCCTCCGCTCTCAAAATTCTGAGGAAAGCATTCAGTGTAGTCAAAGCTGACCGTGTGGGGTACATACCCGTCAAATAAGGATATAGTGCTACTTTCAAGGTCTCCAGAATCTACTGGCTCGACGCCAATAAGAAGATTATGAACATCGATATCTTCTTCATGGGTGCTCTGCTCCAACAAAGACCGGACTTCGGTAGGCGTGGATTCCAGACCATCCGAGAAGGGTGTTGAAGGCGTAGCAGAGTGAAGAAAGATGTGGCGCTCAATGCCACATGTCACAATATATGGAAAATCCGGATGTACGAGAGTTGTGTTGACGATGGAGTTGTGCCCTTGACATTGTGAATATGGGGGAGCCATACCACGAGTAATTTAATTACCTGTAAGTCGACACAGAGGTGTCTTTATATTGACTGGGACATATCTAGGTTCATGCAGGCCGGAAGCGTAACCTATAGGCACATTTCATGTCAGTAAGAAAGCGCAGTAAATAAATGACATGGAACACCAGTCGTATCAGCAAAAACAGGATTGCCAGACCATTCGTCAGGATCCACAACCTGCCTTCGTTCCACAAGACTAGATATTGATGGAATCTTCCACAAATATGCGCAGAAATCATCCGATCCTGCGCAATAGAAGTCATCGCTGTCGAATCCTAAACCACCGAAAGAACCATGCTGTTACTGCTTGAGACCCTCGCCGACCAAAGGTGGATGGTGACGAACTTACTTTGATTGTGCATGAGTTGGAGTATGTGCGCTGGCCAGGGAGTACGGGCGAACCATCAGGAAGGGTTTGGACGTTACAGAGGGCAATTGGATTAGGATCTGACACCGAGTATATTGTAGGATAATGATGCTGGACGATGCATTGAGAATTGAGCAATTCGGGAAAGCCTACACCCACCAGCATGGTGACTGCCAGCTTTGTCCCTAAATCAAAGTAGCCCATAAGTATCACAATCACGTGCGAATTAGAAGATATACTGACCATCACGGTCGAAAGTGATGCTACTGGATTCAGGGTTACTCAAATGAGCTATAGATCCCTTGGATATTTTGGTGTTAAACTCGTTGACGTGGGTGGTTAGTTATAGTACTCTTCCCCCAAGTTTGGTGCATTACCACTTGAACAACACCTTGATTCATGCGCTTATTCGCAGGCCCGAAGCCTAGACGCACATCGCGTAGACATACCGTGCCCTTGGAATCACAGGAGGCGAAGACATTCGCCATTGTAGGATGAAATTTGACATCACAGACTTCGGTTTCAACCTGGATAATATCTCGCGCTCGTGTCGAAGGGTTGCGCCAGGTTCGTTCATCGTGCAGTATAATACGTCCGCTCTCGCTGAGACACCCTTTGAGTTCATTGTAAGCTAGGTGAATCTCGGCTTACCTTGCGCTGAGGAACACTTCATCTTGGAAGGGGTGGCACGACAAACTGCGAATCGTGTTCTGACAGCCAAGAAAGATCAACACCTGATCTTGCATAGTTTGTTCGGACCACATACACGATAAGATAAACTGTCTAATGGCCGTTCAGCATCTGGAGATCGCGGTAGATGGAATTGTGTCGCATCAAACTTGTGTATCATGTTATCAGTTCCACCACTATGGGGAGAGGACATGAGACATACTTTGCGATCAAATGCGAATAAAACATGACTAACGAGAACAAGTATTTGTTTGAAGCAGAAAATGTCATCGTGAAGATATTCCTCTGCGCGGCATTGATGGTAGATTAACTAGGACTAGATTACTAACAAAACTAACCGTATGCCCGACACATGTATGACATGGATGGGATATATTGTCTTGATGAAAGTCCCAAATCTGTATGTCGAGATCTGCCATAAGAATCAGACGTAGTATGCGCTGATCTGGGGTGAACCATGCGTACCGTCACCACCACTCGCAAGGAACCTGGCACCATTCGATGAAAAGGCTAGATAATTCACACATGATGTATGTGCAGAGAGCTTCCTACAGTGGTACGCGATTCGCAAATATCTTCATTGTATGCTCATTAGAGGAGGCAATACCTTGAATAAGGTAGACCATTGTAAAATATCGACTCAAGGATTTGATTTCGAGACCTGCTAAACTGAACAGGAGCTAGCAGATTGGAAACAAAGGGGTGCTGTCGGCGGGACATGATGGTTCGCGTCGAAGGCGTGACGGCATTACTTCGTGGCTGTGTAGTCGGCATATGCCGACTAAGCTTTGTTCCCACCACCTCCCACCAGCAAGGCGCTCCTGCTCGAAATGGCCAGTCAGCTCCAGCTAGCGCAGGCAGAAGGACTCTGCCTTCGTTATCCTGAGAATCTAGGACTTCATCGCGAGGTCAACTTTGACTCAGCAGTCACCATGCTTCTACGCGCCATTCAAATGGCCACAACGATGCCTTTTACATGGGGATTTATTGACAAACCGCAAGGTATCTTCTGCTTAACACTGCACAACCTTTCTCCATCTTATTATGCCAGAGGGCCAGGTCATTCTTATCTTTATTCCCAACCATTCTCCGTTCCCGAACGACGGCATAAGATATTTGGAACAAGAAGTTAAATACAATATACCTGCTGGCATGCGGGTGCGTCTATGCAGTGGTGTTTTGTTGACTGGCCCTTAATATTCTCTCAGGAACTCGAAGTATATGAAGCAAAGTTCGGTTTCGCTCCGGGTGTCGATCAGACGGCATGGCGTGTTCGCAGGCGGTACCGTCTTACAAAGGGCGGACATCCACAGCTCATTCTTATGCATTACTCGCGTGGCCAACCAATAGGTCAGTCCTGACCTGGCCTTACTTCCATTTCTCAATTTTTCCCAGCTGTTCCTCCACAATTTTTGAACCAACCTATCCGCGTCTACCCTCTCCGGCCTGTTACCGAGCCCGCAGTTTTTGTATGTGGGGACAAGACAGGGCAAAAAGTTTATCCCCCTGGGATGGCCCCAGGACCTAACGTTGGGATGGGGATGGGGATGGGGATAGGCATGAATATGCAGCAGCAGGCGATGTTGGCTCAGCAGAATAACAACATGGAGATTCTTGAACGGAAAAGGGAGCGGGAGCGTGCACGGGAGCGGGGTGCAAGTATGGCTCCAGTATGATCCTGTTCTCCTGTCTAACAAGCATTTCACTGACTTCTTGGCAGCGCCCACCTCCACGCGTCGAAGAAGAAGACTCAGGCGACGAAATTGATATGATTTCTACGAAGGCCCTGGCTCTCACACGATATCGCCGAAATCACGATATCATGAATGCAGTCTTCAAACACGCAGCCTACGGGGGCAAATATACCCCTACTTTCCCCCCACCGTACTCAATCTTCAACAAAACAGAGCTAGAAGACAAGACGGTTCGTCAGTCTCACCGAGTTAGACAACCCACTTAAAAAGGCTTTTTAGAATCAACTCTCGGCCGAGATTGCGGCTCTCAATGCTCGGGCCATTGAACGAAATGCAGCCAAGGCCTTGGCGGAGCAGGAGCGGCTACAGCAAAAGGCAGCTCTTGCTTTTGACCTAGGTGATGCCTCTATGGAGAATCTCTCAGATTCCATTGTGGTATAGAGCGGTACTGTACTGTTATTTTGTAATCTAGCTGTCTGATATTATTGGAATTCAGTATTGGCAGCGTCGTCACTTGACCGCGACGAGCTTCCACTAGTCTGTCAGGACTCTTTCATCCGGCTATCATTTTGCTTTTCCGATCTGCGTGGTTTTGTATGTTCTGCAGGTCACGCGAACAGACTGATCAACACGATCTATGGGTTATCCTCGGTAGTGCTTGCAAAAGAAGACCTCTGGCATCATCTGATTTTCGTCCGTGCATATGCGGGCCGCTGTGTTTGTTTATAACATTTGTATGAGACCGCCTTTCCACTACATCATGATCTCCTACATCAAAGGGCTATTCCTTCTATCTTCCTTTTTTACCGCACCATCTTCAGCTTTGGACAATGGCGTTGGGGTGACACCGGCTATGGGTTGGAATCTGTACAACGCGTTTCTGTAAGTACAAGCCGCGACGATTAGTCAGTGCCTCACATGCTGCATCAAGCTGCGCTACTGTGGAAGACGATTATCGTGCTGCGGCTCAAGCTTTGGTGGATCTTGGACTGGCAGACGCTGGTTACAAGTACATGAACCTGTGAGGATGTCTTCCTTGTCGTATCAAACATGGCGTGACAGTTGCATCAGGGATTGTGGATGGCAAGGAACGGAGCGAGACTCTGATGGTGGCTTCACATGGAATTCCAGCATCATACCATCCGGTATTCCAGCGTTGGCAGACTACGTGCATAGCCTAGGATTGGAGTTCGGCCTCTACTCCGATGGGTGAGATATTTTCACTGATCAGATTTCTTTCCTTTTAACACCGGGTACCTGTAGCGGATACTACGCATGTGACTCTGTCGGAGGCACAGCTCACTACCTTGGGTCTCTCGGACACGAAGAGGATGATGCGGAAAGCTTTGCCAGTTGGGGTGCAGACTACCTCAAGTATGATAATTGTTATGCCGTGAGCGAGACAGACTTCGTCGATTTCGACCCTCCCATCGCAGTAAGTTTACATCTTATTCGGAACGACGAATCATATTGACTTATACCTACAGATCGAGGTTAGCAGACAGGTGAAGGACTTTTCAGACTCACCGATTATTCTGTGGTCAATTTAGGATCATTTTGTCACTATGAGGGATGCCTTGGCCGCCACTGACAGGCCTATCTTATTTTCTGCCTGCGAGTGGGGCGTACAGGTGTGATAGTTATCGGGACTCCTTGATCGGTCACTCACATATCCTTCGTAGGACCCGGCTAGATGGCCAGGAAGCGAAGTTGCCAATTCTTGGCGGATAGCGTCAGAAAAATATTCGTGAATCTACATATATGCAGCACTGAGTCCCGTTTCTGACAGCAACGATATTGGACCTCCTGCTTCTTGGGACAGTATATTCAGGATTCTAAACCAAGTAGTTCCTATAACCCAATTTGCTGAGCCCGGAGGGTGGAATGATCTCGACTTGCTCTATGTGGGAAACGATCTTTTGACAGTCGCAGAGCAACAGACTCATGTATGCCAATCCTCAATCTTCCTTCCACTCAAGCTGATGCGTTTGCAGTTTGCATTTTGGTCGGCAGTGAAAAGCCCTCTGATGATATCGACGGCCCTGACTAGTATATCGGACGATGCGCTAGGAATCCTGCTGAATGAAAGGATTATCGCGCTCAATGTGAGTGAGAGAAGTCGGTATGTGGACTTTGAACTAACATTTCACAGCAAGACCCTCTTGGAAAGTCTATCAGTTTCAGACGACGATATGCAAATGACCATGACGTTTGGTCGGGACCGCTCAGTGATGGCTCGACGGTCGTTGGTAAACATCTCTATTCATGTTGTACACATAGATCGCTGAGTCTTAATAACTTGCAGTGGTCATCAACTTCCAGACCAATGCCACACGATCCTTAACATTCCAATTAGCTGACGTAGGCTTCTCCTCGGCGAGAGCCATTGACTTGATCACCGGAAATTCACTCGGGACTTTGACCACTTCGTCAGTTCTCCCCTTATTTCCGCCTTGAAGTTATTTATTGAGTTGAAGATTAGACACACCACGACAGTCGCTATGCATGGAAGCCTCGTCCTCAAGCTTACGAATGTCGTCCCAATCACAGCACCTCGGTTCACTTACTACGAAGCCACGGCCTCATCGAGCATCCTTGAGGGAGGTGCAAACATACGCCAAGTGAATTCCTCTATTTCCGTGGTTGGTTATGTAGGAAACGGCGGGACTCTCACGATCACCGGCGTTGACGGCGGTGCTGGAGGGACCAAACTTTTATCATTTGATTATATCAACGGTGATGTGACATTCTATAACAACGCATGCTCCAACTGTCGCAATGCATACATCAGCGTAAATGGGGGCGACGCAGTTCAAGCTCAAATGCCCATATCAGCACAATTAAGTCATGAATTGTGCTTTATATTGCTCCGACTTATTTTATTGACAGAGCTGGGATATTTTGTTAACCGGGTTCTTAATATCGGTCTCTGGGTTCAAAACAGGAACGGATAACACTATTGAAATCTTCAACAACGACGGTTATACTCCAGATTTTTACAGAATCGGTGTTGCCATTTGATTACACATTTTATATTGTGCATCCTTTATCAATATGGATTTTTCGTTCCAAGACAACTGGAGTACGAGACTGTCGTTGTCTTATGAGCGCGTGAAGAGGATACACAGTGGTGAGGACTCACGTACACTTATACACCGCTTAATTGACATTGGTCCGAGCTTCTGGAATGTCAATTTTCCCGTCGAGCAGTTGCTGGCCAGTCTCCTTAACTTGGGGCTACAATTGGTCTCGATGTGAGCTACGTCATTATGCCTGTGTATTGCGCTCATTACCTTCTTCAAGAGCTGTCATCCAACATAGTGAACTTTTGCCGAAGACAAAAAACTGACGTGAACATACCGTGCCTCGAGTTTTCTAGAGAATGGCAGACAAGTTTTGTTTTTGTAGATTATTGGCAATTGTATATCACCACTCACCAGCGCAGCTCCTATAACAAAGATAAGAATTGATATGGCAATGATAAATACGAAAACCTTACCAAAAACACGTTCTTTGAACGGGGCCTGAATATTAGAACGATTGGATTCTCCATCCGCTAGCTCTCTAGGCACCTTGTCCGTCGTGTCGCGAACGACGCTGCCGCTTCCTGGCTGAGTATTTCCTGTGCTACAATGAGCAGATGTCGGGGCAAGGTATATATAAGTACCGACCTTGTTGTGGAAAGGAATCGCTTCGGGTAGGCTGAGCCACTTTAGATGGTTGAACGGTTCCGTCGATCTTCGAGGAAGACCTGAGATCATCAGAGCTCAGTGCGGTTTCTTTCGAGAGAACGGACATGATTGTAGTTGGCCAAAAGTGAAGAATCCAAGACGCTTATATGTACCATGGCGAGCCATAGAACGTCACTATGACATCAGGCTTGGAGTCCGTCACGTGATGGCGTCTTGTCTCGCGCGAAGTTACCGGGTGTGCCATGCGCCTTTACAAGTCCCGACGCGACGCGAACGGATTCGTTTACGCGATCCGTTTTACAACTTGGAAGGATTTGACCTCGATGCTGACATTACAAGGGACGTGGTAATAGTGCCGCTGCAGTGCGAGTATCAGCCTCAATTCTTTGTCAATTTTTATACAAGAGTGGAGAACAAAGGGCTAATCATTATCAGGCCTTGGTGTAGACTAGGTGTTAGAATAACGTATCCGTACTCAAAGCAAGTGAGCGGCAAAGGTAGTTGCATGTTTGGCAATGGGGCTAACTATGAAATGAACCAGCCAATATAGTATAAAACACCCTCGGAAATGAACAAACGCATACGAGAACCCAAACAGCGACTAATTAATGATTGTCAGTACCATGAGAAGTTCGGAACCCACACTAAGATGGGTTTCGAAACGTTTCCGTAATCAAGGATACCGATTGCGTAGAGCGCAAGTCCGGTTCATTATTTTCTGCTAGGAACCAATGTGAAAAGATAAATCGTTGTCGACCTTCACCGTGCTATAGTCAATAGATAGGCATGGTTGTATCGTCGGTATATGTGCCGCTGTTTTCAGCAAAGAAGCTGATTAGCTGTCACTATGCGAATAGGCTGCGCACGTATGAATCCTTGCCAGCAAGGCAATGGCAAATCATGAGGAATGATACGAAAATCAGAAAGCGATTTGGAAGTTTCCGAGTTACGTTAGAGCTTGATGCAACGTCGGACAGAACGTACTGTCATGCAGCCATCTTGTTGGGGTGATCGATACGGGTCGCATTGAATTTGCCAGAGTACGCCGCAGCGTCTTGATGGACCTTTAAACTTGAAGAGATGCTTTCAGATATACATACGGGGGCAGACTAACATTAACATTAACAGATGAAATAATTAAATAGCCAGCCTGTTTTTTTCGCTGGTACTAGTGGCAGGGGCGGAAAAGTAGCTCTTTATCAGAAGGCTTACATAATAGGCACTACTTGAGAACAATACGTCCGACTGCGCGAGGATAAGTAACGTGAACGCGATGAACCCGGTGGCTGCTAAACATAGACGACATAGACTCTCGGGTGACATCAGCAGGCATTGTGCCGAATTCTCAATTTGGGAAGCCGTGCCTCCACACACATGAAGAGCATATGGCGCGCTTGGGCCTACACATGTAGCTGCCCGTTACTTAAATGTAAAGTCCTCTGCGCACCATCTTGCATGTTCTCATGTCTGCTCCCAGTCTTCCATCTTATGTTCCCCCCAACTTCTATCGTACTCCGTCCTATACAGCTGAGCCCCAACAGCATGAGCAGCGCCTTGCTGTCGCGAATGGTGTTCGCCCCCGGCCTTCGGGCCATTTTGTCAAGGAATCGAAGGGCGGCGGAGCCCGCCTTCGTTTGACCTCCCAGGAGGATCATGTTGCACTTCCAGTATACGGCACCAATGGTTCCGTGGAAGGCACAGTTGAGGTGTCAAAGCCCGAGGGAATAACCAGCGTTGAAGTCAAGGTAATCCTTAACATGTAGCCTAATTAATGGATTAGTCTGAAATATCCCGCCAGGTGGAGGGTAGGTTGCGCCTGCATGAGCTCGCGGCTGGTGGGACAACTGCTGTCAAACTATGTCTGGACACAGTCTTATTATGGATCAAGAATCCTAACAATGTCGTCTGTCCATCGTCGTTGCGTTTCCGGTTGAATCTTCCCACAACTTTTCTGTACGAAGGACACACCTACGTACCGCAGCCTCTTATTTTTATCCATCTCCAGCTGACTCTTGCTCCTCTAAGCCATTACCACCCACATACGATGTCAAACTTGATGGACTTCCTGGATTCACGGCAACTATTGATGTATGTTATTTTATCCCGACCTGCACCCTCGCTCACCCCTTCCCAGTACTCTGTCACCGCCACACTTATGAAACCCAATACCGTACCGTTAGTCAAGACCACCATATTTGGGAAATCTCTCGGAAACATGTGTGAACGTTCGATCCTATCTTGCCATCATACTGACCATTCTACAGTATTCTCTCGACGCCGTTCATCTACTATCCCCGCTCGCGACCAGCTATACCTCTTCCCGTACCTCTTAGACCCACTCGGAATGGGTTCAGGCACGATCCAGAGTGGCAGGTCTCCGAGTCTGTCATAAAGACAAAAAATCCGGGAATTCAGGATATCAAGACTAAACTGTATGTTCCCGCCTCTCGAATCTTCTGTCTCCGCTTCCCTATACCTTTCTACCTTACTTTGGAATCGTCCGCACAATCCCTAGCGGCGTTTCTGCCCTACGGCCCTAGTCCAACAGCGAGACGTGCAACACGGGTGCAGCTCATGCGGCAAGTAACGGTCGATGTTCGGCATGCCATGATATCAAGCACGAAGACTGACATTTGGAGAGTCGATAGTATTGGCGAAGGGAGGTTTAGGCACGTGGTGAGATTCTTCTCTATTCGTCATTCCGAAGTTTACGCTCAATACCATATGCGGCGCAGGGCGATGGTCCCACATGGGTATCTTTCAACGGTGAGATAGTCATCGACGACTCAGTGAAGATAGGGGGGTTCAAAGCAGGAGGGCTAAGGGTGAAGGTTCATCCAACTTTCCACATTGCCAGCTTTACCCTTAGCTGATTTGGTTTTGCTGCAAGGACTGCATACTGTTTACAATGTCACCCGCCGATCCGTCCAAATCAACCTTCTCGCCCATGCGTCAGGTCGTTCCGACTAGGCTTACTACTGATGCATGGACTACGGATGGGACTGGAATTGGGGTACACCCCTCATCTTCCGAATACTCGATATCACCACTTGACTTTGACGCAACGGCGAGAACCTATGCGATCTGAGCATGTGGACTTGGATCGTCCAGATACCATCGATATGAATCTTGGACTCTACTGTATACATAAATAGTATAAATACCTGTAGAAATAATTTGCTCATTCGTATATATGCAGTGCACTCAGGAATAGTACAAGTAGCTGTAATAGAAGTTTACGAGAGAAACGTGCATGCGCGTACTCCACGACCGTGAGTACGTTGGGGGGCCCGCCAGACCAGCTGATTATAGCCCAGATAATAGTACCGTTCCTTCTTCTACACATCATCGTGTTTAGTGCGCACAAGAGAGATTCTTCTGGCCACGAATAGAAGACCTTGAATTACTTGGGACATTGAATCGGCGTCCGGCACGTCCCTTTTACGCGAAAAGGGGTTGCTCAGGGTCCATCCTATGCCAAGTCGGCTGGATTTTCAGCTTTCATTACACGGGTTTCTCCGAACCTTTTGTACGGACTTGTAAAGAATATAGTATGTGATACCGGATTTGAGGACTCGCGCGGACTCACAGTCAGATGCTAGACTATGGTTAGGTCCTTGACAATTCCGTAAAAGAATTGTCAGCGTAGCGCATGATTCTAGTACACATAATGTGTGATTGATTTTTATCCGGCGATATGATATACTGTATGGTATGCATTCGCGTGGGGACGAGACTCCAATAGATGTGCCTATAATACATCTCAATGAGAACAATGTCCTCATGCTCCTTACTAACAATTCGTCCGAGATCCTTAGTCTTATTGACTAGAACGTGATGTCGTCACTACCAAGCAGTTACAAGGAACTTTTTGCACGATGTCGTACGGTGGTGAGAGTCAAGAAACAAAGGGTCTGTGACTGACTTTCTCACGTCGGCAAGATAAACGCCGTCGAAGCACGTTCGCGTTGTGAATGTACTGTAACTGCATGTGGGGGGAAACCACTACATAAGCGTGACGGTCTGGACGGATATAGGTAGTAAACAAATCATTTGAATTTCGTAAGAATGCAGCGTAATAATAATACACACGAAGACTTCATGGAAAGACACTCGGCTTCGTAGAGTGGAACATTCATCCCCGTGTTGGAAGGCTCAAATGCTGTTGTTCGGTGACAATGAGAACCCGCAACCAACAAATCTGGGCAACTTACGTTGAGTTTCTCCGCGTGCTCTCGTTTGTGGGTTTGCGTTCGGCAGTTATATCCATACCAACAATCTTCTGGTATTTGCTTGCCAGCAGCGCGCTTTCTCTCCAATAACCAAAGATGCAAATGTTCACCGACAAACACCTTCAAACATGCCGTGCATAAGAGGTCTTCTTTATCCCAATCATCAAACTCAGGTCTCTTGACGTCGAAAAGTTCAGCCACCATGTCCATGTACAGAGCGGGCTGGTTGATAGGTTCAAGCTGCAAGCGCAAGAATGCGCATTCAGTAAAGCTTCTAGGTAATAGACCTCTAAGGTACTGGTGAATCTGACTGATGGTGAACGTCGGCGTCCCACGAAGGTATTCCCAGTCTTGGCATCAGGTAAGCTCACTCAGCCACCACATAGGGCGAAAACACACACTGGATTCACACCACAAGTTCAAACCTTCAGCTGCACCGCACCGCTTGCCTGCAAGACTCGAAAATAAGTGGAACGCACGTCTCGCTGACAGACATATTCACGTACAAAGGTCATTTTCTCCTTCAACGGAGCTCAAGATCTTGTTCCAAAGGATTTTGTCTTTCGCAGGTATGACAGTCTTGGTCGACTCCAGAATGGTACGGAGGGGATGTTCGATATATTCTGTAATTAATTCTTCAACTATGTTCATTTCTTCGGCGGCATCTTGAATAGGAACCACTGATCCTTCTTCGTATGAAGCCAGTATCGCATCTGGCCCAGCACATAGAGCAACGTCACCAAAATGAGTCGCTAGGGAATGCATGAGAATTTCGCATCCCTCTCATGAATTTTGACCTACGATCAATGGATCCGACATGCGCCAATGATGCCCATTCTGCTGTCTCGACGAGGAAGTGGGCAACGGCATACATTTCAATGATCTCCTCTGTGAAAAAGTCATCTATGAAATCTTCCTTCGCTTGTCTATCGTCGCGCAGCCTCTTCAAATTCGCGTCCGCGTCGTCGTCGTCATCTTCATCGTCACTAAGGAAGTGGTATTTGGAGCCAGGAAAGACACGAGAAAAGAGCATGAGACGATAGATAGCTCGACGAAAACGCCACGATTCCATTGACGTCAATTTACTAGTTTTCGACAACCGATCTTTATGTCTGAGGCGAACAGGTCAGAGTGATATTCATCTAGCGGCCAGCAGCGCACCTGAAACTGAACACATCCTCCAGTTTACTGACTACTCTGGCAATTTTTGTTAACTCCTTAGTCTCGGACTGCGTGAGAGGAGGTCCGTTGGTCGTCTCGGCTGCTGAATTCGAAACAGGTCCATAGTCGGACGAAACCTCGTCGTCTGCATGCGATCCCTCTGAAGAAGGTAGATCTGTATCATTTTCATTTCTGTACCGAAGCAATCTCATGGCTTGCGGAAGAGCTGGGCCAGCAATATTGTACGCCACCCTTCGCACTGTAGTCTTCGGATGAGTGTTGAAGATCCTGTGAAAATCCTTGCACACCCGGATGGTTGATTGAAGAGAGGCGAAAGACGGCAAACAGTGGAATATCTGCTCTATTACGTCGTCACTCAAAGGCAGCGAGTTGCTCCCACGGATGGACATCGTTTGTAGTGGTGGAAGTGGTCCAATTTCGGTGACAGCGGCCGAGTCAGAACTGGTTTAGCCACGATCATGTGATTATTTCCTTTTCAGCTTGCCAACTCCTCCAATGACGTCGTGTCGTCATCCAGGCCAAAAATATTTAGTTGAATAAGACGTGCTGTCCCTAATTCAAGAAACTGCAAAGGTACCAAAATAAGGGCGAAATAGTCAGAATAACTCAAAAATAATGATGAATGCTACTACCGCAGTTTTAGAATCACCCAGATACGTAAAAATAGTTTACTTTTTTAAGTGGGTTCATTCAGACGTTATAGTTGTACCCTACGAGTCGAATATGGCGCCAAATGCAAGTATGCCTCTGCTTCGAAAGCCATATATGATATCTGTCAGTACCTGCAAGTCTGTTGGCAGCAAAGGACCCCCTATCATGGACCATCGCTCCCGGACAATGAGCAACTTCGTCTACCAATTCATCTCCGAACGTGGTCCTTGTATATGGTGCCATCCAGAGCAATCGATGATCGACCTTGCCGATGGATTAGCGAGTGCGACCACTGGTTTTCCCGGAGTATCGATTGCAGTCTTGATAGGGAGAGAGGGAGTATTGGTTGGGGCTTGTGGCAAGGCGAGCAGGACGGGGAGAGTGCTAGTAACCATGGGGTGACTGGGAGGAGTGGTGGAGACGATGGAGAACTTTTAAATGAGTGTGCTCAGGCAGCCACAGGAATTCGCCAGTAATTCTGCTAATTAACAGACAGCAGGAGGACTCCGGGAGGGCGCCTGCCCGAGACCGTATCATAGACACATTGGTGATTGGCGAATTGCAGAATGATACCAAACCCCATTTTAAAGTCATGATTTAACTTGCCGCTTCTCTGGAACTCCTGGAGTGACGAGTAAAATCTGTAGAATTGGCATTATCAACAAGCGAAAACCAACTTGACGAGGTAAACTCTCGCCTTCCTTTCAGCACCGGCTATACCGTGACTTGCAAGTTTATTCAACATTGAAACCTGGAAAAACCTTCAACCTGTCCGGCCATCGCTGGATTGCACGGACGAAGAGGACAATCATTGACTAGCAAGAACATGGTTTCGGTTGCATCATGTCGTCTGCATACAATGTCCTAGATGGCTATCAGGCAGGGCTTTGAACGCTTGCGCCAGCTGGTCATCCAAAAACACTACTGACACAATGTGTAGCCTTCGAGCAGAGAGCATGAGCTAAAACGTGCTGAGGGATAGGCTTGGTGTCACTTGTTATGATTCACCCCGAAGATTGTAAACCACTGCATCGGATCAATTTTATTAGCATATTACTGCAGATAATGACCGAGGCTTACATTGGCACAAACACGGTGATGGTAATGAGCAAGCCAGAAACTTCCACTCTCTCATGAAGTAATTGGAATCTATTGCAGTATTATAACTGAACAATGCTAAATGATGCGACAAAGTACATAAAACTAATGAGAGTACATAGCGAAACGACTTAGATCTTCTATACAAAGCGTACACACAAACCGATGAAGGGAACAGGATCTCTGTTTAACCGGAGCACATTACACAAGCGTCTTTGTTCTCCAGGGAGCACAGAAGTTTCTCGGCTTCATACTCGCGCTCCTTCTGGCGTCTCAGCGCAGCTGCATACTCCGGATTTTCTTCAGCAACCTCCTTCAAGAGGTCATCCAACATTGATGATGACGATGCAGATGACGAGGCAGGGGTATCTGAGGGCGACGCTGTAGGCGACGAAGACGATGAGGAAGCAGGTGTGGGTAAAGCGTTAAGAGCAGTCTTAGCGGGGGTGACGACAGGTGCTGCGGATGTCAGGTTGCGAGACAAGGGAGGTGTCGTTTGCGACTTCTGCACCTTCGCCTCTTTCAGAACACTCTGGTCGACGGTGAACTGGATGGCCTGGGCCGCCGACCGTGTCCGGAGATAGTACATGCCCGTCTTCAATCCCTTCCTCCACCCATAAAAGTGCATGCTCGTTAGCTGACCGAGTGTCGGAGATTGCAAGTGCACGTTGAGACTCTGGCTCTGGCAAATGAAGGCACCACGATCGGCGGCGAGGTCAATGACCTTCTTCTGGCTGATCTCCCACACAGTCTTGTAGATGGCCTTGACGTTGTCAGGAATGTTGGGTATATTTTGGACGGAGCCATTGTGCGCAATGATCATATTCTTCATATTGTCATCCCAGAGGCCAAGGTCAACGAGTTCACGGAGGAGCCAAGGACAGACGACCTGGAATTCACCAGCAAGTACACGCCGGGTGTAGATGTTGCTACAGAGACAATGAATATTATTATTAAATAGAAACAGACACAACACACCTCGTGTAAGGCTCAAAGCATTCATTGAAGCCGAGAATCTGACTGGTCGATGCAGTCGGCATGGGAGCGGTCAACAAGGAGTTTCGGAGGCCAGTCTTGGCAATCTTCACCTTCAGCGAGTCCCAGTCCCAAAGATCCGTGGGCGTGACACCCCAAAGATCGTACTGAAGCTGTCCTTGCTGAGCGGGGCTGCCCATCCACGTTTCGTAAGGGCCGTCCTTCTCTGCCATCTCAGCGCTAGCCTCCAGAGCACCGTGATAAATTGTTTCGAAGATCTGTATGTTAAGCTTCTTGGCCTCAGGAGAGTCGAAGGGCATGTGAAGAGCCATGAAGGTGTCAGCTAGACCCTGCACACCGATACCAATGGGACGGTGGCGGAGGTTCGATCGGCGAGCTTCGGGAACGGGATAGTAGTTGACATCGATGATCCTATTCAAGTTGAATGCGACAACCTTGGCGACTGCATGAAGCTTCTTGAAGTCGTAAGCACCATTAGAAATAAAAGTAGGGAGGGCGAGCGACGCTAGGTTGCAGACCGCAGTTTCATCCGGAGAAGAGTATTCGATGATCTCAGTGCACAGGTTGGATGACTTGATGACACCGAGGTTCTTCTGATTTGACTTGGCTAGAATTACGATCAGACCTCATAGTCAACAAAAATGACGAGATGGCGAACCATTGGCGGCATCCTTATAGACCATGAAAGGATTTCCTGTCTCAATCTGAGCCTCGAGAATCGCGTACCACAACTTCTGGGCCGGGACTGATTTACGAGCGCGACCTTCTTTTTCATACTTCTCGTAGAGCTTTTCAAACTCCTCGCCATAGACTTCATGGAGACCAGGAGCCTCATTAGGGCAGAAAAATGACCATTCGGCGTTGGCTTCAACACGCTTCATGCTATCAAGATGCTTCAGTAAAGAAGCCCAAAATATGCTTTATCATCACTTACAAAAGGTCAGGAATCCAGAGTGCATAGAAAAGATCACGAGCACGACTCTCCTCTTTTCCGTGGTTCTTTCGAAGATCCAGGAACTCAAAGACATCGGGATGCCAAGGCTCAAGATAGATAGCGAATGCACCGGGGCGCTTGTTACCGCCTTGGTCGACATAGCGGGCAGTAGCATCATAGGCCCGCAACATCGGAATGATACCATTAGAGTATCCATTAGTTCCGGCAATGTATGACCTGCAAATTCCCTTAGTAAGCATAGACAGCTAATAGCGACAATGGGCATACCCGGTGGCACGAATGTTATGAATGCTGAGACCAATCCCCCCAGCAGTTTTACTAATCATGGCGCAGCTCTTCAGGGTGTCATATATGCCCTCTATGGAGTCATCCTTCATGCAAACCAGGAAGCAAGATGAGAGCTGAGGGTGGGGTGTCCCAGCGTTGAATAACGTCGGCGATGCATGTGTGAAATATCGCTCAGACATGAGATTGTATGTCTCGAGAACACGATCAATGTCATTGCCGTGAATACCGACAGCGACACGCATTATCATATGCTGGGGGCGCTCGGCAACACGTCCATTGAGGCGAAGAAGGTATGATCGTTCCAAAGTCTTGAAACCAAAACTAGCAGCGGAATGATTACAATAACGAATGCTTGACATGAAACGCCACTCACTAGTTGTAATGGAAGTCACGGTTATAGATGATGGCAGAGTCAAGAATTTCAGCATTAGCTTTGACAACATCGTACGTCTCTTTGGAGATCATTGCCGCCGGGCGGTTGTTCTTGGGGTTGACTATTTCTTTGTGAGACGTTGGCTTGTAAATCAAAATAAGAGACGCACCATATGTATAGAGATCCTCGATAACGTGGGAGAAACTTTTCTTAGTTTCCTTGTGCAAGTTGGAAATGGCGATGCGGGCAGCGAGGACAGCATAGTCAGGATGCTTGGTAGTGAGGTAGGCGGCGGTCTCAGAGGCAAGATTCTACACAGAAGGTTAGCAGAAAATTGCGTTCGAAAGATTGGGGACTGACGTCAAGCTCTACTGTGGTAACACCCTGATAGACACCTTGCACGACCTTCTGGGTAACCCTACGGCAGTGATGAATAACATATCTTCGACGAAGAGGACACCGGCATACTCGATAGGGTTGACGTAATTCATGTCGAGACCATAGCATAGCTTATCGATACGCGTTGTGATCTGGGGAGGAGAATATTAGAAAGCCTGGACGCGTACGCGGGTGATTGCTGTGCTCACCTTGTCAAACTGGACGCGTTCCTTACGCCTAAAGAAGCAGTCAGTTAGAATAGAGACGTGCTACGACGCGTAGAAGAAACGAACCCGTCTGCAAAGAAAAGGATGATGAGACACTGGCGCAACGCAAAGGTAGACAACGTACCTCTCTTAAAGACATAGGCCATAGACATATTGAGCAGCACAGACGTCAATACAGGAAAAAAATATAAGTAGGAAACGTAGGGGAGAGAGTAGGAGACGGGACAGGTGGTGGTAGGGAGACAAGGGTCACAGGAAAAAAACGCGTCTATAAATTATGACTCTGACTAAGCCATCCTGTTTAGGAAAATTTATCTTGATGGCGTTCAACATTCATTCGATGGGCTTGTCAGATTGTGCCGAGACACTTGTGGATCTAGGACAATAATTAAATGCACCGAAGAGATCATTGTCGCGCGTCCCAAAATTTTTCAGAATAATTCCGCTTGTTGTTGGCCGCTTGTGCATTTTCCAATGGGAGGTCACGAGGATTCAACAAGACGCGCTGTTATGCTCTGTCGACGCGTCTGAAACACGACGCGTGATTACAGTGGTGCCACTTTACGCCACTCGCCATTTTCATCAATCAAATCATGATGCATAGACGAGTCATCATGTATCAATTCGGATCCGATGATAGTACTGCGGACGGATGACCACCCACACTGCCCGGTGTTGCGAAAAACTGAGGTGTACGAACGGCTCTTTGAAGGGGTAAAAAGCATTGTATTGCACTAGCCTATCACATCTTGCAACACATGTATCGAAATTTAATCCTATAGAGACAGTCATTCGACAACGGTTGATGACAGGTATTTGGTTAGTCAGCACAGTGAGGATGAATAACAAATGAGATCCCTCGCATATCAGTGGTATTCACAGGGCGAGTCCAACAAGCCAAATTAGCCAGGAGGATGCGGAAAAGTGTGCGCCAAAAAGAGAGGAGTCATTCCTTGGAAGGAAGTGATATGTGCTTAGGCCTAAGCAGGGAAGGAGACTGTCATCACAGAGATGAAGGGTCGATATCGTGGGATGAGTATACCAGAGTAGAACAATGCAGAACAGGCATGCAAAACAGGCAAGGCAAGGCAGGGCAAAGAGGAGGAGGAGTGTCGATGACATGGAACCTGACAAGAGGTCTGGACAGTGTGAGCCACACATGAAAATCTGAGAACAAATGCTCTTATATGCCGGTGTGGCCAACATTCAGGTCTGACCCGCCGCAAGGAAATCAAAACAGAGGAGTGATGTCCATAATCTACATCGTTCTGAGTGGCCTCGGTAATAATGAATATGCTCTGATACCCACGAGCTTTTGGTCGAGAAGCGACTGCCAGAATCAGAAACTTCTCAAGTCGCAAACAAAGTGGGGATGTGAGGATTTCCAGAAAAGTCGTCGTGCCAAGGTCCAGTTGTTCTGGAAAATGTCACTAGTTTATAAACGCCCGCAGAGTGCATTTTAGTATCACAGTTTTTATAAAGTAAACAACGGTTTGTCATCCAATAAAAATGATTGTTCGTACATGAAGCGAAATGTACAAATCACAGCTCGTGAACGGTCATCAAGTATCTTTCACCTGATCCTCGAGCCATGCCCACAACTGGCTCCCGGCCTGCTTATCTTGAGACTCAGGAGTAGATGTCCACATGTGGGCCCAGGGAACGAGGTACTGATGCACTGTTTATTACCTCGACTGACAATGTAGACGAAATAGATCTACCTTGCCATTGAAGTCGGCACCTTCGGGAGATGTGCCAGCATACAGTTGAGTCAACGCACTATACGGTGCAGGGTATAAAATCCGATACTGTAGCAAAGGCATCAGCAGATGAAACCAAAGACAAGGGAAGACGAAGCGCGATCCTGTGAGACTTACAATTATAAAGCGTTTGACACCCAGCTTAAGATTTCGCTGCAGCTCAGTCACAAGATTACCTGTAAACTTACATTACATTATACGAAGTGCTGGAAGACAAAAACGCTGACCAGGGTTAATGCAAGTACAAACTATGCCAGCCTCAAAATATCGGTGGGAGAATTCCGTCGAGTACAATAGACCAGCCTAAGAAAAACTTCGAGTCCGAAGAGGTAGGGAAGTTTCAGGACACACAAATTTGCTCTGATAGTACATGGACACAGTTCCAAGTCTCCATCGAATGGGTCCATCCTTGCAAGGATCATAGTCCGGTTTAACATTCATTTTGGCGGCAAACGAAGCCATATTAACGATCCGGGCCTTAGTGCCAGTAGTATTCTGGGATACTGCTAAAAGCATGCAAGCAAGAGTTTTGTGAAGTAAAAATGGCCTATGCATATCAAGAGTCACTTGCAAGCTATGCAGGTTTGTGCTGATGATGGCTGACCGACGACATTAACGCTGATAGCCAAATCATACCCTTCCTCTGTCAATTCATCGATGTTTGGTTCTATGACACCGCTACACGATGATGTTCACTTGTCAATCAATATAACCAGAGAAGATGAACTTGCACATTGTTGAAGAGGATGGGCAATTCCTTTTCCTTCCTAATCATGTCATAAACAAGTCTGTTGTGCTCCGAGTCACTATTCAACACACCTCAGAAATTCGTCTGCAGCAACACGGATAGACTTGAAGCTCGCCAGATCCAGGGGCAGAAAAATAGAGTCCTTTCCGGTGTCTTCACACAGCTTGTCTATAGCATCGCTGGCCTTCTTAGCGTTGCAGCATGCAATGTAGACTCGAGCATTGCGAGGAAGAAGTGCCTATGGAAATCCTACTCCTGAGTCAAATATCGAAGCGGAGGACAGTTACACGAACCTTCGCAGTTTCGTATCCCACACCTGTATTTCCTCCAGTAATGATGACAACTTTTCCAGACAGGTCAGGGATTTGGTCGATGGAGAACTTCGACCAGGGTGGCCAGGTCTGGGAGATGAAAGACTGTATTCTTCCCATATCTACGGAGAAAGGAAGAGCAAAGAAAGCATGAATTGGCCACCATTCATCTCGTTTTCTAGGCTATCGTGGAATCGGCGACTCCCATGAAAGCTTTTGCTGGAGTAACTGCGTTACATAAAGAGAAGCGGAAGCAACCGGTAAAATTGAAATCCATATTACAGATGAACAAGCCGACTTCGAGTTGATGGCAATTATTTACCAATAAAACTTCTTTCCTTCTTTCCTTTCTTTTCCAAATGAGCAGGGAAAAACAGAAAGATCGGAATGAAAAAAATTCAAGATTTGGCAACTTGAACAATGAACTTGAAGAAACGGAAACCCGACTGATGCATCAGTGATTCTAATCGCTATCCAGGGTATAGTCTGTTACCTTTATACAGGTATGATGCCAAGATGCCAAGACTCAGCATTTTGTTATGACTTGGAATTTGAAAAAAAGGCTGCATAGGATGAAAACACGGTCACGAGTACCGAAGCTGCCATTACGCATGTTCAGATGACATCCAGAATTATTGTACATGACATGTCCATAACATTTTTGTTCCACCATATCCCAATTCACAGAGAGCAGACACAGAAGGCAAAACACCTATGAAATCGATGCGACCTTTCGCTTCTTATGTCTCGGCTCCACTCCAGCAGATTCGTCCAGTTCTTCATCTTCATTAGGCCCCCATAGAATGAATTCATCTACCTCATCCAGTTCTTCCTCCTTGATTCCGTACCGATTCGTCATCACCTCTACTAGTTTGTCATATTTCAGAGGTATCTTTCGACGCCTCTCTCCAATGGTATCTAGTGCCTTCAGATGTGATCTTACGGCCACCAGAATGCGCCTGGACGTTTCAGAACGTGGCTCATAGTCCTCAATAGCTTCGGACAAATGCGCACTCTGAGCAGATATACTGAGATACTCCAAGATATCCTGCTGCTGTCTCGCTTTGCGCTCCGAAGCGATTTGGCGCTTCAGTGCTATAATCGGGAAGAGGTAAGGTACAAATACGTGACCAAATTCACGACCGTACCATCAATTTTGCGTTTGTAGCGAGTCGTTATTATATCGTTATCCTCTCGCAGCCTTTGGATCTCATCTGATGAACAATCTGGTCATCTTCCGTTGGCGAAGATATTGAAAAACAACCGTACCTCTGAGCGTGTCTTCGTGCGAATTCATACGCCAGGATTCTAGGTCTAGCTTTCAGTGAGCACATGAAAGATATCTGTCGCATGTTATGATCAAACCTTCAAGGTCCTCTCCAACACTTTCATATCTTTGACGACTTCTAGGCCCCGCTTCTATGAAAAAAATCCGTGTCAATCACAATTCCCATGGAACAAAGGCTACTCTTAGAACCTTCTTGGACCCTTCCTAATGCTATAGGGTGGTCTTGTGAATCTAGAGAAGACATGAGAATACTATCCTTGGCATTCAAAACGCGACGATCTTACGTTGCGATGTTATGTCCGTTTCGATCTGCTGATCGCTCGTTATTTTAACACCTGAAGATGCATGAAGAATCAGTTACAGGAGATCGATACTGATGCGTACCTGACGTTTCTCCCGACGGTTGAGCTCGAGCGCGGAGTCAGCATTCATCACCAACAGGCTGACAGCAGCCTCACCTGCAGTTTTCGAAACCTGGTTTTCGAGACGCTCCTGGCGTGTCTCCTTTTGGTGTTGAGCATCTATGCAAATACGTATGAGGGGAAATTAACATTTACTACAACAGACACGAACGTTCGAGTTTGTCCCGTAACATTATATGCTTCTGCTGAGATTCTACAGACCGGGATTAGACGAACGAAGTACCAAGAAGCAGGTACAACGCACCACGTGAATGTGGCTGCATTTCGGTCTGTAAGGTAGTTATTGTCATAGTGGCAACTAGAAACATATCATGGAGGCTGAATTTATGTGAAGGAAGAAACGAACCTGCAAGCTCCGACTCTTTATTCTTCAGATCCTTTTTTAGGGAGGACAATTCAACCTGTAAGCTCGCGGCTGCAGCGTTTGCCGCTTATGCCGCCTCGTTAAGCCACCTGTAGGATCAGAGATGTTGATAAAGGTACCGGAAAGTGCAGCTTCTTTCTCATCCAAGTTACGCCCCAACTCTAAGAAAGGTGATCAGCCTAGTGCTGCAGATGTCATTCGAACATGGAAATCACCTTCGAGTTTCTCATCTGCTATTGACTGCTGAGCATCGAGAAGTTTGTGGCTCTCTAGTATCAGGGATTAGCATATAGCAAAACATATTAGGAAACGTATGTCTACCAGCCAACTTCTCTCGCAGAGTTTTTATAGTCGGGAGCAGGTCTTCTTGAGCTAGAGATCGCAAAATGAGGTGCCTTTCCTTTGGAGGATGTATATAGCCTACCGTCAACGCTTTCCCTCGATTTCGTTTTCTCACGAGACTGTTCAAAGACGGCATCTTCCTGATGATTCTCAGACTAGAACGCGTCAATAAATCAGTACCTTTCAGTATGCACAGCAGCTGAACCTACCGAAGATAGGGTGCCACCGTCTGGCGGTGCTTCAGATGGACGCGTAATGGGAGACCGACACGGAGAACTAGTGGAACTGCTATCGGAGCCCAGCAGTGGTATTTTGAGGGTCAGTGGTCGAGTAAGCGTCATAGTGTTGTTGGAATCAAAAGGGGTTAGAATCTTTTCGGACTTCGTTGCTCTTTGGGCGTGAGTTGGAGTTTTCGAAGGCGTGGGATATCGACCTGGCAGTGCCAAAACGTGCTCCCTGCGTTCCGCAGTTATCTGCCCCTTTAAATGAGCGGCGCTGCTGGTGAGTAGCTCGACGATGCGATCGAATTGTCCTGTGTTGCCTGTCTCCTCTAAAAAGGCTTCATGATCAAGTCGAACGTTCGGCTAATAACAAGTTCAGTTTGACTTCTGTTTCGCCGAATTTTAATAGGACTCACCATTAAGATTGCATGAATCCAGTAAAATATTGCGTATTTAATCTCCCGGTTGTCGATGTCGAAGACGGCCTGCATCACCAGAAAATCTTCGGCCTTGCGCATAGAGCGCTTAACCAAATCTGACACAGCAGTGAGCCTGTGTTCTTCTATGAGTCTGTCATAGAACCCGTGGGTACTAGAACGACTCTTCCTCCTCTGATTGCCAGCACTAAGGGCATATTCTACTGTAGAAACACCCGTTTCGAAATCTGCCATAGTAGCAAGAGATGATACAGTGAGGGCTAAATTGCGCCGCACATCGCCATTTCCAAGTCTAGAAAACATGAATACTGCGAGAGCTTCGTTAAAAGTAGATCGTTCACCTCGATGACGCGACATACGCGCAAATGGCCGCCAACGCAACTGTGCCGAGGCTGGAAACATTTGGGCTGGATTTTACTAGACGATATATTTCTCTGGCTTTTTCTCGTGTCTCTCGAATATCGCAAATATTATCAAACCGAGCAATGTCGTCGTCTTCAGAGGCCATTGGAGATGCTGGAGATGGTAGAGGCGACAAATGCAAAATTCGAAGCCGCCGGCCCGGGAAACAGCGTCGCGGCAGTGCATGGCTGGGGATAAGTTGTTAAGAGTGGAACGGTTCGAGTACAATTCTAAAGGTACACAAACTATAGGTACCCATTACGACATAGAACACCAGAGATTTTTAAATCTGGCGCCGCAAGAAATTGTAACCCAAGGCATGGAGCATGAATATAATATACATAAAATAGTCTTCAATATTACTACCGCTAAAAGTCAGCACAACACCTCAAAGCACGATAATTGACTCTATTCACCGTACAATGTAGCGTATCACCGCCGTCTATTCCTCGCCGAGCTCTGGAACTTGCTCGTTTCTCTCCTCAGCCTTCTGGTCGCTCTCTCACGCTCAATCTCTCTTCTCTCCACCTCCTCCGCCGACAGTTCCTCAAACCTAGTAGCAAACTCCTGCGCGTCAGCCCAGTCCCGCCATACGCTCTGCAGGACCTTCGGTCGATTACCGCCCCATCCAATATTTAACCCAGTCTTGTCTTTCACTACCCCAGACTTATCGACGACATCCCCGATCACGCCCCATTCGGCCGCGTCCTTTTTGTGCCGAATGAGCTCTTCGTGAATGGCATGAGCAACCAGAGGAACGGCTTCTCCAGACAAACCGAGATCTGCACAGAGCTGAGTAGAAAACGCTTCTGGCGTTAGCGGTGAAAGGAGGTCCCATTCAATGTGGTCCAAAAGGTGGTGTGTGGCAATCTGTACATCGATCTACGGAGCAAAATTAGCGTGAAAATAGATAGGAAACCAAGGAAGCATACACTGAGAATGACGCGACATTCAGCAACTTCCTCATGACCGTCTTCTTCGCCATTCACTGCTCCATCAATACCCAAATCCATTGTAGCAATACCTTCATGGTCCTCCAGCTGAGCTTTTATTTGATTTGCCACCGTTTCAGCCCAGGGAACGATCGGTAGATCAAGATCATTACAAAAAGTCTTCGCGAAAGTCTCTGGTCTGACGATGTTCTCATAGAGATTCCACACGAAACAATCTCGTATTCGATGCGTTTCTGTCTCAAATTCAACACGTATAGGCACCAAAGATGAGCGTCTTTCTGAATGAACAGCCAGGACGTCTGGGTCCGCGTAGGTATGGGGTGTAGGATAAAATGGGCGGGCTGTTATGAACCGAGAAGGCGGAATCTGGCCTAGATAGCTCTGATCGAGCTCTGTCTTTTCCGGTAGTAGTGGCGGAGGGGGAGGAGGTGTCGACTGCTGGCGTACAGTAGTGAGGCCTGTCGTTGAATTGAAAACAGACATCCCGGCGTTCATGCGTGTCCTGGTAGAGGTACCCTGCTGCCGGATCGCCGTCCTCGTTCCTCCACTTGCTACAAAATCAGAGTCATCGGAATCGAGCTCACCGGCGTCAGGAAGATCATCGCCGGAACCTGGGTCAGCATAGTTGACTACACCACCGCGTCGCGTGGCAGCTCTTGTGCTCGTTGAGGCCGTGGTGGATGAGGCCGAGGCAAGTATGGGTTGCATTAGCAACGTTGGCCCAGTCTTTAGTCGCGAAGAGTAGGTAGATACCAAGGCTTGCGGTATAGTCGGCATTATTGACCTAGGCGGATTTGGCGGCGGGGGAGCCTGTATCACCACTGGCTGCACTGGCGGCTGAGCTGCCTGTTGATACACTATCTGTGGTGTATATGTAGTCGTTGGAGTGGACGTATTGGTGAGATTGGTGGACCGATTCGCTCCCCTGGCCCGTGTACTTCTGGCGCCGGTCGCGGCATTTTTTGGAGGGGGTGTCGCTGTCGTCGTCCACGCATGAAGATTCTTTACATATGCTACCCTAGAGCATTTGACTAGGTCGAAGGGCCGAATCAAGGATATGCTCACCTTTTGAGACTGTTGACGGGAGCTGTGGGGTCGGTGCATACGTCCGAGCAGCTGTCGACAGCTGAAACCCAGGTCGTCAGTAGAGATTCCTTCGCAGAGATAGCGTACGCACCTGGTTTATCGTCTGCCCTAGCTGGACGTCGGTCATGTTGCCGAACGATGTCGGAAACGTCGTACTCTGATTGTCGGCCATGGTGGTCGTCGCCAATTGAAAGTCACCAAAAACGCGTCAGTCACGGCGTGACGTCCATGCTTTCGCGGTCACCACATTTTTTTCGTTTTCGACCACCACTACTGTCGCTATTCCTTCGATACAGTTCCACTCAAGGACACAACGATGCTATCATCAAAATGCTCATTGAGAGTGCGCTTGCTTCCTTGTCCTACAGTTCCGATGTTGATTTTTTTTTACAGACAGAGAAAAAGAACGAAAGAACCCTGCAAGCGACGACCAGAAACTGCGCGCTTTTGACAAGGCCATCGCCGTGCTGAAATCAATAGACTTCCCCATAAGATCGGAATCAGATGCTCTCAAGGTCAGTTATTAACAGGCACGTCCTGCTGACCTCTTACATATTTCTCCAGTTGATGCGCATGCGTGATGACAATGCGCAGGGAGAGGAGCCCATGGATGTAAAGATTTCAACCAAGGCCAGCCACGCAGTCCTAATCCTACTCGTTATTTTGACTTGTCTCCAGGAAGAGGACAAACTTCAGCCCGCACAAGTCGATTCCGCACGGATTGTAAGTGCTGTGATGCAGTGTGCCTTTCTCGATCCTGAAAACTACCAATAAGAACGAAGTTCGTGAAGGTACTAAGAGGGTTGTGTTGAACGAACTTCAACAAGTTCCTGGTCTGGGGTGAGTAACGATGTACTATTTTCTAACGATGATTTCCTAACTGTCGGATAGTCCGTATACGGCCAGAAAATTATATGAGGCAGGTTGTACCTCCGCCAGCGACCTCCACCGTCCGAAATTTCAAGGGATTCTCACTGCACGCCAGAAGGTTCTAGTCGCATATTACAACCACCTCCGCCAGCCTGTCCATCGCACAGAGATAGAATCTATCAATGTGCGTCATGATATCCACCATGAATGCCAATACTGAGTTCTTCGGTTGCTCTAGGACTTCATCCGAACACAGTTACCCTCCGATTTTCAAACAGAGCTCGCCGGGAGCTACCGTCGTGACTTTCCCTTCTCTTCCGAAATTGACCTCATCCTCCTCCATCCAAGTTTCAACATTGCACCTGTTCCTCCCCCTCCCGAAACAACACTAAAGTTTCCACGGAAAGGACGAGCGGAGAAGGTGTACGGGAAGTGCGCCCAAAAACAGTTCGGATCCAAATCTCCCCTCCTTAATACTGTCATCCCCACGTTGAAAGTCCAAGGATTGATAGTACAAGAGGTCAAAATGAGTGGTGGGGACAATTGGGATGGGATAGTCAGAGTTCCTGAGTTCACTGCGGATGGGCAACCAGAGTCTCTCGAATCAAGACTCAGCGCTATAAAATGGAAGGAGGGTAAATACAGGCGTTTGACTATCAAGTCAGTTCAACACGCCTTGTTTGTATAGACTATTTCACTGACTTGGTTTTCTAGTCTTGTCCCGTGGGAATGTCGGGGGCCAGCTCTGCTCACGTTAACGGGCGACATGGAGTTCGTGCGTCAAGTGCATACTAGAGCTGACACGTTAGGACTGTTCCTCGACGGGAACGGGCTATGGCGATGGCACGAAAATGAAAACTTCGATGGTGTTGCACCTGTTAAGCGTGGTAGGGGACGTCCTCCAAAGGATGCAAAGATTAATGAAGAAACGCGGGGTAAATGGGAGCTCATCTCCCGTGGTTCAGAGACGGAAATCCTCTCAGAACTGGGGATGGCTTATGTGGAGCCGTCTAAACGGAATTATTCCTATCTGCTCAGCAAGGTTACCAACGGTAGGTTACCGAAGTTATACGGAAGTGTTGTCCGTAAAAAGCAGATGGAGGACCGGCGAAGCTCTGGCTCCTCCCTGTGAGCAGTCGCATTGTATCTTGATACCGTCTCTGAGGGGTGTATAGTAGAACGTACTCAATAATATCAAACAATTGTGTTAGACTTCTAAGGTCGAACGGAGCGATAGCATCTTGTACAGTCGGACGAATGTAACTGACATTTGAAGAGCTTCGGCAAGAAGCAATAGCGGGGTGTGGCAAACCTGCAAATTTCGATTTGTTAGATTAAATCGCGGACTGGCATATCTTACAGTGAAGTACCTCCCAGCCGCTGCCTTCAGCATGAACCGCTGGGCGGATCTATGGCAGGATAAACCAATTATGTTACGTTCTTCGCCAATCCCATGATGGTGAACATCCGGTTCCGGACCGATCGCGAGTGGTATATATCCTTGATTCCGGGATCTTCAACTTTCTTCAACTTCGTCTTCCATGTCTTCTTCACCGTATACATCGCGAAGCCTTTACAACCTCACCGGCCTCGTGGCAGTCGTTACTGGAGGCGGAACAGGAATAGGTGGATGCTCGACTTAAGTATACTGAGAAAGTAACGATAACTGAATTCGAATTCGAAACAGGACTCATGATTGCGCGAGGACTTGCTGAAAACGGAGCCAAAGTATACATCACAGGGAGAAGGAAAGACGTTCTAGACAAAGTTGTGGCGAGTGGATCTATAAATGGGACGGTGGTGGCGTATGTCGCGATGCTCCTTTTTGTCCTTTTTGTCCTTTTTGCGGCATTGACGTGAGGGAGTAGACTACAGATGGATGTCACGAACAAGGAAAGCATACTCTCGGCGACAAAGATATTAGAGGAACAGGAAGGAAAGCTTCATATTTTGGTTAACAAGTGCGTATTCTACTCGATCTGCTTGTGAACTTTTAATGATGGCATCTTCACCGTGAAACAGCGCCGGTCAAGTCGGACCTGTGTCCAGATTCTTCAATCAGATGGATGCCCCAGAGCATAAGGACGCTGAGACACTGGGTAAAGCAATGTTTAACGAATCGATGCCAGGATGGTCGGATCTCTATGCTATTAACGTGTTTCCCATCTTTTTCGTCACCATGGCGTTCCTAGGGCTGCTTGATAAAGGGACGAAGGACTGCGCGAACACCCGACCAGGATACACAGCCAATGTTATCAACGTTACAAGTATCAGCGGGTTGATGAAGCTGGCACAAGATCACGTACGTCTTGCATTTAAACCCTCCCCCGGTTTATATAGGCTGACCAGTGTGGCAGTTTGCTTACAACAGCGCCAAAGCGGGGGCGTCACAGCTGAGCAAGATGCTATCCACAGAACTCGCGCTTAAAAGTGTACCTGTGCGCGTAAACGCCATAGCACCAGGACCGTATGAGTCGGAGATGACGACCGATGTGATCACACCGGAAGAGGTGGACAGAATCGGGAAGGGCGTGTTGCCTGTGCCTGCAAGGAGGGCTGGGAAGTAAGTTTTTTTTTTCCTCATTCAGTCTCTCTAATTTTGTTCTTGTCGGGTGATTAATGATGCTGACGGTGGCGAAACAGAGGCGAAGAGATGGCGGGCACGGCGGTATACTTAGCTTCGCCGGCAGGAGGATATATGAATGGCCAGGAGCTCGTTATCGATGGCGGTTATCTAGCGGTAAACCCATGAGCATCGTCAACGGGGCACAAATTGGCAGGCAGATTGTACTAGAACTTACCAGGCAAGCAATATTGCATCGGACGTGTATTTTTGTGCATTTTAATTACTCCTCTTGCATACCTCGTGCACTGAGCAGTGGACTGATGGCGGAGCGCGTGTTCAGGAGGTCAGCGTCCCCTCAGACGGTGCCGATCCCCAGAACGGAAGAGCGTAGGTCCGGATCTGTTAGTGGTGCCGTTCAGGCGTGGTGAGTCTTGGGGAGGCAACGATCGATTAACGTTTGAAACCCACATGCACCCGAATGCCGCATCACCTTGTTCGCATCGACAATGTATACATCGTGATGGAACTACAATGCAGGAGTCCAAAAATGATGAGAAAAAGAGAAGGCTGTCAATGGTTAAATGGAGAAGTTGTTGCAGCTGTTCCCCGCATCGCTGATTCCACCCCGTGGCGGAGGGGAGTAAATTGGCTCCGGCGGCGGGATGATAGGCATGTCAGAGATGTGACGTGTCCAGGAGAACGTGTGATACATTATTAAGTAGTAGAATCTAGACTGCCCATCTTTCTGTGCAGATGTTGAGTATTTGAGTTTAGAAGCTCGACAACCGTGAAGATGTACGTCACCCAAGCTCGAGGCCAGGCAGAGGCCAACATTTTGTGCCCGGCGCTATGGACGACGTTATCAACGGGTTATCCGGGACAAGGGCGGAACCAGATTATTTCCCCTAACAGTGTCGGGCGGGATCGGAGCGCCCGGGGATCAAAATACGGTTCGGAATTACGGATTACACTCAGTGATCGATGACGCATACTTTGTGAACGTGCGATTTATTTTGGAGGGTCAGGGGTAGTTAAGGGTTTGACGCGACTTGGAGATGAAGGGCGGGGGGGGGCGTTGTTAAATTTTGCCTGGCAATTGAAAAAGCGCCGACGGTTTTCAGGGTCTGGAAAATTACGGTACTATTAACCTGGACCATGGGAGTACGTGTATGTACATGTAATGTAATCAATATGGGGTTCTCACACAAGAAGCCGACAATACGGACAACTGTTCGGAGTACTCGGAGGGACGAATGGGAGGGGAACGAATAGTAACATGAAAAAAAGAACGATAAGCGCACCCAAGATATGTCCGGCATTCATCCGAAGGTGTGGCTGACATGGTAGACATGGGAAAAAAGACATCGTGTCCAAGTCGATAGAGGTCGAGATTCTTGAAAAAGCTCCTTGCCCCATTTCCGATCCCCGCCCCCATAGTGATCGGGGGAAAGCTGATATGTTCGCAGTTCGCAGCCATTTTACGGCGGACGGGGCCGTAGTCGATGGGCATGTATGTGTATTTACTGAATTCTTACAGGTAAACGGAAGAGGCTACGGCACAGGGTGGGAGATAAATCCGAAATTGTAGACTGGAATGTATAGGTATGGGTCCAGTACATCATTACAATAGTAAGAGAATTCGAAGGGGGTACGACATAGGGAGTCAGGTGAGAGCTAACAGGGTCTGGGCCGTTATCGCCGCAGATTTTCACGGATATTGGTAAGGCGCATGGGATTCATCGACTCGCCTGTAGGCCTGGAAGGTCGAGGTCCTAGGCAATACCCCGGGAGTAGAGTGGTCGGATACAAAGAAGGTTAGGGGCTACTTCTGGAGAGTCGCGACCTTGACAACGTGAATGAATGGACGATTCCAGCAGGTGGGTCAACCCCAAGTGTTAGGTTACGGCATAGCGGGCCGCCGCCACCAAAGTGCAATTTAGTGGGAATAAATGAAAGAATGGTCAGCTGGCGTGGGGAAGTGGGGGGGACACGTGAATAGATGGTGGGGAACGGGCCGGAAAAACTAGGTTCCAATCGTCAATGTGACGGTAAATCAGGAGGCACAATGGAAAAAGGAGAAGGAGTAAGGTGGGAAGAATGGAAGTGAGAAGAATAGAATCTGGGGTGGTACATCGAAGGGCTACTCCAGTCTGGAGTCGACTGGATGGCGTCTACCCCAGTCTGAGGGGATGATGCCGGAGCGTGCCGGAGCGAATCATATTAGTTCCGGCGTTGAGGAAACGGCTAACTTATCGGCCCGAAAAAGATCGGCGGTCTCCGCCCTGAAACGCCCGTCATCTCGCCACTGGTCGACCCTTGTCTCTGTCCTCCATCCTTCCTTAAGTTCTGGCAACAGGCCAGTCCCCCACCTCCTTTTGGTTCCTTACCACCATGGTATCCTCTACACAGCCAGATAAACCTGTTCCCCGTCCTTACAAGTGCCCGTATCCTCTCTGCGGCCGTGCTTTCAGCCGTCTAGAGCATCAGACTCGGCATATACGTACCCACACAGGCGAGAAGCCCTTTGTATGCAGTTTTCCGTCCTGCGAAAAGCGGTTTTCGAGGAGCGACGAACTCACGAGGCACTCAAGGATACACAACAATGATCACAACAATATCACTCATCATCAGCCCCCGAAGAAGACCAAGTCGAGAGGCACTGGCTCTCCAGATCATACCGATGTGCCAGAGGAAACCCAAGTCAGGGTAAAGAAGAAAGCGAGAAGCAGGGCAAACAGCGACGACGAGGTACGTTGCGATCTGACTGCTCTCGACGCCTTTATCTCACGGTCAAGATTTTAGGACGACTCATATGCCCGTCCAACGTCTGTCGGTTCCTATGATATTCCCCATTCTAGGCGCAGCCATCCCCATTCTTCTACGTCTCCCCCGGCGACGACGTCCTCATCATTCACTACACTATCTTCCATCGCCATGGATGAGCTGTACGCTCTCGAACGAGAGGAGGCGCTGCGGCGTGCAGAGTATGAAGCACGCCACGCAGAAGCCCTACGGCGAGCCGAATATGAAACACGTACACGAGGCGGCCCAGGGCTCGATATTTCTGTTTTGCAGCAGTACCCCTCACGTCTTAGCAAGAGTGCCACGACTTCGCCGGTCTCGACACCTTCCCTTCATTCGTATGAGGACAGTCGCGGTTACTTTGGCATTTCCAATGAGCGTGATTACTATCGACCTCGCCACCACCACCACCGGCAGTCACGGTATCAAGCCGTATCAGACGACGAAGAGGGGCCAGGTAGTAGCATCGTAAGTGAACGGAAAATCACCCGCAGGCTATCCGGCCCCGCATGGCAGATGACACCTTTCTCCACACGTTCAAGCGGGGATGACTTTGGCCATCACGTTGATTCTGTCGCTAAGCATCCTCACCATTCCCACCCTCATCACCCGTACCATATTCCATCACATCATCCCCACCCCCACCATGTACCCCCACCCCCGCAATATCATGAGAGTCCTTCTCCAGCGAGCTCCGACTCAGATTCTCACGCTGCCCAAGGTCATTATGCTCGTCAGCCTCACTCTCCCTACTCCAGTAACATAAGGACTACAAGCACTTCTACTTCCCATACACCAAGTACAAGCCCTTTTCTTGGCCCGATGCGAGGGCTCAACTTGCACAGCGCAAATCCTTCGCGTGCACCTTCACCTGTGCTAGCCATGCTGCCGCCTCCTGGATTGCCTTACCACCACCATCAAACAGGTCAGAGCGGACGGAGCAGCCCTACGAGCCGGAGCGCGAGCCCCCCACACCACGTGTCTTCGCACGCCTCGTATCATCATCATCACCTCGCTCATTCAGTGCGGATGGCCTTCGGAATGACTCCAATTCATCCGCATGTCACGCCTCCTGAGTCAAGTTCGTCATCGCGGGAAAGTCACAGCCCAGGTGCGTGGAGCGGTGGCAGCGGTAGCCCCAGGATTACGTTGGCGCCGCTTAAGATTGCAGAAGACAGCAGCGGTGGAGAAGCCGAGAAGGAAAAGGCGAAAGTGGTGTCTTTGACTGAGGTCGAGCGGAAGGAGGACAGCGAGAAGAGTGGGGAGCGAGAGAAATTGCCTGGATTCAGCCTCTTTGAAGCGGCAGTTCGGGGTGAGGGCGCGCTACCGGTGGTCGGTGCGGGTTGGTAACAACTGTATGTTATTGTGTTTCGCCCTTACCTAGCGATGGCTGGTGCGATCGTCTTGATGTTTTCTTTTGATTATCCATGCTATGTTTATTGTCTAAGGGCCCATCCGTAACCGGGCTCTCTTTACACGATCTCTTTCCACTATAGATTTTTTGCATCCCATCTCATTCGCAACATATACCATCTAGATAGAACTATAGAGTCCCTTTTTAGAGTATGCTTCTTTATCATTTACTACAAGTACTGTGCTGTAATTGTGGCGCTGATTTCAATTCCATGTTGGCAGTGGTCGATTGTGTCGTGTCGTTCAAGAAAAGAGTTCCTTTAGCATGCGGCGCCAAGGAGCATCATGCTCATTTTATTGGCTCACCTGAGCTTAAGTATACGTCTTCTGACATATCTGACGGTGGGTTTCGTGCGGTCCAGAGGAGTCGTTCTCTCGTACGTCTTTATATGTAGCCGACATAGATTCCGGAACCAGATTTCACGTCAAGTGTCAAGACGATGTGATTCTAGACTTTTATCTTATCAAGGGACCTAGCAAAATTTTGTCATTACTATTGTTCCATTCCAATTTCCAACTAATCCGGCGTGATTTCAGTTGTGTATTTCGCGTTTTTTTTTTTTTTTTTTCAGCGCCGTTTAAACTTTGGACGGACCGCCCTTTCACTGATCATCCGATTTGTCTGAAACTCCATTTTCCGTTGAGTCAAAGTGACGTCGCGCGTGTTCGGAATTCCAGTGGAGCTTGGTCTTTCCGCACGACTCCACCGGACCAATATCTGAATAGCGCACCTGCCCCCCGTCTTTTGCAACCATCAAGACTCCGGACCCCTGGTCATCCCGCAGCCTGCTACGCGAAAATTAGGGCCCATTTCATTCCGTTGTTCCGTGCCGACCTACGTTCGTCCGTTCGTCGTTTAATCAACAGTCAAATTCGATATAGAGGGTACTCACGTGTCGTAAACGCCGGACCCTCCTCGACGTCACGCGTAAGGTCAGGGTACGGTACGTGCAAATCCCCGGGCCCTGGATGCTGAATACATGCTCGGCGCCAGTCCGTGCGCGTGAGGGTGTACGGGACTATCGACGCCTTGGCAGCATCAGAATGTCTGATACCAAAGAATCGCAGACCCTGATTTCCCGGGAAAAGTAGAGGCAAAGCAACAAATATATTTCACTTGATCGAGATTCATGCCGAGGTAGGGTAAGTTCTAAGCGACGTCGAGCTCCAGGTTCGAACCAAACCACCGGTGTACGTAGTCTTCACAGAGAGCCTAGAACTCGAAAGAGACTTTATATGGTAAATGCAGATGACGAGAGCGGGGAGGCGTCGGTTCCTAAAGGAAACCAGAGAGCTGCATAGAGGTGGATCCTGGAGCTATGAGATTACATCCCAGGCATCTGACGCGCCTTTGCAACAGCATGGTCATTGGAGTGCACGCAGCACCTCATTGTATAACGCAGTTGTCCATAGCCCGCGGTCGGAGATAACGCGTTCGTGGAGGCAACTAACAGGAAAGCCCCCGATTTGATAAACCAACCCTTTGTTCCGGTGGACTGACCAGAGTGGAAATTCGTATCTAGTACATATTATCATTGAACAACGCGTCCAGAACCAGCTTGAAGTAATAATAGCGGAGAAGCATCCGTCCCCGTGCAGAAAGCTGCGCAGACAAGGCTCCCCCAGGGAGTACAAAGGATCCTTAGGGAAAGCAGTTCACAAGCTCGAGTGAACCTGAGCTTCTGAGTCAACTGACAAGTTAGGTCAAGTCCCCTTAGGTTGGGCGTTCAGGTGGGAAGTCCAAAAAGAGGAAGCTCAGCCTCGAGAGCTAGTCATGAAATGAATTCGAAAGCGGTACTGAGGGTTCTCGAAGCCAAGGGATGCTGCGGGCACCCGATTCAGTGTCGTACATAAGCTTTTGGAACTTAGTACAAATTTATACTCTCTTTCTATGTTAATAGACAGAACCGAACACCGAGTCGTGGGCTACAAGGTTTCGGTGATATCCATACATTTGGATCCCAGGTGATGAAACTGAGCCTAAGGTCCAGAGTCATCTTACAGCCTCGATCTGTTTAGACACGTGTAACTAACACCATTTGATGATGTCATCTCCGCGCTTTCGCAATGTGCGTTGAGGGTTGAGGGTTGAGGTCTCGACATCTATATGGTCGTATTATATGGGCTGTGGGAATCGAAGGTTCGGAATTATATCCTGTGCCATCCAGCCATCAGTTCTATATTACGTACGGAAGGCAACATATTCTGGACAAGAACTTACAGGTTTCAAAAGCACGACTCTCCGCCCTCAAAGTTACTCATGAAACAAAGAGTCCGAATCGACAATGTGTCACTGCATTCCGCGTTTGTGGGTTAGACCCAATCTTCGATTCGTTGATGGGGGGGGGGGGGGGGGGGGTTAAAGCAAAAGTACGCGGTGGGAAATTTAACTGACCACGTGCCGCGAGTGCAGTGTGGTTCTGCCGCGAGGACCTGGTTTTAAGGCCCGAATGGAAGCCTCTTGGATCAATTGAACTTGTGATTCAAAATATAAGAACATAAACGACGCTGGACAGCCTGGTACCATACGATATCTCTGCTGCAGATTTCACCCCCATCTGGAAGCGAATAAACCTTGATGCGATGTATGATGTGTTGGCGCAAGGTATGTTACCGTACATGAATCTGTTCAGCATATCCTGTGTACTCACTTTAGACTACTCAGTATAGAGCGACACCTGAAGCGCACAGCAGTGATAGCGACTACATGTCCGTTACTCTACTCTACATTATACGTCAAAATACCCGGGGAACTCAGAAGGAAGAGCGGAGGGACCGGAACAAGAGGGAAAGAGGATCCTGAGGTCCTGTACCTCCACCGCGTCTTAGTAGTTAGCTTACTCATTGCGGTTAATCAAATGCTGAAAACAAAAAAAAAGCGGTGATAGCGACAGTGAGCTTCCCAAGATGGCTGGCCAAATAAACTGCTCGCGAAGTTGATGCTCCACGGTCTTCGGTAGCTGCGGCGGCGAGAGCACTGGTACAGATGTCTGTAGGCGGCTAGCAACTGCCATCCGGTTCCATGAGACAAGGGCACTGATTGCTAGAGAACTGTCCCTCGGACAGAGCTTCGGAGGTAGAATAGCCGAAGTGCAGCAGCCGTGAAGTCTCCATCCTAAAATTCACGTCCGTTGTCGCCCAGTAACATCGAGGATGGGTTGGCCAGGTGAAAGAGTGTACAGTCACAAAAGAGAAGCCAGTAGGCGAACCGAACCGGTCATAAAGTAATTGTACCTTCCGAGTCGGAGAGTGAGGCAAGTACACTTGATCGAGGACAGTGTATCCTCCATTCACGGCGGTTAAAGATCGAGGGTGGACGGTTTACACTGAATTCGACTTCTGAGCCGTCACTAGGTTCCCCAAAGACAGGCAAAAACCAAGCGGAGAGCTCAGTTGCATGTTCATCTATGCTACAAAGAGCGATTGCGCCAAAATCTAGGAGGTCTTGAGAGCCAGGAAAACTGGCACCCTGAAGATCTAATAATGGAAACATAATGACGAGTCATCTTCTAAATGAATGACATCAGGCAGTATTTGCAGTCGATAAGATATTTTTGGTTCAAGACTTTTCTTCATATGGATCATTGAGTCTGGTTATCAGAGCTGCTGCAGTACCCACAGTTTTTGGAAAGATCCTGCCCGACACGGCTAATAGCCACTCAGCCCGAACAACCGATAGTTATCTTTAACTTATCTTGATGAGCAACATAAGTTGATGAGATACATCATCCTCGAGTATATCGACAAAATGTGCCTCGTTTCCGGTGCCGGCACTAATAAACATTGTCTTCTAGCTGCTGGCGGTATATATCTATTTCGGAGGTTATATCTTTCTCTTGTATAAATTGCGGGTACAACTCCATCGAGCAAACATCTTTGCAATGCCAGCCCTCTCGATTCCCGAACTTTTCCAGCTGCTTATCCTTACATTGTCCTCGACTTCTCTTGCACGGCTTCCTCTGGTCTTGGTGATCTTTGTCTTCATCGGCGTCGTCGGATATACCCTCGTCTATCCCTATCTTGGACCCTACTCTCCGGCGGATGTCAGGGAGAAGACCGAAAAAATGATGGAGGATGCCAAGGCTACATATGATGTGCTGAAGCGCGAGCACCTCTCTCAAACATCCGACGAAGAAGAGCACCGTAGGTGAGCTTCGGGCCAACCTCCATGTATCGCATCCTCTTACTCCGCAACGTAGACACAGCGCCGCTTATGATGCTCTGTTTCAGCGACATCTCAGTGATCTCTATGATGAGCATGCGCTTTTCCTCCATCCTATGCATTCCTTCCGTTTCTGGTGGGACGCAGGCATATGGAGGTCTGACATCGGTAGCTGGGTCAACCAAATGAAAGTTCGTGCGTTCTTTTATGCTTTCCCGATATCAACTCACGTTTGCGCTATAGATAGCCATCAAGAAGAAACAACTGTCGCGGTCCGCAAGCTCCCCTGGCTTAGGGTCGAGAGCAAGATCAACGAACACCCTGACCAACTCAGGTACGGGCTATTCCAATATCTCGCGGGGTAGTCCTTCATCGTTACATTCCAGATTCCAACATATCTACATCCGCATCGAGCGTCAGCGCCGGTGATGTTATGCCGAGCGTTAACTTTGGTGGTGGTGCGTTTGCTTCACAAGCTAGCTGCCATTAACTTACCGCTATCTCCCAGAGACCTACCTTCTATCGTTAGTGCAAAGTCCAAGCAGTAGTAATCGAGGCGGTAGCTCAGCTCCATCAAGTGAGGAGGATATCACCAACTCCGTTTAATCGCGTGCTGTGGTGAACCCTCGCTACTTCAGTCGTCCATCTATAAACATTATCAATCACCCAGTCCTAATAGTCGTCCACTGTATTTGTTGAGCAGCGTATAGAAACAAGTCCTGACATAACCTATATATTTCTTGCTTTTGATTGATGACTGAGTGGGAGTCGTTAACCTCGAAAAAATACCTCACATTCCGTCGAATCAAGACACATCCTACTTGGAAGATCTTTACTGAGGTATTCCTACATGGGTACACAAACTTAGCAGAAGCCATCTTCAACTATTACATCTTGATTCAAGCCCTGGATGCTGTTCTTCTTCCGTAAGGATCTTGAATGCCATTTGACCATGACCACCACCAGGCTTTTTTGCTTCCAATTCCCGGTGAGATTCAAGGTGGGCTCAAGATGTCCATTGTCCCCGCGATGGCATCGAAGATCTTATGGAGATACCATTGCCTCCACCACTATTCCCTCCCTCAAGCTGCCTGCCGTCCTAATTTATAGCCTTTTATCCTGCCAATTGAACTTTTCAGACTTGGCTCTCTTCATCGTCGCCTGAATATCTCAGCATGCACCCAGAACGGACAAGTTGTGACATTTCAACACGAGATAGTCGACCGCAGGCGCTGGACGGGATGAAGACGAGATGCTAACAACTAAGTATAAGTTAGAGAGACCGCCGTTCAAACGTTCAAGGTTAGTTCAAGGTCACTCACGAAACGCTGCTATTGGCCACGAAGTATAATTAGGACTGATGGTGGCTTATCGTCGTCCATCAAATCAAGGCACTTAACACAAACAAGGCACTTTCCGATTCTTGGTTCTCGAAGCGTGCTTGCAGTTCTATGACAACACTGGTATTCATACTCCATATCACCTTTTTAAGTTATCTATGGACTCGAGAGTCGACTTTGAACTCTGACAATGGGGAAGTCTCCGAATAGGTCGGTATATTTGGAAGAAGCTGTTAGACACTTTCCACATCTTTGCATGATTCAAAGAGTCGCGGCATATTCAAAACAGCCTCTTGCATCATTGAACCACTTATTATACAATCCCAAATGTTCTAAGAAAGATTACAATGTCCTCGAATGCGTAGCGAATGACCTAAGACTCGCTAGGTCATTAATTGGTAGTGTCATTGGTGTGTGGGGTAACAGCGATTCCGACTTGGCTGTTAGTCGTGTCGTAGACACTGTAGAACCTCTGGAGGAAGGCGAATCCATCTGAAAGGAGGAAGGTTCAGTCGTGCATGGAAGAAATACAAAGATCAGCACGGACCAATGAAGTCAAGGCCTGATCCATCCATGCTGCCCATGTCAGCTACGACAAGATAAATTCCGTCGGCCGTGCCACCCATCATGGTGTTCAAGCTCCTAGGCCAGATCTGGGCATTGGGTGTCATGTCGAAAGTAGTCTGATTACCAGAGTCATTATCCTGGTTTCAAAGACCCTGAAGAAGGCCACTCACCGAGCCAATATTGAAGGAGAGGTTCTTCATCTTCTTGAATTGCGCCTCGGTGACAGAAAGAAGTCCGGTAGTCCTGAAAACGTGTCAATGCATTTCACAGAAGAAATTCTTAAACCGTACTCGTCCATCTTGGCTCCCGTAGCCTTCGTGTACTTCTCGAAAGCACCGCTGGACAAAAGAAGTAGGGTAGTACCGGTATCAACGATACCCGCGGAAGTCGACATGATGGTGGTGCTCCCATATGTAAGCGACTGGTCGATACCCCAGTACTTGTTAGCTGGAGACGTAGAAGTGATGGGAACATAGGTAATTTCTCCCGTGTACCTAGTCGGAGAGTCATTCGAGGCAACGGAACGACGAGAATTATAGCATACTTGGAGGAGTCCTCAGTACCAAAGGTCAATTCTCCATTCGCCATGTCCGTACCCGTCGTAGGTACGTACGAAATACCAATCGACTCCTTGTCGATCTTGCCCTCGCTCTTAAGATTATCGGTAACAGTAGGAATGGTTCCCGAGCCACTGACAGTGCCTAAGAGGTACACCATCAGTCAAAACATTAGTCGCAGAGGGGAATGTACAACGTACCCTCGGTGAGGTCTACCGGTCCAATGCTACAGACACACTACATCAAACCTCGTCCCAGGAAAAGAAAGAAGGACATACCCAAGGATTCCGTCAACTCCACTGAAACCGGAGGCAGAGGAGGCGACACCAATGGACTGTTCGTCGATGACAAGGTCGGCGGCGAGCTCCACTCGGTCAGTGTCTGAAGGTGTACGTCAGGAAGTCACTAGTGACTACAAGTGTGAAGCATACATTCGGTTCCAGTGAATGATCCGGATCCATAGCTAACTTTCTACAGATAGAGATATATGTAGGCGATATCTTTTCATCATACATAGAAAGACGTACGACAGTCTTTCGAGTGCTGGAGAAGGCCATCAGTCAGCACCCTGGCAACGAAGGACTAGTAGGCGACATACCTCTTGCTGGTGGACGATGGAGCGTATTCTGTGTCAGCGCCAACCCAGGTGTTCGAGCTTCCTGTAATAAATGAGCAAAAAGCGAGAGTATTCGACGAGGAATGCGCACCCGTGTCAATGAGGAGAGTGAAGGCCTGCGCCGACTGACCAACCTTCACGGTGGTGGTGTAAGTAACGGCTAGAGACAAGACCGCTATTAACACCTATGGAGATCTGGGATGTCTTCAAGCTCCTACCAGCATCTGTCACGTCAATTGAGTTGTCGTTACCGGTCGGGTCACTAGGTTCAGAGGTTTCCGGGCCGCGGTGGTGGTGATGGTGGTGGTGACTCTTCTTTGCGCGCAGCTCTTGGATGCCAAGAGGGCCATGAGGCTGAATACCGGCCAGGAGCTTCTGGGCGCGAGCCCTATCACGAGCCAGGATATCCTTAGCATGGCCGACCTTGGGGTGAAGACGAGAAGCAAAAGGAAGAGCTGTGACCAGAACGCGAGACATCATTCAGTAGAGAAGGATTAGTAGCTAAGAGAGATGATGGGGAGTTAGTTAGGATGGATACATATGTCCAACCTCTCGGGTTTTATAGTCGTATCTTATTTGTCTATGTCGTGCATGGACAGAAGAGCTCTAAAAATAGGATCAAGATAGCGTTGGATCAACTTGAACTTCCGATCGGGTGCAAACTGGGCCGTGATGATGATCATGCAATAGCATGCATGATGTATTGGCAAGCTACACACGCCGCGGTACCGCGTCTGAGAGACACGATATGGGCGACCCTGGCTCCAGCCTTGATGGTACATTCTACTCGCGGGATATCAGCCGTGAGTTCGGAGAATCACAGCGCCATTACTATACCTGCGCGAGCAAGGGCTAATTCGTCAATTCACCCTGACGAGGGTATGACAACGCAGTAGTGCGTGTCGATGGTGCCAAGAGGAGCATCACAAGCGAATACATCAGGTTCTTTGTCGATACGCAGCAGATGCACCACATTGCAGCACAGCTTTACGACAAAAGAGAAAGTCTCCGTTACAGGGTGCATGGGAATGTGATTGAGGAAGTTGTTACAAATTTGCAACTGCGAAGAAAGTAAGATTTCCAAGAATAGCCTACTTACTGTACGTAGTATCTTCGAAGACCAGCAATGAGTAACAGTGCCCCTAAGGCGACCGTGCGCCATGGCCGAACCCTTAAGCGAGCGGCCAGTGCACGAATCCTTGAGGGACTAGGTGGGCCTTTCTTACCAGCTTCGTCGATTGCAGCAATTTCCTCCTTTGTCAATGGTGCTGTTCGCACGCATTAGTTGAGTCAATAAATCAATTAGAAATGACAACTCACCAAGATCCGCTACATCCAAGTACTCCAGAAGACGCTCCTTCTTTGAGCTTGTTCTGGAAATGGGAAATTGAAAATGAGAAGTGATAGATTCAAGCGACTCGGAACCCACGTCACGATAACGGCGCCTTTACTGAGGACCCATAGCTGTAGCACCTGGGCTGGCGATGCATTGCGCCGCTGCGCCGCTTGAGAAACAGGGGCGTCAACAGGTCCTCCTGGTGTTTTGGTGATCGGGCTGAGAGCCTGTGAACGCATGTTGTGGAAAGGAGCGAAGAGACCTACGTCAGACTGCTATAAGCTTCCACGATAATGTCGTGCTTCTTGCAATATTCCAGTACTGGAACCGCATCCGCGTAGTTGTACGGATGAAGGTTAATCTACGCCACCGTCGTTATGACATATTCAATTTCCTGGGTAGCGCTATGCAGAGACACATACTTGATTTACGGCTGGAATGACTGTTGCGATCTTGACAACTTTTTCAAGATGTTCGACTCCGAAATTGCTTACACCGATACTCCTGGGACGTGAATTCAACAACTGTCAGGGGCGATACTGTTCTGTGAGATACGCACTTGGATAAGCCGTCTTCCTTGATTTTCTCGAACTCCTTCCAAGCGTTCTCAATACTTCCTGTGACCAGTCGCGGTGAGTGAATGAGGTAAAGGTCAACGTATTTCAGGCCGAGCTGGTTCGCTGATAAGAACGAAGTCAGCCAATGAATGGTTGGTACTTCACACCTTCGTCAGGCTCTTCCGGACTTCCTGTTGAATATCTCCGCCATCATACTTCGTTGCAATGTAAAGGCTTTTTCTGTCCAATCCGCTTTCTTTTATTCCTATACCGACGCCCTCCTCGGTTTGATAGTCTTTGGATGAGCCGTTAAATTACGCCGCCTATTGATAAGAGACCACGCACATGCAGCAGTATCAATGTGACTAAACCCCGTCTCCAGGGCCTGCTCGACGTATGGTACGACGTCCTGGAACTTCCAGACTGAGCCCGTCCCGTAGGCAATAAGAGGGATCTAGGATGGCGCATCAGCTGATGTCAACGCTACACGACGAAGCATCAGCCCACCTCAGTACCGTCGTTCAAGGGGATAGTTCCAAAGGCCATGGTGGTTGCTGCTGAGCAATCACGACTGGGTTATATTTGCAAGAAACCGCAAAGTGATAACATGGTTATCCAACGCGAATATGAGAGCAAATGATGTCAACCGGCCGGGAGATAGGCAGATTTGTGCCGCGATCGGGACTTGCTCTCCGCAACTAGCCGACTAATTTTCGATTCCGCTCGTCATGTCGGACGACGTGGACCCTATCTTTGCTCCTAAGGCCGAAGATGGCTCTGCATCAGCCTCGAGTCGCAAGAGGAGAAGGCCTGACAGCAGCCAGTCAGAGCGAGACTCAGCGGACGGACTTGGGGCGCAGGTCAGGGCGGCGAGGAATATTGGAAGAGACGAGGCCTTTTACTTTGATGATGGGAGTTGCGTTCTTTTGGTAGAGAATACCTTGTTTAACGTGGGTGTATAGTGGCTTGTTATCTGCACTGATAATTGTAACTTTTTACAGGTCCATCGAACCATGCTTTCGAAGGACGGTTCTTCATTCAAGATGATGTTTACCTTGCCTCAGGGTAGCGAACCAACTGAGGGCACCTCCGACGATATCCCAATACATCTAACAGGAGACAGCGCTAAAGAATTTCGAAACTTTCTCGGCGCCCTTTACGCCTTGTGAGCACAACGCTTGTCCTGCTGCTTCTGGTCATTATTCTTAGAGTTTTTCCCCAGACCTCCGGAAATGCGAGCTCTAGCAACGGATGTCTCTAAGCTTATCGATATTGCCCGCATATCAAACAAGTATGCCTTCAAATCGCTGGAAACGTGGGCCCTCGACGCCATCCAGGAGTACATCAACCACCGTCCAACGCCTATGCCCCCTTTTCCCTTCCCATTCTTCACCCAGCCTTCACTAACAGCAACACCTATCTTGTTCGGGTCTGAATCCGAAACTATCACACAACTGACTCGCTTGATGCGTCTGGCGCAGATGTGCAACCACGAACGGCTGCTCAACACCATGATTGGCCTGCTGAGGCAGCTCATGACCACGTCTCCACGTTACGCCTATCTTGCCATGTCCCTCTCAGACGAACTTGCTCTTCGATCTTTACGCGGCGAGGCTTACTTGGAGGTCATGCATAAGACTGTGGTTGTCAAGAAAGGTCACGCTGAGCTAGGCGACATCGACGAGGAGGGCCGGCTCGTCGTCAGTTCTACTGAACAGTTGCGACTATTAACGGGCTACTATCGCCTATCCAGAGCATGGGAGAGACTGAGACTGACCGCACCTCCTATCGACCATTCCCCTTCATGCAATGCGACATGGCATCAGCCTTCATGTTCCCAGAGTTGGGTCGAGTTCTGGAAGGAGAAGACGAGGGGTGATGCCGTACTTTCTTTGGGACTGGCAGATGTACTGGGGAGGCTCAAACAAGTACAAAAGGATTTTGATCGTTGGGGCAGCGCTACCTACATGCATCAGGACTGCCGGCTAGCCGCTCGACGGAGTATCTTGCATTTGATCAAGACAGTGGAAGACAGATTGCCAGATTACTTTTCGGAAGAGAGGGACGAATGACTGATACTCATGGAACTATGTTGTGACTCTAAGTGTAATAGTAAAATACAGTATATATTTTGTACAGATGACGTTTCATACAATGTATACAGTTTCCAGGCATTGCGTTTTTTCACGTTTTCCTCTTTCCTTTGGCCCTCCTTCTAGATGGTTGTGGCGAGGCAATGGCAGGTGATTGCCCCGGCACCGATACCGCGTACCCCTGGGGAGGGCTATCTACAGCCCAGGGCTCCTTGTTGGCAATAAACAAACGCCCCGGCGGTTGTCCATAGGCCTGTTTCTGAGAATTCGGCATCATGCTCTGGATGATTTCATCCACACCCATGCTAGACTGGGGTCGTTCCGTACCAATTCTGGATCCGCGGAACATAATCTCCTGTTCAATGATCTCATTCTGGGAGATCATTCTCACTTTACGGCGCAAGCTGTCCACAATTTGCTCCGCCAGTTCTGTGAGAATGTATGAGTGATGCTCTGGTAACTTTGTATCGCGAACTTACCCTGCGCCCTGGAGGGCGTCGTAGGCCGCTCAATCAAGACAGGTTGTTCGGCTGCTTCTTCCTCTGGCCGTGGTTGGTACAACTTTAGACGATTGTCATGCTTCACGTTGAAACCCGACTGCGAAATTACGGATTCCGAGTCTGAAAATGATGTCTTGTCATCTCCGTGGTTTGAACCGAGTGATTCATTGGGGGAGGGTGAACGCGTGAGCGGGGGGGTGTATAATAATGAATGGCTGGTCAAAGCAGAGATTGAGAAATGGGGGGGCATGTTCACCGATATTGAGAGAGGATTTCACTATGAAAGGAGTCAAAGAGATTCCAAAAAGGCATAAGGAGAGCTTAAAATGGGTGTCATTGTTCGAGACAAAGGCCCTGAGAACTTCGCGTGCCATCAATGTATAATAGAGACAAATAACGCGTCCCTTTAAGGGATCTACTCTCTGAGAGTCAAAAAATCTCCTCGCCAGCAAGCGAAACAGTCATGGAGGGCAGGGATACCTTCCAAATTTCTAATCCATTGTTGCATTCGCCTTGAGGCTCCCACACCTCTGATACTCACTCCCGCCGTGGCCATCCGTGTTTGCCGTCCATGACAGACAGAGTCGATCAGGTGCGCTATAGCCTATCAGTGCCTTCAGTTCCTGTGATATATTATGATCTAGAGCTTCTAACTCGTCTCAGTGTGTCCCGAAAATAACGGAATTAAGTATGCTCATAGACTGAGGTTTTCGATCTCACGGCGATTTGAATGATTGAAGGTGGCATGGAGAATCGAAAGTGTCCGACGAAGCAATGAAATTCACCAGGCCCATTCCTCACGTCGGCGTTGCGGTCCGAAACCAAGTTCGGATACCTTGGCCCGGCCCCGTCTTTCCTTGTCAACCATTATCGTTGTGAAAAATTCTACGACGAATTCTCCCGGAGTTTATTGTGCTATGTTCTCTTCTGTAATGGAAGGCGAAATGTGCTTTCTCAAGGTTGCCTTATTCCGAGTATTCCTTTTCAGCTGCAGTTTATGTTGTTTGTCTCTGGGCTCCCCAGAAGTTCAAGACCAGACATGCCCTCTCTTCGACTCGATCACACCGCTCCATGTTCCCACCTTCGTTTTGGCTGATTAACATGACGTGCTCCCGGATCGATCCTAGAATACATTCACTTGACTTTCGCTTGTCAGTTACTCTCGATTCTTAGCTAGAACACTCGTCATCGTTTGGAAAAATGTCATGGTGTTCCACCCAGGAGCCACCGGTTTCGGATTTAATCTTCTATGTTGCTCGAATTGTCATCAGCTTCTCAAAGTTTTCCTACTGCACAGGCCAAGCACTGCAGTCTATAATGGCGACGTTCTGTATTATCTTGCAGAAATGCCATTCCTGCAAACTTCGCGTCGCGTAGGACTACGGCATTCACCGGAGTCTGTACCATCTCATGCCCCTTATGCGTCAGTCAGTGTCCTTCCCTCCCAAGTCTCTGGTCATCACATTCTTCTTAGGTGCCGTGGTTCTTTGGTCTTAGCATCGAACACCGCGGTCCTTCGCAGTAGAACGACCAAGTGCTAGTGCTTTGACGGATCACAGCTTCAATTATATGTCTCTATCTAGCTTCATGACGGCCCGCATTTGTCGAGTCCTTCTTCGCTGTATCACTGACAGTACACATTTCAACAAATGCGGGAGCGGGACGGTTCCCGAGGAATCGTGCTGAGTCTCTCAATTTGGCCGAGAATGAAAAGGTTGCAGGGTCTTCAGCTCGGAGCTTCTGCTAGAAGGCGAAGGCAGAGGCAAAGTGCGAATTTTCTTTCGAAGATGTATTCTTGCATTGACTGGAGATGATCAGAATGAGCATTATGTGTACATGTACCCCATCCACATGACGAGTATGAAAATGTGGATCTTTCTTCTGTCAAATCCGAAGATAGTTAGCCTACATAGACTTCTCTGTCGTCACGTCGTTTCTCGGAGAATGGCGATTCAGAAATTCGAAGTCTCGCGGTCGCTCGGAAGGTGAAAGCTTGCTGTCTACAGGTGCTTGAGCTTTCAGGATTCTTTCATCTGTATTAGCCCATGGCGGTATAGTTACGTAGTGAAAATGCCGATTTATGTAAGTTTTTTAATGCCTTTCCAGATAATTGATTCTGAGTATTTTAGCTGCAGATGCTGCGCAAGTGCACATGTGTGGCGTCCCCCCCGCTCGGTATACAATGTCGTGCGATTTCCCGTATAGGTGGTCTTGTCGTGGGATGGCTTAGAACTTATAATCCGCAGCATTGACGGCGGCCTGCTGCCTGAGAAACTCAAGATTTTTATAGCATGATAAGGATTTATCGTGAGGCTTGCAAGGACGTCGTAGTAATTAATATTCTAAGGCAGTACACAGGCGTCCTACTAAACGCCACTGTATATTCATGGCAACCGGGTTTTAGTAACGGAGATGATGTCATAATGCTGTGACCGCGCCCATTTGCCCAGCCTCTATATATTGGACCAACACTTAACTCCGTAACCACCACGACGCCAGCTCATCAAGTATGAGTTTCCTCAAAAAAATCATTGATAAAATACCAGACGGAATTGAGCATGCCAGGCAGGAGGCTATAGGTAAGAGACCCTAATCTGATTAGTTTTTTGCAGTGCAACCCTATTCATCTCTCTCGCAGGAATCTTGAACCCTAATCGTGAGCCAGACCATTGTCGACTTCCCTGAAATGGCTGACATGAATTTCAGGTCGCCACGACGATCCCGAAGAGAAGAAGGCCGATGAGATTAGGCAGGCTATCAACGACAGTCATCGTTTTCGCAGTTTTGCAGAGGAGAGAGCGGGAAACTTTGTGAAATGGCATATTGATGGACATGATTACATGTGGGCACTCTCTGAGCTGATTGATAACGCCAGAGAGGCCATATTCATCTTGGTACGCTCACAATTTCGTCGTTTTCGTTTTCGTTTCAACTTTCAAATGTACTACTATAGGATTGGTGGCTCACCCCAGAACTATTCCTCCGCCGTCCCCCTGAGGATTACCCTGAATACCGTCTTGATCGTCTCCTAAAGCGCAAAGCAGAGCAAGGCGTTAAGATCTATGTCATTGTATACAAAGAGGTTACTCAGACGATGACTATGAGCTCTTGGCACACCAAGCATACACTCGAGGATCTCCACCCCAACATCACCTGCCTTCGTCACCCAGATCACATTGGCTCTAAAGATGACGTGCAGTTCTGGTCCCACCATGAGAAAGCCGTTGTGATAGACAATCATTATGCGTGTATTGGTGGTCTCGATTTGTGTTTCGGACGTTGGGACACGCATAATCACCCTCTCGCAGATGTGCACCCGACGAATTTCAGTCGAACCTTGTTCCCCGGTCAGGATTACAATAATGCACGAATCATGGATTTCAAAGATGTGAGATGGTACGCAAGTAACACTCTTTCAATCTTGGAGAGCGCGAGGATGCCATGGCATGATGTTGGTGTCATTCCTCATTCACGATTTGCCGCGTTTTTGACGCGTTTTTCACAGGTTCATATGTCCTTGACCGGGCCTGTGGTGCTGGACATCGTCCAGCACTTCGTCGAGAGGTGGAATGAAATCAAGAAACGCAAGGCGAGTAACTTCTGTTCTTCTCAGTATGCCTCTGTTTTGACAATTCTTACTATCTGTAGTATCGCAACAAAGAGTATGTGTTGTTTCTACAATTATTGCTTGTTCTCCTCATCTCGTTTAAGAAATGTTGATTGGCTCTCCTTACCACACGATATCGAAGCGGCCCCTAATGAGGCTGTTGCTCGTAAGGGTGTTCATGATCTCACTGTTTGTCAACTTTGCTCATGTTTCTTAGGCCACCCGCACCGTGAGCATTGGGCACAGATAGGACGCAAGTACCGTCAGAGATGGCACCGTCGTATCCACGGCGACGAGGGAGAAGACGAAGAAGACGCAGAAGAGCCAGGATATAAGAGACCAGCCGCACCGTCGTGCCGAGTTCAGGTCGTGCGCAGTGTTTCAGACTGGAGTCATGGTGTTTTGACAGAGCACAGTGTCCAAAATGCCTGTGAGTGCTGTGGTATGAGCATAACTCGTCAAAGACTGACATTCTTTCACAGATGTTCAATTGATCCTTGAGGCGAATCACTTCATCTACATTGAGAATCAATTCTTGTGCGTGTTCCCTTTACGTCTTTTATCTGCAGACCGACCATAACGATATTCGTTAGTATCTCTGCTACTAAGGAAGGTGGACCAGTTGTAAATCTCATCGGGAAAGCTCTGGTCGAGCGTATCGTCAGAGCAGCGCAGGATGGGAAGAAGTTCCAGGTGATCATCTGTATTCCTGAACTCCCGGGATTCGCAGGCAACGTTAAGAACGAGTCTTCGCTGAAGATCATCATGGCCGGTCAATACCGCACTATGAATCGTGGTGGCAGCAGTATCTATGAGGAGATCAGGAAGGCTGGATATGAACCGTGAGTTCCAATCACGTCTCTTATTCAGTGACCTGATATTTCTTGGGATGTAGCTCGGATTACATTCGGTTCTTTCACTTGAGGTCATATGATAGAATCAATTCGCCCGGTAGATTTAATCATTTTTTTTCCGTCTGACTGCATGCATATCTAATGCTTGTACCCCCACAGCTGGGTATATCACAAGAATGGAGCAAATCTCGGGTGTCAAATTCCATGAAGCGCAGGTTGCACTTGCACGGATATGGATCGGCGATGTTTCGGACGGGGTGCAGAAGGAAGTTACTATTGCAGTGCCCAAGCCTACAACAGAAGGGTTAGTCGTCACGAATAAGTCGGAGAAGAAGACAGATGATAGTATCATCAAGGTGGGATCATATGCGTTTCATCGCTACTTTCTTTCTAAAACTCGCCATCAGGTTCCTATACCCGAGACGGAGGAGGCCGCCAGGGAAATCATTCGGCGATGGGAGGCCGCCTCTGACCAAATTCGTGATGATGAACTTGTTAGTGATAGCGTGGCGCAGCACATGCTTGACGATAAGACGAGTTTGGCAGATGAGCTGTGGGAAGGCTCGGAAGAGGAGGAGTTGAACGCGTAAGTTGTATCCGTGGATCACAATCTTGAGTACTAATTGGTCGTGACAGATACGTCTCGGAATTGTTGTACATTCATTCCAAACTGATGATTATCGACGATACCAGAGTCATCGTATGCATGTTTGACCTTGTCTATGACCTTCTCTGACTTCACAATTAACAGATGGGCTCTGCCAACATCAATGACAGAAGTCAGAAGGTAAGTTCAAGTATTTGCTTACTGTATGATGCTCAACCGTGGACTTTAAAGGGCGACGGCGACTCGGAAATTGCACTTATAGTGGAAGACACCGACATGATCGAGTCTACGATGAACGGAAAACGTGTCATGGTTGCGAGATTTGCTACATCGCTTAGGCGTAAGCTTTTTAGAGGTATAAACCCTACTATCCCCATAATCCCGCTTCACTTGACCTAACAACCACAGAACATCTCGGTCTCATTGAACCTCAATGGCCCCGCCGGCAGTCGAAAGAACCTGACTCGTTCATGCGTCCTGCTCCTCATCCTAACGACAACGAATTTGACTTGGCAGAAGACGACTTGGTCGCTGATCCGATTTCTGAAGCTACCCTTTCTCTGTGGAATGGCACTGCAAAGAAGAACAGAGAGGTGTTCGCTGAGCTATTCCGCCCCGTTCCGTCGAATCTGGTTAGGGACTGGAAGGCTTATGAGGTTCGTCCCCGTTTAGATGTGATTGATTGCATGGGGGTTGACTAATGATGGAACGACCAGGCCTACGTTCCCAAAGTCAAGACGGGCCATGTCATACCTGGCATTTCCCTTGATAGGCTTAAGAGCCGCTTGTCTCAGGTCAGGGGGGCGTTAGTCGAATGTCCCATGGTTTGTTCTTCATTTTTGATAACTTTCTTGGAGCTCATGGGGTTCCGTTTAGGACTTCCTCATTGATGACAAGGAATTCGTTACCGGTCCAGAATGGACGGGCCTGAATCCTACGTTGCCTATTTACATTTAAATATATCAATGAATGATAACTAACGAAGGTAAGACTATTTATGCATGTAGTAACAATATTACAATATTATTGGCACATGTCTGAAATCGTAATGATTTAACGGTCGAGAATTCAGACGGGCTAGATGTATTTACCTTCTGGGTCCTGAAGCTCTACTCGTTACATCCAATGTATGTGTACCGTGAATAGTACCAAGCACCTCCATTAGAAGTTTGAAAACGCCGGATTGAAGTATTTTTCTGACGGGCCGAGAAAGATGTTGATTGTTGATCGGGGAGGAGGTATTTTAGAACCGTGCGGGAGATGTGCCAGAGCATGATCATCACTCCGAGCATCGTCGCTGACCTTGTCGGCTCCGAAAGAGTTTCTGTATTGATGAGAGCGAGGACATCTTTGTAAGAAAGGTGGCGTCGCCCCATTGCAACGCTTACACCAAGGTCATCGAAATTTAGAGTGAGTTATGTAAGTTATGTAAACCAACGCCGCTGAATCGTATTGAGTTACAGATACATGTTTATTATTATTGAAGTCATTCCTACGATGCTATCTTGACCTTCAACTTCAATTGTGGTCCTTTATCCACTTCGCCCTCAAGGGTCGGTGTAACCACGGCACATGGTTCCCTACGAATTCTGTGGGCATCAGCCGTGAGCTTGAACTCGAAGCCATTCACAAGTTCGGTAACGAAGGCGTGCATCTCCAGCAATCTGTACGTCGTGTTAGGTGACGTATAAGGATGAATATTGATCAGACATACGCGAATCGCCAACCCGTGCACGATCTCTTACCACCGATGAAGGTAAAACTGTACACACGAAAGATAAATGTTCTGTACCAGTAGAAGTGAGGGAAGGAACACACAGATTTGCGTATACTCCAATCGACGTGTCGTTTCTGGGCTTCACAGTACCCTCTAACCACCTTTCAGGATTGTACAAATCCGCGTCCACTCCAAAAATCTCTTTGTTGCGGTTGTAAGCCGCGATGGAACAGAAGACATACGTGCCTTTGGGAATCGGTATCTCGGTAAGTACCTTCCCGTCGACATCTATGATAGACTGGCTTAAAGGCAATACATCATCCTCGCATGCATATCTATAGGCGTGATGTAGGGTTGGATGGAACCGAAGACTCTCCTGTTTCTATGTGAGTAAAATAACGGCACTGAAAAAAATATATGATGGAGACCTTGACGACCGCGGTCAAGTAAGGCATGGAATCGAAGTCATCTGCCGTCAATTCGGAGACCGCCCGTTTGCGGAGGTAGGCGCGAACCTCGGTGCGAAGCTTTGTTTGGACATCGGGATGTCGCGCTAATTCCAGTAAAGTCCACGCTAATGCGTTAGTTGTAGTTTCATGACCGGCGACAATGATCGTGCTGTTGCCAGAATGTTAGTACCGCTTGCTTGTTCCTTGCGGTAGTAGAGAGACGTACTTCATTTGAGCCCATAGCTCGTTCTCTGGCAGCTTTTTCTTACGATCCTCTGATGCGTTCGCTTTTACTGAACATGGGTTATTAGCAATCATCTTCCCAACATCAGATAGAGAAGATACTTGCCAAGTAAACTCATTATGTCTTTATTGCTCTTACCCTCCAACAACAAAGCCTGCTTATCATCGACAAGACCCTTCGCCACCTTCGTTGATATGGTATTCACATTCCTCGCCACGTTTAACCGAGGAACAGGAATGTTCGTCAAAAACTGACTAACAGATTCAGGAAGCCAAGAATCCATAGCACACAACACTAAGAGGGCCAGCTTGGAAGGGACGCCAAAAACATTAAGCCTGGTTAGACATCAGTCGTACAACGCTTGCATCAATTAATAAAATCACATCACGTACGCCATGTGAGCATACGCCTTCGCGAGGTCGGTTTCTGAATTATCCAAGGACCCAAATTGGTAATCGAAGGCAGCTAATTATTGATTCCAAAATCAGCTTCCAGCCACTAGTGATAGTTCAATTAAGAGCACCTTCCCCGGTGGCGTCCAACAACGCGCGAGTAATCCAGGATGTCACTTCTATGACCGCGGAATCTGAGTTGTCGGCGGCTATAATACTTCGCCAGTACGCAGTCATCTAGTTACACAGATCAGTACGCAATTATGCAAGCTACATGAAGGTATAATACGAACCCGACTGGCATACGAGCAGAAGATGGGGACGAATGACCTCAGTTCACGGCTGCCGAATCCCGGTAGAACGATATTCCGTTGGCGCCTGTGGTCCTCACCTAGGACAAGGGGTGCAAATGCATCAGATAAGAAGCCCCGGTCTGTGACCAATCCCTACCTTCGGCGTAGAACAGTCCCGGCCCCAAGACCGCTCCAAGAATCACTCGTATTCCAGTAGGTTTGGAGTAGCGATATCCAGAATTATAAAATATGTGATGGAGCGCTTTGGGGTCCATGAGAAGGAGACGGTTTTCCTGCCCAAAGTTCAGAACAAGGTACGGGATACATAGCCACCGAAACATACCCCCAGGGGCGCCCTGATTCTAATTACATCGCCATAAGTTCCTTGTAGTTGGAAGTCTTTCTGGATATGGACAATGAGAGTTCGAAGAAGAGAATAGATCTATGACTGACAGCACCAGCCTGATCTTGAACGAGAGTGGGGATATAACCTAGAGGAAGGTTTAAAGAATGTTTACAGTTTCACAACGCCCGGACCCACCATAGAGAAAAGAGGGCGATACCGGACCACGAAGACGCGCGATGCTAACGCGAAGACTTCGTCGTGATAATTGGTAGAGAAGGAAAGTAACGAATAAGAGGGCAAATGTTGGGAACATGTTGTACGCAGCTCTCGTTTCGAAAGAACTCATCCTTATATGACGCGCATACCCGGCCATTGATGGCGTTCCTTGTCGAGACATCCCATCCACAAGGTCTGTCTCCGTGATGAAAGGGCTTCGCAGGATGAACTCGGGCCACACACAACTGTTACTCTTAGGGGATAGCGAAGGGTGATTCTGGTTATTTCGGCGCGCGCATTAAATTGTTCTCGGCCCTGTTCCAATAAAATAACCAGACAGGTAAGGACCCGACGATCACAATCGGACATCCTAATTAGTTTCACACGCAGATCCTTGGCCCCTCATCCTATGAATGTAATTAGTCTCCATACATGGCGACGAGATATGGGAGGAATGCTCACATTCTGCAAGCTGCTGAACGGAATCAATTAGCTTAGCTGTGAACTCAACTCGGGATTAGTACCATGTGTCTTGCTTCCAAGAATTAATGGTGGTGCCTTGAGAAAAAACCGGACTTCCATCACTGACATAACTTGATGTAGGTCGAAAATTTCCTCTCACACTACGATCAAGTTTCGGCGTGTCATCAGAGGGAAGACTCTTGTACGCCGGTCTGTGAGTTAAATTAGGAACTAAAATAAATGCGTTGGTATGCAGAGAATAGCCAGGGGGAAAAACGCACCAGGGACGGGGTCACTGTCATAAATAGATAATGGGTATCAATGCAGCGAGAATGAGGGTACACCATTCGATCCTGCGGCCATTATCACAGGTAAGTAGTTAATGAACGTCCAACGGGGCCCTCTCATTCAACGAGCGGGTCACGAGTATCGAATTGTGAAGCATGAAAGATATCCATTCTCGTTCAGCTCCTCTTGATTCAACGCGTCAGTTATTCCATTAGTAAAGATCCTGAAATGAAGTAGAAGATGCTAGAGCTCTATAACCCGCGAGAAGACGTTCGATTTCCCCCTCCCATGTATAACAATCGAAGCAGGAAAAAATATCTCCTTTTGAAGGTATCTTCGTTGGATACGCAGATGATAAGCGGTCATGACAAGGGGGTCGGAGGCGATGATGCGGGTAATACAGCCTTTTTCGTGCTGTATGCGTAGTTTGTAAGCGCCCAACTTGTGGAATGGGAAGAAAATAGTACGAATACGTACCATGGACTCGGAGATGAATGTGAGCCAAGATAACGTGAAGCCAAGCAAGTAACGGCGCCGCGTAATCCACTGCTGTATCCGATAAAACGACCTGAAACGGGGTCGTTAAAATTTGACTGCTTACTTGAGCTTAAAAACATATTTGCAGTAAACGCTCCTCGTAGCGACAAGAGTGAACGAAGGTGTCCTTGTCATCATCATGATTCACTATAAAGTTTGACCGGAAACGAAAAGACCACTGAATATTCAACATGGTCCTCGGGCAGATACGTCACACTAAGGAACAAATGTGCTAGGAGACCTTGGTGCTCCCCCCGTACTGGGGCTTTCTCAAAAAAAGAGCCTGAAACCTTATCAGCGAGTGGATGATACACCTAGAACTTGTCTGCCCCTGAACAGAGCCGAAGTCAAAGAACTAAATTGCGCACCACATCCACATGAAAACGCACTGACGTGGAAATGACCTTCAGCTCTGCGAAGCATCATGGATCCCTCCTGAGCATCCAAGAAAGAGTCATTAGACCCTTTGTGGACCATGGTGGTTTTCAGCACACAGAAGGTGCCATTCTGGAAGCTGGAAAAACAGGGAGATGTCGTGCTCCCTCGGGACTGTCAGAATTTCACTAGTCAAATCTGATTGATCCCCATGATTGAGTAGCAGAAATGTGTCTGGTCTGGATGCCGTTCGCCATTCAAGTTGGAGACTCGTCATCTAATGAGAAGGCAGTGAAGGGAAATCCGTGTGGCTGGTAGAGGCACGTTTTGTAGTTGTGCTGTCACGATACTTGCTAAGACATCAGCGAGTGTGTCAGAAGATTCAATGAAGGAATATAATGATTGAGTGTGAGAACGTTACGATAACTGAGAGCAAACAGAGCAAAGTGAGAGTGTCGCCTTCAGACTTGGAAAGGAAAGAAACGACCACGTGTATGCGACGGAAAACTCCGGAGCTACCCAAGGTACTTACGCGTCAAATAACAGGGTACAACGCGATCTGTTCAACTGTACTATACAGCATTTTCCATTTAGAATATATCTATTGGTGAAGGGATAGCAGGGTCGCTCGGTCCTATCACTGTCTTACTCCTGTCCTTGATTCTTTTGCCTCACAAAAATCTGATCATCAAAGAGGTATCAGAATTCGTGCACATTGAGTAAGCGTCATTAACAGGACATACCATTGAGGTGGTCCTCCCCTCCGCTCCCGCCAGGGGCATTTCTTCTTCCTCCAGAGCTACCGTTTTCAACACCGCCGTCCGACTCCTCAGTGAGCTCAGCCGCCGATGACACTATAACCCCACGGACAAGTCGATACCCATAGATCACCAACTAAAATGTTAACAACGAGAACTGTCAATATGGAAAATGCACACGTAACTCACAGAAGGAGCTTATCAAAGATACTGTTACCAAGGTAATTGTACTCCAGGGTAGGATCGACTCTGCTTGTGCCAGATACGGTGTTGACCGAGATAGAGTCGTCTTCGTTTTCAGTCAGTTGCTGAGTGTTGCTGGTGGAAGGAGAAGTCCACTCGACAAAGCACTGCTCAGCACCGGTCAAAAAGAATTTTCCTGGTAAGAAAAAAAATGAGCAGCAACTAGGGAATTAGTAGGTTCGCGTAGGACTTACCGACATGGCGATCGCTGCTTGTCTCGAAGGTTCAGTTAGAGAACACAGTTCCATCACCGTGGGCAATAACATGGGTATATTGACCTGTTCTGATTGTAAATGATACAGAACAGGTCGCAGTACACAAGATCCGAACCTGGGAAAACAGTCGCGAATTGGGCGTAACCCTCCGAGTTGGTCGCTTAGATGTCACGGAGGAAAGTCCCTTCCGGTAGAAGGGCGATCAGCAAACTTCTATTCATCAGATTGCTCTCTTCATCCTGATGGCCATTACCTCCAGCACCAGAGTAGATGCCAGTGACGTTGCAGTGCCAGAGGTCGATGTAAACATCGGTGACAGACTCACAAGTAAAGTCATCAATTAGCTTGACATCAGTCTGTAGATGCCATCCTGATCTTTAGTGATGTCCGAGCGAACCTGCTTCCCGTCGATGTAGTGGACCAGTACGGACCCTGCATGCATTCCGAGACGAGAGTGCGAGATCCAGTCCCACTGAAGGAATTTGACTCAACACTATAATCCTCGTCGCACTCGTGGTCAGTGTTCAAAACTCCATAATATCGAGACACTTGTAGAGATGTCTGTAACAATGTTAGCTCCATTTCCACCTGTATATCATATCTCTCACTAGTAGGGAGTCCTCTTTGCGGCATAAGTAACCAGCAAAAGCTCCATAACGAGCAGCACGGCGCTACGGCAACTAAGAACGTCAAACGAACTTCGACGCGGTGAATCCTGGATGTTGATGCGTCGTGTAATCTCTGACAAGGAGCTTTAGGGTGCGTAACGATAGCGATGACAGCGAGACATATGATGGCCGGGAAAGCGTCGAGATGAACCATTGCAAACAGAGACCCATGGACAAGATTCCAAAGGGCTATGACACTTTAGCTCCAACAGTTTCTGACCTTTACACCGCATGCCGGGGACCACAAATGCTCTGATTACACATTCCCTCAAGCAGATATTCAGCCACTTGTTAAAACACGTCAAATGTGATTGGCCCTCTTCCCTACCTGTATCCATGCATCGTCACCCGCAGCAAGTGCCATGTGCTATTAATAGCTTGTCCGACACCCTGCAGTTGAGCACAGCAATAGAGCAAGACCATCAAAGGGAATTCTGTAAAGCATTTTGGGCCTACAAAGTAGTAACTGAAGGAGCGAGTGGTAGGAAAATGGCGGAGAGCCCGCTCAACGAGTGACATAATCCTAAGTAACTTTAGCATCGAGAAGGTGCAGAGAGAATGAAAACACGAGGGTCATTCATGCACAATCACGTTCTGTGTACACTTACCAAGGATGATAAGAATAGTTATCAGCGTTTGCTCAAGAGAAGGTTCACCGTTCCAAGGTAGACAATAGATATTCCTTTCGTGCAAAGGCCATTCGACCCATTGCGCATCGTACGACGGAGTTTCCTCTGGCACCATCGACGCCTCGTAAAGGGTACTGACCACGAAAATGTGTCCAATGTGACTCCTAGATATTTCCTTAGACCAATTACGAAGATCATGTGGATCATCCATGGCCATTTTAGCTTCCAACAGCAACATAGAATAAATATCTAGGTAGACGAAATTCAGAGAAGATGTCGCGCGCAATCACTTGCTAGTTCGTAACCACCCGGGAACCTCTGGTCACCGAAAACATTTGCAGAGGCCAAACATACATCAATTGAGGCTCCTTATTTAATGAGTGCACGGTCGAAGGCAGGGTAAAACCCATCGGACTGGGGAGTCCTTTCGAATGAGACGTCCACCCATAGTCCTAGAAAGAACCCGAGAATTCGAATGAAAAACATCAAAGAAGAATTAGGTACCCAAAAAGGTTCTCTATCGGGAGGATACACCATATTGTCCGTAGCTATTGTGTTGATGATTGCGAATCAATTTGCGTTGATTGTATCCAACGGAAAGAGTATATAGGTTTCCCACAGCTAGTGCACCTTCCTGTATCCTGACATTAGTTGCAGACAATGACACCACGATGAAGCGAATCTCGAAGAAGGACGTCGTGGTAGAAGAAAGGAAGGGCGGGCCACAACGGACCGGATTAGTCCATGATAAGATCGATGCAGCACTCAGCTTCAGCCATTTTACACTGGCACACCGGTCCTAGCTGACTCTGCTTTGCAGCAGTTTCAGCCCTTCCCATGGAAGCAAAATGTACCATTTGGCGTACTTATACAGTTATACTTGGGCTTGGGTTGGAGTCCGATGCTACTACCCAATCTTCTGCAATCTTCCTCTTCTCGTTCAATCCGTTCCAATTCGTTGTTATCTGCATATAGTATTGCCTAAGTGACTCAGTGGAACGACTCCATACCCAATTTCAATAGATCAGGTTTCCATACATCATTGAAACCCGACACTTCGTATGAAGATCAGCTGGATGCCAGTGCTGACAAAGTCTAGAATCCTGGGCGAAGAGTCTCGAGCAAGGATAAAGCTGGACACACGATGAAAGTACAGGTTTCGGATATTTGAACAATTTCTTGATTTTTTTTTCAGCGCTTGCTAATATTTTTCATGACGCGTTCTGGACGCGTCTTGAATGTGACAACTCGTGAGCGTGATCTGTCACACATCTGACTAACGCGGAGCCGTTTTGTCCCTTTGTCCCTTGTTCATATAACCCTTCTCTAAATTATCAAGATATCGTAATAATTAATGTCTGGCGCTACTTCTGAACTTGAGCCCATCGTTTACGCCGACAGTGAAGATGACATCGACTGGGAGGAAGTCGAAGTTGAAGCACAGCCGGAACTGGAGCGACATTTAGAAATCACGCTGCATGAACGACCCAAGCTAAAGGACAAAGTGAAGTGCATCCTTCTGTTCTCTTTGTGCTGAAACGCCATTCACCACCGTTCTACAGGAAGAAAGGAATATCGCATGCAGACCGAGTCCTACGAATCAATTGCCACAAAATTCACACTGTATCTCTTCTTGCCAACGCCTGGGTCAGGAATAAGTGGCTCAACGATGAGCTTCTCCATGTATGTCGTATTACGTTGTCTTCAGAATGAAATTTCATTTCTTTCTAGGCCCGGCTCATGTCCTTCGTCCCTATGTCCATTCAAACTTCTTTCGTCATGATTCACAAGTCTCGCGTACCAGATCAAGCGAAGCGCGGTCGAATGTTCGAGAAATCCCTCGACACTCTTGTCAAGTGGTGGTATGAGTCCTTCTTTGAGGTCCTCCCAGAAGGACACATACGAAACCGGACGTTTGATTTCGTTCAGAGGCGCATGCCGTTGGACTCCCAAACTCAGACTGGAGAGGAGTGCGTTCTCGATACGGAAGTGCTGCAAGATATCCTTGACGATGATGTCGAACGCATCAAGAGTTCGAAGAGTCTTATGAAGCATGCGCTGATGCAGAGCGGGTCACGAGATACGGGAGCTCAACTGTTTACGGCGCTATGTAGGGGCCTAGGAATACCGGCGAGGCTTATTGTGAGCTTGCAGAGTGTGCCGTGGCAGGCAGGTGTTGGAAAGCCTAGGCCTAAATATGATAAGAAGAAGAAGAATAGCCAGGTGAGGGATCCTGAGGACGGTGAACCCAAAGACGAGACACCAATTGCGTCAACGTCTGCCTCGAGCTTGAATGACCTCGCGTTCAAGGGAGAAGGGCAGAGGTTAGATGGCGCTCCCGTCGGAAAGAGTGACAAAGCAAAAGGAAAAGAAAAGGCTAAACCAACGGTCAAACTGCGCAAGACCAAGAGTAAAGGTAACGTTCTGGGTGCAGCGCCGCCCAAGAAAGAAGGTACGGAATCTGTTCTCTTTGCCTAATATCTGCAGCATACATCGTTTTTTTAGATCCTACCTCCACTCCGCCAGTATTCTGGACAGAGGTCTTCTCGCGGCCTGACGGTCGGTGGATACCAATTGACCCACTCCGAGCTGTTGTCAATAAACGGAATGTCTTTGATCCTACGGGAATGTCGCAGCAGAATCGGCTAGTGTATGTTTTGGCTATAGAAGAGGATGGGTATGCTAGAGATGTGACAAGAAAGTATGCTAGACAGTACGGTGCCAAGGTGGCGAAGGTTCAGGGTGGCGCTGTGACTGGGGGAGGTGGGAAGGGAAGGGAAGCGTGGTGGGAGAGAGTCGTTAGTATTGTAACGAGGCCGTATCGACTGGTAGGTTTTTTCGAACTTTCATTTCGACTATTAATCATGGCCATGGGCTTTTTTCAGAACCGCGACGACGTGGAAGATACCGAGTTGGAATCGGCGCAGATCAGGGAAGGTATGCCAACGACGATTTCCAGGTTCAAAGACCATCCATTGTCAGTTAGCAGTACTTTATCTAAAGTGTCTGATACCGTCTAACTTTGTTATGCTATAGGTATGTCCTAACAAGGCACCTGAAGCAAACAGAAGCGATCCATCCGCCGCCACCTGACACGCCTGAGTTGGGCAAGTTCAGAGGGGAGCCGGTATATCCTCGGTCGTCGATCGTTTCATTGAAGACGGCTGAGAATTGGCTGAGAACCGAGGGGAGGTCGGTCCGCGAAGGTGTCCAGCCTCTGAAGATGATCAAGTCGCGTCCAGGGACTATCGGACGGATGAGGGAGCTTGAGATCCTCAAGGACAGCCTGAGGGAAGCCGGAGAGGATGCCGACGATCAAGCTCAGGTCATGCATGGTTTGTATGCGCGCGGTCAAACTGAATTATACGTCCCCAAACCCGTGGTTGATGTGAGGTCTTTTATCTACTATTCGATTAAAGATTTTTTATTGAGTTGTACCCCCATAGGGCAAAATTCCCAAAAATGACTTTGGCAATATCGATCTATATGTGCCTACGATGCTTCCTAGGGGTGCTGTCCATGTTCCTTGTCAGTCCCCCTTCCTCCAATTAAATGGTAAACTGACACAGACGTCGCAGTTAAGGGTGTCCAGAAAATTGCCAAAAAGCTTGGTTTAGATTACGCCGATGCAGTCGTGCGTATCCCTGTCCCGATCTTGCACCTTTGAAAGATCATTCATATATACTATCAGATAGGCTTCGAATTTAAGAAACGTCGCGCGTTTCCGGTACTGGAAGGCGTTGTTGTCGCTGTAGAGAACGAGCAAGTTCTATTAGATGTAGGTTCTCATGGTCTAATCGTGTCTCCTTTTTCATAATACGAGGTCTAGGCATACTGGGAAACGGAACAAGATGCACAAGAGAAGGCGCGAGTGAAGCGGGAAGAAAAGGCTATCAAGAGGTGGACAAGGCTGATCCATGGGCTGCGAATCCGGCAGAGGCTGCAGGAGCAGTATGCTGGACGCGGAGAAGATAAGGCCACGGAGAAAGAGGATGAAGAGGTATGGTCTCTGAGGTTTTGCGAATTCGGATAGATCCTTGATGCTCACTTCTCAGAAACAACCCGAGCATGGCGGTGCGGGGGGAGGATTCCTCGTGGGTGCTGATGATGTCGTTCAGGCGTTTCACCTTCCCAAGGCCCCGCGTCTTGATATAGATCTCGAGTCCGATCTTGTAGCCTCTACCGTGCAGAATCTACTTTCAAAGGAAGACGGCGAGAAGAAGAAATTCGACCTGGAAACCATGGACGTGGATTCCGATTTGGACGAGGTCGTAGTAATGGGAAGCGCCACGAGCCACATTCCCAAAACCATGCGTGAGCTGGCGGAGGATGCTGCGCGGTTGCGGGTGGTGGACAATGAAGAGGAGGAGGAAGTGGATCCACCCAAGAAAGATGGAAATGGAAATAGGAGAGGAAAAGGAAAAGATTCAGGCACGTCTAGGAAAGGGGGAAGCAAATCTAAACGACGAAAGAGGGGCAGGGATCTTGATGAGAGTGAGGGTGAAGGTGAGGGTGAGGCGTCACCTGCGAAGAGGGGGAAGACTGTGGCGTCGTCGACGAGAACTTTGCGCCCGCGTGCTTCGAAGAACAGAGCGAAGATTGAGGAAGAGACGGCACATGAGGATGCCATTAGGCTTGCTATTGGAGAGTAATATTATTTCAGAGTTGTCGACGTGTTGACAGAGCTGCCTTTCCACCTAGCCGGCACCGTAATATGCTCTACTGCATGACTTATGGTTTGGGTATCACTTCTAAGCTGGGAAGAAGGATCCAACGTTTCCCGCTACGTGAAAATGACTTTTCAAATTTGACTGAGTGTTTCAGAGCTAGATCGCAATTAGTAGTGCCGGCTCGCTGCGATACAACCATTGCAAGATGCCGCCGTCACGCATATTTAGGACCGTAATGTTGGCGTTCCTTGCGACTATTCCTGTAACTGTTATGAGTGAACGAGCGACACCTGCACGGATCTCCCGAGGGAGCTTTATTATATACTATATGCATACGATCCTTTTGGGATTAATGATGATGGCGTCGAGTCGAGTTTAAACTCTAACTTTATGAAAGTAGTGGACTATGAAGTTCGTTGTTAGTAATGTATCTATATGATAAGCTGGTAACGAGATAGGAAGTTTCGGACAAGTCAGACGCGACGAGTCGATTAAACCACAAAAGTTCAAGTTCGGAGCTGGGTGTGCGATACGGCATGGATGCAAGCTCAGCCTGAGCGGGTCAAACTAGGTGTGTTGTTCTGTCAGTTAAAGTTCCGCTTCGACTCCGCGGGGACTAAGCCGACAACGGCCAAGGTCCAAAAATACACGCACTAGATCGCTCTTATCTAAGTGGAAAAAGGTTCCGTGGTAACTGATCAGGGCCAACATAGATTCTGAATCTGCAACATGGGAAAAGGAAGGGAAGGAGATACATATAGGTATAGGTTGGCAAGATCTAGGTAATAATACAGTATACAAAAATGACCTTTACGATGCCCTTCTGAGGATGACCATCAATCCGTCTGAATGAGCAGAGAAAATAGCGTCCACAGAGATTGTGCCCTGCATCGCTTCTAGTGGTTGATGTAAAGACTTTCTCGGCGTTTGGCTGCTCCGTTTCGACGAGCGAGATTTATTCGCTCCGTGTTTATGATGTCTTGACGCATTCGGTGGTTCTTGTCGAGGCCTGGAGCTGATGAGCTTTGGGGGGCGAAGGAGAGGGACGACGACGGGACTCACTCGGACTCTCTGGCCTCGGCCAGCAGTGCAAACTTGCCGAAGCCAAATCCACCGTCACTGGGCTGACCACGTTCGTTGACGCCCCAGGTCTTGATAACGTCGATCCAGCTGGTGACGATGGCCTCGTCCTTTCTCGCGACGTAGTCAAAGAAGCTCCTGCCGATAGCTTCGGTGCTCTCGATGAGGAGGTCATTGGAACAGTATTGGATGGTGCAACGTAGGGAGAAGCGGTTGAGGATGAGGGCAGTACGGAAGGACTGGGATGGGAGGTGGTCATAGGATATCGGGTCGGCGGGAGTTGAGGGCGGGGTGGAGAAAGGGGGCGGAGAGGGCGGCATTGGTGAAGGGTCATTCCATCGCTGCTGGAGAGTTGGTAAGCGGAGTAGAATTAGGAGACTGAACGCACGCGGAATTGAAAGTTCTCTGCTGCGGGGCTTATAACAGTTATTTCTTGGGCTGTGGACGCATTGTGAAGGGCTTTGGCGCCAGGACTCGCAAAGGAGACGCTGCCGACAAGGACATTGTGGACAACCGTGCTGTTGGGCGGGTGAGCAGAGGCGCGACTGCGATCAAAGAACTAACCGTGACTAAGTAGGAACAAAGTTAGAGGAGCGTAAATAGATTGGAATGGAGAGAACTGACAACACCACATAAAACATAGCCCTTGTAAGGATCCTTGTGCTTCATACGGAGGTAGACGAGGACTGCAGCCTTGTCGGCTTTGATGGTGTCGCTGTGGGGTGGGCGTTAGGCGGCACGGGAGAAAACAAACCGCGAGACGGACTGGTGCAGTTTGCGAACTCGGTTCACTTCATCTGGGTGTACGAGCTCGAGCGAGGGGTGGCCATAGAGTTCATGTGGTTCATATCCTGCGAAACGTTGGACGGTGGGCGCGGAAGAACGACGACGGACGCACCCAAGAGGTCGACGACAGAGTCTGTCATGTAGAGCCACTTTGCCTGGGGGGGGGGAGGGGGGGTGCTGAGTGGGTTGGCCCCTGGTTGGCTAGAAAAGCGACTCACCTCTTGGGAGAAATCGACTATGCCGACTGGAAGGGAGGAAAGGGTCAGGAAGGGGGGGTTAGAAGGTAGAGAAAGAATACAGACTAAAGGAATAACAAGGAGTATTCTGGTCCATGGCCTGCTAGAAAGACATTCACAATGGATATATAATGGCGGTGGTAGGCAAGAAACAAGGTACCGAACGAATCGGATTGACGCATCAGGCTGGTGGCAGGCTGGTGCAGGACCTCATGAGGGCAGGATCAAAGAGCTGTTGATGGAGAAAAAAGTTTATAATAATCATGGTTTAATCATGGTTTATAATAATCAAGTGTAATACGTATTACTTTGCTCTGTACGTCCTCTGCGTATACACTTACTACCATCCTCAGCCACTCCCTACCGGGTGGACTCGGCGATCTTGAGATCGGCATGAATCTTGGTCAGATCCGCTGTTACATCTCGTGCCACGATGTGGTCTACTGCTCCCACAATCGCAGCGGGCGACCTTGTCATCGTCTGGCTCGTGCGTCCTTTCCACGCCACCCACTCTTTTTTGTTTCACTGATACTCTTGCAGACTCGCGACCTCCTCCAGCCATTGCTGATAACACCCGGCAAAGATTTCAACAGCAGATTCGGCAACTATCGACACAATGACTTTATCGGCGTCCCCTATGGCTCAAAGGTCGGCGCACCCACAGGCAAAGGCTTCATTCACCTACTGCGCCCCACGCCTGAGCTCTGGACAATGGCTCTCCCACACCGTACCCAGATTCTCTATCTTGCAGACATTGCCTTCATCACTTCCCAGCTCAACATCCGACGCGGCAGTCGAGTCATCGAGGCAGGTAAGCCCCCGTCTTGTGACCTGGTCAATCTTGCCTTTTTCTCTCTTCTCCAGGTACGTGTGCTAATCGAATCCCCCGTAAGGAACTGGCTCAGCATCATTCTCCCACTCCGTTATACGCTCCGTTGGTTCTGCCGGCCATCTCTGGTCATACGAGTTCCACGAGGCCAGGGCTGCCAAAGCCAGGTCCGCGCCTCCCCCTTTCCCATTGTCCTTTGTTCCCCTCTTATCTTCGACTAATAGGGACGAGTTCACCCGTCATGGTATGCTTGACATCGTCACCCTGACCCATCGCAACGTCTGCAAGGACGGCTTCACAGTAATCGATACTGCTGATAGCTGTGAGATCCCTTTTGGCTCTAATCTACCCAGGTCCTGATGTATTTAGTATTTCTTGATATCCCAGCGCCGTGGGACGCCATCGAGCACGCCAAAAAGGCTCTTCGGGTGCGTTCACTCAAACCCTAGATCTCTCATCTTATCACCCACACAGAAAGATTGTATCACCCGAATATGCTGCTTCAGTCCGTGCATGGAGCAGGTCCTACGCACCGTAAGCGCTCTCAACGACGCCGGCTTCACCGGTAAGCATCTATCTCCATTCCTCCATTCATTCCTTTATTAACTCGACCCAGATATAACCATGTACGAAACCCTCCTACGCCCACATGACGTCTCCCAGATCCCTCCCCTCCCCTCCATCGACGATGCCGCCGACAAACTCAAGCGCGCAGAGGCCAGGCGCGAAGAAAAACGTCTCAAACAGATTGCTCAGGGGCAGCGCACAAAGCGGAAACGGGATGGCGATTCCGTGGACCCTGATGAGCTCGACCTAAAACGTGCCAAAACCGACAAGGTCACGGAAGAGATCTCCGTACAAGTAGACGAGATCGCCCAAGATCTCGCAGCACCGAATACGAACAACAGGTTTAGCGTGTCGAAGGTGATGTCGGAGGTGAGGGGCCACACGTCTTACCTGACGTTTGCCTGCCTTTTGCCTGACATATCACTGATATCTGCGCCTCGTGCTTAAAAATATCTGTACCCGTATGCCGATCAACTACTTGGTAGACCACTCTTCTTGTAGTGATTCACAGTCGGAGACAAATGCTGCCAGCGTCCGAACATTCGCAAGTTGTTGCTAGCACCCAGCGTCGCGTCGATAGTCGACAATTCATTTCTTAGTCAAAAATATTTATGTTTCATGTATGCCCTTTCTACCACCCACGTCCCCAACTCCGAGTTCATTCCCCGATTCCCGAGCGGGCGGGCCATTTGCGGCTTTTGTGTTTTTTTTTTTTCCATCTTTTTTTTTTCTGAAGCGCGAGGGAAGAGCCGTCTCGTTGGGTTACCGGAGTCACAGAGATTTACACACATGGCTTTGATTTCGGATAGACGGCCCGAATGTTCCTGTGACCGTGACTCCCATGAGGCCCATAGTGTCCTACGACGACATCGCGTCAACTCCTGAGCCAGCCACCTCCCCCCCGCCCGCAAAGAAACGCAAGACGAACCATAATAGAAAGCAACGAAACCGAAATCGCGGCCGCCGGGAAGAAGAGAGCAGGGAGCTCACACACGATGAGATCTGGGACGACTCGGCGCTGATTGAGGCTTGGGCGGCTGCGAACGAGGAGTATGCTGTCCGTCGTTTTGTGGTCACTCTTTTTCATTTACTTACTATCCCAACTAGGCTCACCACGGCGAAAATGACAAGAGCTGGAAAGACGAGCCCACAGAGTCGCCACTGTGCGTCCTTCTCTCCTTTTCTTTCGCGCCTTTTTGACCGACTCGGCAATTAAGTTGGTGTAATGTTCCACCTGACGATGGGAATGACCTAGAGCCCACCCCCGAAGACTCCAAACCGCTCAACTTTGATACGTTTGTTCCTTCGCATGACTCGTCGTTGTCTGGGTTTGTGTCCCAGGATGAGGCGCTTGAGAGGGCGATGAGTGCGATGTATTGGGCTGGGTACTGGACGGCGGTGTATCATGTCAGTTTGGTTTCGTTTTTGCGGTTGGTGGGTTGCTGATTTTTTGTGTAGCATCGTAGTCGGGCTGTCCAGGAGGAAGAGGAGGAGGTCAAAGATGAGGGGGAGGCTGAGGAAGATGTGGTCGAGGTCGAGGAAGATTTGGTTAGCACACAACGGTGAGATGACATGGTGTGCAGCCTTGTCTCGTTGCAGAGCCGATATTGAAGATCATAAACGGATGGGAAGATTGTTAATAACTCCCTCATTATGCAACGGTAAATCATCTGTACAGTACAATACACACTTCGAATGCATCTTCAATCCTCCTCGATTTCCAGGCGATAGGTTTGGACTGCCGTGACATTATATATCCTCCTCGCCAGAGACTAGACTGTGTAGCTGCTCATCTCAGACTAGCGGGATATCAGTCTTTGGTAAATAGTCTAGTTCATCAGCCAGAAAGACTGCTCTGACAAGTAACCCTGTGACCCGACTGCCTTCTGGTTGACATTCATTCTTCCTGTAATCATTACGAGAGATATAATTCGATCAGTTCTTCCATGGCTCACGGTGTGGCCATCTCCATCCTGGTTCTTATGCGCGACGGCGGAGACTTGCAATGGAATAATCGCGCATCTGGTCATCATTTTGTCGCAATGAGACTTGCCTGAAACTTCCTGTCTCGTTATAATATAATTCGCAGCGCTTTTTTCACTTTCTCACACAGTAGTAAGAACACAATCCACTACGTACTCTTACAAGGTTAGAGTTTAAACTCGACTCAACGTGATCCCAAACCCTATCTCGTTGAACCTTACCTCTTCGATTCAGGTGTTTTGTCAAGGACCAGGATGGTAGATGCTACGGCGGTGCTGTTCTCCTAATGCATTGCAACTCACAAGTACGGTGTCGCTTTGATCCCCAGCTGCAACAGTCGATGTCATTCTTAGAGGCCTTTAGTGCACAGGTTCCTTATCTTTCACAGGGCCCTGTTCCAGTTCGACTGCGGTATTTCCCGAGGATTTTCTTCGTGTATTGATGTGATCGTCAATATCGATATGGTGTCATGAATGAATGAATGATACTGACCGTAGCAGTCTTCTACCTCCGGTACGCGGGCGTGCGTCTCACGGTACTTGAAAGGCTCCAGTCTACGGGCCCTCCTTGACCATACATGGGGCTCGCCCTTATTCGACTATCGGCTCAGTGTATCATCAGCTTCCGTAGAGAGTGATATGTACACGTACTTGGTCGATAAGTCATTAGAACATAACAGTCTATTGTGAAGCTTCGTCGCTAGAGTAGACAGGCCTCGAGGTGATGCAACAAGAGACAGCTTGGATACACCCCGGGCCGTCTGTACGGGCCTTCGTGACAGTGTCGCACATCCATGAAGGAAAGCAGACCAGTTGGAGTTCAGGTGGAACTTTCAGTCAGGATCCCGGGCCGCGCTGTAACTAACCGGCCGACGTTCAGATTTATTTACCGTAGATTCAATGCCACGTTCATCTAGGCGGGCAAAAGGGGGAAATCGGTCCGGTGAAAAGATATAGAGCCGTAGGTTATGTCAAGATTTCGGGGATGAATGATAATTACCGGTGCCCGCATGAATGTCTGTGGTAAAGTAAGAGACCTAGACTCGAGCTGTACTAGGAGGTCGCAGGATGATGTTACTTGGATTAGCACAAACCATCAGAAACTGCTGGAGTCAGTCCTCATGAAGACTGATAGAGCACACTTTGTACGAAAGCTGACCCTGATTGGAAGGACAGCAGCGGCACTTTCCGCGGATCTGCATCACCTGACCAGCACACCGATAACACGCGCATTCAAATTTTATTCTTGTCTTGTTTTGTCCTTGCTGTCTCGTTTCCACCTCAGTGCTTACCCGCCTGTTTCTACGTGTGCTAGTATCCCAAAGAACAAAAATAAAATGACTGCGATACCCGTGCCTGAAATCGATGGCATCACCCCGCCAGCCAAGCCCACAACGACCCCGCCGCCCCAGATTCCTGAATCTCGAGATGCTTTCTATGGATATCCCGAGGAGCGAACGTTCCAGCATGTAAGGTGTCGCATACATTGTTATCATGTCGCGCATTGAAGTAGATGATGACAGATTGAGGAGAAAATGTGGGCACATCGACGTGGCTCGGACGCGCGCTCGGATGGAGCAGCGTCATTTGCAGGGAGCATGTTGGGGCATGGCGTAGCTGTAGATGCACGTGTCCCGAGCCCATTTGTGGAGGAAATCGAGGAGCAAGTGGAGGAAGCGGCCAAGTCCACGATGGAAGGACATCGTGGGTGAATGCGCTGGACATCGGCCAACGGACGCTGACAACCTTTCCCTCAGAGACGGTCCTTTCTTCCGAGCTGGCTCACCTGTTCCAGTCATTCCAACGTTGCCTCGATCTCCGCGATAAATACACCCGCAAGTCCTGCCAGAGGCTGGGGGACAATCCCAAAGACTATGACGGGCATTTTCAAGGGCTGGATGACGAGTTTGCAGATGTGAATGGGGCGAAGCCGGATGCGGGGCTACCTTCTGGTCCAAGTCCAAGCGGCGCTAAGCAGACGAAGCCGTGGAGAGTGTACCCAAGTCCGCCGCCACCTCATTGGCACTGGACGGACGACAAGGAGGCGGTGAGTATCGACGGGAAGTACGGTGGAAGTGGGAAGGAGTTTAGGTTCGAGGAGTGCGAAATTCCCGGGGATCACAACTGGGACTTTAAGATCGATGACAAGGGCGTGTTCCAGGTGTACGAGCCTGGTCAAAGTGTGTTCGTACACTATTCGCATGTATCATCGTGCTGACAAGCTCTTAGCGACGCCCGCGTTCGACATACCCAGTATTCGCGAGTATTTCGTGGATCTGGACTATATCCTGGGCGTCATTTCGGATGGCCCAACAAAGAGTTTTGCGTTTCGGAGGCTTAAGTATTTGACGAGCAAATTTACGATGTATAGTCTCTTGAATGAGTTCCAGGAGTTGGCTGATATGAAGGTATCTATGCCTCATTCTTCTTTTTGGTAGGGATTAAGTGCTTCGTTTATTCATTCAGCGCGTTCCTCACAGGTATTCGAACGTTCAACTTGTGTTTGTACGAACTCATATTATTATCTTTACAAGAGATTTCTACAACCTTCGTAAAGTCGACACCCACGTGCATCATTCAAGCAGCATGAACCAGAAGCACCTACTGCGGTTTATTAAAGCAAAGATGAAGCGCAGCCCCCAGGTTTGACAAGAGATTCTTTCTGTTTTTCTCTTTAGCTCATCGTTTATAGGATGTTGTAATATTCCGCGATGGCGCTGAATTGACGCTCGAGCAGGTGTTCCAGTCGCTCAAATTGACGGCTTATGATCTATCCATCGACACGTTGGATATGCATGCGCACCAGGATACCTTCCATAGATTTGACAAATTCAATCTAAAATATAACCCGATCGGAGAGTCAAGGCTGAGGGAGATCTTTTTGAAGACAGATAACTTCATCGAAGGGAGGTATTTGGCGGAGATCACCAAAGGTTCGCTTAGGTGTCTTTTACGTTTGAAAATGCTCATGCTGCTTTAGAGGTCATGAACGATTTGGAGCAGAGCAAGTACCAGGTATGGGTACCTCTCCATTCGTCGACGTACCTTGCTGAAAGATGGGGAAATTAGAACTGTGAATGGCGACTCAGCATCTACGGACGATCCGCGAACGAATGGGACAAGATTGCCAAGTGGATCGTCAACAATAAGCTCTACTCGCACAACGTCCGATGGCTCATCCAGGTTCCGCGGCTGTATGACGTGTACAAAGCGAATGGATCTATCAAGACGTTTGAGGATATCGTTATCAGTACGTCTTTGCTGGATTCTTCTCCTTGCCTTCTGCATACTCACAATTCGCCAGATGTGTTCAGGCCATTGTTTGAGGTGACCAAAGACCCGACGACTCACCCAGAGCTGCACGTTTTCTTGCAACGCGTAGTCGGCTTCGATACCGTCGATGATGAATCCAAGGCTGAGAGAAGGATATACAAAAAATTCCCCTACCCGCGGGTCTGGGATACCAATCAATCGCCGCCTTATTCATACTGGTAAGAGAATTCATCTCTGGATTAGTTAGCCTTATATCTTTTCCTGCCAGGGTATATTACATGTTCGCGAATATGGCAAGTCTAAATAACTGGCGGAGGCTACGCGGATTCAGTAGGTTTTCCTTTCCCTTCCTTCTTCCTCTCCCCCTTATCCCACGTAGATACCTTCGTGTTCCGACCTCATTGTGGCGAGGCAGGCGATACGGACCACCTGACCTCCGCCTTCCTTACCTCACACTCGATCTCACATGGTATCTTGCTCCGTAAAGTCCCAGCATTGCAGTACCTGTTCTACCTCAAGCAGATCGGGATAGCGATGAGCCCGCTGAGTAATAACGCATTGTTTTTGACATACGAGAGGAATCCCCTTCCAGATTTCTTCAAGACTGGGCTGAATGTCAGCTTGAGCACGGATGATCCGCTGCAGTTTCATTTTACCAAAGTTAGTGAGCGTATCAGGATTTTTTGGCGGCGTTGATTGAATTTTGGTATAGGAACCTCTGCTGGAGGAGTATAGTGTTGCTGCTCATGTGCGTTTGCTCTTCTCTCTTTTATGCTGCCTTCTCATCTCATCTCATCTCATCTCGCGTCAGATCTACAAGCTCCCCCAAAGCTCGCTGGCCGAGCTCGCGCGCAACTCGGTCATCCAAAGCGGGTTCGAAATGGAGCTCAAACGGCACTGGATAGGAACCGAGTGGTACCTTCCTGGCGCGTCTGGGAATGATATCAATAAGGTTCGTCGTCCGTGGCCTGGTATTTCCTCATGTTTAGTAACATACATACGCGTAGACGAATGTGCCCAATATCCGGCTGTCTTATCGACATCAAACATTATTGGAGGAACTTGATATGATCTGTGCGAAGAATCATGGGCATGTGTTGACTGGGAGGCGTGATTCACATGGGCACGGGCATGGGATGCTGCCGACAGCTGATAATGTCGCGGCGCGGGCGATGGCGAGGCATTAGTCCCCCTCTACCGTAGATCATTTCTCCCCATCTGCTCGGTGTTTTCGTTGAACCTAGATGATCAGTTTTGTCTACAGCGGAGTTTGTTGTTGCTAGGCTGGGCTCCTGACCAAAAAGCATTCCTGCCTGCTTGCACGATTCCAAACCTTCGGGATGGTCCTTCTTTTCTCGTCCCTTAGCTTCAATCCCGACATGCTTTCGATTTTGTTTTTTTTACCCTAGATATGTTTTCCGTTTTTTCTGGATGGATCAGCTAAGTAAAGCATGGGTTATGAACGATCAAGATGCAGAGCGTTTGATGTAAGGCGAGTATTCATATGATGTAAGGCATAATCTGACCTGATTTGTTCCAATTCATTACTATCGCAGAGGACAATAATGCGAATCAAATTTAATACAGGAACCGACCGAATCTAAATTTCGTAGTGGGGTTCTTGTGTAGAGGCTTCGCAATCCCACTCTCCGGACGTTTGGGGAGGAAGCACAACCTGGATCCAGCGCCCGGAGTTTTCTTTCCATGTTTACTATTTCGAGTGATGCGGATTTGAAAGCAGTCAAATGACGGGCTCAGTTGGTAGGACGCCAATCGGTGGGGGCGATCGTCCTCAAAGATTGCTAGATCTTCCCGCATGACCGACTGTTTTTGTTTTCGTTATGAATTCTCTTCCCGAACAAGATGACACTTGTCACTGCTTCGATCTTCACATCATCATAATGTTCGTGCCGACAGGTATATGGTATACTCCTCTGGGTCCTTCACAGGGGACCATTGCGACCGTCGAGTGTTGAAATGGATAATCAGCAGAAGAAGTGTCTTTGGTTATTGCGAAGGATCGTTGACCCTACCGTATCATTCAAGAGGTCTGTCTATCTGAAGGACGCGAATACAAACAATGCCGTGATCATATATCCATGACAATGTTTTCTTTGAAAAAAAACAAAAACAAAACAAAAGGCTCAAAAACTTATTCCCAGTGCTGCTATCGATGTCTATCACGAGTCGTAATCTGTTCCACACGTTCCATCCTACTCATCCTGCATATGTATTTTAATTTACATGAGCCTGAACCAAGTTCTGAACCATTTGGCCAAAAACTTCTCCACCTCCCATGAGCCAAGAGAGGATTGCGAAAAGAGATGTCTGCAGCCACTTTTCCAAAGCTATTCCGAACCGAATCGGTTTCATAGACCACGCATGACAAGATGGTCATCCAAGCGCGGTACTCGTCAGTATAATTAACATTGAGCATCATGCCCGCAGGCAGGCCCGCCTTTCTAAGGGGGTAATGATGCGTAATATCTGTGCTTTTCCCTTCATCCGCATCCGCTAGAGGCTCAGGACTGGCCGCTACTTCCTCTATGTCTTCGTGTGATACTATAGTAATAGTCATTGGCAATCGCGCAGAGTCGCAAACGACCACCAGACGCCTCAAGGGGGTGGTTCGGATGCATCCTCTCGCAAGTATTCCCGCTTGAGATCGCGCACATGGCGTGCATTGGCTTTAAGATCTAAGAAAGTGACGCGCGTTCGTAGCACCTAATAGAGTACACTGTTAGCTATAATGTAGACCTCACACAGCGTAGCGATAAGCAGAAACGCGGTGAGGGTGCTCGACGGACCGTATTCAATATATATAGTCCATCCCGACATAAAGGGGTATCGAGCTCCGCCGGCAGGATACGACGGAGTTCCTGCTTGCTAATCCAACATAAGATCCTCGAGAGCACATTGTCGGAATCGTGTTCGCCCATCGGTCCGGACACGCCGTCTGATTCGGGGAAAATATGATCAGTCGAGAATGGAAGTAAGTACAGCATGGTGTTAGCGCCTTTCCGTCGCTGTGCCAAAATCATGGCCTTGTTGACGATGTGCTCTCCAACCAGCCGTTTGGCACACGCGAGAGCAGAACAGTCTAATCCAGTAACCGGTGCACCGTTTGGGGCATCGTCCTACATTGGGACTGGTCCACTGTTATGTCAACCAGGTTACTGTGAGTCATGCGAGAACAGCAAAGTATCGAAAACGAACCTGGGCCGTTATTACACTCCAATTCCTGGTCGTTATCCAAGGCCTGAGTGTGATAGTAATTCTTAAAAGATGTGCATGCATGTGCTTTGCGGTCGCTTTCATAGCCATCCACGCTTCTCTAGTCTTTCCCGATCTCAAAACAGAGTCGGCTTTATCCCGCTCGATCTTATCCAGGGCTCTGCGAACTCTACGCTCCACGCACCGAAAGACAAGCCCCATGTGAAGCCAGTTTATGATGTGCATGAGCGCATCGGACGAGCGAAGCAAATGTACTTAGAATGTCCGCATCGAGTGCCTCAGCCATATACTCAGGTCCAGATTGGCCTAAGCGTTCGGCGAGGAAGTCATGGCCGGTGCGAGCATCGGCCCGTATCTGGTTGGGCTGGCAGTTAGGAAGGGAAGGAAAACGCGTAATGCTAAGGGACAGCCAGTAGAGCGCTCTATTGGCAAGAAATATCCGGTTATATCTGTCTGATGACAAGGAAACAATGCAGACAAAGGTGTGAACACGGAGGCGCGCATCAAAAGAGATGGTAGGATCCTGGACGCGTGTGATGATGTGCCGGAAACATGACATCATGAGACTATGAGCTGTGGCCGGGGAATGGCGCATATCCTGTCGATGCGGTGTATTCGCGACACTTTGAAAAAAGCGCAGGAGGGGCTTTTCAAGGGAGAAATTCGAGGTGAAGTAGCGGGCGGTAATTTTGGATCGCTTTGATGTACAGAAGCGGGGTGATGGAGGATGTATGGCCCACATGTTATTTCACGAGAATACTTTTCGTCGGCGCGGAGGAGACAATAGATGAGCTCCTCCAAGACGACCCAAATGGCGGACTCGTCGAGACACTCAGAGTCGCATCGTGCTAGAACGACCGCAAGCTGCGTGCTCCATTCCGTTATGGTATACCACAGACTTCTGAACAAGTCGCCGTTGCCATTAGGATTTAGGATCTCGTTCTTGGGGGCCTGAAGAAGTTCCCGTAGACCTCTGAAGAACGTTTCATAGAGATCCTGTATCTCTGTGTCAAACGGAATAAGGTCTATCGGACATTCCCTGAAACGTCGTTGCAGAATCCCGAACAGTTTAGGAAGCAGATAGCGGTGTCGTGGCACTTTGGCTTTTAGGCTAATAAAAGAGTGTTTATCGTCGTTCATCCGTATGATCCTGCATGAGACCGTAGATCACGCCCAGGCATGTCATGCCAGAAGTATCAAGCCTCTCTATACCTGAAACTTATTCCAAAAAGTGAAAACAGACTTGTAGATGTTGATGAACAATACTTTACGTTCACGAGAATAAGAAGTCGTCCTGTTCACGTGCATCTCTCGACCGTCATTCAAAGTTATTACTTCGACTCTCAACTCCACGTCGTGCTTCACCCACCATAGCTGTGGAGTTGTCAATCTCATTCCTCTCGAGCCACAGCTACAAAATATTTACCGACATTTATAGCTCCGACAGCTTCGTCTCGCAAATTTTACGCGGGTCACGGCTATTACTATCGACTCTGACCATACCTTGATCAAAAACCCGAAATTGCCCAGCTAGAACGAATGTGGTTTTTGTATGTCTTCGATGACTACGACTCTGATTATCGTTCAGGCGGGCGCTTGAATGCACCGCAGCTATGGCAAGCAGGTTACCGCCTGGGACAACTCATTATTCTGGGCGTATCACTGGTCACTGGTCCGGAAGATATACAGTTCCTTTCCCAGCTACCTGCTCGAAATCTGTCATACCTCTGACACAGTTCCGCTCTCGATTGATGTGTGCCGGTGGTTAGCTCTGTCCACCTCTTTGTAAATCATTTAGATATCCTCAGCCACGTAACCGCGCTACTGCTCGAACATTTGACCCTATCTGGGATTCTATTATTAAAATCATTGTCCGTTGCAGAACGCGTCATCCTTTTCCTCCGTCGGTCGGGATGTCGTCTCGAGAGCTTGAATATAGATGAAGCGATATTCGGGTCTGCATCATCGTCAATGAGCGAAATCCCATCCACGTCTACCGGACGGTGTTAGAACACGACATTCTTGCGTGCCATCCAGCCGATAAATGATGAGGGATATGCTCAGTTCGAAACCATCTTCCCTGGTACCTCTATTTTCTATATACTACATTTTTTCACGGACTGACGGCTGTTTAAGGGCACTACTCTAACCGTGCGACTCATTTTCATATGATCGTCCATGAAAATGGAACGATCTTCGATAACGGCACATTCTCTTCCGACGGCCAACAATACATCGGTAAGCCTTATGAGGCCGCGTCATCTTTAGTTCAGTCGCTGATACCACCCACAGGCCAAGTGTTCTTCGACCAAGACCTCATCACCGCCGTCGAGGCGACCTCTCCTTATGTTACCAACACCATTGCCATCACGGAAAACGAAGATGATCGCGTGTTCACTGCGGGTGTCGAGCCTGACAGTGGAACCGGTGTCGACCCGACCTTGGAGTACGTCTATCTCGGTGATGGCCTCTCGGACGGTCTCCTTTTGTGCGTGTGTATCGTCTTCTTCCCTTTCCCTCATACTGATGCTCGTCGCTCAGTTGGGGCACAGTCGGTGTAGACCTTACAGCCAGCTACGAGTCTTCTCCTGGCGGTTACCTTACTGAAGCTGGAGGCGTCGTAAACCCCAACGCCACTGCTATTGGTGTTAACGGAGTTTCGTCTTCCTCTGGGATGAACGGCACTGATACCGGCTTTGACGGAGGGAACAGCACGAGCACTGACAGCTCCACGACCCAGTTGCTCTGCACATGTACCTCTATCTAGACGTAGTGACGCTGACATTTATCTGGTGGAAGCTTTAGCCGAAAATTTCAAATTATCATTTAAGCGTTTTAGTAGCCTATTTGTTTTGATATTTCGAATGAGTACCGAAATTTCATCTTGCGTCTGTCTTGAAACAAAATGAATAATATCGCTAAAATCTCGATACTTTTTTAGATGGCTCATGGCGTCGCGCTTGGTAGGTTTCGATCTTCCCATAGCATTAACAGTCAGTCACCGTTGGGTTCTCGAATGGATTTACTTACGTGTTCATTCATTTCCGCAGGGGTTTGGCAGTATATAAGCTAGTATCTTTCTTAGTTAGCTTACATCGCGCGTTTACCCCAGACGTGACACATTTTTGCTACTTACTTGGTTTGAGTACAACCTCTCAATTCTGACACAGTATTCGAATGTATACATCCAAGACACGCCAATATGGGCTAAACAGCACCGGATATTAGAATGATAACGTATAGACCCTTGCTTCTCGTATTGATTCTATTCGTATGCACAGCGGAGATCGGCAATGAACACGAATTGGAAAAGTCGACCACGAAGTTGCCCCGGAAGTTTACTGTAAACAATGGAATCAGAGACGTGGTGGAGATTGTTCTCCAGGTGCTACATACAAATGGCAAGGCTCTTTATTGCTATCGAGGATGTTCGCATTCATCAGTGGAGAATAAAATGAAAACTTCAAGGACAAAATCAGATGGAACACGCTGGAGGTTGGTTGGGAGGCGTCAGTATGCTTTCAAGAATGAAATGAACGCAGGTATTTTCAGTAGGAATCAGGATTAAATATCGTTTTCAAAGGAATATGGGTAGTAGATTATGGATGGAAAGCCGTCGCCCTTCCAAAACAGTGATGGAATCCATCAACAAACGTAGAATTGACAGCGAGAAATGATTCTCGCGCACCTAGGATAGCTACAAGAGAGTCCAGTCTGAAAAAGCATTTGACAAGTTACTTGAATGCAAGCCATTGGAGAAATAATCTAGTAACGGTTCGTCCACCCACAATAATATTTCGAGAGATCCAAAACCTTTCAGTGAACACTGTATCTAAGAATTCGTCGGAGCCTACTACGTTCAGGGAAAGATGGATCTGGCCGAAATCAGAAAACGCGCAGTTGATCTCGAATCCTGGAAGGCAATAGTTCGAGATGACTTGTATCGATACTTATTCATAAGAAAAGGAGCGGTCAGAATTCGTCGTCACCGGCTGAAAGGTTCGCGACCTAAGCAAAACTATCCTGGGATACCAAGTCGACTACGATCATAACTGTCAATCTCTCCCGCGAGACTCCAAAGGGCGGCGGTCTCGGGGCTGTCTTCTCGGCTAGGCAGACTAGGGAAAGCTATTCGGGAGGATTTTGATTTTCGTGAGTTGCGGAAGGGAGGCTACAAGTATATGCCAAGGAACAAGTGGAAGGAAATAGTGAAGGATACATGCAAGGTAGAATGTCCTTGGATGATATAGAGAGAAGGATTCGTGCTTCAAATCGTGGGGGATGTAATTGTGAAGGAACGTCGGCTGGAGACTTCTGCAGAAGATCACAAAGCTGAAGTTGCCGTCTGAGAATGAGAGGAGTACTTTGGTAGATCCAGGAGTTAAATCCAGCCTTCTTGAGGGGCGGGTCCCAGTATACATCATGACACATTTAATTTGCACAGCCAGCAAAGCAATGGTGTGCTTATAGTCAGTTGTGTCTAGGAGAATGACAATGGTGATATTTTTGAAAGATGTATGTAGTACCAGTGACCACCTAGCCCTTCTATGAATCTTATTCCTCATGTAGAGCCACAAAAAGTTGTCAGGGTATAACCAAAGTTCTAGTGATTTCTCAATAATAATGTACAAAAAAGAATCATAGTATCTTATGTCCAGCAGATAGAGCATCCTTGCACATGGCATTTATTGGAAATCCTCAGTGTTGCACAGGGTAGACTCCAGGCTGGTAAGGCCAGAAAGAATGAACTTCTTATTCTACAGCTCCTACAGAGCTTGTATTTATACTCTCCAGACTTATATCTAGAATTTACTACAACTTTCTCTTTCTCTCGAGCTTACTCATCAACTCTCGGCATGATGCCGGATTGCCCTTTCTAGAACTTTCCAGCAAAATCCCAACAGCATTCACCCCCGGGACACCGAAGGATAAGGTTTAGGTTTCGGCTTAGGCCTTGGCTTAGGCTTAGGGTCTCTGACTGGTCCGCCAGTTACAGGTCCTTCGATGGGTCCTCTAGGTTTCTGGTCCCTTCATCCAGCGTCAACGTAGCATTTTAGCAACAGAGATACTGATACTCACACGTCATCTTCCTCCTTGTTGGATTTAATAAAAGTAGCGGAAGAGCAGCGGTTTCGAATAAATAAGAAAGGCTTCAGGATCCTGGGATCGTCATTATGGCAAGGAGGAGATCGTTCTGCTGAAAATGTACTCACCAGCGAAATATCTCTTCCACTCCTTCCATCAAATTAAAGGCTGATCCCTTCTGAGTCTCTGCCGTAGCTTCAACGGTCCGACTCTGAGCGGCCAACATATTAGTATCGTTGTTCTGGACGCCGCCGACGCCGCAGGTAATCTCCGTGGCACCAGTCACCAGTTCTCTGAAAATGGAGTCACTGCGAATACAAACGTGGCCATGTCGGAACCGACCTCTCAGTAGGTTCCAGTTCGAAGGGAGGCATTGTGAAGTGGGGCATTGTCGAGCTGTAAAAAAAAATTAAAAGGTATTTATATGGCTGTGATGCACGGCTTGCGCATGTCCATTGCAGTGAATTCTTTTCTTGAAGCTGTTCAGTGGCATTCACTACTTTTGGCTGTTTATTTACAGCGCGCTAAAGCTTAAGCGCAACAGATGCTATGTGAAGGCTGTCAAGCGCCCATGAACTCAAGTATTGCTTTCCAGTAGAACCATGCTCAGGTAGGCGTCCGTATAAGATACAAATAGAATGGTGACAGAAAGCGTCGAACTGGAGGCCCGTACGCTACATGCACGTGATCACAACGAAATTCAAACCACGGTCTCTGAGCACTCGTATCGCTAAGCGCATCTTTAATTCTGGCTGCATACGGGCATCTCTTGCTCTAACAACTGGGAGATCTGGATATCATCTCCTGACAATCACCACAGAGTTAGCACTGAATCATTCTTTACAACTTTTCCTGTTTCTTAAGATCCTCCTTCTCCCTACCCCCAGGCCTTCAGCGCTGAATCGCACTCATGGAGAACCCCAAATATTGTATCTGTGCTGTTTGCTGTTTTGAACGGGAAGAATTCATGTTCGTCAATGCAAAGACATGGTAACAGTCCGAATACCAAGATTCGAGTCAACATTGCCCATTGGCCTCTTGTGATGAAAAACGCTACATAGTATATATAACACATTCATATTTACTAGTAAGGTTCATGTACGCCTCTTATACTACTCCATATACCGGCACGTTCCTTGCAACAGTAGGAGTCCCCACAAAGGCAGTAAGTTCAATAAACCACTCTTACTTTTGATTACTTTTGCCTCCAACATGGCTGCAGTCAAGATGCTTCGTAGTAAGAAGCATCCGTCATCCCACCACCATGCTCCATTGACCCATCCAGGGTTGAGATAAATGTCCCTGGACCGGCATAGAGCAGAGGCACAACCACTAGAACGCGACAACACACGGAACCTAAGCGGGTGGATGAAAAAATGGATGCAATTGGTCAGTATAATGATGAGTAAGGAAGAGATAGCACAAAACATGACAGCAGAACAAAATCCCATTCATAAAGTAGATTAAACGAACATAACAAATAAAAACAGGATCATGGCCCACCCCTCTGTCCTATAACTGGGCTATGAAGGTGGGGGTCCACTCGGTGGAGGCCCACCTGCCATCAGACCTGCAGGGGGAGGTCCTCCCCCCGCCTGTGCGGCCCCATAGGCGCTGATGAGACTTGCAAACGTCGCAGCATCAGCAGCGCTCTCGGATATCCCTAAATGCTGTGGGTGAAGCGGTGGCGGCGGCGGCTGGGGTTGTGGTTGAGGTGCCGGGTGTGGTTGTTGGGGAATAGGTTGTGGCTGCGGAGAAGGGTGGTTTTGTTGCTGAGCTTGTTGTTGTCGGGCATTATTTTGGGCCTCCTGTGCCGCACGCGCCATGACATGAGGTGGGTAATGGCTCTTCCGAGGTTGTCCGGCTTGTACTGCCAACTGTTCTCGTCGGAGTTTCTCGCTCGTAGATGGATAGTACGGTCCTATGGGAACCGAGGAGTCGTACTCTTCCGGCAGAGCAGGTATTACTGCCGCGTGTCGGCCTCCTAATGGCCTAGAGTGCATTGAATCTTTCAGTATCAAATCCCGAAATACAATGTCGACAAACTTACCCCCCCTCAACGAAATTCTGCCATACATAGTCGCTCAACTTGTCTGCATTAGGCAGCTGTTGGATAAGGTGCTTAATAGTATTTTGCCCCAACCCGAAGAAATCCGGTCCAGACACCGAATTTGAATGCTGTCGATTTCGGATTGCATTCGCCTGTTTCACGATGCTCGACCATGCTCCAGTCGCCGTCCCTGCAATGACAGGCTTATCGGCAACATCTGAGGGGACGATCTGAAACTTAGGCCCATCACCTCCGTCAAGAATTGTACAATGATAGACAACTTCGATGTTGGGATCGATGGTTGAAAGATATCGTCTATGTAAGGAATGTCAAGTCCAATCTCATAGTAAATATCATGGCAAAACTTACCGGGTGACTTCGTACCCAACAGGGAAGATATACCTCTCTGTATGGAAATGCTCCCTCATACAGACTTCTCCAAGAGATATAACCGTCATAATACCCACGTTTAAGGGTAGCATCGGCCGACCACCCTTGTCCCGCGGCACCATTGGGATGCTATAACTTTTACTCGTCACCGTGTGGGCCTTCAGCCGCTTCGGCCTGGCTTGTCGCTGTGGCTCCGATGTCGGCCTTTGTTGCGAGGTTGATATGCTTGGTCCAGGATGGGAAGGTATAGGAGGGCCGGGAGGGAACGCACCAGGTGGAGGCATCATTCCAGGAGGTATCATTCCCGGCATTGAACCAGGCATGTAGTAATAGCTATACGGAAAAGGGTGTGCAGGGGTTGCGGCGGCGCTGGATGCTGGATAATATACAGAATAAGGATTGATGCCTATCGACGGAGAGGGCGCTGGGGGTGACATAGAAGTGGAAGGAGCCGATCCGTTTCCTGGCGTGACACCGGTCGTCCCAGCCGAGCCCATCAGAATAGGATTGATATTGTGCATCGGCGTTGGTGTCGGAGTCTGAACTGGAGCTGAACTCGACGTTGAAGGCGTGGCACCAGGTGTCGGATTGTGTTGAGCGGAAGAGGAATTTGATGCCCCTGAAGCTTCGGGATTGGATGCCTTAACTGCCGCTCTCGTTTTTCGAGCAGGTGGGACCTTCTCACTCTTTGAAGGAGAACCAGTAGGTTCATCATCATTATAATTTACTGGACGTCTAGCCCTGGTGCTGCGGCGAGTAGGCGCGGGGGCGGGATCTGGTTCAGTAGCGTTTTCGCTGCGAGACGCAGAGACGGGAAGGGAGGTAGAGATAGGTTGCTCGACGGTGGACGCGTCTTCAGGCGCCTTCTCTGGTGTAGCAGCCGAAAGCCCAGGTCCCGGCTGATAGGAAGGAATCGAAGGACTAGCACGCGTCGTATCGATCTGCATTGGCGCGTCTTCGCTGATAGGAGATGGGCGTATAATGTCACCTTGCGGTAAGAAACGGTCTGCAAGGGGTGTCAATGGACGGTCATACGGATTAGGAGGCGGTACAGGAGGGTGGGTGTAAATCGGATGTGATGAATCTGGAGGAGGTGAACCAGGCGCGACAGGTGTTTGTACATGCAGTCGAGGAGTAGCTAAACCGTTCGGTCCTGGACTCGCAGTAGCATCCCGAGAGTCTCCGTTCAAAGTACGGGTCCGTTTCGCTGGACGCTCATCGGCTGGGGTTCCGATATGCCGAGAAGGAAGAGGGGTGTCAGTGCTAGCGGTTATGTCCTCGTCCTCAGCGGCCTGACGCAAATTATTGATAAAAGACGAACGTGCCCGCGCAGTGAGCAGACTCCGTGGGAACGCACTGGATGGAGGCTGGTCAAGAGTAGAAGAAATGAGATCCCCACCATTAGCCTTGAACTGAGGTTGAGCCTCTAATTCCATTATTCGTTCCAGTAGCATGCTGTGAAAATCAGTTAGATTTGCGCGCTGCAGACAAACAGATAATGGCGCACTTTCGTTCTTGTCGTATTCGGACATTGCGTTCACTTGATCTCTGTAATTCGCTGCTCGTTTCCTTATGTTTCTAACCAGCATTAACAACGTCATCATGCGCAAACAGAGCCAGGAAATCCTAACCTCCTCGAGCTCGAAAAACCGTCTCTTCAGTTTTTTGTACTTCTCGACAATATTGTCTGATTCGTTTTTTTGCGTAGACGAAGAGGACGCAGCAGGTGTCGCGGTAGGAATACTAGATTGATCTTGTGGTGTCCCATTAGTAACATCCTTGTCGCTCCCTGGCCCCATTACGGCTGCGAGGAGCAAAGAATTACCAGAGGGGGTGTTGTTTGAAGGAGAGGGCGATAGTTTGCCATTGTTTACAATCCCGATAGGTTGTGTTCCAAGCATGAACAAATACCGGCCCGACGGCTGACCTAAATTCTTCCGCTTCGCATTGATAAGCTGCATACTCTTGCATACCGTTCTACTTAATTACCCAGTGCACGAGTTGCCTTACGACAAGTTCATCCCTGCATGATTTATGTAAATACTGCTCCGAAACTTTATATCTATCTTTTTATTACATATCCTTGCGGCAGGCTAAGTTCATTTTGTCTTCCGAAACATCCCCCCCCATCAAACCTTCCAAAGCGTGCCAGTGTTGGTGGAAATTTTCTGGCAAATTTTTAGCCTGGAGCAAAAAAACGAATCAAATTATGATTCATTACTCTGCCCGTACTACATAGCTTGACATACCTTGTGAGCGATCTCCTTGGTCTGTAAAGCCTTTTTTGATTCTCATACCTAGTTTCCGTGATCGGAGGTGATCGATATCACTCGTTGGTCTCTCGTTTCACCTAGTCGTTCCTGTCGTTCCCGCCTGAGCAATATATCAAAAGTCGTTGGTCTAATGTCGGTTCAAAGGCAGTGCATTAGATAGACTATGATCCCTCCGAATGTTATACAATCCTAGTTTTACTTTTTTTTTTGGCAGCAATAAGATATTCTAAGGTAGGTATGGGGAGGTCCAACCTCCGGACGGCATCCCGTCTGCGTACAATTACAGGGAGTCATGTAAAGGACAGACTGCGGGTGATTCCTCATGCAGCCAGGTCCCCCATCACAAATACACTTCCTTGTGCTTTTATCTCGTAATTTTTTAACGCAGATTTGGCATCTCCACGATCGGCATACTTGCGATCATGCGGAACCTCCTCATCTCCGGCAGTCGCCATGCTCATAGAATCAGCGTGTTTTTGCATGGCGAGGCGGAAGCGGCTGTGATTGTTATGAGCCTACGGACCCAGAAAGTACAAGCAAATTAACGAACCGGAGTTCCTTCATGTCCATAGGTGTCTTGTGTCGTCCCCACAGTCCAGCTGATGCATTGTGCCCGACTCGATGAAGAACGATGCCATGCGCATTATCATCATCCATCCACGCATCACGGGCATCACGAATCGAGTGCCTTGCGTTGAGTGTCGCTAGCAAACTATTGACATAGCCTTGTGTGAAACGTCAGTTGCAATTTCAATTGACAAAGCAAGAAAGCACGCGTACATTTACTAACAACCAAGTTCGGGGCAAAGAATAGCATCTCTCTGCGTCGGGCGACGAACTAATGAAACTATTAGATGTAATGAATAGGAGGAAGTGACATCCTTCCTTACCACAATCAATTGAACAAGCGCCACGAGGCTAAGGAAAAGTTACAGCGGCTTTATATGATGGCTAAAGCAACAATTACACACCCTCCAACCATTCCCATATTAATGGCGTGAATGACAAGCCGGTGGACAAGCTTCTCCGTCCTGTTATTGGGTCAGAGACACTCAAAGGAGAATGCAATGGATACATACATCTGCATTCCGGTTCGCTCTGCACGGAGGTACCAGACCGTCGCGCAAGTAATCAACAAGTCGCCTAGCACGGTACTAGACAGTTCCAGTATCAACAACGCCTAAAATTTGTACCGTTCATGGGTGTCGACTGTCACAGCAACGGAAGCACTTACACTATTCGAGAATATGTCCGTCCGCGCATTGGCATTGGCATTGAACCTGATGCACGAAGTGCAATGAGTTATCGCTATCAAGGTCTCAAAAGGCTCGCTTACTCTTCTGCCACAAATGCTGATAGAAGACTGTGTGAGACGAAGAACACACCGCAGTGGTATCAACGACTTACCAGTGCCAGAAGCTGATAAAGGATAAGTCAGAGACAAGCTTCACAAATCAATCAAGAATGATGCTTACCAAGTTGGACGAGCGCGAAGAAACACTAACACCGAGTTAGATGGTGACCCAATGTGAAAAATCATACTCACTATGGCCCCCAGTATTATTTTATTATGTCGGCTCACTACAGCGAATGAGTACCAACGCAACAGTGTCGAAGGTGCAACAAACCTTTAAAGACTCGATATCCGTAGTAACTACGCAGCAAATGTCAGTGAAATGTAAGAATGGAAATGATATGCACATACCTTTGTACAAAAAATGTTATTACATACTACGGACGCTCTAAGTACCTCTGAGAAAATAGATCAAGTCGAGAACACGTACGGTGGTCATCAAAGATGCCTAGAAATAGTCAGACGGGATTACATACATGGGCAAGCAAACGTCGGACTTACAATTAGTTGCCTAGATAATCGAAACGTTTCACCATCAGCAACACGTCCGGACAGTCATGATAATTCTCACATACCAAGGAAGCGCATTGCCGAGGGTCGAGATAACACGCCCTTCAATGAAATAGCGCCAAAAGGAATGGGCTGTCGCGTAGACGTGAAATGAATCCATTGAACTATGGTCCTGCAGTCAGCGACAACACAGTGGAGGACAGAGATTGGTGCGTACAATACGATCAGGACGAGCAACTTGAGCGGTAGTTCGTCCTCATGGTAGTAATATTGATAATAATGAAGTGTTTGTGATATAGTAAGTCCATACAACCTATACGATTCGCGTTTAGAGAAGGAAAACGTCAAAAACAACACTAAAACTCACCCCACACTGACAATAAACCCTGGTCGCGTGACATCAGAGCCGAGCAGCTTTCAAGACGCGATGCACTTACCGATGAACCCCGGACCCCATATAGCGTCGATAGAATTGTCAGACGAAGTGAGCGCGCTTGAAGACATCTTGAGGAACGTATTGTCTTGGTAAGTGGTTGAAGAAATCGAACGAGAAGGTGACTCTTATAAATTTTAACAAGACGGCAACACGATTCAGTATCCAAACATAAACACCCGCGAAAGATCTGGACCGGCTGGGTGATTTGTCGTCGCGTTCCAGAACGAGTCTCGAGATCACTTTAGGCCTGATATTTTCGATCAGGAGCAATCGATGTTGGATCGATCCTTGGTAAATATTATCGATCCCGCCGGGGGTGGCGGTGTGCGAGACTCTGAGGCATTTTGGGCTCACAGAACAGGCGTTTCCGAAGCAAAAAATGCCCGCATTTGTTTCCGATATCGATAAGAGAAAAAACAGCATTGTTGGTACTTCATTTTAGAGCACTCACTGTACGTCTACATAGCATTTGTTTCATGTCTGCCGACTTGCAATATTGTTGCGCCCCGCAAGTCTCCGAATTTCATCGTTCCTGAATACGTCGGTTCTCGTATGACGCTCGGCAAGAGTCGTGATAGTGCACGGCCCCGATCGGATGGCCAATATTGGCTACACTGCGCACACAATTAATTAAGTCCTCCCGAATTGCTGGTAATGCAACACCTACCCATTTAATTTATTCCCCAAAAAGACGACTATGCGATCAAAAATGGCTCCGAATTTTTCCTCGCAGTCTGGTGCATAGTCAAATGAGTGTTCCATCCCGTCTATCACGATTATTTCAGTCTTAACACCGGCATCTACAAGTAGAGAATGAAGATGTCGGGATTCATCCGCGGGAACTGCCGTGTCGATCTCGCCATGGACAAATAAAGTGGGGGGCCAGGCACCGGTAACATTCATCTGGGGAAATAAAATTCCATGTTTGAGGGTGAATTCTTCGATTGGAATGGGCGGGGCCCGGGTACGGAGTGTAGCGCTCAGGCTGGGTTCATGTGCACCGGTGTAATAATCAAGGAATATTCCGCATTGCAAGTACAATCTGGTCAACAGCATGCGGGGGTTCGCTGGGTATCCTGGGGTAGTCGGAGATGTAAGGGGGTAATACTCTAGTGGAGAGTCGGCAATGGGAGATGAGGTCGCAGATGTGGGAAAAATATGAGCCGTGAAGTTTGAAGGATCCAGAAGCTCACGCCCGCGAAAGAACGGAGCCGTTTTCAGGGTAATATAATGAGACGTCTGAGGCAACAAAAGGGTGCAAAGCGGTAAGCAACCGGAACTCGGACTAGAATATTTGACACGTACAAAAAAATTTCCCCCCATGCCATACATCGACAGAACAGCTCGAGGCCGCGGACAGGCATGTATGGCGGCTAAATATGCGCAGAGACCACCGGAACTGGTTCCCGCGACGCCCATTGCATCCTTGTCAATCTGATAGCTTACTCCAAAGGCGCTGAAACCTTGTGTGGGTAAAAACGCGAATAGATCCTTGATATCCTGGAGTATTTCGTATCCAGTTGTAGATCCGGACGGGATAAGCCTGTAGTCTGCGCACACAAATGCAAAGCCTACAGCGTTGACGCGCTCTGATCGTATCGCATCTCAGTATACTATACGCCAGCATGAAGGACATCCAAGAAACCTACTACAAAGCCAATGAGGAAACCAACTTTTTCGATTTCCAACAGTCAGGCCGCCTCCGTGAAAGTAGATGACTGCAGGGACTTTGGGGCATTGCGGACGGGTTTCTAGTCTAGGATGATACAGGTCAAAGTGAATCTTCAAATCTCCTATACTTTTATACACAATCGTCGAATACGCGTCGCCTTCCATCTTTCGTTGAGTCCTTGACCTTGTCACGGAACAGACAGTGATGGTGGCGGCTGAGCGTCCAGCTTGGTGGCTGTGTCAAGCCAAGCGGCCCCCTCCGGCCCGCAAAATTTTCAACTTTACGCGCGCAAAGGCGCCTTTCTTCAAGATCGATATTGGTAACGAAAATGGGGGTACTCTTAGACTCCTACTACTAGGATGAATATTCCGACTGTACCAATGCTCTGTCGCATCATACAAACGTGCTTAGTACCGAAATCATGATGCGCAATGTGTTGCCCTCGAGCTGTTAACGGGAACAGCCGGAACAAGTCAAAAAACCAGGCAAAATAGGGTTAATGACCTCGAGGGTCTATCCGACAAGGATACCGCGGAACGATAGGTTATGTCCTCCGGGACAGGATCGCGCTGAGTCGCGACGCGGTCATGATGACAACCTCACAAACGGGACTCAGGAGCTGACAAGACAAGGAGTTGCTAGGCCCGAAGGAGACTGGAAAAGGACCTGCGTAATCTCATAGATCATGATGGCCCTGCAGGATTCTGCGGAGCCCCATATTAGGCTTCCTGACAAGGTCTTGGGTCGCTATTGTCCGGGCGGGTAACTGGTTGTAATACCAAGTGGATCCCTGAAAGGGATAAAAATGCGTCACTATAATTAAGGAGCTGCAGAGCAAGCCGAAGAAGAGAATAATGGGGGCACTTAGTAGGATTTGAAGTTCTATGTCTACCGCCGAGACCGTTCTTTTTGTCAAAGATGACAGCACAGTAAGGTTGAGCCGGAGGTGTTGCTCGGTGTCATCTATGTAGTGCGTCCATTCCGATAATATGTTAGCAGCTTCTAATTAATCGCATGACAGCGCACGCACTTTACCGTAATATATGCACCATATTTTCAGCAGGCAAAACAGTCGACGATAAGCCAAACTGCTCTTTGTCCCAAAACCAGGCGCATGGTGGGGTCGCCAAGGATACTGGCAGGAAAAAAATCGGAGTAGGTCCTACCCCATAAAATTGTTGGCAAATTTGTAGACTTTGTAAAGACGGAATAATCCGAAACCTGTGGCGGTGCAGAGGGCTGTGCTGAATGTTCGCCCTGTGCCTCACAGCGGAATTTGACGACGGACCACAATGACTTCACCAGGCGCATACGCGTTGAAAACGCCCTACTATCTCGTTGGAATTTATGTTTTCTTTCTTGAAGGCATAAATTTTCTGGCATTCTTGCCATCGCCGTTCGCCAACGTTGTCGCCACACAGCTCTGGTTTCTATCCTCAGCGCTGTTTGCGGTCTCTATCATTCTGTTCATGTACCTTACATTCACAACACTCCTTCTCGGTGCAGTCAAGTCTTTGGCCTATTTTGTGCCATTTCCTAATGCGCCTGCGGTCCCGAGTGAGTGGCGATGGGAGTTGGTTCAGGATGTCTATCTATCCTTGTTCTCTTTGGGCGTTGCATTCAACCACGCTCTGTACAGTGGCGGATTTGGCTTAGAGTCACCAAAGGATATTTCCGAGCGAGTCTTTGGGCTCCTTGGTCATGTGTGTGCTGCCCTTATCTTGGAGGTTGAGATCGTTGGAGGTATGATTGGGGTTATCGTCCTCAGCAAAGTCGTGGTGTCCTTGTGGCCATGGAAGGTAGATGAAGATCTTGAGAGAGGACCTATGTTCATGTCAAGTGTTTGGGATGAAGCGAAGGAAACGGCAGTGTCAGAAAAGAAGACATAGGTCTGGGTCGATATGGATGACGAATCTGCTTTTCAGGCAGGTTGTCTTCTGGTTTTTATTCGCTTTCTTCGTCACATTCATCTTTTCTACATATCTTTACGTTTCAGTCGACCGTTTTCACTTTGACACGATGCAACGCATGGTAGGGCCTTGACGACCATTCATGCGGTATCGTTGTTTTCGCTCTCAATGGAACTTTCCGATACCCTCTCCCTTTATCTAGATCTTATCTGCTCAATACCATCCCTGTTTATTACTACTGTTAGATGGAACTGTGTAGCATACGACCTCCAAGATCATTGGAACAAGACGTTGAGATGGATGACGAATATAAGGTGATTTAGCTCCGTGCATCTGATCCAAGTCATGACCGTTTAACCGGTTCGTCACCCTCGAGCGACAACAAAGGTTACCATAACGCAGCCACGGGACCATAACGACAGTATTGTCGACAACCTCAATAATATTGTCCACATCTCAACATCTCCGCAGCCACGGGACCGAAAGTCTTCTCAAGTTCCCCATTTGACTACTGCAGAGGTAGAATCGCCGGCAAAAAGGACGCATGACCGAGTATGTCATCGTTACGCCCAGGATTGCTTCCACTGACCTATTCTTATAACTACAGCAGGACTTAGTCATTCTCTTGTCAAAGATGTCTTTGTCAATCTCCAACCTGTCGCTTATATATAACCGCATCTTGTGCGAACTACACTCGGACCTTCCCTTTTGCAGGAAAAGGTCACTCACGCATTATGCGCTTGTCATCTGCGGGACAGCGTCCTCAAGGTCAACAATTTTAAGTTTAATGATCCCGTTTCGATCCTTGGCTTCTGACGCTTATATACCTCAATGTCAGCACCTCACTGCCGGGTCTCTTCTTCGGTACATAGAAACTGCTTCTTGCATTTAACCACCGATGGAATGCTACCCTTCCCTAGCGCAGAGTCGCCAGTCGCGGTGGGCGTCGTCGCTTTTCAAAGGCGACTTTATACTACTAAGTGGGACCTGAACGCAGTTCAGTATTTGTCAATGCATTCAATAAGCGCAGCGTGATTTTCTGCGACCGGTGCTTTTTTTTTTTCCGGCTGCTCGCGTCTACACAGTTAGGGAATTCTCTTTGAGAGACGCTCTATCTCGATGGGGTCCTGGACTACGAGTGGAATCCATTTCTATCTTCGGTCGAACCCATAAGGTCCTGCCAGGGGCGATTGGTACTTAAAAAGCCAGGGCAGACCATTGACAGAATCCCCCCAACAAACCAAAGACCAGGATAAAATGACATACTTCACTCGCCTTGCAATCGCTCTTACTCTAGCCGCGACCTTGGTGAACGCAGTGCGTACCTCTCTATCTCTTCTAGTCTTTTTTTCATTTTTCATTGGTGTTCGCGTAGGCCCCCGCCATGGAGGAAAGAGGCGAAGTCATCCCCATGTCGACTTTGACCTTCACCAGGATCGAGTGGACGCTCATCCCAACGAGCCCGTACCTGACAACGACTGAGTTTCCGTTTACTGTCACGTGAGTAGACCGTTACCAGCACCTCTATCCACAGATCTGACTTTCCTTTCCCGCAGACAATTTTCAACTGTTGAAAATGCGCAAGCGACACCGTCGGCGTAGTGGTATTGATGAGATTTACATACCTGTTATGTTATGGTGATGCCTCGCTGTCTCCTCAGGCCTTCCTTCCTTCCTTAGTTACCCTTCTTACTTCGCTTCTCTGTCTTTCTCCTTCGACTAGTAGTATCTACACATCGCAGTCATTTGGCTCATGGTCAATCCTAGCTTCAACATACTAGGACTTTGTAGAATGTTCTTATACCCAGAGCGAAGGAGTATATCGTTAATTAGTCAATCTTACCTTTGCTTTACGCACTGGCATCATCATCTGTCATCAACTCTAGTGACATTAAGCAAGTATCGAACCTAATGAGGTTAAACCGGCCTTACAACTAAACCCGATCTTTTCAACTGGGCGTCACTTGAACCTCAACTTTTGGGTTCTCTGAGCTCGCTCTCATCTTCTCTCGCGTCGACTTTAGGAACGTAATTTGATTACTACTAACGGTATAATAATAATTTATCTTCTCCAGATCTACACTCGGTGCAAAGTTTAATAATTACAAAGTTCCGAGCTCACTTGGGGTTATCATAAACAGCTTCCAGTCTAGACTCTACATACTGGGCGCTGCTGACCCATCTGTCTGAATAATCACTTGTTCGTGCTCAGTCATACTGCAAAATATCTATTCAATGATCCAGCGCCCGTGGGCCTAGGTCAAACATCACTTCATCACTGTCGCCATCTCCAAAGCTTCCCCAATACCTGTGTGAAAACGACGGCTTGTGTATCTGTAGGCGGCATTGGCAAGATAATCAGGACTGCTCCCATGCTCTAGCAAGCGAAGGGAATGTTCGTCCCAGACCTGGCTATGGGATATAAGGAAGGCAACTGGCGGAAGAAAAACTTATCTCATCTCATCTCATCATATCATTCCACGGCACGGTACCTTCAGCATGTAACGTAAAGCAGCTCAAAAGATGATGCACCGGGGATAACCCCCCAATGACATGTATATTTAAGAGGGCATAAAACGAACCAACAATGTACAGACTTCACTCATAAAATGTTACATATAGCACATATTGCAGCATACCGCCAGTCGTACAAATTCAGAGCTTTCCAGGAGTATCCTCACCGCGGCTCGGGCTTTGATTGGCAGGGAGATCCGAATGCAGAGGAGTGTCAATGGGAACTTTCGAAAATGGGTTGTCCTCTGTCGTCGGAACAGCCCCCACAGGAAGTTCTTTACCCTGAACAATCTTCGCTTCAACTTCTCCAATAGGCCTATTATTCTCATCCTCTGTCTTGGGTTCATTCTCTGACTTCTCCTGACCCTGGTCCAAGGTCAAGGCTGTTTCGATTTTGCCGACCAGGTGGTCAACCTTTGCATTCACTTCAGTCTCGTTATCGATGTCCTCCTTTGGCTTTGTGCCTTCGTCAAGCCTTGTTTCTGCCCAAAACGTCGTCAGCTCTTCCTTCCATCCCAACTCGTCACACAGGTCACTGATAACTTCGTCGCATTTCCCCAGAAGAAGCACATCATCAGTCCGCCGTCCCAGATCTCCTACTTTGTCCAGGTTGATAAGGACTCGTGGACAGAGCGGGTTCGCCAAGTCTGCCAAAGCTGCGAATGAGGGCATAGTCAGGGATGTTCCGATGATGATGAGGAGATCGGCTATTCTAACGGAAGAGGAGGCGCGTATGAACTCGTCCGGTACCTGCCGGGACTAACAGTCAGTTTCGAGCCCATAGAAACTGATAGTAGCACGCACCGATTCGTCAGTGAATACAGTACCGGGTCTAACCAAACCTCTACATTTCTCGCAATGTGCAATCTTTTTGTCGCGGATGTGATCCTTCATCCGTGCATCGTCATAGGGTTCATCGCAATCAATGCACTTCTGGAAAGCAAAACTCCCGCGAGCCTCGATCACCTTGTCGGTCGGCACCCCTGCGCGCCGCTCAAGCGTATCTATATTCTGCGTGAAACACCTATAAAGGAGCCGTTTTGAATCAAGAAGACGGATAAACGAATGCGTGAGCGTCGGCCGGTATTTTCCGGGGTACAGCGCCTGTGCAAGAGTATAGACTGATTTGAATTATTTTATTATGGGTACCAGGAAAGGAAATAGACCTGCATGGGAGCGGATTCTGTCGGAAATATTCAAGCTCGAATATCGCTTCAGGGTAGGGAAGGTTCATTGTCGCAAGACTCGCCTACACATCAATATCAGTTAAAGTGAACACGAGGAAAACATGTTCGACAACTCGGCCTCACATATAAATCTGACCACGCAGTTCCATCATTGTACAATATTGACGATCATTGCAGACGTGACTACGTACCTGTCTCTGGAGACCGGTAATCGGGAATGCCAGCAGAGGCACTCGCACCTGAAATCGCACTGATACATCAATGGCGTCATTTATATGGTTACTGAGCTACTGACCAGCACCAAGCTGTATCGCAGCATTCATTTAGTGAAGCAAATGTAAAATAAATCGAGGGAATACTTGCCATGACGGTGATATTCCGGCAAACCTTGGACTTAATGTACTCAGCCACAGCCTTGATGTCATTTCCCTTCAATACCCTGAACGAGGTCACTGGTGCCTTGGAAGGAGTGGCCGTCGTCTCGACCTCCTTGATTTCCGTCTCAGCCCACAACTTCATCAGCTCCTCCTCCCACCCCAGCCGTCTGCACAGATCTTTTATAACTTCGTCACATTTTCCCAGAAGAACTACGTCATCAGGCCGACGTCCCAGATCTCCCACCCTTTCAAGATTAACCAGAACCCGAGGGCAAAGAGGCTCAGGCAGGCCTGCCAATGAGGCAAAAGGGTGCACCGTTAGGGACGTTCCTATGATGATGAGAAGATCCGCCGTTTTGATGGAGGGGATGGCACGTATAAAATTCTCGGGAAGCTGCATGGTCCCGTCAGTTTGAGCCAATACCTGAACCATGGCACATACCGATTCACCGAAGAATACAATATCGGGTTTGACCAAACCCTTGCACTTCTCACAGAACGCGATACTTTTGTTGTCGATGTTTTCTTTCATCTTCAAGCCGTCATACGGTGTATGGCAGTCAATGCACCTTTGCGACGCAAAACTGCCATGGGCCTCAATAATCTTGTGGTCGGGAACTCCCGCACGTCGTTCGAGCGTATCGATGTTCTGCGTGAAGCATGTCTGTAGGAGCCGTTTGGAAGCAAGCAGACTAATGAACGAATGCGTGAGGGTGGGCCTGTATTTTCCTGGATAAAGTTCATGGGCGAGAGTGTAAACTGTCGTTGATCCGTTACATTTGTGATAGAAACAGCGATGGAATAAACGTACAAGGGACTGGGTTTTGTCTGAAAAAGCCGATCTCAAAAACGGCTTCAGGGTAGGGAAGGTTCAACCTGGCAAGATTCGCCTATCAATTAGTTGGTATAGACTCCGAAGTAAGAAAAATGGCTTGTAAACACACGTAGAGACCTGGGTATTACTGTTCCATTAGGCAACAATCGTCGATATACCGCAACGCACCAGTTTTAGGTGACCTGAAATCTGGAATACCAGCAGATGTGCTGACACCTTCAAGTGCCGCCTTGTTACACACACAACGCAAAATGGTGGTCACAAAGAGACTGACCGGCACCCAACTGTGAAGACCTTAATTTAGTGAAAGAGTGATAAGAGAAGCGACTTGCCATAACGATAATATTTCGGCAATCTTTGGACTTTATGTACTCAGCAACAGCGTTGATATCATTCCCTTTCAGTACTCTGTAGGTTCTCGATTTCTTTGGCCGTGATGTCATGATGATGAGAGGAAGGAGGAAGAGTTACAAGTCGATCACGATCGTGGGGGATGGCAGGAATAGTAATAATAATAATAATAAACTAAATACAACGAAACCGCGGAGTATGAGCAACCGCTGCTTGTGTCGATATTCGGTAAGGTATCCTCATTTCGCACTGAAATTGGTCGCCCTTCGTACATAACGAAAATGATGCTAACATATTTAGTGGATGTGTGGTCAAATCATTCTCTCCCTCTCAAGTCTACGTGGCTTTTAGGTACCTGTCTCATAATCTTGAAGTAAAACGTTGGTGAACTCAGACTGACCAGCTGGTGGCATAGCAGGAACTTTACAATGCTGATTATCACAAACATTATATACACACAGCGACGGTGTCCAGTTTCAGAGTCGCGAGGGTCGTAACAGCTACTCCTATAGCTGTAACGGAACCAGTAAGTTTCATTGGTCTTTTAGGGCGGTGTCCAATCCTTCAACCACTCCATGACGAAGACAATCTCTTCTCCGTGGATCTTTCGAATATTGGGAGGCTCGGTACTCAAATTCTTGTACCCCCACTCATCGTAGTGATGTACAGCATCTGTAACAAATGAGCGACACATAGCAAACGCACGAGTCAGAAGCATACGGGGAATCAACTTAAAAGGACGTAGCACAGTGTCGTCACGGTCTATCGCATATTGACTGTGAGGCGTCGCAGGTCTCCAGGGATCATCTACATGATAATGAGTATGCAACCTTCTCAAGTTAAAAGGGTATCTGTGAAGGATTCGCCTACCTTGACCATCAATGATTGCCAGACGGTCGGCCGCGATATCAAAGCCTCCGAGAACGTTGACAGCCGTGACATTGGGCAGAGGTGGCACAGTGAAGTACTTGCCAGGCGGGAATGCCTAGTTATGAGATGAATGCTTGAGCATCTTCACTATCTGTGCAGTCGTGCGCACCTGCTTGCATATCTTCGACTCATAATCTAATGTTATCAAGTTGGAAACAATGCGAGGGTAGCCTGGTGGAGGTGCGGTCATGAAAAAGCCCCACTGCGTGCATACTTGGAATTGCCATAACCGCCATGTCTGGTCCAAAGTCGTTGCAGCATAACGAGTGTCGTTGAAAGTACCGAAACACTGCGAACAAAGATCAGTATATTTCAATACGATGATGAGCTGCAAGCATACCTCTTCTTGAGTGGAATTCTCAGAGCACGTAGAGACGACATTCTGACGAAATAACAAGGTAAGTTTCTTCCTCTACGAGGAGCACTTGTAATGAACCCGCCTGCCTAGTCCAATTTGCATAGTTGACAATCGAAAAATCCAGGGATAAGCCTCCAGGAAGCGAGATCATTCGGTCGGGATGCTCAAAGTCTAGATCAGCCACGTCAGCCGTCAAAAAACCGAACGGTGGCTTGTTCAACGCGTCACAAAACTCGTCAAATACATTACTGCCATATGCCGGATCCCAGCATTTTGCCTGCCAATACCCGAGCGGTGTCTGTCAATCCATCGCGCAAGTCAGCACGAGGTCGGCGGAGGTCCATATAGAAAACCGCCGACTTACCTCAAGCAATGAGACAAAATCAACATCGTGCTGCAAGTCCGAGAGGCCAAATAGCGCTTTAAGTGGATGAGCAAGCAGTTTATTGGACAACAGTCTGTCGATAGTTGCAATGGACTTTTGGATATGATAGGAGCACTTGGGTCCGGCAACTTGACGGATGAGATCCCAATATTCCCAGTAGACGATGGTGGCGTGTGTTACACCTATGGAATCTTTAATGACATTTATACCGAGACATATCGTGCCGACTGACCGCTAGACGCAATAGCACCGAAAACCAACTCAGGGTACAACACTTTCATATGAGCGGCCCTTGCACCTGCGTACGATCCGCCGTAGTAAATCCAAGGTGTGCCGGGCGCTGTTAGGTCTTCATCAATACCGTCAAACTTCACGTTGGCCATGAAATTGGCGCTATCAGCCGCAGCTTGTTCGTTGTTCAGCCATCTGATTTTGAATGTCAATTCTCTAGCGAACATTGCTTTGATCAACTACGCACCTCAGTGAGTCCGTGGTCAAGTTCTCCACCGCGACGGAGTCTCCTAAAATTGAAATTCGGATCAACAGATGCTCTTAAAATTGGTGTTTCATCGAACCATAGTAGCGATGCTCGAGCACAACACCGAGGCCTCCAGTGGCCCTTGCCAGAATCTCGACAATGCCAGTGTCAAGGAACGGGAGTCTGTCCTACTCAAAAAGTGAATGTGCAAGCTGACCTGACAAGGATACGTAAAGAATCCACGAACCTCGCCACTGGTTTCCCCACCGTCCAATACGATTACAGGTCCACCCGTCCCTGGATCGTAATGCCGTTTATTGACCCAGTATCGCTGACCGAAAGTATGACCGAAAGTATTGTCAAAGTGATCCAAGGGTTGCTGGAACCATTGCACAGGGAATTCCTCAACAACTCTATTGGCCGGATTCTGAACCGTGAAAGATGCCTTTGCCGTCTGCTGTTGCTGCTGCAACTTCCAGAGGTTTATGCCTTGAGGCCCAAGAGCTGTCAAGTCGACCAGAGCATTGGCTAGTGAGACATAGATGATGACTGCAGCCAGCACCATCGCAAGTGATGACGACGCCATGGTTCCAACTCCCAAGGTGCTGGACGCGTATTTGGGCCCGCCATCGCGTGACTTTCCGATCGGGCCGTAAGCCGGGCCAAGATCCTCTGCTCCAGTTGTCATCTCTCTAACCTACTAAAACGACTTATCCTAATATTTAGGTGTTTTCTAATTCTTAGTGTTCTCCACAGACATTCCCTCCCTCTAAGATCATACGGCATGCATACCCGCAGCCTTTGGATTCAAAATTTCATCAAGTTCAATAATTTAGAATCGACAAAGGCAGAAATGTATCTTATGTTTTTGACAGTCAACCAAAGCACGTTTCGGGGGAAGGAACAAAATATGGAACGAAACACACGATTGAAAAAGAATAGTGACATGCTGCGATATGAAACAAACGATCTTCGGAGGAGGAAAGTTCTGTGGAGTTCGAAAACTGATGTCCATTGCTATGTCCTTGCCTTGGGAGTGATGAGTGAATGGAACTGTCACCATTAGCACCACCATTTGTAATCTGTCGGTCTACAGTTTTTGCGAAAGCCGAGGGAGTTCGACAATTTGTTCTGACCCTGGATACGGTGGCAAATTGAGTTGGAACTTTTCTTCCAACGTCCTGGGGTGTATTCATTTAACGACATCAATGTAAAGCATAGCTCGAGTGCGCACTTTGGGACAAATCGACCACCAAGGAAGTGAATGCCTTCAAAAGACCTTACGCCTTCTTTCGGAGCCGTCAGACTAATGAGAACGTCAGGATTAAGGCCGACGCCAGCGTCATTCCCTTTCTCGACATCCCAGCCTGACGGGATGTCGACGGAGACGATGGGAAGGCGAGACTCGGAGATCAAGGGCAAAGCGGCATCAAAGGGCGCTCGAACAGGACCCTTGAAAGAGAAGCCAAATATAGCATCAAGGATTACATCGCTAGAAGATAAAGCGCTGCGAAGGCTGTCGATATCCACCGATGGTGTAAGCGTTTTGATCATCATGTTATCACATTGAGTCTTCAGTCGCTTCGGAGAAAGTTAGTGAAGCGAGGCTTTGAAGGTTGGAAGCAGCGTACCTTGTATATGTCTTTGGACCCAGGCTAAAGAGATTAACGTTACCGACTTGATCCCAGTCACGGCGCGGTACTCACTTTCGGCATATAGATTGTCGGAGAGTACCCGAACATACCTCGACCCGGGGACGTCAAAAGACGGTGAGAAAAATTTAACAGTAATCTTACTGAGATGTCGAGCGGCGACCAGGCCATCCCCACCTTGGAAGCGATCGATCAGCATATAAATCAGCGGCATGAGGCAACACCTACCTTGATTACCCGGTCCGCAACATACAAGAACTCGGTTGAACTTGTCCTTATCGTAAACCTTGGCCAACGTCTGAGCGCATGCCAGGCCTGCCAGTTCCATGAGCTAACATGTCAGATTCAGTTTCATCGAAGCGTGAAGAGGTTGACGACAGGCCTGGTCGAGACTGAACGCCCCTGCTGCGCTCATGAGCTCTTCATCTATCTTCAATTCATTTCATTAGTATCTTGAAGCAAAAAGTATAGAAAGAATTCAACTTGTTGGGCAAGTTTCGCAGACAGATAGCGAATCGACATCTTAATCTTCAGGAGAGTCAATGTGCCTCGCAGTGACGTTGTTTGCTTGCGAAGCGTCTCTCGGGGAAATAACGCGTAGCAACCGAAATTGAATTATCCGTGACGGGGCGTGACCTAGAAGTGGCTGCCGCTATCTCCGGCATTTCCAAGGTTCTTCCAAGGGTGCTATGTAGTAACTATGGTATTGCGGTCATTTCATATGGCGTACCATCCGCTACTTCTGACGTTCCATTTACAATTCAGAAGGGGGACTTTGTCTCTTCAATCTGAAGACACTAACCGACCACTTCCATTCGTTTCTCGTTTACTTCTTCACGGTCATGATCACTGTCTGGACTCTGCGGAGTAGGTGCCTGGTTCCATATTGTCAAGGATCTCTGATTGACGATCCGTCGTTTCAAGTCACCGCTACAGTTCTCCATGGCTTAGCACAGATATTTACTTTCTTCCGACTAGCATACCGATCGCGGAAAGCCCGTCTATGGTTAGATGACGCGTGCGCGAGCATAGCCATGGTGTGCTCGCTGGCGTGGCTTGTCTGCTACTGGATTCTCACAGACGTGCCAGGTGCGTAGTACGTGGTTACCCTCTTTCCGTGCTCCCTCTAAAGTCACTATAGGCGTGGGACCTATTGGCCAATCTGAATTATTCAGAATAAGGTCCTATTGGGTAGATAGCGCTACGTTCTTGTCCATTGTTTGGTATGTGTTCAGCAACTACGGCTGGTAACGTGTTCGAATAACGAACATCTCATCTTTAGGCTGAGCCGAATGAGCTTAATGTTTTCGTTTATAAGGTCATCACCACCTGGATTTCTTTCTCGAAAGCTACCTTTCTTTGCGTCTGTACTATTCCTTCTGATGTGGGCATCGTTGCTGGCGCAAAGGATATACCTTTGTGACCAAGATGAATCATGGCAAGACCAACCACAACCCAAATGCGATAGTGAGTCATTGATTTATCCTTCGCCGTGCCAGCTGACTCGATTATTTACAGACCAAACTATCAGAATTACCGTGCTTGCTTGTATGTATCCGTTACGCCCAAATATGATTATGTCTAACGGCACTATTCCAGTTGAATTATTCTCAAACCTAATCATATTGGCTACGCCGGTAGTCACTTTGATCGCAGGCACAGTCTACCATGCACAGCACAGAGTGTTACTGATACTTTTATTTTGTGCCCTCATCATTACTGCGGTCAGTGTCGTCCATGCGGTTTTCTGGATCCACGAATCCTATGTGGTACTTTTGGAAGACCTGACCGCAATTATTGAAGTGACTTCTTTCCCGGCCTGTTCTCAATTGCAACTCACGATGTACATAGTCTGGAGCATCTTTGATATTCATAAACCTCGTCGTTGGGGTTATGTTTCTCCACCAACGCATGGACCGCAACGTGGAGTATCCCGACGACCTTGAATACCCCGACGGCTCCTCTACGTTCCGGAAGAAACGCAGTAGCCAGCTGAAACAGCATATCGGGCCCCCTCGTAGACTGAACGCCATCCGCCTAAGTCTTCAAGGTACTGGACACGAGTCGTTCGCAACCTCCATCCCCCATATCTATCTTGACGACAACAACACACTTACAGGATCAACTACTGACATCAGCAAAATCCACGGCGCCGAGAAAACCATCGACTCCGGCGTCGAGCTAGAGCCCTACACCCCCGCGATATACGCTGAGGAAACGTCCAAGCTCTTTCGCCCCACGTCGTACCAGTCATCGCTCTCCCGATACTCCGACGATTCTCCCACGACGGCTAATTTCCGACATAGCGCAGATTCCAGGTTGTCAACGTGTCCAATGCTGAGGAGCCCTGATGTCATGTCTCCACCTGCGAAGCTAGATCATCCACCCTCGCCACCGCCGACTGCTGCGCCACCCAACAAGTCAGTCAGGTTCCTCAGCCCATTATCACCTCGGTCGCCGGCCACGTCGATGTACTCCTCTATCTATAATCGATCTCTTATTGATGAAGATCCTTTCCAACGCCGGCAACCGGTCCCACCGTTGCCACACGTAGAGGGGGGCGATGTGACCGTTCTACCTCCTGGGAAGGGGAAACCACTGACAGAAGCTGAAAAGCCGATACCATTCTAATTGAAGCAGCAAGTAATTTTTCTTTGTAGGTTTTCAGTGCTTTGCTCGGAAACTTGTGCTGGTTTTGACTTGCGCGTAGCAGGAAGGATTTGGATACTCTATATGGAGGAAGTTTGGACAACCTGTATATGTGATGCGTGTACCTAAGATGACGGGAAGATGAGTACCCTAGGAGGCAATAAGTAGAAAGTATAGTATCATCATTCATACTGGAGTCCGCGAATAAACCATACATAAAAACGTACAAGTTTCTGCAAGCATATACAAGATGGGGCAATGTAATAAATGTCAGTAGAAATGCGAGAAATGCCGCAAAATGCGGGGTATCACTAATTCAGTCCAGGAAAAGTAAGTATCGCATCGGGCGCGTCGCTCTTAAGTCATCTTCACACAAACTCGTCGATGCTCTTCCCAATCCTTCTTCTGGTGCTCCAGACAGCAGTACTTGACGAGCTTGCACTTGCTACACGTCTGACCCACAACTTTGTGATCTCTCGCCTCAACGCTGCTCTCAGACCCCTCACTGCTACCAGTGGATATCGATGCAGGCTCCTCGTCAAAGCATACGTCGCACTCAATCCAATTACACATCTGGCGTGCGCGGATTCTGCGCCCAAACTTTCCTCCCCGTTTGATCTCGAGTACGGAAGCGGTTTCTAGGCCACGCCTGGGAAAACGGATCATCTCACAGTCTTCAGTGCAGCAGGGATTGGGACAGCCGGTGGGATAATCGTAGAAGATTTCCTCGTCCGGAACAAAGGAGGCATGGGTGAAGAGGATTTGGGAATAGGAGGTAGTTTGATGTGAGAAGAGGACAATGAAACGAGGACGCTTCTCGTAAAGGATGGCGCGAAGGGTGAGATCAATCTGGGGGAAACAAGGATTTCTTCTCTGCCGTACAAGTGTGTGCGTTATACGCATATCTAAGAAAAGGTGAAAGGAGCTCAACAGGAGGGACAGCGACAACAAACGTACGTTCGTATTGTATTTTTCGCTCCATGCTGGGTTTACACGTTCGCCCAAAGGCCTGCCGACAGACCAGCTTGAAGTACTCGGTCACATCATCCATTTCCTGTCGCTTTAGATCGGTAACGATGATGAAGATCTCATCACAGCCCGTGTCGTGCATACCGCGCAGGATCATCAATTCCGGCAGCTGGGTAAAATTAAGCAAAATTTCTTTGATAACACAAAGAGATTCGCGCACCATGGTGAACACAACGGGCATCATGGACAATTTTCGCTCCTGCATTGACCTATGATGATAGACATGGGTCGTCCACGTCCTGTCCAGAGGTATGAGTCGCCCCGTGTCAACAGTGCGGCAGAAGATATTCTCGGGAACAAATTCTCCTTTGCTCCAGACGATAGCCTGCTTGTTCTGCGAGTGAGCATGCTTGCGTTCTCTGACCTCGCGAAACCAGTCGTGGTAAGCGTCATGGTTCGAGCCGCGATGTTCGAGCCATTTGTCGATGAGCATGTCAGTGGAATCATGGTCAAGAGTAGTCTTTACTAGCTCCGTCATTGAGAGGCTCGGCGGCGAGAACAGGGAGTAGTACTGCTTGCGGTGCGGCATAACGATGATAGTGAAAGGAGAGGTATGCTCTCTTGTTTGTCTGCGACTATGCACCGGCAACCAAATAATATGCCGACATCGTCTCAGACCTGCGCATCCAACAGCGATCGTTCGATATTATCGTATACCTATATGCTGTGCGAAGCACAGTAACTACAGCCGGTTAGTAGGATACGCAAGCTGATTAGAAGTAACAATCGTTGTGACAAATAGCTATGTACGGGTCCCGGGATGATTGGTACTCACATCAAGACCGGTAGAGCCGACTCCAAAGAGCCTTCAACTTCAGTTCAACTTCAGTTCACATATTCAAGTGACCGAATTGAGGGCCGTTAATGTGGATGGTCAATATCTTCGAGGTATGATCAGGTACGGGAGTAAAATTGACAGTCAGCTGGGGAAGGGATATACACCAGTAGATGGATGGCATTACGAACAAGCGAAAGGAGGAAGATTTCTAAACGGGCGAGAAGCCAAATACGGAATACAACATGGAAGGACATTTCCAATGTCATACAGTGACACTGATAGCCTGATACTCATCACAGAACGACGTTCGAATTCAAGAATCCTCGCCACCGCGTCCCATTACAAACTTCTCACAGACGTTTTGCTGAGGATGGGCACAGGGAAGAGTATATATCAATTTGCAAAAGTCGCCACTCATCGTCACCGATAAGGGCCCTGGATGTGAATAATAATAGATGCACCTCCAGGGGCAGAATCATTCTTATCCGTTCCGCCATCGTTCGAAAGGATGCCCATAAGCCTCGATAATGCCCCGCTTCGCAATATCCGCCTTTTTGGCTATAGATTCCAAACGAGGGTCACTACTTGCCCATTGTTTCGCATCGAGGAACACTGGTCTGAATCGACGCTGCGGGGCAAGGTCAGGTTCCTCCTCTGAGAAGAGATCATCAACGTCCATTGCGACGCTGGGTGGTGAGAACTGAGGCTGGGGAAAGGGTGTATGAGAGAGGGAAATGCGGGAAGACGAAGCAACCGGTCGCTTTTTGGACGGGGTTTGGAAAAGGTTCTCGTCCTCGTCTTCCTGCACAACTGGGAGAAGTTTGGTCGGAGAGCCACGCGGCGTCTGTACCTTACGCTTTTTGAGGGGACTCTGCTTTAGGACCTCCTCTGTGGGTTGTGGCGACTCTAGTTTACGCTTCTTAGTAGGACTCTCCAAAGAGTCGTCCTCTTCAACCGCTTTTCGTTTGTCATTTGTAGGAGGAACTCGAAGGGACCTTGAAGGTGATTTCCTCGATGAAGGCGTAGAGGGTGGGAAGGGTGATTGGACGATGGATTTCATGGGAGATGATGCGTAGATGTTCGGTTTCGTTGGAGAATTGGACGGTGCCACTCTGAGAGGCGTCTTTGAGGGCGACTTTCGTGGCGACGCGTGGGGTGTAGAGAACGGCGTGACCTTTTTCGAGGGATCATAGCTCTTCCTCTCAGCTTTAATCTGTTGCGCAAGAGAGCCCGCCGTCTTGACCAGCTTCCTAAAAATGAGTTCGAATTTCTTCGTATCGACGGAGAACTGCGATAGAAACATTTCCTTCTCGATGTCGACGTCGTCCTGACTAGCCTTCAACACGAGTTCTGCCTGTAGATAGACGTATTCGCATACCTTGAGAAAACTGCACACCCAGAAGAAGACTGCACATTTGACTTCTTTCCGGTCGACGTTGAAAACTTCCCTCATGACAAGGACACTCTCTGTCCTGCGCACCCAACTAATGACGAGCTGGGCGATTGGCGTTAGCTCGTATTCTTCGATGAGATTTTGGTAGAATCCATCTGTGTTGGAACGACTCCGCCGCGATGCGCCAGCTCCAAGGGCGCTTTCTACTGCCGCCACGCCCTTGTCAAAATCCGATGGCTTCAAACACGATGATTGCTGAGCTGACACGCGCGATATTTGATTGTTTTTGAGCCTTCATCAAAAATAAGAAAGGCAAAGCAAAAACGGAAGCCACGCCTGCCTTATGGATGCGATGTACGCGCAAATAGCGGGCAATCCAGTCCTCAGCGCTCCCAAGTCGAACCCAGAACCCGGCCGCGTCTTGGCATTTGCTAGATGATATATCTCCTTGGCTGTTTCGCGTGTTTCTAGATCATCGCAAAGCTGATTAAAGAGATGATTGTTTTGCGACATGCCGTCGACGATGAAAGTTGACAACCGCAGAAGCGGGTGTCACAATTTCCTTTTGTGGGATTCAACGCTTTTCTTTTGTCCGGCGAGTGACCAAGTTCATTATGCATGTACTATATGTGTATATATCGGGTATATGTGACTATAGCTAACTCAGAGCTGTAATTTTTTAAATAAATGCACCATGCTTGATTGGAAACTGTCTGTAGTCCTGAGACAAGGCAAAACCAGGGAACAGAGGTCATAGAGCCATGCCTGTGGTCTCCGAGTGCTCTTCTGTTCGGCATTCAGGCACAGATGCCAATTCCGGTGATCTATGCGGGGATGGCATGGACATTATGCTTGGGGAGGACTGCGGCGACGCTATCGTCGGGGAAGCCGTAAATGATACCCTTGGCGAAACAGTGGGACTGCCAGCAGTCTTTGTCGTTGTCGTTGTCGTGTTCGTGTTTGTATTCGAATCTTCAGTTGAGGTTCGTGAAAGTGAAAACCGAGAAGCGTGTGAGGACACAAACGCGCCGATGTTTGCTCCCCATGCAGAAAAGTTGGGACGCTGGGATTGAATCTGAGGAGAAGACTGCTTTGAATCAGAAGAGTTCCTCCAAAACAATGTTGGTTTGGCAGTGGATAGCTCAGAACCTTCCAAATCCGCCTTCGTGATATCTACGGGCGTGCTGGAGCGTGAATTTTTCGTTTCATCACTCGTTGACGACGAGCTGGATGCCGATCGTTGCATCCATTTTCCTCGTACACCTTCCACAGCTTTGAAAAAATTAGCCGACCCTGCCGTAATTGTCCGCGCCACCGCTTCTCTGGCTGGACCAAGTTGTTGCTCGAGTTTCAACTCTTGAATCCCTTCAGTGAGTCGCAGACCGATATCGGCTACAACAGAAGGCTTTTCATTGCAAGGATGCCTAAACGGGTCAGAAATCAGATCATTGTTATTCCCACACATAGACAGGACTAACCGTGGTTCCACGATATCAAAGAGCAACGGGTCAGTTGTTCTCTCCCATACCTCATAAGCATTCGTGTTCTTGAATTCCGATATCCACAATGGATTGAAATCTTCCGTAGAACTGGAGTCACCTCCTGCGAAAACACGAGAATATAAGCCAAAGACAATTACCTTCCCAAGGGAACAACGAACCGGTCCCCCCTGTAATAATGACACCATTTCCCTCGCCCTTCGCGACAAAGTCACGATACCGGACCGACGCCAATGCTGCGGTTATGTACTCTTCGAACTATTAAAGAACATCAGACTACCTGTCATTCTTCATCTTTATAGGATATTCACCTTTGTTCTGAGGTAGTCGTCGCTACCTTTGAACCTGGGAGCCAACATTAAATTCGAAGGGATCAAAAGACCGAGGAATCGTACTGCATTCCCTGAGAGCGCGTGGGGTCTTCGTCGCTCCAGCCTTCATTGACATCCTGAACAATATCGTCCATCCACTTTCTATCGGCTGGGGTCAAACCGGCTGACCGTTCCAGTTTTGGATCACGGAATTCGAAAGCGCCAGTCTCAGTCTGTTGAAATAATCGTTAGGAACGAGTCTATGATATTTCCAGGTGCATACGTTGACAAGAAGGTCTATATCACTTTGCTGAGTGACAATTGAATTGGTACTTCCACAGAGCCAACTCTTGGTTTCCTTGAGCATATCCATTTGTTGTAAGGGCAGATATGGCTGGAAGAATGCATCCTACAAGTCATCGTAAGTATACACAAGTGCAAAAACAGAAAATAAAACGATAACTACCTTGCCAAAGATATCAAGTGGCAAACCGGTATATGCCATCATGCTCTTGTGATCAGATGTGCGGAGGGAAGACGGTCGAGAGAGCGTTGGCGCACGAGCTGCTAAGGGTGGAGAACCACAATCGTCCAGCGTTTGCAATAGACCTGTCACTCAAGTTGACTTGACCAGAAAGAGGTGTGCCAGTATAACGGACATACCCGGAAGAAGGGAAATTAAGGAGTATTGGTAAGTGCATAGTCTCTCGACAGGATGCCCATAAAACAGGATCTTTCGTTGCAATGAGCATGCAAAAAATGTGAAGATAATTAATCAAGTACCCGTTTTTGCAGCATCAATGCTTTCACAAGAATCAAAGTGCGCTGTCGGAAGATATGCACAAATTCTCGTCTAGGTGTGAAATTGATATGAGCCCTGTTTCGAGACTAATGAGAACCTACAAGCTTGTTCCTGCACCCTGATATAAGATATATCGAATAGAAGAAGCAGGCAACGTACCCATGTACAATCCGCTTTCCGTCAGCTGACCACGGAGCGATGGCTCTAGCGCTACTTCAAAATCATCAAGGATTTGAGTTTCCTGGAAATCCCTGGAAGCTACTTAGTACTGTGGTCCTGAAATGGCTAGACCGCGAACCTTTGATTAAAAAGTGCCGTCGTCACAACACCTAGCTTATCACTAGCGACAGGAATTGAGTCCACCGTGATACTGGTAATGAATGTTCACAAACCGTATTGGGCCAAAGACCGGTTTTGACGCCAAAACCACAACAGCTTTTTGAACCGTTGAACGTGTAACATCTGGCATCTTGACTAGGAGAGCAGAGGTGGCGATTTGCTGATTGCACCTAGAGGGTGATAAGTCGTGAATAATTTGCGGGAGTGGACTAATGGACGTACGAGATACCGAAGATAGTGGTGGGATTAGGTCCTGAAGGTACCAGATGGAAATATGAATAATCTTCCGCATTCTATGCGCCAGTGTCAGTTCAAGAGCGTCTCTTTTGAATCCACATTGAGAACGTACTAAATGAGCGCCGTCAGGCAAAGCCAGGAATGGTAGTATCTTGGCTACTTCTTCGTCCTCGAATATTTCTCCTTTCGACCATTCTATCTTCGGGCCAACCTGAAACCACGATTATTGGTATATTGAAGAACGCGATGAGGTGACGCACCAGATGGTTGAAATCTACTAAAGCGATACCCAAAACCAAAGGCCCAACAGGCGGGACAACGAGCATAGACTCGGGACGGGCTTTCCTCGACGAGCCAGAAGCAAACGACTCGGCGATAGATTCAGTATCCACCCCTCTAGGAGGATAGGTCACCATTCGTGGGCTGGCAACGGGCTCCTTAGTTTCTTCCATTACTGAGGGGGCAGCAGAAGTAACTGGACTTTCATGGCTATCTCGATTATAAAAGCTCATATCATCGGCCTCGGAGCTGTAATCAGTGTCCAATGTATACGGTTTTGAGATGCGCTTTGCAAAAGAGTCGGAGGACAGCGATGGGAGCATAGAATCGTGAGGTTCGTTAAGGGTAGAGTTCCTCGGGGACGTTGTTGGCGACGACAACGAGATTGAACGCTGCGAAGCGGTGTCGCCATCGTCATCAGAAGAGTGAAGGATATTCCGATAATTTTGGGGACTGTGCGACCGCGGCGAGAGGTCAGACATGATGGCGGTAAGAAGGTGTCGCTGCGGTAATGCCTGCGCGACCGCGACCAGGCACGTGGCTAGATGGTTGCCTCTGCTCCGCTACTGTCTCCCTTTCTCGTCATCAGGGGGCACTCTTAGGGGCACTCTGCCTCATACCATTTCCTAGGTAAAGATGCTCGGCCATCTTCTTATCTCTCTCCTTCTTTTTCTCTGCCAATTTGACTTTTCATTCTCTATCGAGACCCAGCAATCAGTGGAGCAGACGGCCTTTAGTGCTAGACGCGGAGACGACGGGCCTGAGATGCTGGGCTGGATGGATCCACGCATTGGCGGCGGTCGCCTTTTAGATGTCAGCTACCAGCGCCCCTCTGTTCTTGCAAAGACCGATGATATCCCTTAGTACACTAGTCCTGACTACGGAGAACCGCTGAATGTTATCATATCTGGCAAGTCAGATCCCTTCATTCTGACAGACCACGGCTTCCACTACTACGCCAAGTACGTCGTTACCTCTCTTTATCACACCTGTTTACAGTCATCCCACAGGTCCATTGGGTTCTCGGACGAATGCCTTGGGCTCCATTACGGCCACATCCACGAAGCGGATCTCGGCGACGGCGACGGGCGCAAATCTGAACAGTTTCTTGCGCGCCAGTACTATTTTCCAATTTGGGGAACCTGCTGGGAGAGCCTTGCAGGTCCGTTTGCTCCAGTCACTGCGGTCGCAGCACTGATCCAGCTGCTCCGTAGGCGGCCATCATTTCAGGGCATGGAAGCAGAATGGCAGCGATGCCAACACAGGCGCGTGGTTCGTAGGGTGCGCATTAACACGCTTTTCTCGCTCTGTTTAATCAGTTTTGACTAGGGCATCTAAGGAGGAGAACTCTAGTAAGAACCACAAGATTGTCCCCAACGGTTACAATCTGGGTAAATATACGTTCACTCTGCGGGTATGATGCTTACTCAGATTGCGCGTAGGCCGCGACTGGCTCGTTGAACGAGCAGTTGCAGGAAGTCGGTGGCAAGGCAAGTGGTGGAAGGCCGAGCTGACCTGGAGAGACGATCTCCTTGAAGCAGGCAATGACGGTCTGTTTGTGTCTTATTATTATCGCTACGTGCCTAACTGTTCTACAGGTGTTAATCATGGTATAGAACAGGATGGCCGTGTGGCCGTTCTGACTGTTATTCGGCTGTAATGGCCAATTGCGACACTTGATCTGGATTTATCTCTTCTCACTCGCTCCGGATTGGGGCTTAACCTGTATGACTCTGTAACACCTATGTACGTCGTTATTGACTTTGTCGGGCAATCATATGAGTCCCATCCCGCACATTCTATCTTTATATATACATGTTTATTAGGATTACGCAGATTTCATAGCACGCAACACTATACGTGTTTTTTATCTGTACAACGAGCAGTCGAAACTGCGTAGATCCCTCTACGGCGACTTGATCCGAACTTGGTACTCACGTTGCTACGTGACGAAAGGGCACATTCGCTTCTTCTGCCTGGCTTCTTTCCACGGCTCTCGAGATGATGTCACCAAAGACCATCAGCAACAATATTAAAATGCCGTGTGAAGGCTGCAATACCCTGTGTGCTTGAAAGGCTATGCTATGATACAGCTCCTCGCTCTCTTCTCGCGTCCTTTGACACAAGGCACATGTTTAGCACATGAAAATGATTTTCTCTTTCGAACTCTTCCAACATCTAGTTAACAGCTTCAGCTACACTTGGTTAACTCCACGGCGCCTATCAAATAATACTTGACTCATCGTTCTGGAGGATGCCGGTGTCCTTTGCACGGAGCGTTTTTGTCGATGCCTCCTCCATAAATTTATTGTTCAATTACTTCTGCTTGTTCTTTCTGGCAAATGAAATCAATCCCTCTATCGTCGGGCGTTGGCGAGGTCGTTAACTTATAACCGACCACAATTAATCGGACCTCGTGCCTTCTGATATTTTTCAGGTCCAAAATTCATGATGATGTCTTTCTATTTGAAGCAATTGTACGTGTTCTCCATGCCCCCCGTACAGCCTTCTTGGCGGAGCCGCTAAAGATTATAGAAATACCTCGAATCCAAACTGCCTTTGCCTCCCCATCATATCTCATCTGTGACTGCAACAGTATCAAAACATTAATACGAAACCAGCTTCCAGCAATGCCGGACCCTTCGTACGCGACTTTTCCCTCTGTTGAGGCGTTCTTTTCTTATTGCACTCAGACGCGCCACAGACGCGAATAATCGCTCGACCCCGAGCGATATCCCGATATCTCTGTCGTTTCCGTAAGTCCCGACAAGGTTAACATATGCCACTGCATTTTTTTCTCATCGATGCACACCAGCGATGTGCTTATCAGGACTGCAGACCTCGGGAATGAGACTTACGACACTAACGCCACGACTAGCGACAACATCGCCCTCGGTCTTTTCGACTTTTATGACAATAACGCCTCCCTCTTGAACCCGGTTTATTATACGGCTACGGATTTTTTCCATGACTATTCACCATATCAATTCTTGGGGCATAGCGATTACACTGCTTCAGTGACTGGCTATGACGCCATGAGTGGTGAAGCAACGACGGCTTACTTATCCTACTTTGCAGAAGAGCCCTCATCTAGTCTTCTCCCCATTGAGGATACACAAGCAACTAGGCCGCAAGAGAGTGGAGAGGCTTCTGCTGGAAACGATATCTCAGCAAACGACAGTTGTCCGCTACCAGCTCCGCCGGTTGAGAACAAATCTCAACCATTGCGTCAGTCCTTTTTTGGTATTTCTGGACAATACTTGATGTATAACACTGATAGGTACTCCCCGACCTCGTCAGAAACGTCGATCGTGTCGTGGTGAACGACTATCGCCCAGTTCACGTCTTGCGAACGAGGAATCTAGGCCTCCGATATCCATCCCTTCTCGATTGGTCGAATTGGGAGAACCTAGTCGGAAGGTCGATCCTGAAAAATCGCAGGCGCCTTTAAAAAGGAAGTCTGAATCCGGGACGCAAGCTGAATTCGATCGAGCTAGGAATCGGCGCCGCACGAGTACTACCCAGGGCGCTGCACCGACTAGACTTGAATTAAGAGGGGACGAGCTTGATCGGACTACTTCGCGTAGTATTCTGCAGTACGAATCCCCGGAGGAGGAGGAGGAGGAGGAGGAGGAGGAGGAGACCGCGGTCAGACCTCGGATTCGCCATATCCCCAAGAAGAGGCTGTGGGACGAAGCGTCATACCACGAAGATGAAGACGATGTACGGAGTCCGGGTCCGGGAGAGCCTGGTCCCTCGACTTGGGCTCAGAACTCGAGACGGACACTTGCGGCTTCCCCAAGCAGTCGGATTCGCGCGCGTGCGCCTCGCTTTGAGCTGCAGACGAAGAGTAAGAAAAGGAAAGACACTTCTCGTTTTCCTTGTCCCCTCGGCTGTGTTCTGAAATCTAGGAAAGCGTTGACTTTTTCCCGCCAGAATGATCTCAACCGGCATTTGAGATACGGCGCAGCTCACGCATCCGATCGGTTCAATGCCAGCCTTGAATGCTCTGAATGCTTCAGGGTATTCTCTCGTCCAGACTCGTTGAGGCGTCATCGAAGAAATTCTACGTCTTGTGCGAAGAATATTGCACGAGATTTGAAGAATGAAGAATGCTCTGAAGACGACCCGGGCTATGATGAAAGCCAATGAGAATAGTTAGTCTCCCTACCAATCGCTTAATAATGCCTACAGTGCTTTGTAAAGATGTTGGCAACTGCTTCTCTGGCCAAGTGTTCCATTGGCCCATGTAATTGACGACGTCAAAGAAGATCGTCGGTTGCTCTGGTTCGGAAAACTGCCCTTATTATGCATTCTCCTTCTAGATTAGAGTACGTCGGCCTTACTTATCAATATCGTAGAAGTCTCTGAGAGTGTGGCGTGCCACCGATCCTTTTTCTCACGCCCGACCCCCGATGGACTGCGTGTAACATTTACTACCTACCTGCCTGTGCGTCTCTTTGCAAGATACAGAGCGTCAAGGAAGATGAACATCGAGAAAAGACAAAGTGAAAGATCCATTTCCGCTTTAGACTAGCGCCCGGTCCTGTAAACGTTAAGTCATGGTGAGAAGGTGAATCCGAGTCGACATTGGTGAGTAAGCTGACTCTGGAGCATGGATTTAGTTCAAGACAAGTCAAATTGGTTGCAGCGCTTCTGTTCATATAATAAAACATGGTCTGTGTGCCAGAGAGTGTGAAGCGAGATGTTATATATGTTCAAATGTACAGGTATCTGCTTCTACATACACCATTTCTAAAGTGGAAAAATTTATGTAGTACATCGGATTCGGATATCCTCAAGCGACTGCCAAAAGAACATCACAGAGTCAACCTGTCTGAATTTCCGAGAATCACTGTCCCGAGGCTGTATACGCGATAAAAGATTCGTTGAAGGGCGGGTTGAGGACTATGTCGATGTAGTTCCTTGGAACTGTGCGCATGTCAGGCAAATTCAAGTCAAGTGCCAGAACATGGTACTGACTGCAATAATCTCCACCAGTAGGCCCGACATGAGGACAATGAACGTCCGGACGGTATTTGACCATGTCTATATCTCTAGTTAGTTTGCGCTGCAGCTAAAACTAATAGTTGCTGACACACTCTTGTGAATATATCGACAGAAACCGGTCTACAGTATGCACACGTTAGTAAGGAGACTTCCATCGGTATGCCAGGTCACTTGCATTCTCGCCACCGGACCACGATGCACCAAATGGCACCTCCTCCGTTATGAATTGTACGCATTGGTCATAGCTAGTGAGAGAAAAGTTAGCGTTTAAGCATGAATACAGGATGCCAGTACACGCACGAATCATACTGCTGATTTCCGCCCAAACAGTACGTCTGGGCCACCGTGCAGATATCTGCGGCAGCACGGTGCACAATGATATCTGTCGAATTACAGTAGTCCACATCAGCCGTGTTAGCAGCCATCAACTCTTCGGCGGCTTTGGGAACCAGAAGAGGAATGTAATAGTCCCAGAACTCTGACCAGCGCCTCAGGGTCGCATCATAGGACGTGACTTTCATAGTCTCGTCGTCGAATCTGAGGATGACATCGATTTGGAGCGGAAGTGTGAGATTCACAGTCGAGAAGAGGAGATTAGTGACGAAGCTGACGAATGCGACGGGCTGTTCGACGACAAGGGCTTGTGGGACTGTCGTTATGGGGGTACCGATGAGTTGTGTGGTATTGGCTGTGGCGCCTTCCAGGAAGAGCCCGTAAAGGTATTCTGGAAAGGTGTTACTAGGTGATTCAGAAGGCTATGAAAGTGTACTTACCGATGTTCAATTCTTGACCAACAAAGTCTGGTAAAGGTCAAAGAGGGTATACGAACCGCAGAGAGAAACCAGCATACTGGTGGTGATATCGATTCGCCCTACGACGTTGTCCGCCAAGGTTGAGGCGTTTCCTTGCGCTACGATTGGGGCGGGATTAACAAAACTGATGCAGAGGGTTGTTAGTGTACTGTTCCCTCTAGGATCGGATACGCACTCCGCTCCAAATTTATTGACAGCAACAATATAAGCTTCAAGGGACTGCCAAGCGGCCACACGCAATGCGAGAATGGCAAGCAGATATCCAATAGCAGAGAGACACATTTCAGGGATCCTGAGGAGATAAATTGTAAGAATTCAAATATGAAGAAGATGAAAGCTAATAGGACAACATTAGCAATCAACAGATGAGGAGAGCGACCGACGGCTATAGGTACATAAATGATACGGTAGGTAAGACATATTAAACGGAACGAGGATCATAGAAAAACGGTACCATATGATACGTCACAAACGACACAGAGCCGCGTTTGACTATGCATCGCTCCAAACTCCAACATGAATGTCTCCCAATCATGTCTGATAAATGAATGATTCGTCCTTATGCCAGGATCAAACAGGAATACCGAGGGAACTAGGAGGGCCCCAGCGATCGTATCTGTGTACGATCCTTGTTCCTTACACCGGCGTTGGAAAGTCAGCTAGAACAAACTGTGTAAGAAACCCGAAAGACGCGCAGGTGTCACCTTATAATTATGCTTTAGAGTTCTTCGATTGGTCAACGCGCTATCCGACGACTGTTCACGGTACCACAAGGAGAAAGGCATCGCTAGCGAGGCAGCGGTCAATTGCAAACTCCGCAGCCACGCTTGAGCGCACAGAGTTTCGCGGCAGTCTGGGCCATCGTGCTCGCTGAAAGATGGTCTCCATTAGTCTGATTGGAACCGCTCCACAAAACCGGTTCAGGTCCCTAGAAGTCAGCAAAAAAATTAAATTAGAAACGCTTTCAACGCGGAAGCAGCAGAGACGGCATCAACTTGTACATTTGAATAAAATGCCACAGTCGGAGCTACATCTTACGGTCTGTGGCGACACTACCCAGAAATAGATATTAAGGATTAATGCGCTCACGGCGGTGTGGATATAAATCCAGAGGAGCATCTGGCAGAATCCGTCATGCATCAGCCTGAGATCGACAGTGAAAACGGCAATTATTTAACAGCGCACCTTTGGTTGAAGACTATAGTATCATAGTTACTGTAGAAAAACTAGATAAAATTCGGGCAAAGAAAACCAATGACAGATATAACAATGCTCGTATGCTGATAGCCCACGAAAAATGTATTGCCACCTGTCTCATCAGAACAAGGTGATTTTCTCGACTTGTCAGGATATTTAGACCGTAGTCACAGGTCATGAACCGAGTACGATGAAAGCGGGATGTTAAAAATAAGAGAGCAGGTCAGCCTAGCCAGGGCGAGTAACAGCTGAGACCATAGCATCTTCACAGAGTAAAAATGAAGTCTAAGTCCGACTCGGACCACTCTTCAATTGCCATCATCCATCATAGCATCAATACATCTCTTACGACCCACCATCACATCGGGTCAAATTCTCCTAGCAGCTTAGTTTACGGTCAAATCTTAGGTCCTGCGCTCGTCGTGGCTTGAATGGCGCCATTATATCAAGCTATCAATGTCCAATTTCAAGAGGATGTGCCAGGGTCACATGCTGTCTACCGTGCGGTCGCTGACCCAGAATGGACAGTAGCTGCGTACGTTTACAGTAATGTCGTCGATAGTGTTGGCGAGAGTCCTAACAGATGTTTTGTAGGGTACCCAACGGCGGTGAGCGCTTTTCGCGGAGTGATTGGTAGTCATTGTTAATCGCCGCGGTCCAGGCTATCTCCTAGCGAACATCATCGACGCATGCATGCAGTTCCAAACTTCAGCAAAGTCCCATCCAGATCCCATACATGTCACGGCCCACTTCCTACATAGCACAGCAGCCGCTGCCTTTTATGTACACGTGCGATTTCAGAAACGAGGAAAAGGATTCACGAACCTCGTGGCAGAGCTCATACAGAATGTTCGTACTTCTTCTTTTCTGGGAAAGCCTCTCACTTGCATATTAGGGCAAAACTACTATCATATCACACCTCATCTTTGGAATCCTCGCCCCGCCACCAGGCTCTCCAAACAAGACCCTTGCCCCTCCTTCACCTTATGCACGGCGTGTTCCTTTGTATCGACATCCATCTACTGCCCCATTAGAACTGGAGAAGATTCGAGATGTATACAAATTTAGACAATACTTTCAATGTACACAGGAGCCTGAGATCCGAGCCAAGGTTGCCTTGGATAGCCCTACGCGTACCAATGGGACAACCATCGGTGGTGGTGGCATGGAGGGTGGAACATGGTTCGGCCTGACGGACAGGAATGAGCGGATAACGACACCTTCGCTTGCTCTATTCGCCGATGCGTTCTTGAATATTCCCGTGTTAATACCGAAGAGTGAACCACAAGCGCTCAGATGGGGGTAAGCGTCTTTGTGTTATTCTTACATCGCAGGGATTTTACATATGACACTTGTAGCTGGTTCCCTACAATGGTCATAACGCTCGAGTTCAAGTTTCCGATCCCCCCTCCATCCAAAGATCACGCTTCTCGGACGGTTGGGATGTTTTGGCGCGGAAATTTTGTGAATGACCCTCAAGGGAGACATGAAACGTACGTGGAGTTGTGGAGTGCACCGTCGGACGTCGGGGAAGGTTTCGAGGTTGACGGTTGGCGGGACAATCAAGTTTGCTTGGCTGTCGCTAATCAAATGTCGTTGAGCCTCCCCATGGAGGTCAACCTCAAGCAAGGGAATAATGATTCTGCAAAACTGTGATCTGTGTATCTAAGAATCCTTTGCAATGACCAGCGACAAGTATCGACCAGATTGGGTAACCACCATCAGCCTATCACCTCATGGTCCGTCCGTCCTGTTTGTTCTCTTGCTCTGTTGTTATTTCTTGGCTACGGGGCTCTTTTGCTTGTTACGTGGAGATGCATATTATGCAGCAAACAGCGTTTCTTGGTGTGGAGGGCCTGGCATTCCCTCGAGTTCTTGGTGTTATTTTCCGCACCTATCAAAACGGCACAGCTCTGTTGTCTCTGGAAACCGAGAACGCAAGATGTTCTATTCTTGTATGTATGCCAGGGCAATATACTGTCTACTCCAGATTCTTGTCTGGCTCAATTAATTAGGAAAGGTCTCGATGGTACTCATAATTTGCTGGACCTCCATCCCCCAAGAACATAATAGCACTACTTTCCATTCGGAGCAAGTGTGCGTGTTGCCCATGCTTCTCGGAAGGGCAGGTGGTGTTATTTCAACTTGGTAGAGATAAGTAGGTAAGTAGAAATACCCCACACTCGGCACCAGTGACTTCATTCACTGCTGCTTTATATTTTCGCTGTAGCGTTTACGACGAAATATCCTCCGTATGAGCTCTCCCTTCACTTATGTTCACTGCTGACTATGCCCAATAGCATCCATGCAGCAGCAAATCCACCGATATTAAAAGAGGTCTTAATATTTGTGTCGTCTCCGTAGCGGTGTTACTTACTGACAAATACCAGAAACGGGACCCTGACAACGCGGCACACCCAACGCTTGGAAATTGACCTTCGGTGGCTTATGGTCGAGGAACAAGAAGTTCCGTCGTTTGCTACAATTCTAGTTGCCGGATGCATTTTGCCTCGATTCCGCAGAAGATAGTTTTGGCCCTTTCAAACGATAGAATATCTCGAGCAATGACGCATCGTCTGCTGTGCCTTGGAGGTTCGACCCCTAGTTTCATGCGGTCACCCATATTCTCAGCAAGTCTAAACACCATCCATGGCTAGTATGCGCTTGAATAGAGTCGTCGAACGAGCGATCGTCATTCATTACTATAACAATCGTACTGAGCGAAGCGAATGGTAGAATAAGGGATAAGTCATTAATTGGTATTATCCTGGGTGTGGGGGATATTAGCCAGTCCAACGTGACTGTTCGTCGTGTCATAAACACTACAGAACCTCTGGAGGAAAGCGAAGCCATCTGTACATTTAAAACTACAATCAGCACCCATATTGAAATGTACAAACCATCACGAACCAATGAACTCGACCGATGGACTGTTGGTCGATAACAAGGTCAGGGGAGAGCTCGCGTCGATCGATCACTGAATGACCGAGTCAACAAGGTGCTGACGCTGATGGAATCGGATGAAACTCTTGAACTTACCCTCTGTTCCAGTGAAGAAGCCAGAGCCATAGCTAACATTCTACGGATGAAGATGCGCATGAAGCAGTTACCCTGTCATTGCATGTAGAACACATACAATGGATTTCCGAGTGCTAAAGGAAAGAAAGATAGTCGGTACCTTGTAAAGGAAGGACAAGTAATATGAAACACTTTTTGGACGAAGGCGATGGTTTGTGTTCCTTGTCAGCGCCGACCCAGGTGTTGGAGGCTTCCTGTGGAATGCGTAAGCTAAAGAGGCGGGGTTCAATAATATTAACAGAATACACACCCGTATCAATGAGAAGCGTGAAAGATTGATCAGGCTCCCCGATCTTCCCCCACGGCGGTATAAGTAACGGCTGAACGCTAGCGCGCACCTGCATCCGTCACGTCAATGGAATTACTGTTGTTGGTCTGGCCAGACTGAGAATAGCCGGTGTGCGACCCGGACAGTCTCTCTTGCCCATCTCCTGGATGACAAGAGGTCCGTGAGGCTGCATGCCGGATATGAGCTTCTGCGTGCGAGCCCTGTCGCGAGAAAGAATGTCCTTGGCGTGTCCGCACTTGGGGTGGAGACAGTGGAGAAGGGAGGAGCGTTGGCATTGTCACGAGGCATTATGAAAACAGAGCGGAGAAGAGTGGTATTCAGGAAAGAAGATGGAGGTAATGAAGAAAGAAGGAGACGCCCAATTGCCCAGGCTCTACAGTCGAGTGTTGTTTGGGTCTGTCGTGCATATATGACGAGAGTATATGCAAAGATATCAATATTGTACCCAAATTCTGTAGATCGGAGAAAATTCGACCGATGATCCATGCGTCATCATCGATGGATGACAACAATGATGCCCGAACAGAATGCGTCGCGACTGACCGGCCAATGAGTGACAATGGGCGCTGTAAGGTCATAGCCACAGAACTTCATGCATTGAGCGAGTAGTGAGTATTCACTGGGTCATTAACCTTAAGATTATTATGCTTCCTCATCGTGGTAGGAGGATCACTATCCCAGAAAGCACGTCGGGCCAAGACGAGAACGACAAGCATGTCAACTGCCAGACTTTTTGTAGACAAACAAGAAGTGCATCATATTCCAGCGTAGGATACTAGCAGTCTGCATCCGTCGCGGGAGTCGTAGAGGGGAAGTGGTAATTGAAATCATCCTTTGTTTGCCATCACCATAAGGTACTGGAGAGAATACATGATATCACATAGCGATGATGGTGGAAAAAGCATTGCCATGTAGCTGGCTTGGTGAAGAGGACATGGTGCATCTCGATCCACAGAGAAATGTTTCGTGGAAGTAATTAGTGCTTGCTCTTGTGTGAGTAGACTCGAGCTAGTCTGACGAGGCTGTGTAGTTCCTATTAATGGGATGATGTAGCAATTCAAGTGGAAGGTAGGTTGGCATCGAGCCTATGTGAGGAGGCGATGATGAGGGGGTACATTAGACCAGTTACCGCAGATCGCCAGGCCAAAAGAAATACGAAGTCCATGGTAACATTATAATGTAAGTAGCACGCATTGACATGAGGGAAATTTCACTCCACAATCATCAATAGGACAACTGCACAGCACAAAACTCAAATAGTGATGTCACAAGCGAGGGCTCTCCACGAAAAATCCAGCATTGAATATTGACCAGTCGTTTTGGGGCAAAAAGATGTGATTGCATTTGTCGCAAAGAACAGAGATGACTTGGAGATGAGTCACCATGGTTCAAGGCTTGACAACATTCTGCCTACGGTCTCATTCTCATATCGGGCATGGGATGGAAGAAATGTTTGTTATCGTACCGTCTCGGAGTCCATTATTAAAATATATAGGCTTATTCTTTGAAAAATTCTATAACAGTCGGATATGGTGTAACGGCTAACATTGCCGCCTCTCACGCGGCAGCTCGGGGTTCGATTCCCCGTATCCGAAACATTTTATTTTTCGAGGTTTACCTAAATAATGAAATCTCTTCTGAGAGTTCCCAGAATTCCTGCCATTGCGACTCTAAATCAATTACCGAAGATTCCCATGCCTTGCAATATAAGTTAATCAATCAAGTTAAATAATGAAGATGAATACAAAGAAGTGAAATTTGCGATATGATCAGACAAGCTAGAATGAAGCAGGCATCTTTTGCCATTCTACTTAATTTTCCGTCCTGAGGTTATTGTTCATATAAGAAAGTGACTATGAAGTGAATCAGAGGACTCACAAATGAGAGTCATGTCATGTGACCGTTTCTTTTTTAACAAGTTGAATTTGTTATTAACTGTTACACAATAATTCTTTGTAGTTGCAGTAGTATTACTACTTAGAGAGCGTAGTTGGTTTTTTCCACTTGTGCATCTCCATGTACTACCTGATCGGCTAGCTCTTCCAATTTTCTCGTGGTATCTAAAGCCTTCAATCCTTCCCGGCTCCGAAGACGAAAGGCATTAACGGCAGATCGGCTTACGACAGATGAGAAATATATTCACAATTCATTGCATTTACAACCCGCGAACTACGTAGGTCATTCATTTCTCAGGAAACGCACCAACTGAACCAGTCCACCCGCATCACTGTTACCGAGATCCCCGAGAAACCTGTTGTGGTGTCGCCACCGGATCTGCACATCCTTATTTTTCAAAAGTTTTTAATGGTGTACTAAACAACTCTCGACACATGACCGGAGTTAACACCGCTCCGTTAGCGAGCAAGCACGGGGACTCACCAGCGGAAAGTAAGGATCGGTAGGACAAAATCTTGATTGACAGGCACAACCTATGCGAGAAATTGAATGTCCTGAGGTACCCGGCATGCCTCATGGTGGCATACAATTGTAAGTACTACGACAGTGGCGCATGTTGTATGCTGAGAGCAAGGCCGTAGGTGATACGATTAAAGATCCGCTGACGAGCCTGACGGAATCATTGTTGGCATCGGGCCCGACAAAGTCGCCTACCGCGATATACATTGAGGACCGTATAAGACAGGCACCGCGGCGCCTGCGCTAGAGGAGTGCAACATTCAAGGAGTCGATAGAGCCGGGCGTACTTGAAGTTGGCTTAGAGTAGAGACTCGTCAGTGTTAGACCTCTGAAAGATCCAAGTCCATAGACAGTAAACAACGTCTAAGCGATGCCGCCAATGCACTGAAGATGGACATAATAAATTCGAAATCTTGGCGACATTTCATCAGTGATGGAGTATATGACAGACCTGTAATAAAATGGTTACTATCTCGTTAACATATGAACGCCAAGAGGACAGTCCAATCAGTAATGAGGAGCGGCGCACAGCTAGAAGATGTCGCACGACTCAACACGAGGTTTAGAAAAACGTCGAACGTTTACCTTGTGATCGATAAAGATCAATCACATTGTAAATGTTGCCATCGAGGCAGCTCCAAGCAGGCTGTGGCAACAGCAGTCAGTCGGTGTTCATGCCTAAATTACAAATGAACACCGTAAACTTTTGATTAAAATGATATACGGCTTGAAATAATTTGAACACTGACATACACAGGTACGCAGCGGTACGTATAACTGGTCCTCCAGCAACAGGATGCTAGATTTCAGCGCATCACAACGCATATGTTACGGGCTATCTGCTTTGTGGAGACTGTGCATCAGTGCTGACTGTCAGACTCTATAAGCCAAGATCGTTAAGATAGGCCGCACTAAACCCCATTTCGGGCGTGCCGAATGCGAAAAATCCCTAGGCCGCACAGTAAGACCTACAAAACCACTTCAATTCCGAACGCCTATTATCGGCGCCGGTTGTAGGGTATTGTCCTAGCACAATGGGATGGCAAGCGCCACCCAGGTACGAAGGTTCAGTCGAGGTATGAATTATCTCCGGACAAAGTAGCGCTATCTCGTTCAAACTAACCTCAATCAGCTTTCAGGTAACAAGACGGGATGTTCATTTCAACAAAACATTTCAACGCAGATTTCAATTTCGCAATGATCATCTGCTCCTTCGCATAGCGTCTCTAGGCGGCAAAGAGATTGTGCTCCTTGTGCCATTCTTCCAACGACAGAGGACCATAATCGTCATACACTTCCTTGTCACCTTCCGGAAGGCGAACGTAGTCAGGTTTGGAGTTGATCTTGATGCACACCTAGGAAGATATAATCCATGAATTGGCTGAAAAGTTGATCCCCAGAAACCAGACTTGCCATCGTTTTTGGCACCTCTAATGGAGTATCAATTGCAGATGCGAAGGGATGTATGAGCTCAGGCCTAATATTGACGGATCGGTCAGATCGTAAACCATAATTCGAACAGTAGGCAAGCGGACCAGGTGTCATCGTACAGCCACAACATGGTGGAGCATTTGGCGCAGAAACTCCTCTGAGAAGTAGCGATACGTTCATGAGGCGTGTCTCGATCGATTACTGCTTTATAGACACTGCCTAGAATCAGGCCCAGCATCATCGAATCGCTAACCGGTAGACAGCGCACCTAATGTGTTCCTTCCCTTGAAGAACCTTCAGGGTGTTCGAATGGCCACCTAAGTTGATGGTCCCTCCAGTCCCAGCAGTCTTGCGACAGATGGAGCAGCAACAAAGCTGGATATATCGACCCAAAGATCAGCGCGCCGTCGCTACCAATGCGTCTAGTGGCTACCCACGTGATAAGGGACAGCTGTGCTGGATTCAAGAGAGAATCTGACTATACCACAGTGACAACTACCTTTGAGTTCGATGGGCATTTTCTTTTGTCGTGGTGGACGCTAAGAACGGTGCGATGACAGACAAAGCCTACGGCATACTTGAAGCACTATGATGTCACCAAAAACATGACTTTGTTGATAAGAGCTGTATGTCGAATAGCAAAAAAGCCGTCGTCAAAGGACCCGGTAAAACGGATGTTATCGTACTTGAATGACCCTTGGCAAGAAGCAGGTCTGCAGGTAAACGATGATCAAACGTTTGATTGACATTACTTGTCGCTCCCAAGCTCAAGTTTAACAACGGAGGATTACGTTCACATTTTCGTTGTCAATCCAGTCTTCCTTCCAACTTATCTACGACAACGTGTTCTCAATCTCTCTAGACTAATACTATCGCAAACTAGCTAGTTCTGACGCCCTGTTGAGCCGACCATGCCTCCTCCATAAGCGAGGATTATGCGCCGGCTCCACAAAATCGCTTGTTCTGTATTTTGAATGCAGTTATCACATGGATAACGCCTTCTCTTCCGTATTATACAACAAAAATAGCTGCCAATTCAGACTTCCTCGTCCTAGGTCCTGACTTTATCTCACATTAATTCCTTGGAGTTCCTCCGTATTATACACTAGCATAGTCCCCTCAATTTTCGTGGCCGACCCCCGACCCTGTCTTAGCTTGGACTGCGCACGTCCCAAGGCATGTTTTTCTGAGCAATGGTATGTATCATCTCCTTGCGCAGCACTATCTGAAACGTCATTTCAGCATCCATACCATCATGCCGGGCCTATAGAATAGGTTTAGACTGTCAAACAACCTTACAAAGTCGCCCATGCAATGCGATGTAAAGCGCGCCGATGACAAGGCCGCGACACCTGCCCTTCCTACTGTAATCAATCTGATAAAAGAGCACCTCCAAGTCAGGCAAAGCTCATCAAACCGCATTCACATGCTGTGGCTATTGTATTCGCCTTCGCTACCTAAATAGTACAAGATATTTATTATGGAAATGCATTGACCATTTAATTGGCCTAGCTCTCCCATTCATCTCACAATAGCTCGCCTCTGGACCACGAAGATAACAATATCCCTAGGACGCGCCGGGAGTCCAACAACCCCATTCTTTGCTGCCGCCTATGTCCTCGGCCACATTCAAGTTGTGAACGTTGACCATGTACCACACCAATGTTTGTGCCGTTGAAACTCCCGTCCCCCCGGCGTCGTCAGCGCAACGCCTGTAGCCGGTGGGTCATCCCGTTGAATACCGCTCTACCGATATTTCCGTATGCTGACCCATGCATCAACCTTGTACCGGCTTCTCTTCATCCGTGATGGATATCACAGCCCGACTATACCCTGTTCGTCAACAGTCTATTCCTGGATAAATAACTTTTGCGCCCACAGCCAGCTTCTTCCCGCATGGCGACACTTGGAAAGCGCTGAAGGAGTGATCTTTCGGTTATTACCTGAGCGCGAGTGGGTATTCCTGCGGCGCTCCATTGTGCAGCTGTTCTATTCCACTTATCGAGACATGATATGCAAAGATAAATCATACAAGAGTAGGCTAGCGTTATACAACTAATAACGATACAGGTAATACATATGGTCAATGGATGATGGTCCCGGTGACGATCAATCTATCTAATGCGATAACTTCAGCAAGTCCGTTATTCAATGCTCGGAGAAGAAAGATAGTAAACCGTTGGGGTGGTCCCCTAAAGTACTTGGGTCAGCTTGCGAGATCTGACGTCGAATGGCCATCAGCTCCTCCCATAGATGAGGGGGAATCTCGTGGTTCTGTCGCAGAAAAAATCGAATCCGATCCAACCACTCCTTCATGACATGGAATCTGTTCTCCGTTGTTTCCTCAACCCAAGCCGAACCACCCTCTTGGATTGCTAGAAGTGAAACTTGTGCGAGCCAGTAGAAAGGCAAAGAGTTGTAGATGAATGGCGGCTCATCTGGATCGTCGTCCAACCTTGGTGTATCCGTAAATTGTATCCACGATTGAAGCCAGTTATGTAGAGCATACTGAGTTGCAAAATGGTTTCCTCGGCGCCCCTCATCAGTGACGGGCTCGGATGGTGACGCTGATGTAGAAAGTAGAAGGATTGTGCTATCAGAAGTGTTTCGCGAGTAGGAGATATAGATGTTACGAAGAATGGTGTGAATGAGGATGAACTGGGAAAAGGAATTGAGAGGCGCATGCGAGATTGAAAGTCGCATCTCTCCAAGATTGGTGAGCGCTTGCTGCATGCTAACACCATACAGCCTGACTGCACCTACTCCGAATGGAGATGGCTTCTGGATCAGCTCGAACCATTCCATGGACGTTCGAGCTTTCCACACCGCGTCGTCACATGGCAAATTAATGTCGAATTCGGCTGTCGGAAAGGATGGTCGCATAGAAAAGAAAACAGAATGACAGCAGTCATGAAGGTAAGAAAGCAAAAGGGCCCTGAACATTTGTCAGCCAACGTTCTGAAATGGATAGGCAGCATTGATGGACTTACCGTTTGACGGTTTCATGAAAAGCCCATTCCCGCCATGCATGCTCCAATAGAGGCGGATCATTCATATCAGGAGCAGCCCAAGAACGCGAACGAGCGATAGATCCTGTCCTACGAATCATCTAGAAGCTTCGGTCAAAGAAGCACTCAACATGTAGAAGAAGATCGGCATACCATTACTAACATCCCATGATAAACATTAGAAGACACCCGCAAGTCGGCACGCTGGTGAAAGAGACCAATAGTCTGCAGCAAGACGGCAGCTAGTATCAAGAAATCCTGCTCCTTCGGGCCGGACGAGACCTTGGTCTAGACGATCATGTATAAGCACTAACGTCACATATAATGTCTACTACACGGAACTTACAAATTCCTGTATCAACACATCCCGCGTTGAAGACAAAGTTTCGGTAATAAAGTTCGCGGCCCGTCGGGTTTTGACAAAGAGTGCGCCGCATGCTTGCATTGCGCGAAGGAGAATTGGAGGCTTGTCTTCCGTCATCCATGTAGACGGGTGCACTAAAGGGAGTTGTGCGCAGAATGCGGAGAAGAAGAGATACACTGAAAAGAAGGTCATGTTATTACGATATAATCAATGTAATCGATGTTTTGAAGACTTACGATATTGTTGCTGCTCAGTATCCGCCGGGTTTACGCCGTTCGACATACTTGACGGGTTTGAGTATCCTCCGGAAGAAGCGGTATATGGGGGTGAATTGGTGCGAGGTAATTCCAAAGGTGAGCCATACTCTGGTGGCGTAGGCATAGATACTGCGCTATGAGAGGATGGTAATGAGTAATCGGTGTCGTATCCAGTTGCATCACTGCCTCCAAGCCATGAGAAATCTGCTGCAGACGCATGACTTGTGTCCTGATTCGAAAAAGAGAAATGATCTAGGAGCGAGTCGAACATGCCATTGGAAAAGATCTTGTCCATGTGAGGCTCGAGCCCGGTAAGCTCACCATCTCTGTTAATAATGACATCTGCCGCAGCATCGTCGTCCATGACTGTATCTAAAATGTCTGATGGAGGCGAGGAGTGTGAGGAGGATAACGGGGAAAAGTCAGGCGTGCAATTGAAGTCAAGCCCGGGAAGCAGGGTGTGATGAAAGGTAGGTGACGCCGGTAGTGATTCGGGCGAGGATGCGGGCGATGACGACGAGCAAAGAAATTTCTGATCCGAAATGACGATGGGCTGGCTCTCTGTCTTGACCTGAGACGTTCGTTTTCTCGCTCCGTATTTTTTGTGGCGAGAAACTGCAGGATCATTGATGAAAACACATTGTTTGCCCCGCGAGGAACATTTTGAGCACGGATACTGAAGGTTGCATTTGACTTTGGACTCAGCGCAAGCCTAGAGATTCAATCAGAATATATTCTACCCGACCGACCCGGTCCAGCGTACCTGACAGGACTTCCTTCGTGATCGATGGGCACTGAGCCTATCACAACATCGTTAGTTCAGCACCCGTCCTGCGAGAATTAGGCATACGGGTCCCCACAGGTCTTCTTGTGTCTTGTCAAGAGATCACTCCTCGTAAATTCGGCGCCACATAACTGAGAAGCAAATTAGGCGATGTCGTTAAGAGTGCTTCCTAAGCTACTCACATCGCACCGATGAGCGCGTTCATTGGTGTCTATGTAACCGATGCGGGTCAGTAAGTATCGCATGCACCATAAAGATGGGAATACAGACGTGAACGAATATGTCTATGCAAGTGCGTCGTCCTTGTGAACTTGGCAGGACATAGAGGACAGTACTTTGTTTGAGGCAATGTGGGAGCGTTCCCTTTGTGAGAGCGTATTCGAGACACTTGGCCGTTCGCTTTGAGTTCGACTACAGGGCTCATCTGGAATGTGAGAGAGTCGTAGGACGGAGGGGACGGGCTCATGGCGGAAGGGGATGAAGAGAGGGGAATTCGCGTTCAGAGATTATAAGTCCGCTCTTCATGGACACACCATTAATCCCCTCTTGATTCTTTAAATTTAACAATCCATCATCATTCAAAACCTACTCATCGGAGCGTTTACGTTGCATCCCCGGAGGGATTAGACCGCGTGAAAGAGATCAAGTCGGTACAGCATCTGAAGACCGATTGCAAACAGAAGGTTGAACACAGCCACCTGGTGTTGCGGAGAGATCTCTGACTCTGAGGAACTGAAATTGATAGGCAGGCACCAAGAGAGCGACATGATCGTAAGGACATCGACTGGGCCGAACTAACTAAAATCGGATGAGTCAGTTCGCCCGAGGATGTTTATCGCGGGGCAAGCGGAATCATACCTTAGGTAAGTATCTACTTAACAAAGGACCGTCAGGAGGAATACAACAGCTACTACCATTGTCGTCCTTGGAATTGGTGTCCGGTACCTGGAATGATTTTAATTTTTAGTCAAAGGATCGTTGGTTCCGAGACAAGGCTTCCTTGTGGACGAGCCAGTTTAGAGTGGCTCCAAACAGGATGTGCGCCTTTCCAGCTTTTCGGTGCATGAGATTACGCGGGCATGCAGAATAGGGAGGCTTCCTCAGTGCCACACTCAACTAGCGTCCGAGGTTTCATAATCTTGTTATGGACCCGACAGAGAGATATAGAAAGAGTTAAAGCTGCCAATTGGAATGAAGGACCTGCAACATTTAAAAGATATATGATATGTCATGAAACCATCTAAGCAAGTAGAGTGGGTAGCGCGGCGCGCATGCGATGCCATCAACGAGATACGCGGCCTTAGCGGTGCTTCGTCTATATCTATATGGGAGAAGCGTAAGAACCAGAAGAGGAAGAGTCAAGTCTTACCAGCCTGAGTTTACGAAGGATCGCCTAGAAAACTCAATCTGGTGGTAGATACAACGGGAGTGTCCGGGCGGCGAGCATCCGCATTCTCGGAGCACAGTATTCGATTGGCTTGGCATTCTTCACTCAACCATCGGAGGCAGTAGTATAACCAACACCGAGAATGCTGAACGCTCAAAAAAGGGGCCACATACCGTACTTTTGGGATCGTCAGGCGGGAAAAAGCACGGCGGATATCTAGATTCACCTTGTTGCGTAAACGGGTTGTACGTGGCCAAGGTCCTATGATGCCGGGGGTTTATAGTGCTATGTCATAAAAAATAAAGCAAACTTCCGTTTTAGATGCGCTGGTAGTAATCAACTTGGTTTCTGTGAAACGAACTGCTGCTTATTTGTACAGTCGTCAGTATCGCTTACATACAGAAAAATGGAACGAAGGTCGCAATCCGATGATACCCATGCTATCCAGCAGTGGTAGTGATTGACTGGGATCGACGTTCAAAGCAGGAGGCAGGTGGCAGATGGCGTGGGAACGTTCAGGGTAGCAGCCGAAATGGGGTCAAGAACGTTCACCGGCGATGACAACACCTTCTACCCAAACCATCTCCATCTCTTAGCTCAGTATGTCGTGAGTGTTAGCTTAGCTTATGTGTTCTGTTGTACTAATCCAAATGAAACCAGCATGTTGTCTACATGATGAACAGCATCGACCCGCGGTATTCTGGCGCAACCGTTCGGGTGTCTCCCCTCAATATGTATTTCCTTGGAATACGGCAGCTGTCACACCATGGTGTCTAACTGCGGTCCTTTCTAGGACCTTGGTTCCGATGCCAAGAAGGGCAGGAGTCCATGGAGAAATCTTTCCGACGGTGAGAAACGCCACTTGACATTATTGTCTACCAGTGATTGAATTGTCGTGATAGATGATCGTCGTTCAAATTTCCTGCTACAGTGTCGGTTATCGGCTGATAGAAACCGTGTAAGCTTCATTTTATTTTCGATGCCGGCAACAATGTTCTTTTCACTAGAGGTGTATCTTTGACCGTCGTACAGAGCCTTCTAGCTAGCCGGGTACGGCCCGGCAGGCGCTCATTAACGCCACAGTTGCAGGGCTATTCCTATCCTGATCTATTCTGAGCTACAAACACACTCCTCGAGGCAATGTTTCACCGCTGCATCATTCTGATCAAGTACAGCCGTACGGTTAGTGTCACAATTTAAACGCTGCCGTCATCCTTGATGCAACCGGGCTCCATTCACAATCGTCACATTGTGGACTCTTTCATCACGACAAGTGCTCACTGCCGTGCCTTTACATGAGAACCATTTACTCATATCAACTTATGACAATTATCTGTACCTCGTCGTCGAGGCTTTTCCCTACAACAGGCGGTGATTCCCTTAACAGCGCTGGTTCTATATGTGGCTGCGGATTGAACGCCTCTCCTCTTTTTCCTTCTATTCTACATGAGCGCTCTTTCTTCTTCCATAGAGCGACAATAACGCCGGCGCATACCGAGAAGACAAGCACCCTCGTTTTGTTAATATCGATTGAAACATGAGCCTATTCAGTCGAGGCTAAGAACTGTAACACTACACAAGTCTCAAACAGGAGATTATCTACATACTTGCTCGCAAGTTGGAACTGCACAATCTAACACCGCTACGAGATGCGAGTGAGAAGAAGAGAATCTCATAACACTACTGGACGATGTCGAAGTCGCTTTCTTCATACGAATCCCCCCAGCCAAGACAGAGCAACACTGCCCAGCCTGAGCAATAGAGTATAGCAGCCGTGCACTGTACAGGCATCCTAGGCCATCTAATTCAGTTCCTCTGTCGCTCATAAGTCTTAATTTCGCAATCTTCAGTTTCAGTGGTCTTTGTAAGGCAAGAGGCGGCCTCAGGAATTTATCTGAGATGTGGTGGCAAGCAAAGTAGAGGGGAGATGGCAAACCGATAGGGATCGATTGATCATGGTGGAGGGCCATGGCGAGGGGTACCCGGAAATTAAAACTTTGGCGTGTCTGTCTTGCAAGAGATTCGACAAAAGCTTCGAGGATGATGAAACAGACAGGATATTGAATAAATAATCTCCTCCAAAATGAAATATATATCTACAATATATCTAGATCACCACATATGTAATACAAAAGTCCTGGGGTCGTCCTTGCATTGATACGCACCGTCATGTCTCCGCATTCTTTCCTCGTCGCTATGCATATGTGCAGAGCATAATCGTTATGTTCCTATCAAACGTCACCCGTTGCTCAACTTTAAAAATGAACTTAGAGGGCAAGACCGCGTCAGCTCCCACGAGGGTCGGCGAATATGATGGGGGGATGCGTCGAAATCTTACGAACACTCCAAGTGAAGGAAGGACGGTCTGCAGATGCCGCTTGTGATGCACCATGTGTGAAAAGACGAGTCGTAGTTCCAGCCGGAAGATCGCTCGCTGCCTCCAAGGGCGGGCACGCGGGGAGTCTATCGTAAAGAGTGATGAGAAGATATTGTCCAGAGCCGACTTGGCTCTAGAAGACAACAAAGAGCTGAGCGCCAACATCTCTGGATCCCACCACCTGTCTGCCATAGTACTAGTGCCAATACTGTAACAAGTAAGGCCCGATGCTCTGCCATCCTTCGTTAACGACTCGGACAACGAGACAACCAATTCAGCTAATGAATGGCGGACGAGGAAGACGCACTACATGTATTAAGAGGTGCGGAATCATGGATGGAATTAATGAGAAGATTAATCTCAACCGTCGCTCACGGAGAGTTACGGATCAATGGAAAGACCTGAGGATAGAGGGCACCGAGCCAGCTGTTAACTGTAAAGAAAGAAAAAGAAGAAAAAGAGCTGAACTCAATCGAAACTTCAAGGAAGGGCTGGCTATCTGATAAAATCCTGATTTCCACGTGCCATAAAATGAATTGTCAGGTCATCGTACGACTGTTAGTAAGGTAGTCACGTCGATACAAATTGTGGACACATGTGGATCCAACTATCCTGCTTACGTTGACAATCGGCCTCTATTTCGCACCACCACCACCGACCAACGCACATTCCCGACCAGTACGCCTCCAGGCCGCCATCGGTACTAGAATCAATTGTAACTGACAGTAATCATTCGGGCTGGCCATCGGCATGCGTGTGCATACGTTCTATCCTCGTCTTCTCAGCGTACACAGTCGCCGATGAATAAGTTGGTCGCCTCGGATGCCGACAATCACGCCAATTCTCGTATCCGAGCCGTGTCTTACGAATTCAATATTCAAATTTCACTCCGAGTCGCATGGAAGCGAATCGTATACGGGACACTGATATCGCCTAGCTTCGTCAAGCTCATTCTTTGATAGCAATCAGATGTATACCAGGCTGTTTGGGACTCTATGGACATGCGTTGCCATCTTAATTTTGTCCTGTCTTTTCACTGACATCGGGAACTGGATGGCTGACTTGTGGAGATCGGCTCTGTATAGCAATCTTTCAATGCACGTCGATGAGCGCCCGGGGCTTCTGTTCCATTCCTTTGCTGGAGTCTAAAGGAGGGTGGGAACCCGGTCAGGGCGGTGAGCGCCCAAGCCGTGATGATTTTTATCGCTGTTCTAATCATATCTTCGTTCAGGACAAGTGGAAACCACCCATGTGTAAGGTACGGCTGCCCGAAAATTCTAGGAATCATGTTAAATACTGGACAGGTTTGAGTAAATACCATCGGGTGAGCTTGTTACTTGTTTATCAAGTCCCCTGCACGAACTTGAATAATCTCTCTCTAAAGGATATCTGCGAAGTAGTCCCCATTTGAAAGCGGCTCCGACATCCAAAGGAACTTCCCGTTCTTGGCATTACTATTCTACTCCGCTATCATTCATCATCCCCTTCCATATCTACTAGTAACATCATGTTTTACCTAGGTGAGCATCCCGTGAATGGCCGTTTTACGTCGGTCCGTTACTGTGCTGTATATGTATTGTTAAAGATCTAACTTTATCTGATATACTTGCAGGATATGGAGCTCCAGATGACACATACGATTACATGCCGATATTTAGCGGTGAGTTCGGTGAGTTGACCGCGCCTACCCGTACATTTGTGTTCAACGATCAATTATAGACGAACCTTTTCGTTGCTGATGGTCTTGGTTGCTGATCTGCTGATTGGGGCTCCCTTACAGTAAAATTTCAAGACCAGGGAGCCCGTCTGCGGAACACCAGTGGTCGCTCCATGGTCTACGGAATGTCTATTTTGGCCACCATCCTCCCAGATATACACCCGTAAGTCGCTGTCCAAAACGACATCGGTATTTAATATGAGGTTTTTAGAAGTCCAGACCCATTATCAATGATGGACTGATCTTTGCATTGTCGCAATGCAGCATACGCGGCCTCCCTACGGGACTGGCGATATTAGTACTCTACTCGCGCTGCTACAGTTGTCCATGTCATGTTTGGACAGCAATGATTGTAGGTGCTGTCATCCTCATTACTGCACATACCTCGCGATCTGATGAGGCAAGTGCTGTTCCTCAAATCTCAGGGAATCAAGGAAACGATATTGGATAGGCCCGTCATAAAACTGTATGCAGTTCGTTATGCTTTGGTGGCTAGAATCCTTACCTTCGTTCACGTAGGGCGCCCTTAACTTGTGAGAGTCACTACGCTGAGTGCCATTCTGTCGCAGTGGTTAAAGCACGTTACGCTTGCTTCAGTCCTAATAGAAACAGATCATATTTGCGAGGATGGGGGGATGACCCCGTGATGGTCTTTTGCTATCTCGCTCTTGATGCTGTACCTAACGGTAGGCAGCTCTATGAGTCAAGAAGACAGCTGGGCTTGCCGCGATACTGTCATCGCGGGGTACTGGGGCAGCCGTGCACGAGACGTCGCGGGCATAAGGCTTTCAACAGTTGCAAGGATAGCATAGTCGCCTGGTTGTGACAGCACCACACTTTTTTTTCTCATGAAGTAGAAAGCATCGTTGACGCTTATGTTGACATTACCATCGCTACCGAGACGGCTTTGGACGCGCACCATAATGTGCATCCGGGCAATCTGCCGCGTCCATTTAGCCACGTCCCGATGAAGCGATCCCGAATGAAGCCACATATCCGAATGAACGCTGCGAAGTCGGCCATGTCTTGCGCTAGTACTCGATCAGTTCTACCTCAACTACTCAAGTTTACGGGTCGAGAGAAGAAGACGTGCACTAGCCCGTAACTCCTGCAAAAGTAGACCGCGTATGCGACATAAAGAATGTCTTTGACGTGGTTCCAAGTTTAGCACTGCGTGCCTGGATTGTGTCGCGCTCGGTACGGCCTATCATCTTTGATTCTCAACGTCCTTACAATAGGAGATGTAGTATCGCTCAAGAACGATGGGATTTTAGACCCGGAAAGAGTCAAAGATTATTCAGAATCACTTTACGCCTTTAAGGTGGTAATTACTTCTACCCAAACCTGATCAGAAGTCATCAGAATGAGGTAACGCGCAATGTGCGCCAGGGCAATGCGGTTCGGCATGTAGCCTTTCGGTGCTTCGGTATAAACTTATCGGCGTATCTGTCATTGGATGCTAAAGCCTATGACAACCTGGTACAACGAGCTGAACGATAAGAGACAGTTATATTTCCTTGAAGCGGATACTGAAGTTCATCCGGCGGTCATTAGAATGACTGATGATACGGGCTTATAGGAGCGTGTTAACGTCAGAGTGTAAGCTATTCTCGTGTTCCTTTGTAGGGAAGGCCAGTCACACCGCCCACCCGACAAACTGATACTATCAGTGATACTGACGTTTATGTGCTCTCGGGTGCCGTTGCATCGTTGCACGCAAATCCCTCCCTTGATCTTTAGGGAACCCAGTCTCGTTACTTTCATCGACGGCAATATTTGGCTCCGAAAGTCGGCTGATGCATTGTTGCCCATAATTTGTTAGATGCCATCGCAGCTTAGATGATATCCCCTTTGTTCTCGTTGTGGGCTAGTTCCATCGATGACTATCATGCCAAGGACTGAAACGTCGGCTCTGAGCAAATAACCTCATGACTATCGCTAAGATGGCACGAACGTTTATGTGCAGCCCTTTCCTGGTCACTGGCTCGTCTGCTAGCTTGCCATGGTTGTCGAATTCCATGCATCGTTTGCTCGAGTACCTCCCTCTCAATCCGATCAAGACTGAACTAAGGGTTCAATTGATGTCGATCAATACATTTGCGGGTTCTAGGGCGTGTAGGATCGTTGCGGGGTATATGTCACGTAAGCGTCAGCCAGTGAGCTGAAAATTATTATTTCATAAATGCATCCTCATGCAGGGCGAGCTGTGAGCATGTGCGATGATATCAAATCCGTCTTGAAGCTTGAAACCTATGTTTCGATATGATCTGAGTCAGCGATTGAATTGATGGTACTTCCAACACGGCTGGCTGGTCCTTTCAGAATTATCGCGTCTGAGCCTGTAAATGTTGTACATCCACCTTCAAGGTCTACAAAGGCTGGGACCCTGCTGAACTTTTGTTTCACGGGTCTTCTGTATTTCTTTGATGATCGTACGATTCGCATCTTGAAATTCAAGTTGGCACTTTTAGCGGTTAACTTCGAGTACTTATGGTGTATACGGAGTTACTCTTGCGTCGTCCCTGACCTCAACGATTCTTTGACACATGCTACTGAGAACACACGGCGTCCATCATTGCGCTCTACATTCCAGAGCGATCAGACAGGGCACTTTGAGATGAAATGCACCTGAGATTTGTAGCAGGGCATAAACTTGTATATTTCTGCATTGTCTCGCAATCATTGTAGGGTGTCCGGGTGCAACGGCTGCTTTGCATGCGCGACACAGCTCGGGGTTCGATTCCCTGCCGGGTATTCATGACAATGTATCTTTGCCGGATGTTATTTATGTGATACTCACAAACAAAAATTAATGGATATACAATATGTTTTATATCTAGGGCGCACGTCGCTTGGATTCACGAGAAGTACTAACTTACGAACAGGGGAATGCGGTCAGGATACTGAAACGGTTTAGACCTTTCCCTATGGACTCTACAGAAGATTCGCGTTGGAGGGTTTCTTGATTGTCTCCAATATCTTGTCGACAGGACCTCAGCCCCAGCAAAGAGGCTCGGATCCAACTTCTTCACTTGCAACACTAATTTACATTTCAATCTTTCCCTACATTCATTCAAATTTCAGAGACCGGTTGGGAGCTGAGGGAGCGGGAAGTCCTTTTCCATATGTTCGGTATAATAACGCCAATGTACCGTCTTTCCCACATCAGAGATCTCCTGTACCTCTTCGGGATCGAGAAGGCCTTCAGGGAGGTACGAAATCTCAGCGAGACGGCGAATGCGGCCTTTATTTCCGGATGCAGTTACAGCAACCACCCCCATAGCCCGGACCCATAGGAGAAGCACCGCGGAAGGGTCAAAGGGTGCAGAGATGAAGCCCGGGTCGACGGCGGAAGAGGCTTTGATCTAAGATAGTAATAGTCAGGTAGCAGTGCTTGATATGAATGGAGGCCGACAAACCAGAGAGGCGTTGTCCTTGTTCAACCGCTGGGCAATTCGTACCAGGATAGGCTGCAGAGGCCCACCTGTGGGATGACGAATGGCTGGGGTAAGAGGACCATAGGCTTCCGTGACGATGCCGTGCTCCTTCTGGATAGCAAGGACAGGCTCGAGATGAGCGAGCACATAAGGATGGTACTCAAGCTAAAGGCTGGATGGTCAACGGACAGAAAGTACAATATCATGACTTAATCACACGAACCTGGTTAACGACAGGTTTGTGACGGGCGCCTTCGAGAATAAGATTAAGATCCTGGGGACGGAAATTGCTAACGCCAATACTCTTGAGCTTCCCTTCGTCCTTGAGATCCTCAAGAATTCGCCACAACTTCTTGAGAGACGCATCTTGGTCCTCGGCAACGTAGGGATTGTGGATGAGGAAAAGATCGGGGATGAAGCCAAGTTTGGCGAGAGACTCGTCGATAGATGCACGGACTTGAGCAATGGGAACGGGAACATCCTTGGTATCCTTGGAATCGGGGGACGGCGAGCGTTCGGAGACTATGCGCATCAGAAAGTAGAAATAGGACATCTAGAAAGCCTACTCTTGCTGGTAACCCAGACAGCCTCTTTCCCGACACCAGATTTCGCAATGACCTCGCCTGTATTGGCTTCATTGCGATAGTTCTGAGCGGTGTCGATGTGACGGATGCCGACGCGTAGGGCTTCGCTGCCTGACTCGAGGGCGGTCTTCCTCGCGTCCCCGGAGCCATTTCCCCAGCCTAGCCAAGGAATCTGGGCGCCGTCAAGGAGGGGGATCGACCATTGCGGTGGTTGCGACATGGCAGTTTGATGAGAAAAAAACAAAGTGTAATACGTCGGTGATGATAAAGATCTATATTGGTAACCCGCAACACGCCTCGGGGCAGAGTACGCGAAGACTACTTAGGATAATGCTATTCTACTCCGCAACTCTATGGAAGGTATAATCTCGTGTGTAAGTCTACGTATCTTTCTCGTGGTGCTAAATTGCGATTCCATATTATAATCATACTACCTACAGAACAAAAGAGAAACAAGGGGGAAACACAACTTGTCTACCTGTCATCATTCTCCCGCGATTCGTGTTTATCCCTCCACCGCCACAGCCGCAGGTGAATACCATAGCGTACTGTACTATTTCGACTAAAAGTTCACCCAGGGTGAGGTGTAGGCAAGCTCATCGGATTGTCAGTCAGAGAAATTTCTGATTATCAGCTAAATATGGTAATTTTGTAATTCAGGTAAGAAATAAGTTCAGAGGTCTGTTAGGCGTTAGGTGAACTTTTGGTCGAAATAGTACAGTAGTAGCGACATCATATCTTTATCCATCCAACAACCAGACAAAGCACAGAATAGGTTAGAGCGCATCTTAGAAGCATGTCCCAAGGGTATATTGTAACGGGAGAAGTGTTAAAAGTCTTCAAGAACTCGATAGGTTTTGTGCGCATTACAAGGGCGGCATCCAACTCAGTGGTAGCAATGAATACCATCCTTCATTCGACGCACAAAGAAGGGGTTTCTGCCTTGTACCGCAACAATGCATAGATGCACAGACGATCTTGACCGTCTTTAGCTCACTGGAGCTGGGATCTGACCGCTGCATCGATTATGTTGTCGCTGACAATGCGAAGAACGCTATGGATATGGTGGGTGGGTTTACATTGGAGACATCAGATTTTCGGGGAAGAGGAAAGTCAAGAGTGGCTCAGCACAAGTTGGTGTAGAAAGAGCTTGCCGCTTGCCCCACACGTTACAAGCGAAAAGAATCAGAAGCACCTAGTACGTATCACCCATCCACCCAACAACAGCGTCTCTGCCTTGAGCCGTCTGTTTATCCGTCACAGAGTATGTAGCCATAACCCGCTCCGTCGCGAGCTCGTCAATGAGCCTCAAGTTCTTCGGAGGCGGCGTCCCGGAAGCTGAAGGGAGAGAAGAGTTCGCCAGCAGTCGACGGGTACACTAACCAGCTATAAGTCTAGGTTCCGGGGCTGAAATAGAGAACTTACCAGCTTAACACCCCACCATGCCCGGATGCTGATCCCTGTCGCAGCAGTTTCATGCGGAGACGACACATCTCGTTCCGTCATATCCACCACAACCAGACACATCTTAATCGCTAAGGGTATGTCACCGGCGGTATATGCGGTTTCTGCGAATTGCAGAAAGTAAAACGGGTTTTGTGGAGCGAGAAGGAGAACGTGAGAGAGTGCTTGAAGAGATTGGGTATACCTAGCCGGTAATGAGACTTCGTAGGGCGAGACTGAAAGGGTAACGCACTGATTGCATGACGAGTAGATGTCCGCAAGCTCTAGCCAACCCTCGATGTCATTGTAGAAGGTGTCCAGGTAGGCACAGAGCTCATCAACGGTCTTTTCAATCTTGTCGGTTCGTTTTCGGAGGGATATCCGCCGTTTCCAGATCGCCTGTGGCACCGTCAGCTAATGACACCTAACATAGCTTGACTACGTACGGCGTTGGCAGAGTCCTCCGCGAGCAGCTCGTCGTAGAATTTCATGACAGTCTCTGGTGATAGCGTCGCCTCCATTTGTATACCGGTGAGGACGCTCACTCGAGGAGAACCAGGAAACTTGTCAGAGAGTTGCTTTATACATTCCTGTCTTTACTGTTAGTGGAGAATGAGAATGCTACGAGCGACCAATGAACATACGTCCGCCACGTCCAACCGACCTATATCTATCGCTGCGAGTGCAAGCTGCTCTAGGAACGCCCATGCTGGAAGAACGTTAAAAACGTTACATGGAATGGATAAAAGCGCTCACCTTCGTCACCCAACTTTCGCGCTCCGTTCGACTTGAGTACAATGGAACCTTTGTTTACGACATCCTGTGACGCTCGTGTATTATGAGCACGGTAGTTGGCCAGCGTCTTGAGCGCCGAGGACAACGACATGGTGGCCGGGACAAAGAGCGCTGGTGACAGCTGTTTACATCACGTTCTCTTTATGACCATCATCGTTAGACCAGCTTGCAGAGCCCTGGCTCCTTCTCTGGCTTTCTCTCTGAATGAGTTCGACAATTGCTGGGTCGTTGGCGACGGTTCCGATAGGATATATTTCTCAGAATTACGTGTCAAATGCTAATATCAGCAACGCAGTCGGCGGGGTCAGTCTATAGCAGTTGGGTTATTGATCTTGGTACGTCTATCTTCTATGGTGCAGGCAAGGACGAAATCATGCACCGTACCCTGACGGTAGAAGCGTTCTGTGTTTCTACCTCTGCGTAGTAACCGTTCGTTGGATGAGGGTAGTATAATTTGCAACCGGAGCTCTTTCGTTTTTGTGTATTCTAGGTGCTCAGAACTAATGTGTTGCCCTTTTATTTAGGGGTTTTTTCCTCGACAGGCCGCGTACCCTATGTATACCAATCGTATGCAATCTTTCTCACCACGATCAGGAATGGTTTGTCGACAACACTCAGTGTTAACTTCACTCAGCTATTTTTGGATCAGGATGTGACAGCAACTTTTTCCATAGGTCATCTGTTATGAGGTCTGTCATTCACTGACACAAAGAATGAAGCGTGCATTGGTAATTTTCCGTCTTCCAACGGTTTCCGTGTGCACCAAGCCTCCATTTAGTTCGACATGATATGGTTGCCTCATCTACCTACATTGACTACTGATGGTCGTGTGTATTTAACTTTGTGCGTCTCGTTCTTGAATTCACCTTGTCAATGCTGATCTCCTTGCTGTTTTTGCCTCAATATGCAATGGAATATGCTTCTGCGACGCGCATATACACCTCTTGTGTGACGTCAATGTGTTATATCAGCAGCGCTGAGCTGTCGTTTGCACCTATCGTCGCCTTCGAAGCAGAACACACAATAATTCCATATGATAGAATGGCCACCTATAGCAGAAAAGTCAAGGTTTGAAACTGAATTAACAGGAGGGCCGAATGCGTTTGCGGCTTTGTTCGACAGACAAATCGAGCCGAAGAGCAACACGATTTGATAGGATCTCCGAAATATTTTCCTACGCAAAATATGAAGGTGGTATGTGCGGGAAACGCGGAGTAACAAGATGGGCCGTGGACAATGAATTAAGTTGCTTTAACTATCTGGGGACGCCGGTGATCCACCAGAGAAGAGTTGGTTCTTTTTTTCCGCGCTTTGGTGCGTGTAACCCATACATCTGTACCCGATGCGTGTTTATCCTGAGGTCTGTAAAATTCCTGAATCTCTCCTTGACCGTTCTCACATTTATTCGTGTGCAGGTATTTCGCTTTTGGGCCAAGGACGCATGGCCTCCCCGAAAATCTTCCCCGTAAACTGGCATGGGAATCTAGTTAACGTCACTGAATTTTAACACCATTAGTTTTGATACCCATGCGTTTTAACACATGGGGCTAACTCTATAATCGGCGTCGAGATGAATGCCTTCAAAAACGACGAGGAGCAAGACGTATTCCTCACATCCTCCATTTTTTCCCGTCGCCATGCCTGAGAAATTCAATGACACGTTCGGGTGCATGTTCATCTCGTTCTCACTCGACCTAATGTGAGTCTTTATCCGCCCGGTCCTCCCAAGTATCACTCTTTTATAACCCCCCTCAGGTGTTATGGCGCAGGCTTCGTGAGTGGCATTCCCGAATGATCCAGATTGGTTTTCCAAGTCATTCAATAGCTCACGGTCCTACGATACTTCCGCCACGGTTATGGGTCCAAAGACTCTAGGATAATCAAAGCCATGGTACTAGCACTAGGGTACCAGCGACCGCTCTTCTTATTAGCCGAGGTCTTGACGGTTGTTAGCTAGATGTCTAGCTACCGTGCACGTCGCTACATTTGTCGCATGGGCCTATGATGACCTCATCAGTCGCTTTGGAGCGTTCGATAGACTAGATGCCATGCCACGGTTAGTTTTATTGTTTTACTCAATCAAATAACACCTCCTGATAGTTTTCTAGAACTGCTCTTGTAAGCCCTCGCTTTCTGTCATGCCGTGTTTTTGAATGATGCTCATCTCCACGCCAGGTACAATTACTAGCGATAGTACGTTTATCCGAGCCCCCTTTGAAGCAGTCTTACGTTTCATTTATCAAGTATATGGTTTCCTTCATTTCTCAATGGTAAACTTGCGTCCACTTGCGGCGTTTGCGCAATTGACAAAGGACCATCCTGCAGCTTCTTTACCACACGCATCTGGATCCGTGAGTTTCGCCATCACGTCCCTAACGATTCAAGTATTGAATACCCTCCTAGTCACACACAAGTGGTATTTGGCAAGCCCGATTGTATGCTTTTTCTTGTAGTCAGCTCTACACACAAAGGGAATTGACGAACTCTAGGCAATCTTGGCTCTGATCAATATCAGTACGTCAGAGTTTTTTTTTTTTTCACTTGCGAGGCTGGGGCTCTGATTTTTCTCTGAATTCCGAAATTAGTCGCCGGAATCAGTATGTACTTTACTTTCATCTGCCAATTCCCGTTGACCTGTAGCTCATCAGCACAAACGACGCTAAGGTTCTTCAAAACATCGTTTTAGTCCTTACCAGTCTGACCGCTTCTTCCGTAGCGGAATCGGCGGTACATTCAGTAATCTTATCAACACTGAGGTGGGTCTCCATCAACGTGATAAAAGTACCTTAATAGATGAGACATAGAAAGTGACAAGTCTACAAGCGGCTGCCACAGCAGCATGCGACCTGTTGATCACGGCAACCTTGTGCTGGATTTTGAATAAGAAACGAACGGGAATTAAAATGTGAGTTCCCCATTTTATTCAAGCGATCTGTCTTTTTGACATCACGAAATAGGACCGATACTCTGCTCGACAATCTCATAATCTTGGCAATCAATCGTGGTGCCGTCACAAGTCTTGCAGCGCTGTTCAACCTAATACTGGTATGTCATTATTTATCTAGGCAACTTGTTTCGCCGAATTTAAGATTTTGTAGTTTGTATGGCGCCCTGATGCGATGATCTTGTGAGTGCGAACAATGTCACGTAGCTGAACATGAAGGCCCATACTTTGATAAGTATGGTACCCCTTTTACCTAGTTGTCAATGTAAGTCACCTTGTCGGCCTTAAAATTTTATTCACCGACTTTCATTTATCCGGTCACAGTCTATGTACTCTCAGTCGTTGGAAGGTGTGCCTGATTCCATATTTCTCTATCCCACTCTGACATAACCCCACAGTCTCAACTCTCGTAGGAGCTTGCGTGACAACGGTCGGGATGCCGTAACACTCCCACTCGAGCCAATGTCTGGAAGCGGAAGTAGCGCTAGGGGATCGGGCGGAGTGCAGGTGGTATGGATCTCTTTTCTAATATCTTTTCGGCAATTAAGATCGCCTTAGTCAACGTCACTCGTGAGCTGGAAAGATGGATCCCAGCTAGGTTCGCACAAGGTACGCTAGGTTTTGCTATTGTTTCGAGTACTCGTCTTAACGAACGTCAGGACACCGATCCTTGCGAACATCTACCGTCTTCTGTCTAAGTAATGACATCAAAGTAGCTCGTGCAAAAGTACTTAGTATATGGAAGGTTCTGTGTTATATCTAGACCACTTTGGGACTTGTGTGGCAATCATCTTCAAATTACAGATGACATATACTCCCTGGGTCTCGGCACCTTTATGTCGTTGTCGCGGGGCGACCGGTTAGTCCGCCAGTCCAAAGCTGTACCGATACCCCCGTTGACCACTAGGTGGGCGTGACTTCTTCGGAGACTAAAGATTTGTGTGGATCACAAGTAGGCCATTATGGAGACCCTTATACAAGAAAAACTTTCACAGAAGTCCTATATTGCGAACAAGAAGAACGTCACTTGACGATAACCATCCCAAGTACTGGTAAGCACTTAGGATTCCAATATACACCGTCTTTAACCTATAAAGACCTATGTGACTGGCCCGACCTCGGAATGAGATGATTTTAGGCTTACCTCAGCACTTTTCGTTCTGTGTTATGATCATAAAACACTCGATACAATGTTGTCGAGGTACTAGGTTCGTCCTTGCTATACCGCAAATCATACTCAAGTACTGATCGGTGGCGATCGCAATATCGGGGACTTACAAGGCGGAATCTCGCAGATCTAGTGTCATGGTTATCGTGATCTTTGAACCGTAGGAACGAGAATCTCATTTGTTCCAGATGCCGTCGTAGCCTTGTGTCATTGTCAGCAATTGTCACAGCTGAGATCTGCCCACGGGAATGCCACCGCCCCACTTTCCACCACCGTTCAATCTCGCGCTCCTTTCGACCTCCGAGTCTCTAGGGTAGGGTCAATTGAATGGAGGACACCAGCTGACCACGTTCGTTTGCGCGCCATTCCCACGCGACCTCGGCCCACACACGCTTACTTCTCCGTGTCCCGGAACGTCTTTCCTCTTCGACTACCGATCATATGCCTTGTTCCCGGTATTGACGTACTTAACTTCTCGCGATGATCTGACAGACGCTGGGAGAAAGTAGGTATTTTTAAGGTCTTTAGACTGCCACAGACCAGGCTTTTCCGGTTTCCGAGCTTTCCAATTACGTCCGCTGACAACGCCGCTTTGGCGCATTCCCAACATTTGATTCTACCCACAGAACCATCGTTCCTTACTTATATATTTAACCGGAACCACCACTCCGTTGTCCCTCTTTCTTGCCCTCAATCCTCAGCGATTTTTTGACGCTACTGATTCAAGCCCAGAGATATGCCTGATCAGGTATTTGGCTGCTCTTTTCTGTATTCACACCAGATCTTGATGCTCTCGTGATTTCTAGGCGTATTGGGCTGCGTGAGCGGTTCCCATACGAATGGTTGGCCTATTCATTGATATTATTGACCCAGATTTACCCTCCAAACCTATAATTGCGCCTTCGCAATCATGGTGCGTTGTTACTTGGATGCTTGAACATTACTCAAAGTTGCGGTAAGGTTTGGGACACTTTGTTGACTTTATCGGAAGAGAAACGAAAGTACGTCCCGAAGGCAAGGAATTACATTCTTGCTTCTCATCCTCGCTGCCAGGGTTTGGGATCGAAAATGGAGCCCAGCGGTCAGAGTTCACTTCTTTAACCACGTGGAGCACCCGTCTGACGGCCTGGTGGTTCACAGAAAGTCATATTCCTCTTCAAGTAGGCATCAACATAGAACGCTGCATTCTCGCTGACTGTCTACTGTATAGCCGTTATTATGGTGTAAGTTTCTATTTCGCATGTAGCCGCTTCTCCATTCATTGCACATACCTCTAGCTCGCATCGATCACAGTGAATTTATGGTGCGCTTATACGATTAGTCCGTCGTTAACGCGCTAATACATAGCGAAACATCACAGCTTCTATAATATACAAGTCCGCACTGAGGATTGCGCCAAATATGTGAGGGCGGAGCCGTTGCTTGGTAGTACGTAACCGTCTCGTTGCCGCTTTAATTTGTTGTGCTGAATACATCACAGACATCACTATTCTGTCTTATCAGAGTATCCTTCTGCTTCGGTACGTGCCTTTTCAAGCATTGGCTGTGTCACTGTTCTGCCAGTGACCAACGACGATAACAGATGTTACGCTGTCTGGTTACGGGACAAGAGAATTTTATTCGCTGGAATCGCGATGTTGACTTGTCAATTCGTGGAGGCCATATACGCGATCTCTGGTCTCGTAAGCGACGAAGCTCTCCAATGAAGCCCAATGTACTCATTTGTTCTCTAGTTTCCTCTTCCAATCACGTCAGTAAAACATATTCTCTCCAGTGACTGCCTTCACGTGTTGACTCGATTTCAGAACTGAAATAGGACCTTGTGGTACGTTTGACATGACAAAACATTCAACCTTATGAATTCGGAATCCTGTAGTTGTTCAAGGGCAGAAATTGTGCGTCGGATCTCTGAGACGGAACCATTTGCTCATAACTCGCACGCATCTAGCTGGATTGCAAGCCTTTTCCTCTTTCCCACCCTGACGGACACAGTGCGTCTAAAGATGGAAATATTTCTCTCCATCTAAATGCCTACAGATCCTGACCTTGGTCACCTTCGCTCGGGTACTGTACATTGTCCCAAAGACCAGGTCCTCAGTAATATCCCGGTTCTTGAAAGAAGGGTTTCTCTTTTGTGGGTCATCCGGTACCGGTTTTATTTAGTGATTTGTTAATTTTGTTCAATAGTCCTTATTGTGTTCGGTACTCGGGCTTTCGCTTCTCGGTCCGAAGATTTTCTCACCTTTTTGTAGTTGGCAATTGTGCAAACGGTATTTTATATCTCCAGGTGAGCTGTTTGCATGCAACAGGCCGAGTTTAATTACCAGTGAAACAGGCAAACAAGGACATCTCCACGATTTTTAGCGGGTTCGCCATAGTAAGCCTCTCCCTGTCGGCTGTTTTCTATATATCTGTGCTTCTCTCTTAAGATCTCGGGTAACGTCTGTGGAAACCATCTCCTTCTTGGCGCTCGTCATGACGGTTCAGGTTCTTATGACCGTATATCTACATTTGCATTGGCTGACCTTAGAGAACAGCAGCCTCCACATCGGACTTACCCCCTGCGAGTGGCGCTGGTCAGGATCGTGGTGTTTGGCCTGGAACCGGAGTTCTTGTTCATACGACTGTGGACGTTGCACTGAGTGACTTGCCGACTAACAAGCACTCGGCGGATCTGGAGCGTGTAGAAAGCGTTCGGAAGTAGGACCTGTGTAGGACTTGTATCTATTTAGTTTATGGTATCGTAAACCATGTTCAGTTGATCTTGGCACTCGAGGGAAGGCATGTAACGGGAGAATCTTGCGGTGCGCGCTTGGAGTCGATAAACAATGCGATTGCAACTGCCAAACACTGAAAATACTCTATAGCAAGTACATACTAAGCAGAACAGACAACAACACAGACAGGAGAAAGACAGTAACGCATTGTAGTACATATTTAGTTCCATCAGATATCCAGGAACCAACGCCGGTCGAGCCAAAAGCATTTCAGCCCCCTCATCGACTCTAACCAACCCTACGTTGGTTTATAATAAATTGTGGTCAGGAATTTGTTCCTGTAACGTACCGTCCCACTCACAGCCAACACACCGTTTCGAATGGAACTTGTCGACAGGTGATTCAAGACGACATGCGAGGGAACAGGAAGAACAGATGTATCGTCAACGATAACTGTATCATCGTCGATAACAGTTGGTGTAGCATTATTGAGATTTGGTGATGAGCTCGAAAGTGAGTTTCTTTGAGGCGTCGCTGGTGTATGAGTTGACGGCGTGAAGCCACTTCCGGTGCCAAACACATTATTGATGTCTGTCCCACTTGCAGTCGTCACAGGTAGAACTCTCCCTTCAACCCCTGAGGCCGGTGTACCCTCACTAGAGCTACCCCGTCTCTGCCCATGGGTTCCGTGTCTACCCCTTGACCTCTTGCCCTCCTTTCCATTGGACGAACTCGACTGACTCTGGCCACTTGCGGTATTCAAAATGAGCTTCTCCAAATGACGAGGCAGGGGCGGGGCAGGAGGGATGTTTGGAGCGGGTATAAATCCATTTACTACCTTGCGTCCTCCCTGGGTCGTGGATGTCGTGTGGTGTGCATTGAGGTAAGCGTCCTCTTCGGCGGCAGCCTCGGTGAGCTCGAGGGGAATTACATTTGTCCAGGTTGGAGCAGGAAGAGAGGGGGCATGAGTGCTGGGTGAGGAAGTAGAACCGCCAGTTGTCGTGCTCCAGAAGCTGTGGCTGCGTTTGGGCGGGGAAGGATCGAGCTGGGCTGGTGGAGGGCTCGACAAGCCGACGCTGACATAATTAGCCAGTGAACCCTGGTCATCGACAGCTTGAGGAAGGTCGTCGGCTACGCGCCACTGCTGGTCCACTAAAAAGCGCATGTGGTGCGTCCCAGGCTGTAGCTGCAGGTCAACCGTCCATCTTTTGTCGTCATCACCGCTCATTCTTCGCATCGGTATGTGTGCCTTCCAATCATCATCACCTGCACGCGAGAGGAAGACTCTCGTACCTCCACCGGTCCAGATGATGGGTACAGAGATCATCTGGGCCGCAGTGTTGGGTGAAATAGCTTCTACGGCAAGCGGTAAGGGCAGGGTGCTGCGTACGACCTGCTGCTGATACGGTTCATCCCGCTCTGGTGGAGTATGTGGGGCATCGACCAGCGACGATGGCGGTACAGTTGGTGGAAGGTAGCTCGCTTGTCGTGCCCACTCTTCGGATCCACTTCCAGCCTTGGACCCCAATCCGCTCTGCTGCCGCCTGGCTCTTGGCCTCTCCCTTTCCTTCTCTTTTTCTCCTGTTGGTATCGGTATACTCGCGGTGGCAGCGGGCCTCCTCGGGGTAATGTCTAGCTGTAGATCAGGCAGTTCTAGCGACCGTTTCTTGTGTCTGAGCGACCGATGGGGCTGGTTGGGCGTCGGTGACGGTGATGAACGCTGCTGGAATCGAGTAGCGGACGAATTGCGGGCACGGTCTTGCTGGTTGTTGGAAGGCGTGTTGCCCATCGTTGTAATAGGAGACCGGCTGCGTGGTGGGAAGAGACAAAGGCAAGGCACGTCCGTCAAGTTCACATAGTTTCATCGACAATTGTAGTTTGGAAGATTGATCCATTTGTATCCGATATGGTGTAACGGCTAACATTGCCGCCTTTCACGCGGCAGCTCGGGGTTCGATTCCCCGTGTCGGAAATACAGTTGAAGCATATAAAGTTGTTTTTTTTTGTTTGCCTAACTAATTGAAAATTCCCTCCAGCAAGGGGCAGTAACTTACCGGTAATTAACCTAGGTTTCGTACACTACTCTATAATGCCACAATAACTCTTTTAATTTTGATTGAACAAGTGACAAGTCTTGATTCTTCAAAGTAGACTCTTGAGCATTGAGCCAGGGCACAGCGCAGCCAGACTCGGATGTTCCGGACCGTGGGTCCGTAAGATGTGTTGTTAACTCGGAAGTGAATAACTCCCTGTGAGCACTATCATTGTTCATAAACATCCATTCTTTACAACGCATCAGTGGCGTAGCGCCTCCTTCATTATTTACAGCATCAATCTAAATCTGCCAGTCATACCGATGACCTATTGACATTCTGCGCCTCATATCTGCAATATCCCACCACAGCCCCTTCATGGTGTTCGTGGAAGAGGTGACAGCTTGCATCCAAGTCCTAATAAAAAGACTTTAACAAGTTAGTGGCTTCACAAGTCATGGTATCACCTACATAGCTCATGATCGTCACCGCGCTTGACGGGAATGTCTCCTGAGATCTTGCTTGGCGACAAGTCATTTAATTCGATGTCCACTGTCGTATGAACGAGGTCCCCATGTCCGGACAACGCATTATGACCACGGCTGATACTGACACTACGAGGAGATTCAGAGCTCCCCGGGTCCACTGTTCCAATCGGTCACTGCAATCAGAAATACACTGTCCTACGTACCTGAACCATCGCGGCGAGCTGCCAGAAGCAGATGGTTTCCAGAGACGTTTCCGGAAATCTGGCTCTCAGTTGAACAGACCATTTCTAGAGCGACGAGGAAAACCTACTATCGCGAATCCGCTGAAAATCGTGGATATATCCCTGTTCGACTGAAAACCTTATGGTCATGGCCTTAGACATGTGAACGACTCGCTCACCTGGAGATATAGTATACCATTAGCGCAATTTCCAACTAAAAACACGGTAAGAAGATGTTTAGGGCGAATTATATAAACGCATGAATACCGAATACTATAAGGACTTTGGGAGGATGAATAAAATACTAAAGGGTCATTAGAAAGGACCGACAGAACAGAAAGCCTTCTTTCAGAAAGCGCGATATGACAGAGGACCTGGGTTTGGGGGTAAGGTAAAACACTCGAGCGAAGGTGACGACCGTTAGCATCTGGAAATGATGAGATCAGCGAAAGGTGTATTTTAAAGACGTACGGTATCTGTGAAAGTGGGGATCAGGAAGACGCTTGCAACCCAACTACAGCAAATCATTAGCGAACGCTTCAACCCGACCAAAACCAGTCTCGCACAACTTCTCCCCCTGAACAACTGTGAAGGACTGTCATTTTCAGGTCAATGTTTTATGGCATTTAACGTACTGCACGGCCCGACTTCGCCTCTTCAAACGTTTCAGTAAAAGGTCGATGAGATAAACTTAGTACGAACGTGATGGAAAGCGGATACTTGTCCCACGGATGAGTGAGTACAAATGAATGAAAACTGTTAAAAACCTACAAATCGAGAAAAGGCATACAGTGCCTCCAGAAACTGGCCGATCAGCATTGCGACGCCACAGAACAAAATGCGTTTGTCACACGACCAGACGGCATAACAGCTGTCGGCCATTCAGCACGCATGATAGGTATTTATACCACCACATACCGCAGCAAAAGAATGCTCTGATACGAAAGAATCGTGAAACCTAGCAGAAAATCGGTCCGGAGATAACGACATCCTAAAGAGGTGCTGCATACTGGCAATCAACGGTTCGGCCTTCACATACTTGGCGCATTCTTCGGTGGGGACTTGAATATTATAGAAACTAGAATGATCAAGTTATACTTTAGCATATAAGGCTAGAGAGGATCTGAACTCACCATAGATTTACTGTGTTAGATGCAATCTGAAAATAGCGGGAGTCCATTATACAAGACGGGGATACGAGACACTAGATAGCATACACCATAATAGCGGCTACAGACTATCGGTCATCAGCAACGTAATATTGTTCATTGATGCGTACTTGAACAAGAATATAACTTTCTGCTCGACAATTCATCAATGATAATCGTCAGAAATAAGTTGGTACTAACCGCAGCACTCCATTCTCGGTTCCAAATCCTGTAGCATCAGATGAGGACACAGCAAGAATAGATTTATGGTCACATTGCGGAACGTACTTGCGTCTCTCCTTGGATAAAGTCAGGAGAGTGTCCCACACCTTGCCATGGCTGTTAGTGATGTTTAAGCGCGCAAATATAGATCCACTGACCATTACTGCATAAGCACAATTATATGTTTGCAATGTGAACCTTCGTCGAAGAGATGAATATTCCGAACCTGCGTGGTAAAAGTTACTCACGAAGTCCAGTACGACTAATGTCGATGATGTCAGTCAAATTTTGCTTCAGGCTTCGTCGAAAGGGATACATGATACCTGAGCATCATACATATCGCTGAGTTTGAATCAAAAACAGGACACAAAGCTGGATGCAAGCTGGGGGTGCTGTAAAAATGCGGTGGAGACGCACAGAGGAGCTAAGACGCTTATATGGGCCAGGGAAGGCATCGTCGAAAACCAATTTGATAACAGTAGGTGCATAAGCAACACTACACATCGTTGCAATCCGTGACATAAATAGGAAATTCGAACGAAGAAGTTTGCAACAGTGACCCTGAAATTTGAGGCAGAGCTCAATGTCCTGCCTGGATCGCGGATCCGCCAGGGAGGGTTTGATTCGTAATTATTGCTTGAAAGACTATTGCTGGAGATTATTTACAGCGATAAAGAGAATGAATACTTAACCATTTGGCTTGCAGGTTCGAGATTCCTTGAGAAGGACAGGGTGCTGTCAGCGGCGGAAAGGAAAGCAAAATCCACCGGTCCGAGAGATTGAATTAAAGAGGCAAACCTTAAAAGCCTACACATTCAATCTCATCATGATGCGTCCTCCGCTACAACGACGCCCATTTCGTGTGAGAACAGATTAAAAGTGACAGAACGTTACTAGGATCCTGTATCATTTATCAATTTCCACCGGCACCTCTAGAGATGAAATGGAAGAAACGGGCCCAACGACCCGTTGGATTATTTGGGAAGAAGTGGACGAAACACCGTGACCATTGACGTTACATAGCTGCAAACGTTTTCACCGTCCACTAATTTGACTAGTGTCGAAATCCCCATGAATGGAACTGCCTTCATGTACTTACACTTTCGCCACTGCCAAGCTCCCGTGAGCTGCGCTGGCTCGTCGGCCAGGGTTTACATCAATTGGATCCACGTTGACGCTAAACCACTGAAAAATTTCAGACTGAATAGAAGCCATGACAATGGGCGCGTCTTTTCGCGATAGACCTTTCGACGAGAAACTTGAAACGGCTATAACACATGTTCAGGAATATATGAGGTACAAACGAAAGGGAGTTAAGATGGCAAGCGCTATAATCTTTACATGTGCTGGCATTGATTATCGAGCCCTGCTCGACAGAGGAGTTTGGTCCAGACCAGTACGTTATACTTCTTTCTCCACTACCAACGTGCGAGATTGTTGCGGGGTCCTGAGCACAAGCAATGCAAATCGAACCGTCCTTCGGAAGTTTCGCCTGGACTTTATCTGATTGTAGGAATTCTGCGTCGCGCTGTCGGGCGACCACAACGTCCACATTTTTAACTTAGGCCAGCAGGGCGGACATCGCCTTCTTAAAAAGCATTGGTCGTATCCAGGCATCTTCATTAATTCCTCAATAGAAAACTGACTGTACGCCTGCAGAATATAGATAAGCCTAGCCTTGTAGAACAAGATTTTCGTGTTAAATCTTCATTAATTACTACCGACACACCTCATTCACAACTTCAAGCACCTCCTCTCCTTCCTCCTCGTCCTGCACATCCGCGCCTGATACTAGAATCTTCACCACTTCAAGCCTTGCCCTCATGCGTTCCTTATACCCCCCGGCGGTGCTGGAGAATCCGTGAGCTCTCAGTTCGATGCTCTGTGCTATTCGCAGTATAGCGCTCTGCTTCCAGGGGCCTTTGCATAGTGCCAGAGCTAATGCTTGAATGCACTCATGCCGCACGGAAAACTACATCCCCATTCAGGAGTAAAAAGGGCAAACAAACGGGACTGATTAGCAACATACATCAATCTTCTGAGAAAACGTCTCTTCGGGCCGGATTTCGAAGGAGAGCTCAGCGCCAGGTTCGGGAGACGCTGGAAAGATGTGAGATAAGAGTCAGAGAAGGAAGACATCAATGCTTACATATCGGTGCCAGCTCGTGGTAGTGTATAGTGGGCACTGAACTCGAACTCTCCTGAGCATTGATAGGTGTCCCCGGTACCTCCTCCGTCTCATGTTCAGTGTCCTCAATCTCTTTAGGGACGTCATGATGTTGTATCGAAGGAGGGATAGACTTGAATGGAGTCTTAAACGGTTTGTTTAGCACTGAAGCAGAGCTGAAGGGTTTTGTGACTGAACATCATTAAACGATCGAAGAAACATCTGAGTGATTATAGCTCTTACTTAGCATGGAAGCATATATTTGGGATTTAGGCTTTTTAGCTTTTGGCTCAAAGTTACTTGTGCCAGAGAACGAATTAGGTCTTTTCCATGCGGTATCTGGTTGGTTTTAGCACTTCGTTCAGTGGAACTGTTGAAAGCACTTGCTGGAAGCTGAAACGTCGTCACTTGACGACGTACGCGAGTTTCTTTTTTGCCATTCATTGGCAATACGTCCGGCGTCCTCGTGAGGTGTAAGTTTATACTTTCGCTGCCGTGTCTCTCTGGGATACTTGCATACCTACAACTTCAAGCGTTAGCATCGAGGTTTTAACTTCCGAGGTATCCACGGACATCGCACATGGAATGACAATAATCCTTGTCCGCATCCGAACTGATATCCTCACCGAAATATCTACATATCAGCTTTTTTTCAATCGTGAGACAATTTCCATCATAGCAGAGCGAGACACACAACATGTCGGCAAACATCAGTATTTTCAGCAAAGTTCACCAGCTACTTTCGATAATGAGGACGGGAGGGATGTAATCAAGAAAGGGTGACCGCACTGCTGAGAAACTATCCCCGGTTCTCTGGCTTGGAGCAGGACCGTTCTGAGCGTCTGCGAGCTGAACGCGATTATTGTGAGACTGGGAAACCAAGGATTTGACGTAGGACATATCCTCGCGAGCTGATAGATACTTCTAGTAAGTAAGTGCAGAGCTGCTTCCTAAAATTGGTAGACCCACTGTAATACAAGATGCATTTTGCAGGCTGAAGGAAAATCAACGATCTATTCACGATGTGAAGTACATTACATACCAGTCCGTCCCGTCCTGCACGGCCTGTGCATCTAAACGTCAGTGTGGGAGCATCGATTTGATTGCACGAGCATACACTCACCCGTTTCCTGATAATACCCTGATGCCCATAGTCAGGAGATTGTTGAGAGCAGGTCGCGTAGCGCAGCAGGGAAAGCCAGGTCTGGAGTCGAAAGTCAAAAGCTAGTGGTTATAAATAGTATGTGATACATACCTGGAGTCGAAAGTCAAAAGCTAGTAAGCGTTGACTTTCGACCTCCAGTATTGGTAGCTAC